TGTACATAATATGTTTATCTATACAATGATATTTACAGAAATTTATAATACAATCATTTTGCAATATGTTCATATTTCTTAAGTAAACAATGATAAGAATGATAAGTATGATAAGAATTTAATAAATCTACAGCAAATAATTACTGAAAGGAAATGAAATAAGATTAAAATAAGCAAAAAGTAAATGCTCATATATAAAAAAATATCACTATAACAATAATACTTACTTATTTATTTAACTTTAGATATATATGTATAAATTTTATTATATACTCTGTATTTGATCTGAAATTTCAAACAGTAAATATGTAATTATTAAACAACATATAATAGAACAATGAATAAATAATAATACAAAATAAATTAACACTTTTACCTTAATCTTGTTTTTTAAATTTAAAAAGTTTTCAATCATTTCGGGTATAATTTAATATATTGTTAATGTTGGAATGATACAGTCAATGTTCATTCTACATTATAGGTAAGTGTTACAATAAAATATTATTAACTTTTCGAGAAAGAGCGTACAAGAATTTCATATGGCATTTCAACATGTAATACTACATATTACTTAAGACCTGAGAGGTCAAAGTGCGTACTTAATTTTCTAATAAAATTAAACTTGCGACATTACACTAATACTTTATTGTAATTATATAAAACGATTGTAAGCACACTTACCTTTTATTAACTAATACTATCAACTTGTTAAAAAATCCTCACGTGAAACTACTTTGAATAACAGCCAGCGACTGACCACTGACCAGTAGGTTATCAAGCGAGATACGTTCCTTCTATGACGTTTTATAAAGAACTCGTATTAACGAGAATGAAGCAATTGGTCCCTTCCACTCTCGTTAAGAATCCTCCACCTCTTACAATAAATAAAAACATTTGTGAACATCAATTTATATACATCCAATGAAAAATAAAACCTTAAAACTTTACTTTTTTTTTGGTTCCTCATTTGTTTTTTTTTCCAACTTCAAATTCCAAATTATACTTATTGTAAAATAAAACAATAGAAACTTAAAAACCTGTCAACAAAATTCTTCGGTTTAGATTTTATAAATTTCTATTTAATTTAATAAATTTCAAAAACTCATTCGGAATTAATTCATCCGCTAGTATTGTGATGTAACACTTCGCATTGCAAGTGATATATGCATTTCAAATCAGTAAATTAATCTACAGTAGTACCATAGGATTATGTAACAAGGTTACCGACTTCACTCTGTGTAATATAGATTAAAAAATTTTTCACAATAATGGTAATAATCATATTTCTATTGTATTCTATCGGATATTTTCTCACACAATATATAAATTACTTTTAGTGGTCCTTAACCGCATTTTGCACTCGTTTGACCATCTGCCAGCGGATTATCTGAGAAAAATACGAATTAATTAACATTAATCACATAAACACACGTATATATGAAACATATACATTACAATGCAAAATTATTCATTAAAAAACATTAATAGCCACATTATGGCACCCGGGGTATCAGAGACCCCGATGCACCGATGGCACTTCTTACTTATCGAGTTGCTATCTTTGGGGTGTCGAGGACCCCGATGCTCGGATGGCGCTCCCTACTTATAGACTTGCTATCTTTGGGGTGCCGAGGACCCCGAATCGCAACTTCTAATCCCTACTATTCAACCTGCTATCTTTGGGGTGCCGAGGACCCCGATGTTCGGATGGCGCTCCCTACTTATAAACCTGCTATCTTTGGGGTGCCGAGGACCCCGAATGGCAAATTGCGGTCCCCACTATTCAACCTGCTATCTTTGGGGTGCCGAGGACCCCAAATGGCAAATTGCGATCCCTACTATTCAATCGGCTATCTTTGGGGTGTCCAGGACCCCGATGTTCGGATTGCGCTCCCTACTTATAGACCTGCTAACTTTGGGGTGCCGAGGACCCCGAATGGCGAATTGCGATCCCTACTATTCAACCTGCTATCTTTGGGGTGTCGAGGACCCCGATGCTCGGATGGCGCTCCCTACTTATAGACTTGCTATCCTTGGGGTGCCGAGGACCCCAAATGGCAAATTGCGATCCCTACTATTCAATCGGCTATCTTTGGGGTGTCGAGGACCCCGATGCTCGGATGGCGCTCCCTACTTATAGACCTGCTATCTTTGGGGTGCCGAGGACCCCGAATGGCAAATTGCGATCCCCACTATTCAACCTGCTATCTTTGGGGTGCCGAGGACCCCAAATGGCAAATTGCGATCCGTACTATTCAATCGGCTATCTTTGGGGTGTCGAGGACCCCGATTCTCGGATGGCGCTCCCTACTTATAGACTTGCTATCTTTGGGGTGCCGAGGACCCCGAATCGCAAATTCCGATCCCTACTATTTAACCTGCTGTCTTTGGGGTGTCGGGGACCCCGAAGCATCCCGCTGCATACCGACTTTACGGCATAAGGGGTATCAGGGACCCCGAAACATATTTATAGCACTCACATATAATAACTAAAATGATAAAACAATTTCAATTAACTAAATATATAGCTGAGAAAATAAATTACGAGTATTAAATGACTCAGAAATGAAATTGGGTATATTAAATAATAACTCAGTTACATTTTTCAAATGATTTATTTATTAAAGGGCATGAAATGAATACAAGTTTGTCAAATAAATGCAACAATTTATCTGACGACAGTTATAGAGATTAGTGTATCCATGCATTAATTATAATAGATCATTAAATTTCTATTTATTTTGTATACTTGAAATGTAGGTTTAAGATAATTTAAGGACTGACATGTTTGTACAAAAGCAAAGTAATAAAGGTTATTTAAATGTATATAAAATTGTATGTATTTTTTATACCCGTTGTTTTAATACAGCTCGTATATCATTGTTGCCAGAAATAGAGTGAACATGGCCGTATCCTTCCTTTATCTGAGTGTTGCTGAGACGTCCTAAAACCCTTACTAAGGGACACTTTTTAAGGGATCCAAAATCCAGAAGGAACACGATTTTTGGGCATTCTTAAAAGTGCTCCAATTTAAAAATTAATTAGATATTCATTAAGAGGGGTCAAATGTGGCCTTTCTGGGTAAAGCCTCTTTATAAAAAATCTACTGCGCAGCGCTAACTCTCTCCGTTAACTACTGCGCAGCCGGTCAAGGTTCCCGCGGGAGCGCTGAAATCCAGGAGGAACACGATTTTTGGGCATTCTTAAAAGTGCTCCAATTTAAAAATTAATTAGATATTCATTAAGAGGGGTCAAATGTGGCCTTTCTGGGTAAAGCCTCTTTATAAAAAATCTACTGCGCAGCGCTAACTCTCTCCGTTAACTACTGCGCAGCCGGTCAAGGTTCCCGCGGGAGCGCTGAAATCCAGGAGGAACACGATTTTTGGGCATTCTTAAAAGTGCTCCAATTTAAAAATTAATTAGATATTCATTAAGAGGGGTCAAATGTGGCCTTTCTGGGTAAAGCCTCTTTATAAAAAATCTACTGCGCAGCGCTAACTCTCTCCGTTAACTACTGCGCAGCCGGTCAAGGTTCCCGCGGGAGCGCTGAAATCCAGGAGGAACACGATTTTTGGGCATTCTTAAAAGTGCTCCAATTTAAAAATTAATTAGATATTCATTAAGAGGGGTCAAATGTGGCCTTTCTGGGTAAAGCCTCTTTATAAAAAATCTACTGCGCAGCCCTAACTCTCTCCGTTAACTACTGCGCAGCCGGTCAAGGTTCCCGCGGGAGCGCTGAAATCCAGGAGGAACACGATTTTTGGGCATTCTTAAAAGTGCTCCAATTTAAAAATTAATTAGATATTCATTAAGAGGGGTCAATTGTGGCCTTTCTGGGTAAAGCCTCTTTGTAAAAAATCTACTGCGCAGCGCTAACTCTCTCCGTTAACTACTGCGCAGCCGGTCAAGATTTTTCTTGGATAATCACGGATTCTGCGCAACAAATTTTGTTTTTTTGTTGCCAGAGGGCGCTGATTCGATGTCGAAATTGTAGTTCACATATTTACCGCTAGAGGGCCAAAATTTCTGCTTGATTTCGTCCCTTTTTCTCCCGCCAGAGGGCGCTGATTCGAGGTCGAGATTTTAGTTCACATTTTTGCCGCCAGAGGGCGCTGATTCGAGGTCGAGATTTTAGTTCCCATTTTTGCCGCCAGAGGGCCAAAATACCTGGTTGGTTTAGTTCATTTTTTTCCCGTCAGAGGGTGCTGATTCGACGCGGCATAAATGTGAACTAAATTTTGAAGAAATTTAAATTTAAAATTATTTTGCACGAGACTTTACTTACCTTTACTTACCTTTACTTACCTTTACTTACCTTTACTTACCTTTACTTACCTTTAGTTACCTTTCCTCAAGCCAGTGGCCATAAGTATGTTATTTGTAATATATTTATTGTAAGGGTTGAGAGGATATAAGGGTGAATTCAGGAGTGTAAGGGATACAGAGATATGAAGGGTACAGAGATGTAAGGGATGTCGAGGTGTAAGGAATGCCGGCATATACGAGATGCAGGAATATAGGGAATGTAGTGATATAAGGGATACAGGGATGTTAAGGATGCAGAGATACGTAAAGGATGCAGTGATAAAGGGTTGGGCCTCGTGAGGCCCTTAAAGACAAACAAATAATAAATAACTGGGAAGGTTGAGCCGAGGATCATGAAGAGGGATAAAATAATAAATGACTTGGGAGGGTGGTCCACGCGAGGCCCGAAAATAGGGGTAAAATAATAAATAAAAGGATAAAATAATAGTCGAGGCACACGGATTGAATAGAATATTTGCTCGAGCAAGGATACTGTTTCAGCTACTTAATTGTTCTTATTAATTTACTGTAACAAAATAAATAAAAAGAACTTACTTAAAGATCGTAGTGTATTTATTCGGTTCTCCCTTTCCTCTTCACCTCTTACCTGTATCGATTTTCTTAAAGGTAACGAAGTTGAGTTACTCCTAGGAGACCATTGCCTCCTACCAAATGGTATTCAGTTATCGATGCAACGCGCAAGAAACGGTAGTGTACAACACGTTTCGCTAGCGATTGTAACATTTAAGAAAGATAAAAAGAATTATATGGATAGATGGATGAATAAATAATAATTAAGTGTAAAGAAAGAAAAGGCTTGGAAATAAGTTATCTTATTGCAAAGTGTTTCTATAGTGTGTTCCTTTTTTAAGTAGAAGAGCATAAAGTAAAATCGATTTTTCTTGTTACATATTTTTTCAAGTTTTCTTTTTGAACAGAGATCTTTGAAACGCGCATCTTTTGAAAGATAATGTGTTTATATAGAGACGATATAGAGAAGAAAAAGATAAGGTATACATATAACGAATTGCTTAAATCATCAGCGGCATCAAATCCGTGAAAGGAATTCGCGAAAGGCTTAACTCTGAAACGTTAGAAGGGCACGACTTGAATGGAACACAGTTCTCTTGTAATGTATATTACTAGTCTGACTATATACAGTTTTATTTCACTAGCGCATGAAGCGCGAAGAACATTTGGCACGAAAACTCTGTTTGATTGTCGCGGCGTGTTAACAAAAGATCGTTTCGTTTTTGATCAATCGACAATTTTCAAAAGTGACGCCCGTATAAACTGAAACCGTGGGAAAAGATGAAAAAGACAACGGAAAGAATAGTGTAAAACGTCGACGAAAACAATGATTTTCGATCCAATCTCCGACGAGCAGAGGAAACATTTTTTTCGGCAGAATTATGGCGCTCATTTACCTGGGTAAGATTCGACGCGTTGCTTAATTATAATCGTTTAGTCGAGCAATATTAACCGCGTTAATTGAATTTGCGATATTGAGGGATAGCGTTAAACGTTCTCTTGCATAATGCGTGCGAAGCGAAGAGAACATAGATGTGCAATAAATAGCTGATCTCGCGTGGCATAATACAATATTTCGAATTAGAAATTAAAGTTTAAAAATTATTGCGTCGAAGAATATGTGCCTCGAGAAATATGTTTTCATACGATTTCTGGTAGGAAATGTAACGTGATTTACTGAAAGCAAATTGATCTAAAGTAACAAGAAGATATGCGTGTTTGCCCGCGGTAAAGCGTTTCATTGATTCGCGCCTAAATACATGTGATAGGTTCAACCTATAACGTTGAAGCGTGCGAATTAAACTGGTACCGATCCTAGTACGCTTTGTATCGTGATCGTACCACTCGAGGTAATCGCTTATCGCGAGTAAGCCACCGACGAATATATCCTTCACCGCATATCGATTCGGTTGGGTAGCGCGTAGAAAAAGGGCGCGAACGATCTCGAGGCGCTTCCGAGTTGAACGTGTCAGTCGCAACCGTCACACAGAATAATAATTCGCTTCGATTTACTGGGTCACCGGTAGTCCACTTTTACGCTTCCACGATTACATTGTACTGTAGAAAGTCTAGTTTGGCCGCTACGTTTGATCGAGTTTCGTTTAATCATTCGCGATAGGCCTAATATAGTGTATTTGTAGTATAAAAATACACATACGTATGTATGTATTTCCATTGGCTTTTCCAGCTATACCGGACATTGTCCTACTCTTAAATTTCGAGTTGGAAAACGATTCGGTGCGTGTACAGAAGATATTATGAAGGTAAGAAGAATAAAAATCTACTTTATATAACAATAAATTCAGATTTAAGAATAAACAAGGAAATATCAAGAATTGTAACAGTAATAATGTAATATCAAATAATTCCATGAGGGTGTTGCATCATGCAGGAATTACTTGAGAAGAAAATTCTCAAAGAAGGGCCTTATAGACTGAATTCCGGAAGGGAGCCGAGTGAAAATGCATCGATGCGTTACGAAAAGGATACGAAAGCAGACTGGAAGAGTGAGACGCGCTTATTCAGAGCACCCCCCTATATCTTGGGATATACCGGTAAATAAATTGAAACAATGTTAGACGAGTAAATATCAACGAGTAATTAACGCTTCGTCGTTTAATTACCAGGATACATTCCTGGATTTAATAGCATATACGGTTTATCCTTCATGAGAGCCGTTGAAGAAGGAGCCAAGGAATGGCGTAAAAATCAAAATAAGTTAAGAGCCCGTGAAGAAGCAATGAGAGTCCGCGTCGAAAGACACGATTCCAGCAACGTTTTGTCCCGAGTGAGGACAGACAACGTAGCGGCTGAAATCGATCACAGCCATCATCAAAATTCAACAACGTTTCGTACGTAGACAACAACAACAACAACAACAACAACAACAACAACAACAACAACAACAACAACAAATACGATGATAATGAAAATATAAATAAATTGTCACGTAGCCAACAATTTCGCAAATTGTTCAAGCGTCGAGTCAAGAAGTTGTATCTTCGCACGACATTCTATTACAGATTATGAAATTTCGCCCGAGAGACCGCCGATCGTTGGCTATACGGGTCATATTCCAGGAGCGAGAGGAGAAGTAGCGCTATCAAAAAGATACGGACAAGCAGCAAAAAAGGGATTGGAATTAGTTCGAAAAGAACGCGAACAAAGACTTGGTAAAATAAAGAATACAAATATGGTATAGAAACTGTTTTAGAGCTTTGATTTTAATTGTAGGTATGTGACATAGGAAAGAATAGAACGCTTAATTCTCACTCAAAGAAATGACAATCTTTTCTATCGATACAAAGTATACGAACATCTACGGGGATGTATGTATAACAAATAAGATGATAACTCTTTACTCACTTTTTCTTTTAAATTCAACGTAGTTTCAGAAATCACCTCTGTTCAAATAATGTACACAAGTACACGCTTCATAATGTTTTATATATTTTAACCACAATGAGAAATTCTTCAAAATATTTCTAACCGGAAATATTTTCTAAGAATAGACGATAAAAGTGATTTGCTATTTCCATTTCTAAATTAAAAACAAACCTACATAAGTATTATGTCCTCTTTGAAATGGAATTTAGCAAATATTATATGTATATCAGTATTGTTCACCATTCTCTTTTATCCATCATTATACAAGTAAACAAAACTTTCATAGGCATGTACAAAAATATAATAAACGAAAACATTCAATAATACCTTTAAAATTGATTACGAGTTAAGTCTGCCTTTTCTCTGGTAATCTGCTTAATCGTTCCATCTCCATTCGAACGGCTTCTTTCCAATATTCTCTATTCAAAGTGTTCGATCCATATGATAATGATAATAATCTGGCAAGTATCATTAATGCGTGCAAATGATCACTGCTTACAGTCTTATATGTTTGCCTCAATTCTATAAAGTCATTTTGAATGTCCTGTAGAAAAATCAAGAGAGAGAAAGAGTTATCCCAATGTATAACAATCCATTTACTAATATACGAAATAAGTTCGATTACCTTCGTAACATCCTCGTTGAATTCAAATTTCATCTTTCGTACAGCTGCTAAATATGATCGAATATTTGTAAGTCGATTTTCATTCTTTAAATACTGCTCCGCAATTTCGTTTATTTCAGGATATACACTCTCTGATTCCGAATCGATTTTCAAAACAACTTGATTTTGACACTAAAATAAATGTATGTAAGTAAAGTTTCCTATTTAATCGTATCAGTTAATCTAATTGTATTTAAAATTTTTTCATACCGGAATAAAAGATTTGGCTTCTGATAAAATCAAAACTGGAATATCAGTATCATACTCCATTTTATAGAATTTAAAGTCATATGTAACTCGTTGAAAATTAACTAAATCATAAATAGCATTGTAATTTTCACGCCCTGTCTCTGTAATTTGACCAGTAGTTAACCCAGTTTCATCTATCATCAGATGAGTATTATCGCTAAGTTGAAGCACTCCGCTAGTTAGCCTGTTACACTCGTAATCTTTTCTAATCATGAAAAAGCCCATCTTTGAAATTACATTTTATTATACTGTATTTATATTTTAAAATATTCTATTTACTTACTTTGGCGACAGTGCTAAATCGTTTAAAGTGTCTAAAGTAATTTCCAGGAAATGACTTTTTTCGGTAAATAACGTTAAAAATTTATACAAATCCTTTGTAAATGATGTATATTTCATCGCAGGAAAATGTGTTATATTTAATGGATAATTACCAAGACAAAAGTAATCCCGTCTTGTATAACTGCACAAAAAAAAACACAACATATTTTATCATACCTTCTAATTAAGGCCAATTATATGTATAAATACCAAACTAAATATACCTACACTGATGAAAGTAAGTGACAGATTAAATAATCAGCAGCTAAGTGATCTCCAAACAAAAGTTGACTTAGAACCAAATGAAGATCGTTTTTTATCAATTCTGCTTTAGATATTATTTGGGGAGCATTTTCTACTGTCTGTTCATGTAAGTGGATTACTTTTATAGCATGTAACCTAGGAACCAGAGAAGCAGGTGGGTGATGAACATTCATTTCAGCTTCTGTCATAGTCTCATCTTCTCCATCGTAAATAGTACTTAAAACAGGATCCAAAGATATGAAACCTACTACTTCAATAATTTCATTTAGTTTCAAAGATGTATCTTCGTATGTCTGTAATGTGATATACATGATTTATTTACTTGTATATTATTTACAAAATGCTTCTTAACAATCTCTTAATTACCTTTACTATACACGCTTTGCCATCATCTATGGGAATTGGAAAATTTAATATATATTCTTTTGAAAGTATACAATCTTCTTCTACATTATATTCGTTAGTATCCATTTTTTCACTACTCTGGATCGATGGAATTCTTTCTTTTTTTCGAATTGGCTCAAAATATTCCATTGTCTTATCATCATTTTGGTCTAAATTTCTTTTATGACTATCTTTTACTCTTGCATTCAAATGATGCAACTCTTTCTTCTTTTCCTTTGCCCAATCATTTAACCCAGGAATCGATATAACAATACATGTGTGTCTTTCTGAATTTTGATTTTGCACAGAATCCAGCAGAATCTCTTCTTGTGGCTAAGAAAAAAATATCAAATTTAAATTTCAAAAACACTCATTGATAAAAAATTTGTTACAAATATCATGATTTATGCTACAAATAAAATATAGGCAGTTGTATACATGAGATAAGCTGTTCTTTTGGCATCTCACACCTGAAACTACCACATCTTTGCTATAGGCCCTTGCATTGGTATAAAATGTGCCCAAAATATAAACACAGACCTAATGTTGCATAGAAAGGCCATGAAAAGTAATAATTTCAATCATATAGTTACCAAGCATTTTACAGAGTCTGTATACATTCCACACCTGACTTCCAACATTTCAGTTTGAATATTCTTCACCTCGTATTGTTTCAAGTAATATTCTGGATTATGCATATCTTGAATCATTCCTCTGAATCTGACTAACTGTTGATTTTTAAAGTTATCTAGAGGTTCGCTATTCAACATAGGAATTTCCGTTAAAGCATTTGCACTTTCTAGAACTACATTACAATCTGATTTGTTTGCTATATAATACTCAGGAGTCCAATCTGTTATTTTAACCGAGGCTGAAATACAACAAGCATTATCATTCTTATTATTATTATATGCGTTCCTAGATGAACGTTAAACTTTGTTGTTAAACCTTTTTGTAAGCTACTATTAAATTAATTATTAAGTACTCACATGTCATTGTATTTGCATGTACTGATATTTTAACATATACTTATAAACACAAATTGATGCGTAAGAAAATATCTGTAAATAACAAAATACAAATACGAAATATTCATCAACAATCGTGGAAAAAGCGCGCGAAAATGTACTCACACGAACATAATTGAAGTTCGGATCTTGGCAATTCAGAATTTACCCATAAACAAAGTATGTACGAGATGGCGTTTCTTTGTATAGATACTTACAATATACTACAGTAGCGCAGTCTAGTGTTGGCAATTGCAAGAGATATAAAATGAAACGTTTATTGTAAAAATATATTCATAATTAATTATAATTATTCCTTGATAGATATTACATAAAAAAATAATGATATGTACTTAATATCCAACGTTATAGAATACATAAATAATTTACAACTGGAAAGGAACTGCCATACAAAAAAAAATATATTACAATTAATACGTGTAAAACTAAATTTTCACGGATATATATATTGTATTATTTAATTCTAATCAGGTCTCCTGAAAGTTAAACATAATCTCCATCGATATCCATAGACTTTAAGTCTCTTTGTTTTAATTTCGCATATTCTCCTCTTATAAGAATATTCGAATCTATTGAAACTGTATTTGCAAACTCTTGTTCTGATAAGTATACGTTAGTTTTAATTAACGATGTATCAACTATACTGTTTTTAATTGGTGCTATATTTAATTTTTCTTTTGATTCACTTGTTAACTTTTCACTTGCATGTTCACTTCTTTTCGAACATTTTTCATGATCGTCTTTAACGGTGAAATTTTTTATCAAACTGTTATTGTTCTTATTCGAAATATCACTTATAACTTTGGTATTAGTTTCATCTACTTTAGTAACAATTTCTCGTTTCTCACGTTCATGATTCTCCAATATATCTCTATGAATCACTTGAACATTTTCCTGGGATTTATTTATTGATAAAACAAACGCACTATCCACATTTGACTGATTTCGTATTTGCAATGCAATGGGTAAAGAATATTCATGTTGCGATTCTTGATTTTCGATCTTTCCATTCGTTTTATCGTGTGAATTGAGAACTACATTGACTGAAATTCTTTTATTATTACGCACAGCTTTACCATTTTCATCATTAATTAATAATTCATTCGGAGAAATTGATTTTTGTGGAATTCGTTTTATCAAAGCATTCAAAATAGGACCCTGAGGCAATTCATTAGAATTACTTGGTCTCATTTTTAATTCCTTGATTTTCTTTTCAGTATTTACATCGTTATTAAACGTTGTATCATTTGTATCTTTAGTAAGAACAGAACTTTCATTTAAAACCATTGAAACGCTTTGTTTCTCTGTTACATTTTTCATTTTTACAGGAACGTGTAATTCCTTTTTACTTTTTAAAATTTTACTTCCAACATTTTCATTGTCCACGTCTTTAAACTGTTCATTTAATTTCATCCTCCCAGATTTTATGTCAGAAATTCTATTAGAGTTTATTTCTTTTTCTCTACCTAAAGATGTCTGCTTTTGTCTTTCATTATTACTATTCAAGTCTGTTAAATTTCTATTCATTTGTGGAACCACCAGATTTGGATTGGAAATTTTCAATTTTTCTTCATTTTCCTTAAGCTCTTGTGTATCTTTTATTATTCTTTGTTTTTGCCTTTCAATTTCTTGCTTTTGTTCCTTCAGATCTTTTAATATTTCTTTTTGTTCTTGCATCATTTGTAATTGTTCTTGTTTATGTTTTTCCAAAGTTTTTCTAAGTTTTTCGTGTCTCTCGGCAGCCATTATATTAACAACTTCTGCGTCTGCAGCTAACTCTGACTCCTCTTTTTTAATAGCATCCGAATTGATGAGATTATCAGTCTTTTGAATATCTATAAAATGCTGCTTTATTTCTACATTATTTTTTTCCGTTTTTAAAGGGATAGATCCTGCTGTAGATACAATATCATTTTTCATTAAATTCTCTGACTTTTTGTGAAAACTTTCATCTAATGTTTTTATTTCGCCTACTATGTTTTTAATCACTGGAGCAAAGGTAATTACAAAATTTTCAACAGGCTTTTGTGTTTCTACTGCTGCTTTTTCCGTGACAATTATGCGCTCAACTGGAATTGGTGGTTCTTGCCGTATATCGTTTGTCTTTAGATTCAACGATTTGTCAATAATGTTCAAGTCTGGTAATTGATCTTCATTTTCTGAAAATATTTAATATTATTATTACTACCACTCTATTACTTTTACTATTTTCACTATCACATAAATTAGATTTATTGAAACTAAGTACTTGGTACCTTTTATATTTGGAAGAAGTTCAGGTCTATTAGGAACATTTGCTACTCCATTAATGTCATCTTTGTTCAAACTTAATGGCAAATTATTAATTTGATTAAAAGGTTTACTTGTTGCTGTTAATACTTTTGTATTAGTAGATTCTTCTAGTGCATACAAATTTGCATATGTACTCAGGATCATGATGCATATACCAATAAATAAAATTACCTAAATATGTATTAAAAAGAAAAATTTTATAATAAATGACATAATAGTAATACAGTACATCTACTGATTTAATAACCTTACTTGCGCTAATAATCTTTCATTAGTATGTTTACTACTGATGGATATGAAAAATATTGCTGGAAATATCAAACATATCATTACTCCAATTGTAGATCCTACTAAACCAAGTACAAATTCGATATTTGGTATCAAAATGCCAGTAATTAGAGAAACAGTTACAATTGTAACGGTAAGACATCTAAATCTTGTTTCTGGTAAATAATTTATAGAAGGTTCATGAGTGTACACCTGTGAGAAATAACGAACATAAGAATTAAATAATACCATTAACTAACTACCATTAACTATGCAAACTATACAAACCCTGCGAAATAAAAGAGAATTTAAGCTTGCACGACATGGAAAAATGACTAGAGGAAAGCTAAATGCAATGGAAAACACAAATCCCATTTTAATCATTTCAGATGATAAGCTGGCTTCAAAACTCATCAGTATATTACCTATAAATTAAATATTGAATTAATAAGTTCCAAAAGAAAGAAAAAAATAATATATTTTCTAAAGATAAAATATTATAAATACCAGTAAAAGGTTGTGTACAAAATGCTATGTAACCAAAAAATCCAACGCATAGATATACACCAGTACATATATTTAATGCACCTCGTACAACTTCATTCATTTTTTCCAAAGATACATTTGGAATAGTTTCATATATTTCAAACAATTGAGTTTGACAGAATAAAGCCATAGAAAAGATGGGTACACACTGAAGTATACCAGATGGTCTCCAATAATATACATGCTCATACCAATCTCCTGCAAAAATATGCTGCATAGACTCTGCTACTATCTGTTGGCAAACAAGAAATATTTTATATTAATTTTGACAATTTTTTTATTTACAACAGAACTACCGTCAAACTATTTACCTTCAATATAAGACAAAGGTAGAAGATAATTGTAGCAGTACATAGACTGGATAAACTGTCGATATTTCTAAGTAATCCTAAAGGTAGAACTATGAAAACACTTGTTGTTACAAGTAGACTAGTTCTGATATCTTCTGGATTTTTATCTATTACTTTTCCCACAATTTGTGGACCTAAATCACCCATTACAACAAAAAAAGCAATACATGTTCCAACAAGGAAGCCAATGATAAATAGCTCCACTAAAAACTTTCCCATATGACCAAATGCATGGAAAGCAAGAAGTTCAAAATTTCGTCTTCTTGACATTACAGCTGATTTGATTAGAAAGTGGCAAGCAAGTCGAGATAAAATGCCGCTTAATATTAAAACCAAAGTAGCTAAAACAATACCACATTGCTTGAAGCAAAATGGCATAGCTAGAACGCTTACTCCAATAATGCTGTTTGCAAGGGTCATAATGTACGATAATTGTGACATCATTTTAATAACTATTATAATAAACAGTTTGTTCGAATGTGTACAATAAATTAAATAGATATAATGTAGATTAATCCCTTGGAATCTTCAAAACCTTTGTTCCAATTGATTGTCAGATTTTCCTTTTTTGAATTTATTTTTTCAATAAACAGCAATATTATGCTATGAAATAGAACCTTAAAAAATTCATAATAGTTATAAATAACAATCGTGTATTATGTTGAAAACATATACAGTATAAACTCTCATGACTATGAGGTTAGAATTATAATTTGGTTTCCATACCAGACTATTTATGTTACGTATAAGACGAAAAGTATAATTTATTATCATATCAAACGTATCAAAATCATAATTCAAGTATCACATTTTTGTTAAAATACATTTTTTACAGCGATAGTTGGAAGAAACCATCGACTGTTCTCTGCTGTTCCTTTGGTTTCTTAAAACTGTAACCATTTTGACTGAACAAAAAAACATAACAGTACTTTATCAGTTTCTATAACGAAAAAGTAAATGTATCAATACAAGCGATAAATTTCTTTATTTTTTTATTATAAATATTTAAAAACATTCGTGTTATTCATGTTTCGACATATATACATATATATATATATATATATATATATATATATGTATATATTTATATGTATATCGTACTTGATTTATCTCAAACCGACTTACACATACGCAATATTATATCGAATTTGTTTTTCGTCTTGTGGATAATTAATTACAGTAAAGGTAAATTATTAATTACAATTAGATAAATAGACACATTTCTCTTTCGATTAATTATTCGTCATTGTGAATTAGCCAAATTTATTCTGTTTTTAAAATGTTTTCGAGGTGCAAGAAGCTAAATTTTATGTACACAAAATTAATGTATGTATATTTACTCTCGTACAAATGTTTAAACTAACATAATGTTTATGAGATTTTTGTTTCCTATTTCTTTTTTTTGAACGAGAGTGTTTTTGCGACCTCAGTATATACAGATATAAATCGGCTCTGTCACATAATACGTAATTTTCAACTCTTTAACATTATCTTTCCTTAATTTATGATTAAAATTCTAGAGTTATGTTTGAATTCAATATGTTCATCAACCGTCCTAATTTTTTTCATACTTTCTTTGCTGATCATTCAAGGTTTCACGCATAAAATAAAATACTTTACATATGAAAAAGAATGTTGTTATTATTATTACTATCATTATTACTATTATTTAGTATTGCATGTAGAACTTCGTTTAAATCTGATTTTACGTTATATACAAGAATAAAAAAAAATTTGTGAATTTATAATACTTGCTTGTGGTACGATCATTTTTGTCATCTAACAAAATGTGTTTATTAAAGTTCAATCGAAATCATCGTAAGAAATAAGATAAAGATTTTGATCGTCCAAAATATTAGGACTTTGATATTTTTGCACGATTCATCAAAACGTGCTATCTATAAATGTGGGTATCTTGAAAACCTGTCCCTATGTTATGATCGCAATAGAAATTGTAAACAATTGTCATGAAATGTATAGTTTTCATCGGTACAGAGATCTTTTCTCAAAATATTTATTTATTTCGTTTGACTAGTTATACTTATCTGTTATAACTGAGCGTCAGGATTTTGACTCGATCATAAAATTCGACTAACTATTCAAGATATCGTTGATTAGATGGTGTTAAAAATATTTGAAGAATCAACTTCAGGAAATGTTTGAAAATTTAACGAGATAATTAAAGGTGTAGAGCGTTTGCGATGTCCATTACACGCTTATACGTGTACGTGATATAATAATGTCGCGTGCCACGAATTCAATCGAAGTATACTGACTATTTTATCGAAGTACATGCTTTTAAACAAAATAATAATAATGTCAATGATAATTTAGAATCGTATACCGAGTTCGAGGCAGCGAACATCTGTACATCATATGTTTTGCTTTTTCTTTTTCTTTTACTTAAGTTACCTACACTTATTTATACTTGATTTAAATAAAGACTTGTTCCAATTTTTCAAATATTCCAAAAGAAAAACCATTTATCAGGGATTCGCTCCAGCATCCTTCTTTGTTTCTTCGTTCGTGGCATTTGCTTTTTCATCTTTCTCATTTTCTGTAAAATATTACTTGTTATACAAATAATAAGAAAAAACAAAAGTATGTTTAAGAAATAAAAAGAAATTAAATTTACATACCTTTAGGCTCCGATTTTATATCTTCTTCTTTTTTGAGATCACCTTCTATACCTTCTTGTCCTTTTTCTAAACGAGGTCGTTTTCTGGAACCCTTTTAGTAAAAAAAAAAAAAAAGGAATTGTGATTTAAATATAAAAGTATTTAACACAGATGTAACATTGTACCTGTCAGGTAAAATGAAATTATGAAATAATAAAATGTTGATACAATTTACAAACGCAATAAATATTACCTTGAATGACCTATTATCCCTTCTACCGCCTTCTCCTTCTTCTTCACTATCACTATATTCATTTTCATGCTGTATCCTTTTATCTAAATCTCGTTGTGGTAATCTTTCATCCGGATTTACTTTTTCCTCGGCCTCTGAATCTTCGATAACCGCTCCATCTTCAGGAATGGGTTGAACTTGTACACCCGGAGCATGAGGTAACATTCTCAAATTTTCAAACAATCTAGTCCTATAAAGAATATCGAATACATGGAACGGGATGTAATTAGAAATATTCAGTTATTTAACTTTGTTGGTAATACATACTTAATTTTCTCAAGGTATTCAGGTGTATTTTGATTTGCCATATTTGAAGGACTAATATGCAATTTAAAATCAGGTCCAAAATACTCGAAATAATCATTATAAGGTAATTCATTTGCAATCTCAGAACCAAGGGCTACCGATGTTTCATATGTCCAACATCTGGATACATTTCTGATTGTATATCCGCCGCCACCAACCATTAGAAAAGGTAGATTATATTTTTTTACAAATTCAACACATTTTCCATGACCTCTCACTGTTAAATTAAAACAGCCTAATCTATCTCCTACAAATAACATGTTAAATTAAAACGTTGCAAATTATTTCATTTCTTTGCCCTGATCTTTATGTATGAATTAATTACTGCTATATGTATATGCATAAATCTGTACCTGTCAGTGAATCAGCACCACATTGTAGAACAACTGCAGATGGCTGAAAGGTTTCCATTACTTTTGAAATTATAGGTACAAATATAGATTCATAACTTTCGTCATCCATACCATCTCTCAATGGTATATTAACAGCATAATACTTTCCCTATATTGAAATATCATAAATTAATGTATAAGATTGAAATGCAGTTGATCAGACATCTTACCAGCCAAGTTCTTACCTTTCCTGCACCAATGTCCCGTAAATCTCCGGTACCAGGAAAATATTCACCATATTTATGAAAGGAAACAGTCATTACTCTATCAGTGGTATAAAAAGCTTCTTCTACACCATCACCATGATGAACATCAATATCAATATATAGGACTCTTTGATGATATTTGAGCAATTCCAATATTCCTAACACAATGTCATTCACATAACAAAAACCTGAAGCTTCACTTTTTTTGGCATGATGCAAACCACCACCCCAGTTTATACAAATTTCTGAGGCTTGTTTGTTCAGTTTTACAGCAGCAGCTACAGAACCTCCAGCTGATAATTGACAAAATTCATATAATCCATCAAAAACAGGGCAATCCTCTCCTACATTAACTAGAAAGACAGTTAAATTTTATTAGACCTTTTAAATATAATACTCTTATATTTTTATTATGGATAGAAATATTAATTTTATAGCCTTACATCGTTGCATCTGCTTATTATATTCTGACATATTATCAGGCCTTATCGACCTCAGAAACCTAATGTATTCATCACTGTGAAATTTTGTCATTTCATCTGCAGTGGCTTTATGTGGTCGCTAAATATTGAAAAAAGAAAAAAAAAAAACATTAAATCTTACAAGACATTATAAGAAAAGAAATAAAAACATATTACTAAATTAGGTCCTTACATATATTTCCATTTTCCTATAAAGACCATAATTTAAGAGTAAATTATGTGTCATCCTTATGCGATGTGGCTTCATTGGATGCCCTTGTCCATAATAATAATTTCCAATATCACCTAAAGCATAATTTTTGTTCCTTTATTTGCTCTAGGATATCATAAAAATGTACGAAAAAACAGAATAACAAAAGTATGCGGTGTGAATTCGTAACATTTCTAAAAAAAATAATTCAAAACTTAAACTGAAAATGTATTGCAATAGCAATGTAGTACGGTCGACCGAAATATACCTGAAAATCTTTCGTACATTTCATGAAAAAATAAGCACATCAATGATACCGAAAACTGAAATGTCATTTTTGTTAAACGATTTGTAGACAATTTTAAGCAAAATCATAAATTCATATAATTGCGATAATTTGAACTATACATTTTTTACGCTTTTAAATATATTTTCATAACCTACAATTAGTTTACTTTGTTTGAAACGATCGACCATACTACAAGACTATAATTATAATATTAACGAATAACACTGACTTTAGTTATAACATAAAATTGTATTTATAATTGGTAATTCTATTGTAACAAAGTTAAGGAGTAGGAATCATTAGATTTTGACATATCAGGTATCAAGGCTTACTACAGATATTTAAATACAAGGAAGGCAAAAAAATATACTGTTTTTCTAGAATAATGACTTGAAAAGAAATAAAAAAAAAAAAGAAAACACAAAAATAAGATATCGAGTGTTAAATGAATGGCAACTGTTTGGGTATATAAGTAAGGTAAAGCCGACGCTTTCTCTTCGTTGAAGTAAGGTAACATGGAGATACACTTATGAATCTCTCGCTTTAACGCATGTAAAACCATGCAAAAACCTGTAAAGGATGCCAGAAATAATAAATACAGTAAAGAAACTGTATGCATTTTAAAGATTTTCAATATTAAAAAAACTTCTTGGAGTGAAAATGCATTGAAAGGCATTAGCTGAGGTGAAATAAGTATATCGTACATGATATAAGCGCGAATAGCACAAACACATTTTGACAATTTCTCCGTGTGTGTGCGATGTTTTCGCGGGATTACAATACACCACGAAGATTTAAAATTTTTTCACTTACTGTCGTAATAGTAGCAGACACGCTTCTTGCTATGTGGTAACGTTGACATTTTCACCGATTTCTTTCTATTGAACTGTAAAATATTTGATATGAATCAAACGCGAACCGCGGAGTGTCGCGGTATCCAGCGACAGGACACAGCGTCACTAGATCTCTCATTTACGCATGCGCAATATTCCATAATTTAGGTTTCAAATCTATCGTATAGATGCCGCTCTACTTCAAAATGAACTTAACCATAAAATAAATAATACCCAGAATAGATGCGTTGCTGTTAAAAAATAAATTAAAACATTGAATTCGTTTAATTAAAAATAGTAATGTATCCCTATATTATAAATGATAATGAGAATCATTCTGGAATAATAACTGTTTCATACATTTATAAAACAAGTACATATGTACATAGTATTTATATTTTACTATGTTTCTTCAAGAATTATACAAATTATTCGTTCGAGACAACATACTTGTTTTGCGCAGATCAGAGAAGCCGTGTACTCTTACTTCTAGCTTCGTGGCACTTCGTGGTCATATACATACACAGTGGAGAAAAATATATGAGCAGAGGAAGCAAGTGATAACGTCGAAGGTCGAAGAGTATACTGACAATGAATATAAGATCACCCGGTGCCACAATGCGCTTGCGCAGATGAAACATGTAATTTTTTGAATTATAATATTTACCTATACTGAAGAAATTTAAGATAAATATAGAAAGAAATCTTTTATTTTGAAGCCTTATGCACAATTTTATTCTACAGTTGTGAGCGTAAACAAAATAACGTTGCTTTAAAGTTATCCATGATCATAGATTAAAGAAATCTGTGAACAAAGCTATTAAATTTATGAGTTGCTAAAAATTGAGTACACAGCAGATCGTAATAAATTTTCACTTGGAAAATGTACATTACGTTAATGTTAAAAAGAAAAAGTAACGTATCAAAAGAATCGTTTCTTATTTTAAACAGAATGTAGAAAAAAAGAATTTTTATTCGATTCGTTGAATACAACAGAATCGATTTTGGCAGTATAATTTTCATCATCCCGAATTAATCGCTTAATCAATTACTAAATTTATTTATATACTTGTGAAATATTAAAAATTTTGATGATATCGATGTCGAATGAGTAGGTACGATAAATGTATCAAGCAATGTAGCTTCTTCCTTCTTATAACACGTATAATCTACAGCTGCCGTTTTTGTTGCTGTTTCATCAGTTTTTTTCTCTCTCAATTTTTCAATTCGTTTTCGTAAACGCATATTTAACAAATGTACAATTTGCTTATATTTTTAAAGAAAAGATAATTTCACTCTCTTTCTGTCTTGAAATTTAGAGATATTTCAACAAATCATAACTTTGTTTGACATGTTCCGTTTTAAAAATAAGTTTCGTTACAGTTTCTGCTTTCTTGCTATACGAGAATCACAAAGTAGAAAAATACATACGCAAAAGATGCGTATGGAATATATAAAAAGTGATGAAATATTTATAAAAATGCATACATGGAAAGAAATTTCGATGATCGCATGAAATAAATGTAATCATTAAAAAGAAAAAGGAAAAGACTAAGATTTGTCTAAATGAGAAAAAAAAAGTGGCCTAGAATAGCTGCCAAATAAGGAAGAAACAAAGATAGCAGACGCTATGAAAATTTGTATAAATCTTTTACAGTAGAAACATATGATCGTTTCATGATCGCAGTTACAATGTAAAAAGCGAGAAATTATTATATTTTATCGATGTAACATACGAGTGAAAAGTCAACGCTCGATACGCTTCGATAAATGTCAGTTTTGTTGCGTGATAAAAATACAATTTCCTTTATACACTTTAAATACAATATGTAGAAAGGAAAATAATGACAATTTAAAGTTGCTTTTGCAAAGCGAATATCGCAGTGACCAAAAAGTGAGTTCTGCCATTTTCAAGAAACGTAAATTGTCTGGGCAATATTTCAATTCACCGTAAATTCTGCGTTCTTCATATTATTATTATTATTATAATTATTATTAAAAATTAAGCCTGTATTCCTTAGCGTGCAACATTTGAAAGAACACAAAAATATCCGTAGCTCGTCGTTGCTGAAACAAGTACGTTCGATCAGGATATCTCTCGAAGAGGATAAAATGGATCTAGAAGTCTGTGTAACTTTGGAACTCGATTCGAACCGGAATATCGATCATGATTGATCGTAATACGCGTTAAGAAGAGTATCTTTAAGTTGACCGCATTAAAGATACTCTTTCGAAGACACGACCTTTTGTTTAAAGGAAGAGTAACATTTTTGAAAGGTTACTCTTTGGCAATCGGATGAGGTGCGCGTATACCACCATAGACGCATTCGGTTTGGATACGACATACGTCGTTCGTCTGTTCGTTTATCGGGTTTCGCGCGTACATCTTTGTCGCTTTTCTTATTTTCTAAGAGGCTAGGAAAGTTGCGCCGAAGCTCTCACAGGGAAAAAAACTTCAAAAAAGTTTGCGGAGGAATCGGAACATGGAGGGAGGCTCGATCGACGTCTGCTAATTTCTCCTGAAACGCTGGATCTTGGTCCGCGATGCAGGGATGGCCCAACGATCGCCAGAACAGGCAACGACAGTTGCGACACAATTGAATCATCTCTGCGTATTCTTCTCGCAGACCAAACGATCTGTAAGCATTTCCATCAAATTCTGTTGTGTTACGTTATGTATTCAACAGAACACGTACCTTCGAGCAATAGTGAATATGGTTTTCCAGTCTTTCCCAGGATTGTTTTGTCTAGTGGTAGCTATTTGTTGTGGAGTAAAATGATATTGAGCGAGTTCGCGCCATATTCTTTGTTCTTGAGCGAGAATGGCGAGATGTTCGCAAGCCTCCGAAGAAGCTTCGATATCTCGTGGATCGCTCAGACGAAGAAGTACTTCTCGACGACATTCGGCTGGTAAATCCGACCACTGCGGTTGCTGTTCTTCGTCTGGCTAAAAATAACAACAATTCGTTGAGTTATCATTATTTAGGTTTCGTTTTTGTTTTCTTTCTATTTACCTGAGTTATAGTGATAGACGAGGCAATTTGCAAGATTCTTTCGAGGGCGGCTTTGTGCTTTTCCCATAAAATTACAGAACCTAAAGGTCTACCACCCCAACAACAGCCCGCGCTAAAAGCTCGCACCCTTTCGATCAGACGACGAAGCCTTCCGGTTTGTTGTTGCGATAACGATACTGCAAGATTGACGGTACGCAAATACGATGAAAACGTTTCGAAGGCTGAAAATGATCGATTTAAATCGTAGTTTACCTTCTAACGCGACTTCTTCCAGCATATTGAAAAGGACCCGCTGAGCGCATCCACTTAGTCCACCCATTCTGTGACTGACCAGAAGATCCAACAGTCGTACGATATAATTGAAACGACGACAATCGTGTACCGCGGACAAAAAGTCAAGCCTTTTCAGCGCATCGCTCAATCCGTTGAAACCAGCGATCTACGAATTTAAACAGACATTACGTCGCGATCCTTTCTCTTTTCACTTGTCGTTTAATCCCTGGATTTCAAGCATAAGAATAGCGATCCAATGAAAGGGAAAATTGAGCAGACGCTGTTGCCCTTCGCCCATCGCCCGCCGTCACCTTCTTCCTCGGTCTCTTTCCATATCTCCGCAAGCCGTGTGCCGCAAGCCGCAAGTCGCAAGTCGCCGTTTCACTGCACTTTTCCTTCGTCTTTCGATTAGCTCTCTCCTTTCTTCGTTTTCGATCCATACGCGACAGACGCGTCGTATGTACGACCTTCTTAACGAACAAATTCTATTCCTCCCCTGTTTCACCACCAGGCCTGGGTTAAATATAAACAGCGACGGAACAAGTCACTCACCTCGCGTGTACACTTTAGCGTGATGCGGCAATGCGGCTGGACGATGCTTTCTAAAATTACACGAAAAGAAAGTTAGTCGAAAATTTCCAGTAAATTAATCCACCCTCTCTTCCAATTAAAGAAAGAAAAAGAAAAAGAAAAAGAAAAATAAAAATGCTCCGCGAATGCGTCCACACCATATAAAGGCTTGATAAATCAACGATCACGCTCACCTTTCTTTTTATCCTTTTCCTTTTTGTCGAGCGCATCTTTATCGCCGCTGCAAAATAAACAAAATCAAGTAATTACATACCAAGTATTCTAATTTTTCCAATTCAACGCGTTCTTCATATTTAACAAGGTAACGATTTCAGAACAGAACATTTGATGACCTTGATCGAAAACCTGATCTCTCAAAGGAGATGCACCTACGTATTCAGATACGACCTATGCCCACGTGCTTGCTTCACTCTGTGTATCGTGCACGAGTCAATGACACTCCTATAACCGAGTTTTATTGTTCGCGATCAACGGAAAGAAACGATACGCGTGGGTGTTTAAACCTGATTTTAAAAGCACTACGGACAAGTGCATTGTCATTTCTTTGAAATTCTTTCGAAACACCAATCTGAAGTAATTTCTTGGATAAACATTATTTAAACATTTTTCTATGAAAACGAAATGAGACCAGAAAAGTTGGCGATACGAAAGGAGATTTGCAAAATTGGTTCACCCTCTTAGATTAGCTAGGTCACGACCTACTTCTACACAGACGCGGTTGTATCGATACTATTCATTCTCTTTGATACATTTAACAAAGTAGGTAACGTCGAACGATAAAATGAAAAATATCATACGCGGGAATAAAGGATCATTCCGAACATTTTCTATTCTTCTTATTGTTTTCTATTCGACGACGATAAACGCAACACCGATTCGTCATTGTATGTATGTAATCAAGTTCAAGGCACATTGTGCGACTTAAAAATATGCTTTGAGCGAATTTATGAAGCTGTTGATTGAAGCGAAACTGTGCGATTCAGAAGCCAAGGTCAACGGACACGTAACAGCTACTAACTACGGGTAAACTCTACTTACATACTTACACGGATCAAACGCGGAATCGAATACAAGTTTCCTTCGTATTATATTTTTCATTATAATAAAATATCAAGAAGAAGAGATATATTTTGTTCGCCAGATGCAAGTAACGTTTACATATTTTTTATTCGAGTCTCGAGTATTTAAGTACCTGTCAGGGGAACGCGCAAAGTATGTTCGCGTGTGCGCATTACGTACGACGTACAGTACACGCGTATGTAGTAACAAGCAAGCACAGTATGTATCTACCGTTAATTGAAAACGCAACGAGTCGCATCGTGGAAAGCAGAAAAATTGAAAACAATTTCTTTCTCATTCTGTTATACAATAGAGAAGCGAGCTAAGAAAATAGACAGAATCTGTTTTTATTAGTATTGCATTTCTGCGTACATACATATGGATGTATATCTACTTCCCCCTTTGTACTCGAGTTAAAATATTTGAACAATCGATATATGTACATAGTGAATCGACACATTTTACGTGTGCAACGCATACAAATCCTTCAGAATAACGCGTATTAAGCAAGAATGATATTAAATTTTGTCTAATTATAAACGCAAAAGATACGGTAGTGGTCAGACTTACGATTGTAAACAAATTAACAACTGTCATTCGACTGATGTAACATCTGCGAGGCAGACAGTACGTCCGAGAGCAACTAATCGTATCTGATGCTGTTTGAAAACAAAGAACAACTTGGAATACAGAAAACAGATCAAAGAACAAAAGTCGATAATTGTACTTACCGAAGCAGGAGAGAAAGCGTTTTATTGTTGGCGCACTCGAGGATTTTCTTCTTTTCCCAACCTTCAACGGTCTTGACCCATTCCTCGCCAGGGCTACGCCAATCTTTCGATATGAACGGCATTGTCTGCGAGAAAGATGCGAGACGGGTGTACTCGCGCACGCAAATTTTATCTTCCCCTAAGAAATCTTGTATAAAATGTACCTCACGGTTTCACGGACGCCTAATGTTTGTTAGCAAGACGGTTCGGTCCGTTCGGTTTACTTCGCGGCTGCGATCGACCGCGCATGGCTTTGTTTTACTGACGTCACTCTAATATCAGCTGTGCGACTGATCGGCCAGTTCACTCCAGTCCAGAATACTGTTTCGCCATCTTGCAATTTTTACATCGCGCATGCGCAGTCGATTACTATCAATTAAGCGTAATATTCAAATTCATCAAATTATTATTATTATATACATTTCTTTCATTTACGACATTGCTACTCTACTTTTATTCAACGAATGGAGTATATTCGTAAATATTTTTTATTGGTAACGCACCAATTCGAGCGGTACAAACATTTCACGCGATAGTTACGTTTCAATCGTACAAAGATATTAAAGATATTATACACAAATGTATATACAGAAATATTTTTTACATTATATTCATATCGTTCATTTGTTTATCTATATGAGAAACAATATTTGCGGACACTGATTCCTCTTCCTCCTCTTCTGTTTCTGAATCGGTTGGTGGGAAATCTGAAACAGCTGGGAAACAAATAGATATTATAACGTTAATGAAATAAACTAATACATCTACAATATGCGTGTAGCAAAGAACGAAAATTACCATTTCTGTTTATCTTTTCCTGCCTTGCTTCTACAAGGAATTTTTCTTGCGCGGCTATAATTTCTTCAGCGCTCGTACAAACAGAATATTTCTTCAATAACTCTTCGTTTAATTCCAAAAACGAATGACCCCATGAAAATTTTCCAAGATAAAATTTTGCTTCTTCGACGAAACCTGTTATAATTAAAGCAGCAGCTATTGCTTCCACGCAACTTAATTGACACGGCCTGCCATAATTTATTGGATTTGCAGCAACTAGAAATGGTAACAGACGAGGATTAGGAGTCCTCATTCTACTGAATGGAGTATCGTCTAAACGTGCCCAACTGCAATCGACCACTGCACAACCGTAATCTTGTATAATATCGCGATCCGTTGGACTTACACACTGCAATATAATATTTCACTTTGGAATATAACCGATCAGTCTGTTTCATAAACTGTATACATACATAAGTATTACGTGTTTCTTACCTTTTGACCAACCGGCGTAAGAACCAGTCCTGAAAATCGGCTTCCTAACCGGAGTATTTTCACTAAGCCATGCCTAACTAGTTTTCTACCGGAACATTTTTTAGGATCGCATTGCTCAAGATCCCACATTGCAATTGGAAAAGAAAGAGAATGAACCTTTTCTTCTTCTACCTCTGAAAATTACATGTTAAACATTCTTTTTTTTTTTCTAAACACAAGTATATAATCAAAGGTTACATTCTAACCTGTTCCCTCATCTTCCTTGTCAGACTTATCTCTTTCTTGCCGATATTTTTCTTCTTTTCCAACGACATGCCGAGGCCGTCTCGTCAATACTTTCTTTTTATTCTTTTTTCCGTGAGAAGACATTTACGAAACTTCAAAATGTTTCGTAATAAGACTTCTCGCTACAGTATACAATGATATACAAGCACATTCAATAAAAGTTGAGAACATTATGAACGTCTTTGATGGCGTATCTGAAATTAGATCCCAGCGCCATCTATACAAAAACGGCAGAAACTACTCGACAACTTACCGACCGCATTTCCGAAAACTCAAATTAACAGTCGATAAGTTATCGCGCCGATAGCGTTAGTGTTCCCTTGTTTCAGCGGTTTCAGCCGTTTCTGCATAGATGGCGATAGGATCGAATTTTAAAAATACTTGGCGGTCTTTTTAAATTACAAATTTGTCAAACAATTATTTTAATAATTTTTCAAAGGGTTAAGAATCAAAGAATCAAAAGAAATATTACGTCCCACTTTTAGTCGCCTCTTACGACAGGCAGGGGTTACCGTGGCCGTATTCTGATTCCCGAGCCACAGGGATAGGAGTCAAAATTGTATCTTTTTAGTTGTAAGTGCGTGGTGTAGTAGAAAAGTGACTGGTATAACCATAGACATATGAAAATTTTCATATGTCTATGGGTATAACAGGCACACGATCGTTATATCAACTATATATATGTATATGGGGGTGTTTGACAATGAGTCTCTTAAAATCATAATTCTTCAAGAACAAAGCATGTCCAGTGTCCAGTCTTTTTGTATCGGAATTGGTTAATATAAGTAAATACTATATAGTTCGAACATATCGATAATTGCAACGTATATACATATGTATATTATATGCGCATGCACCGTGTAAGTAAATACTTACTTACATATGTACACCGTATGCTACAATGTGCGCGCGAATATTTATTAATTAAAAATTATATTGTTAACACGAATATCGTTAAAATTAAGATTTTTAGAATTCCTATTTCTCTTGTAACATCACTTTTTCTAAGGAAGCCTACTTTCCACAATACTATATTATAGAGCTTCTCGTTTGTCTTTATTTGTAATTAATATATTGTTTGCAACTATGAATATTACATTAAATATACGTGTAATTGCTATCGAATAAAATTTATAAGAACTATACGTGGTATTAATTACATGTTGCGTGTTGCATGTTACATTTTGTAATAGTGGCACTGCATCAGACGGCCCTGAAGTACTAGTGTTGGTAACAAGTGGCTGTTCTATTCTCAATCGCTCTGCGGAGCACAAATCGTTTAGAGACCGATGATTCTTTAAACATGCGTTTAAAGACATTTTGATTTGCATAGAGATGCTTTATTTATTGCACTGTCACTCTTAAGTTCAAGGTGGGTGTGAATATATTGCGTTCCACGCGTTTTATCGCTTCAATAAGTACACATTGCTGAAATTATACATTTTTGTAATCGTGTATAAAAACAATGAGTACTTAATGCGTATTTCTAATATAATTGAATGTCCCTAATTTTTATTTAATTTCAACAGTATTATACTATTTATGCTGTCTGAAGGATATGGATCCAGGTATTTTATTAAAGAAAATAGATCATTATCACATTTGTAGTATCTTGTACATTTACTAGTAATCAATTATTTGTCATCAATATTATTTGTCAAATATCAGTTAGGTTGAATTGTTTTTACAAATTGCTCAAAATGATTTATAAATTTCATCATTTGTACAATTGTGTCATTTGTGTAACACAAATTTTTCAAAATACATAGTGATCGATGTGTATGTAAATATGTTAATCGTATATAAGTGTATTACAAAATAGTTTGTTTTAAACAGGTTATAAGGTTTACCAATTTTTTATATTGTTGTTTTTTCCATTTTACTAGAAAACAAAAGCAAAGATACAGTTGTTAAAGTAACAGATTGGTTACGTGGAATTTGGGAGATGAGGCGTCAAAATGGTCCGGTTCAACAATGGATAGATTCCATACCGTCACCTATAAAATCAAGCTTCTCAATAAAAAATGAACATCAAAGGGAACTAACTGAAAAGCCTAGTATTTCACTGTTACAAACAGAGCCTAAAGATATTCCATGTTTTAAAGGAACAAAACAGCCAAGTATGACTGTTTCAGCACCTATAAATGTTCCTAGTACAACATCAACGAATAATGCAACAGGCCTACCAAGGTATTCAATGAAAAAGAAAAAAAAAAGAAAATATAATTTCCATAATATAATTGTATTTGGATAATTTTTCATTCATAGCTCATTACCTCATAAGCTGATGCGTGATCCTAGTTTACAATCTGACAGTAGTCACTGCAGTAGCGTAGAAAGTTTACTAGAATTAAGAAAGGCAGATCCAGAAGCAATTTTACTTGGACTTGGATTTGGTGGTTGCTCAAATAGCCCACAAGAAAATGGTTCTTTTTCTCGAATACCAAAAAGATTTTTACAACCATCAAAATTGAAAGGAATAGCTATCAATGATTTTATGAAGCAACAACAAGAAACTAGCGAATCCTTTGATTCTGTATCATTAGGATATAGAGGTTTAACAGGTAAAATATTTATGAGAAATTAATTAATTAATTAATTAATAGCCAAAGTAGATACATAATAGAAAATTAAATGAAAAAACTATAATTTAATAGTTCTGGCATTTAACAGTAAACAGTTAGAATGAAGAACTGTAAATAAAATGCTATAAATTGAGTAAGTCTGTTATACAAATGGTAATTTTATAGGAAGCAATGGCACATTATCTGTGTCTAAACTTATACCACATCGCAGACATTCTGGACCAATTAATGTTGTAAGTCTTGTGACTGTTAGGCTTTTTCAGTGACATTTCTTTTTATTTGCAGAATCGAAATTTGAAGTTTGTAATGTGTTGTACGAAATACAAACTATTTATTTTAATCGTTTTTCTATTATGTTCAAGCATCTGTGCTTACGAACTTTCCCAAGTATTTTGTTCATTATAAATAGTAAGAGAATGTAACATGCATGAAATAAGTGTTACATTACTAATCACAGAAGTACTTATTGTGAGAATGAGTTTTTAATTCTTATTTATTTTGTATTAAATAATCACGGTAATATTTGAAATTTTGTTATATTAACAACAACATTGACAAAACTGTTTCCTTTTGTTTTTGTTTTTTTTGTTTTCTTAATTTTTAATACGTACGCTATAAATTATATGTAGAGTTCTTATAATTTGCATCTTTGTTGTTAACAATATACACGTATTGTTTTAGTTATTATCGCTTCTCTAAATGTTATATACTTATTGTTATTGCCATTATTATGTAGCATGTAACAGTTTATATTACTATATTTAATTGCTGGAAAACATTGAATAACTTATTTCTTTTATTTCAAAGGATCGCCGTACGTAGCGCCCTCGGAAATTGTACAAAAAATTGTACAGCGCTTACGGGAACATGAAAGTCATGAACACGATCCGTATGCAACATATAATTCTTATGAACAGTATAGTCCGTTACAGTGTAATGGTACACTGTCTGTACTGTCTCCTGATAACAGACAATTTTTGGAACGACCGCGTTCAAAAAGTCCTGATATGCGTAATAAGCGTATGATTATTGGTAAGAATTCATTATTTTTATATTTATTCCTTCAAGTATTTTATAAACACGTTGTTTAGCACTATGTTGTTATTTGAAAATTTTAATATTTTAGGACAGAAGTCATTTGCGTTCGGGCACGATGGTGATCTAATCGAAATTGACCCTTCTGATGCAAATAGGTCGCCTCGAGATGACTCAAACGATTCTAATACTATAAAAAATTCGGAAACATCCGATGATTTACAAAACAGCGATACTAATCACTGCAAAATCACAGAAACAGAGAAAGTAATACCAAAGCGATTATTGTTCGAGGATAGTATTGAATTTGATAACATCGATATCGATTCGTCGATACAAACATATAAAGAGAATTCAAATACGCAAAATACAAACTTTGATGAAAATACTGATTGTAAAGAAGATGTATCTTTAAACGTAACTTCATACAATTTGAGTGATATCCGAAGGGCCAGCTCTGGATCTTGCGATACAAAGATAGAAAAGGTTTCATTGACAGTACAAAGAAGAAGATACAGCGACGGCTTCGTTCAAACTACCGAAAATACTAACGAAACTAATCTGATACGAAAAAGAAAAACTTTGAAACGACAGACTAGAATAAGTGATACGGATACGACAACAGATTATTATGATTCAAAAGCGTCTATTCCTGATACTATACAACACAAAGAATTAGAATGTAACTTGCATAAAAAAACTGATGCTTCTGAGCACAATGAAAGTATTCGGATAAAATTAACGGAAAATATCAATGAAAATGTAAACGTAAAAGCTGAAAATGAAAATGAAAATCGCATTATAAAATGTTCTTCACATATATTTTCCGAAGATACGAGTAACTGTATACAATCTGATAGTAGCAGTAGTAGTTTAATTAAAAGAGAACGGCAACAAGATAACAATGAATGTTGTGTTGAGAAGAACCGGTCTGTAAATCAAGAGGAAGAAACAACTTGTTGTTGTCATACTGGTACTAAAAAATATTGGAAAAAGATGGAGAAAATTATTCAAGAAAATAAGAACTTGGAAAGTATGGTAGCAAAAAATAGGAGAGAAATGCGAGAAATTCGAGAAATGTTAAGCAGCGTGTTATCCGTACGATTAGAACCTGGTTTTTAATTTGGATGTAGCAATATAGTATATCACGTAAAAAGGATTACTCGTGAAAAGTAACAATAATTGAGCATTAAAGTTTTATGATATATGTAAAACTTTTAAATTTGTTACAGCAGAATACATATCTACAATTATTTGTTGTATACTCGCGTTCCAGATAAATAATTGCTCTACATATATGTATAACGGAAACGATTCACAAAATTATCTCAGGAAGTGATAAGTACCATAAAAGATATTGATGCCAATATTTTATATACCATATATAAACATCTTTATTTATAACAGAGCTATAATTCGTTCAATGAGAGATCATACTCTTACTTTTAACTTTGTGGCACTTCGTGATCATTTACACAGCGGACAAAGATATATTCGAATAGAGGAAACAAGTGATAACGTCGAAGGTCGAAGCGTATACTGAATGCATATATACGTATAAGACCTCTGCCACTATGCGCTTGCGCAGACGAGTATAGTCTTTTCTTGAACGAATATTTTTATGATTTAAATTATGAATAAAGATGTAAATGTTTTGTTAGAATTTCAAATTTTATTTTTCATCGAATATGAATAAGATCTATAGAATGTTCTATATTTGATATAACATTTATGATTAATGTATATTTGTTTCTATTATCACAAGTAATTGTAATATTTCGTTATGTTTGAAAATTATTATTATTATTATTATTATCTATTTGTTACTTTCACAACATATTTTATATTTGCCTTGAATGTTGAATTTTCTACCTTAATGTTACGTTAACATTTGAATAACTTTATGTCTGTTTAATTTTGTGTAATATATATGAATACGTTAGAATTCTAAGCGCAATTAAAATATTGTTTTGTAATTTTGCATTTCATAAATAATGGTACACTAAAAATAATGGCAGTTACAGAGATATCTACATATTGTCAGGACAGAAAGTTGGAAATCTAGTCTAAAACAAGCTTTCACAGTAGCAATGGAGTTTCAGCAATATTACTGTTTCTTGATTGGTATCTATAAATACGTACGACCTAATTACTTACTGATATTTCACACTGTTTTGTGCGATATTTATGAAGTGTTTAATATATTTTAGACATAAATGAAAGATGAAAATATGATTGAATCAATACATTGATAGTATTTTCAAGTTTGCTTTGGATGAAAAGCAAAAAGATCTGTTTTATCGTATTTTAACGTTTGTACTTTTTACTTTTAAAGGCATATGCTCTAAAAAGATGTAATGATCTTTGAAATTTACGACCAAGAATAAAAAGAAAATATAATTTTGTATAAAATCAACTATTTTTAATGCTCAAATATGTATATACTCTTCTTACTATTACTATGAATTAAATAATTTTATCGGAGTTGTTGATATTTCTAACAGAAACTTTTTCCGACAAAATTATAGATAATTATTATAAGAATTTTATTTGGACTCGTTATTGATTAAGAGTGAATTTAAAAACTTTTAAGATGTTACCAAAACTTTATGTAACAAAATTCTTACACTTATTCGTTTGTTGCTTTTTTCCTTTCAACATATCATTTAATATTAACATGTTAAAATTTGTAATACAAATTGTAATTCACAGTATGCGCCCACATTCCAATAAATTTAAGTTTTACAAACAGGAGAGGAGCTCTGTAAAAAATCTGTACAAATAATATAGGAATAATGAATAAACAATTAACACGATTAGTTTTTACTCTTTTTTTTTTCTTTTTTTCATGTACGTGAACCATATTTTTATCCATAAAGCTAGATCGAAATAACATACCACTGAACATGAATTATGACAGCACAATTGATTTCTTACTCATATTGTTATCAACACAAATCGAGTATACATAATGTTTATAGCTACGAAACATTTGGAAAATTTAAATACAAAATTAAAAACAATATGATTTTTTAAACGAATTTACACGACAATAGGAACACAAAACCACAACGGTAACTGACACTGTGATTTGTTTTCTACACCTAACATTCTGTCTTGATGATGGAAAGTAACACGAAATTTTAGTTATCGAAAGAGTTTCTTTATCAGAAAATATCAAATAATAAAATGAATCTTATGTTGCATTGCAAGAATAGAGAATTATTTAAAATAAAAGATTTAGAATTTTGCCGAGTTTATAAAATATGAAATACAAAATGTGAGTGGATGTTGCTTAAGAAATTGGATAATCATGCAGATTTATAGGTAGCTTTACTATTAATCCTTTTGCTTTTAATGCCGGTATCCGCAAGTCGGACTACGGGTACACACTTTAACATCATGATTGATATTTTTTCAACAAAGTGAACAACATTATACAACATATCGAAGAAGGAGAAAATTAAACTTTGAATAGGAATAAATTTGATATAAAGTCATTCAAAGTCAACTGTATGGCAGCATACGTACTACGTATCATTATAATTATTATTACTATTTGCGCCAAATTTAATACAAGTAGAAACAGACAATACCAAGATATTAGAAAGTCATAAAAACCATATTGTAGCGTTATTGTTCCGCGAGTGGATAGATAAGCAACGAATGCTACCGTAGCGAAAGGATTAATTCAACTGTTATCAAGTATTTGACAAAACCACCAATTATTTGCAAAGCTACCCCCGTTATTAATGAACTGAGATTCATGGTCCACTCAATGTTACTTTTAAACACGAATCTGCTAGAATATCATCTTGTAAATTGTATTCATGTGTTGGCATAACATGTCTGTGTAGTGTTGATGTGTACCTGTGAATGTAAATGTATTCTTCCTTAGCATACCTTAAAATGTATATAAACAAATATGATCAAACATGATCTATATTTAGTCTTCTTTTTCGTCCCTGAAAGAAAAGAAAGCGATTTTTGTTACTGCGTGATTATTTATGACCAAAGAGAATATTATAGTGGAAAAAAAAAAAAGACATACTTTACAACTTCTGATTGTTGTTGTTGATCAAGATGAAGTTCAACAATTGTTTCTGTTCTACTTTGCACTTTGAAAGTTACTTGTGCAGCCAAGTATTTATCTTTGTTATTCACTGACCAACCAGAGTACTAAACGAAAAAAGAAAAACATTTATGTATAAATATTTTCGAAAAAGATTATTACACTAAGTAAGTATTCAGGACAGAAACTTACTGTAGATGTGCTTTTGTACAATGTTTTTCCATCTTCCTTAAAGGGTAAAAACTTTTGAAGCAACGCTTTCCCATCTATCCTCCACAATGTTGGTTCTGTATTACCTCCAATGTCTCCTTTTGCAACAACGAACGCGCCAGACTACAATAATTGATACAGACGATGAAGCCCCTGTTCATTGTCATTACAATACTTGTAACCTTTGGTTCTTATAGGTCTTAAAATATTAACTTACAGTAAAATCTTTTGGAGTTTCTCCCGATGATTCGTTAAAGCTGTTATCATCAGAATCTTCTTCATCTTCGTCTTCTTTTTCATCTTCTTCTTTCTTTGATCGCCTTTTTCTTTTGGGCTTTTTCCCTGAATCAGAATCAGATTCTTCATCTTCTTCGTCATCTTCCTCTTCATCCTCCTCTTCTTCCTCCTCCTCTTCTTCTTCCGAATGTTGTCGTTTTTTAGCAGATTCTCTTTGAGGTCTTTTCTTAGCGCCGCTCTAAATAATATCAATAAATGTATTGTAATAAATAAACGTGTTGTATGCGTATACCGACGAATTTAAACGGATACGAAATTGTGGTTGAAAATAATATATGGTATTTCAGAGTAACGATGTTAAAATACAACGTCCACTAAAATGATTACTTTGAAAGGGAAAATATTTAATAAACAAAGTAAAGATAGAAACATGATAAAACGTATTAGAATTGTATTGTTTTGAAAAATTCATTGACCGGCGCCACCGACCGGCCGGCAAGGATAACTTGTCGGCGTAACACTGTTCCAACCATAACTATAACTTTCTTATAGAAAGTACGATTTAACGATTAAGTTTATATTTATGTTAAAAATGTAAGAAATCTGTTCTGACGATATTCGATAGGCGAGACATTCAATTAACGGGCAACAGATTTGATACTAGATCCGTTGGATAGCGTACCGTATAGTTACGGTTTCAACGGAAAACTACATGCATAACTGATTTCTGTTTTCTCCTTATCTGTTTTATCATAATTGATTAAAAGGATTTATTTTTGGTAATTTGGAAACAGAGTATATATACAATCAGAGAGAGAAATGGAAATGTTTGAAATAACAAGTTCACTTTCTTAACGAGAAATGTTGATACATACTTTTATCAAGGAAAAGTGGAAAAAATTAAATTAAGAAAGATTCCGGCTGACAGATCTTTATTCGTGTACTATATGTATGTACGACGACGCGTTATAAACTAAGTCAGGAACGATCGAACTGACAGGAAGTATAGCGAAAAGGTGAAAAAGTAGAGTCGATTGGGAAGTAGGAAAAGGATTTTCTAGATAAGAGCAAACGAAGAGGAAAATATCGGCATAGCGTGGGCTTACTTCGGCTCCGGCCTCAGGAGTCCACTCTTCCTCAGAAGCTCCTTCTACCTCTTCTGGATCATCCGCAGAATATTCATCCTCGTCCGACACGTCCTTAGTTTTCTTCATATTGCTTTTTCGCGAAATGTTTGCAGATTTTCCCAATGGGGCTCACCGAATAAAAGAAAACTCACACGACCACGTATAAACCGACGAATTACGTGCGCGACTACCGCAAACAATATGGCGGTGTATGGCGGTGGGAACTGGTTATCACGCATATCTTGCTGCGCAGCCGGAAGCGACGCGTGCTTCGCGATTTCCTGCGCGTATTCGTAGAACCGCGAAATATTATAATTTTCAAATAACAGATATCTACTTATGTACCTACTTACTTACTTACTTACTTACTTACAATTAGATAGGTAAGACAATTTGTAGAATGTTTGTTATTTGCTCGAACTTGGCAAAACAATGTTTAGAACAGTGTTGAAATAGTGAAGATTAGAAATGCGATAATAAAAGATTGAAATAAGGTAGAAAACGAAACGTAAACGTTTGTATTTGATTTAACTAACATCCATACATATAGTGAGAACGGTTTGAATGCAGCGGAACAAGCGTGTATTTTTTACAATCCTTTAGATAGATATTTTTCAACAAAATATCCATAACTATATGTATGATTAAGCAATGATTCTTTATACGAATTTTAGTAGGTTCTTTTCAATTCGAAATGTTTGACGGGTCAGGTCGATACGAGAGTTGGCGCATGCGTTATATATGTATGCCCCAGTATAGGACGCTCCCTTTGGTGTCGAAGGTAGTGAAAAACTTTTCACAGGGGCAACAAGCGGTCTCAGAAAAGAAGGAAATATGTTTGAACTTTATGGAATGGATAAAGACGGTATGGTTTACCGATCTCCACCACCGAGAAGAAAAGAAGTCGATATATTAGAGGTAACTGGTTAAATCTCACTAATTTATCTTGGTAAAAAACTCTGATAGTTGGACGTTTTTGTAAAATATAAGAAGGAAATGAATATCTTTGTAGACTTGTTTGCAACTATCGTCTCCAGAATTAATGAGAAAATTGCCTAACGGTGATGCGATACACCATGCAAAGGAAACCAGCGTTTCTACTTGTTTGGATAAGGATAAAGATCCAGCTAAAGAAAGGGGTATGTCTCGAATGAACGATGAATTAAGAAACATCTGTATCGAGGAGGAGGAGGAGAGGAGAGGAGAACGATGACGTTGATTTTTCTTCCATTTTTCTAATTTCGCACATTAACAAGTTTACTCGGTATAGAATAAATAGGCTGAAAGTTGAAAATAATTTTAAAGCAATTTGGTGTACACGCAGGACGGAGTATGTTGAGGAAGTGGATAGTGATGACGGGTTTCTTTTTCCTTGGATGTGCCTTGGTCGCCGGTATAGGATTACCTTTAGCTTTAGAGTTACGCAGCTCGCATTTATTAGAAGCTAGACTTCAAGTTGTACGACGAATGCTGTCCGAAATTCCTCTGATCGATGGGTAAGCGATCAACCTGTACGTATGTATGTATGTATGTATGTATGTCTGTATGTAGTTGTCCGGTGAAGGAGATGGTAGGAAAGCGTCGTCCAGTGAATAGTAATAACTGAACAGAAAGGAAAACTAAAGAGGAATAACGTTTCAGGCACAATGATTTTGCTTGGAACCTTCGAAAGCATCGAGGAAACACAAAGTTGAAAGACTTTCCGTTCGACGAGAATTTGTCAGAAAATGCGAGTTGGGGCTCGGAATGGCAAACCGATTTGGTACGATTACAGCAGGGTATCGTCGGTGGACAATTTTGGTCGGTTTACGTTCCTTGCGAGGCACAATTTCTCGACGCGGTGCAGCTTACCCTAGAACAGATAGACGTGGTGCGTAGACTGGCGTCGAGGTATCCAAAGAGAATAAGGCTGGTGAGAAACAGCACGGAGCTGGAAAAAGCGCACAAGGATGGCGTGATAGGGAGTTTGGTGGGAATCGAAGGTGGCCACAGTATCGGTACGTCGATGGCGGTGTTGAGAAGTTTCCATCGGCTCGGGGCACGTTACATGACTCTGACGTACAAATGTAATACTCCGTGGTAAGTTTCGGCAGAAGATTGGTTATTTGGGAAAAAGCATAGAAGAAGTAATCAAAGAGGTATTTCGATCGTTCTCTCAGGGCAGATTCGTGCTCCGTAGAAGATCCGAATTCCGATGTGTCGTTAGATTTTCACAGCAACGGACTGTCGTTGTTCGGCAAAGCGGTGGTTAAAGAACTGAATCGATTGGGAATGCTGGTCGATTTGTCGCACGTGTCGATCAGGACGATGAGGGATGCCCTGGCAGTAACGAAAGCACCGGTGATATTCTCTCACAGCGCGGCTAGAGCGCTTTGCAATTCGTCCAGCAACGTTCCGGACGATATGCTGCGTAACTTGGTGAGGAAAGAAAGTTAAACGATAAAAGGATATCGAAGGTATATGTATATGTATGCTCTTGTTTGATTTTAGTCGGTGAACGGTGGTCTGGTTATGGTCAGCTTCGATAGCGGGCATTTAAGCTGCGGTGATAAAGCCTCCATGTACGATATTATAGGTACGCGGTGGGTGGGTGAGCGCGCACGCTTAAGCGTGCCTGAAATAATATTACATATTAACAAGAAGAAAGTAGAGTGTACTTGTCTTTGCAGCTCATATCAATCATATACGGCGAATAGCTGGTGTTAACCACGTGGGTCTCGGAGCCGGTTACGACGGAATACTAAGGTGGGTGATGCTGAAGAAAAGTAGAAAAGTATCTACATAGGATTAACTTGGCCCCTGTGTTCAGTCCACCGGTAGAGCTTCCGGACGTTTCCAGTTATCCCCTGCTACTAGCCGAATTGACGCGAGACCGAAGATGGTCAGCCTCGGACATCAAGAAGTTGGTCGGTGGAAATCTGTTGAGGGTGTTGAAAGAAGTGGAAAATCACGCGGTTACGGTGTCGCATCATTCTCCAGCGGAAGAACTGATTTCTCAGCAGTTGATCGAAGACACCGCTTACTGCAGATATCACGACGAGTAAAACGCGTTTCGTACCTCTTTCCTACCGTTACGTCTTTGTACCTGGATTATTACTCTGTTTTTGCATTTTTAATAAAGTAGTCTTACAGATTCTCTGAATCGTTTTTATCTCATTTACCCTCCTCTCTCTCCTCTTGTTCAGGTGGAAACTATAGCTTGAAAACTTTTCCAAAGACGTTTCTAAAGCACGCGTCAGCCGAATATGTACCACTATTATAAACGCACGATTGCTTTAGCAACCAAAATAGGTGCTGTCTGTTGAGTCAATTTACCTTGTGCTTGTGGTACGTCTTGTTAGATCGCGTTCATCATCCGCATGGAATGTATGTCGAAGCAATTATTTAATATTCATATTCGTTGCAGTCATATTACTAACGAGTCCTATTGAAGTAGGTAACTTTTAACGATACCTTAATCTTTTTCATTGTTTTTCAACGATCTCGGACAACTGGAAACGATAGCGATTCAACTTTCGACCTTACCGCCTCGACGACGAATGCATCCATTAAAAGCTCGTGTTTCTCGAATAATTGTCAACTTATTTCGTAATTATCACGACGGCTAGAGTAGTGTCACCGAAATACATAGGAACCAAAAATGTTTTTATTTGATGATACGGATCCTAACGCGTTGCGTTGGTTCGAAACGAGAGCGTATCGACAAACGACACACAATTGATCTGCTTGCATAATTAGCTACGCGTTATCGTGCCGTCTTATCGCAATACTCGATAAACAATAACGTATAGCGGAATCGAAAGTTATACGAAAAAAGTGATAAGAGGGAAGCGATAGATAGAGACGGTTCTCGAGTGCTCGTCCGTCTGACGGCAAATACCGACCGCTCCTCAAATCCCTCGACTTTTTAAAAGATTGCTTATGATCGCTTATAATAAGACGACAGGAATATATACGCGCGGCTACAAAACCCTGGTAGAAAAATTTACTACCAGTTTGGAGTTTGGAGTTTGGAGTTTAGAGAAGGGGAGAAAAGATTGGCAACGTAAAAATAGATGGAAATTGATCGCGAACGAACGCAGACAAAACAAAGGGAAGAGCGTGGAGGAGCTTACTTGAGAGCGTACTTTGAAGCTGTACAGTTGTACGTATACCGGGTTAAAGACTGTATGAAATATTAAAATTTCTATCGGTAATGAGCGCGGGCTGAGACGCGCGCGTTACAAGGCGCCAGTAGCAAAGAAGCAAAGAAGCAAAGAAAAGCCGTTCCTGAAACGAGACGGTTTTGTGGCGCGGAAGTGGTAGGGGATTCGAAGATTATACTCGCTCGTTTGCAAGCTAAAAGATCAGTTTGGTCTAACATCGGTTTCGCGTCGCATCTTTTTCGAGATTTCAAACTGTATATCTACTTACGAATGCAGTGTGCGAGTTCCGATAAAAACACGTTCAGAGAAGAATTGACTGATGGGAGAAGAGAGCATGAGATTTCAAGATCGCGTCGAGAAGAAATTATCGAAACTATCCGAAGCAAATTATTAAAATTATTAAGCTTTTACAGCAGACATAGAGGATTCTGTAAGATCAATTGAGAGACAGGTGAGAATCTCGGCGGAAAGGGAAATAGACACAGCTTGTTGTGACAGTGAACTCGGGCGTAGATTGCGAGCACGTGTTTCTTGTATGTACATATATCTACTTGGTTCACGCGTCGCCTCCCAATCGAGCCTTTTTTATTATGTAGGTATATTATAATATTCCATCGTTTGTCACGAAAGCAAAGACGTTCGTAGACGTTAGATCTAACGATTGGCCATGCGTATCCGATCGATCGATTGCTCTTTCGTTCTGCTAACGAGCACGAGATATCTTCCGATTTCGATTCGTTTTGTTTCAGACAAGCAGTCAGTCGGTTAACGGAGAAATCAAACCGGACAGAAAAAGTGGAAAAGAAGATGAAGTATAAGGTGAGACCTTCTTTCGAGCCTTTATTCTATTCGCGCATACCGTGCGTTTTACCTTCTTCCTTGTATCGAAGGTGAAGGCAAAGTATGACGAGTAATAACGATTGTTGTCACGAGTTTATTTTTATATATATCATCGTTGTGTAAGTTACTTAACTATACCGTATATGTCAGTGTTATGCAATTGTGCGCCATGAGGTGTTCTTTGAAAGAAACGAAAAGAAGCGGGATACAAAGTTGGATACAAAGCGTACGATACAGACAACTGGTTATCGTTAAAATTACCACCGACGCGACGATTCCTAGAACAATATTAGTCATTGAGGAAGAACACGTATCGCGAGGATGGAGATGGAGAAACGATTTACTATAATTATAATATTCCTTGATCGAAGAAACAAACTCCAAGGTGGCGATCATCGTGGTAATTGGACGACGTAGAATTTCTGTCCAATACGTAATTTAAATGTAATTTAAAGCGAAATTTCTGGAAGACTTTAATGGAAGAAGGATTAGAATATAGGGTACGGGGTCGGAGGAAAATAATGCCGAGGTAAATCCATCGATTCTGGGACAAGGTGAGAGAGCATCGATGCATACACGTGCAGTAATCTTACCGAAACGTTACTCGAGTTCTGAACAGAAATACGGAACGCTTCGATTTATCAGGAATTTTTATTGCGCGCGGCAAGCTCAAGATGCTACATTATCGCATCGATAAAGTTGTGCCAATCTGCGAATGGAAAGCTTCCTAAATATGTATTATCATTTTCCTTTCTCATCTAGGTAAACGATCCCGAGGACGATGAAAGAAACAGCACGGACAGGACGAAGAGAAACGCGACAATGTTGTGGTAATTAATTAACGCTTTCAGTAGGATTACTTTTTAACGCGTGGACCAGAGAAGCAAGCAGAGATGGCCTAGTTATCGAGGATCTTTTTAATTGGTTCAAACAGGCAATACGGTCACGGAGAGAAGAAGAAATTGAGCGGAAAAGAGACGAGGTTGGCGATGATCGTTGGTTTGTTAACGATTACGGTGATCGCATTGCTGGTAACGCTGACCTTACAAATAGCTATTTTCCGTAAAGAAGAATACACAGAGGACATGTGTCAAACCGATGAATGCGTAAAGACAGGTACATACTATATAAAAGAATTATCCACCGATACGAGTTTCAAATCTTCTTACTTGTTGCTTCTTATTTCGCCGTTGATGCGAAACAATTGCTTTGACGTTCCAGCCGCTAGGATAATAGAGGCGATCAACAGATCCGTCGATCCTTGCGATGATTTCTACAAGTTCGCTTGCGGTGGTTGGATTTCGAAAAATCCTATACCGCAAAGCCAAACTTCATGGGATCAGTTGAGCCTTCTCAGGGAACGACTGTTAAACGATTTGAGAATACTTTTGGAGGAATCGGACGAAGGCAATCATTTGAAATCGATCAAATTAGCTCGAACTTTGTACAAATCCTGTATGGACACAGGTAAGAAACGATAATGAAAAGGTGCTTTTGTTCGTCCGATCAGAGTATCGAACGGGATCGTTACAGGCAGCGTCGAAGCATTGGGTCTAAAGCCTATCCACGATGCGCTGAGCAGTTTGGGTTTGCCGAAAGATCCAGCTATGCAAGACGAGATCTCGTCAGATTTCGATCTTCCTAAAATTGCTGGGACGGTGCAGCGAGTTTTGGGTTTGGATCTTTTTCTAAACTTTTACGTGAGCGAGGATCTTCGGGACACGAGGAAAAACAGAATGATGGTACGCGTAGGTGTGCTAACGATTGACGAGAGATATCGGTAATATAAATAAATTATTAGTCGATTTTTAGATCGAACAAGTCTCTCCAGGATTCAGCGAGCGTTATCTTCTTGATCCACAACGATTCGAATCGGAATTAACCGAATACAAAGAATACGTAAAATCTATGATGCAACTGGCTGGAGCAGGAAACAGGAGCCTCGATTTTGCCGAGGAAATTTTAGACTTTAGCACAAAGGTCGCAAAGGTAAGCGTAAACGAGGATACTTTTGAATTTTCCTACAACATAGATTCCTTTAGATCATGGCGACAGCGGAGGAAAGGCGTAGCGATAAACATTTGATTCACGACGTGACGATCAACGCGTTGCAACAACTTACAGACGAGCAAGTGCAACAGGTGAATACGAGGGAAAACGAATTACGTATACAAACTACTTTTTAATCAACCACCTTTCAGTGGAATTGGACGAGCTACGTGGAAAGCGTGTTCAATAACACAAATGTGACGATAGATACCAAAGTGGATCGCGTGCTGGTCATGGATCTAAGATATTTGCAACGATTACCTAAACTACTAGCAATCACTCGAACCGTTACGATAGGTATATAAAAAACCATTATACATACTTGTATTTCTTCAAGTATGATAGATAGTTGAACGATCTTGGAAATTTTCAGCGAGATTCGTATGGTGGAGCGTTTATTCGACGGTCGCTCCATTGACGTTGCAACGATTTCGCGATTTGGGTTTCCAATTTTCGCAAAAAGTTTTCGGCTTGAAAGAGAAGACACCCCGATGGAAAGCGTGTACCGGAAGCGCGAATGCAAATTTCGGCATGGCTCTCAGTTACGTTTACGCGCGTAAATACTTTAACGAACGAGCTCGCAAGAAGGTAGACTCTCTTTCTTTCTTTCTTTCTTTCTTTCTTTCTTTCTTTCTTCCTTGAAACATTCGAATTTTTCAATACACCAAGAGGCTCTGGAAATGTTGTTGGATGTGAAAGCTGCGTTTCAAGAGATGCTCACCGAATTAGATTGGATGGACGTTGATACGAGAACTCGAGCACACAACAAGTTGAACGCGATAAGACCGTTCGTAGGAATTCCAGAATGGATCAACAACTCGACAAAGTTGGAGAAATTTCACCAAGGGGTAAGTTTTAGCGTCCTTTTCATTTCCTTTATCATTCGAAAACGAATGTTCGACTTATCGTAGATGGAGGTAATACCGGAACGATTGTTTGATACGTTCTTGAAGCTGACCGACGTAGGAATTAAGAAAAGTTTAAACAGTTTACGCGAAAAACCGAATAAAAATCGCTGGATAACAACTGGTACGACGGTGAATGCGTTTTACAGTGCGATTTTAAACTCTGTTAGTAAGTAATCTAGAGTCTCTCTAGATTGGATAAGTATTTCTTCTATTCGATTTACTCAATTTACTTGCAGCTTTTCCAGCGGGTATTCTGCATCCACCCTTCTATGGAAATGGATTAGAGTAGGTATCAACGAGCGAGATATATATACATATACACAGAGATAACGCTAACGATTAGTTACGTACGATAGGTGTATCAACTACGGTGCCATGGGTGCTATAATGGGCCACGAACTTACCCACGGATTCGACGATCAAGGTATCGAGTCGACGACCGTTAATATTAATCGCAAAGATTCGTAAGCTGATCATTACCTCGATTGATGTAACTGACAATTAGTTATCCTTTTTATACGAGCCACGCTTTACCATTACAACTATTCTTTTTTCTTTATATCAGGTCGTAGATACGACGAGAACGGAAATATTAAGCAATGGTGGAGCGATGAGACGTTGCAACATTACCACCAGAAGGTTGAGTGTATAATTAAACAATATAGTAGTTATCGTTTACCGGAGCTGGGCAATAATTTCACGGTGAGTATCATCCTTGTACGAGAGAGGAATCAAAGAAACGTGTCATATGTAATTATTACTGATAATCCAACAAATTGCTATTATGTAGGTGAACGGCTTTAATACCCAAGGTGAAAACATTGCCGATAACGGTGGCATACGAGAAGCTTTTAGAGCTTACCAAAGGCTTCAAAGGAGAACTGATAATCGATTAGTGGTTTTACCTGGTCTTGCCGGATATACTCAAGAACAGTTGTTCTTCCTCGGTTTTGCACAAGTAAGCTGATCCGATGAATAATTCTTTCTTTCAATAAAACGTTTATTGAACAAACGTTTATTTTCGCTTATTGCAATAATTCAAGATTCCACTGAAAACGTAACAAAAAGACCTTCAAGTTGTTTCTACTGTTAACTTAACGTAATACATTAATTATATTATGTATATTCTAATAATTTCTTGTCAAGTATAAAGTTAACGTATTTGTTGTATAGGTATGGTGCGGTAATTATACGAACGGCGCGTTAAAGTTGAAACTAACAGAAGGAGTCCACGCACCAAATCATTTTAGAGTGATCGGAACTTTATCGAATAACCAAGATTTCGCTAAAGCATGGAATTGTCCGACCGGAAGTCCAATGAATCCACCTGACAAGTGTATTTTGTGGTAACTGAACAAGCATCGTTCCCAGTGCACATTGCAAATCCTCCGCACAAAACGTTAAAATGACCAAAATCATTGTCTCATTTCTGTACGCTCTGTAATATACATATACACAATAAAACATATATTGATCGTAAAGTTTTAAAAACAGACTTATTTGTAGGAACTAACGTGGAACTTAACGTGACAATTTTTTTTACTAAATTTTACGTCCCATAAATGTTGAACAGAATGCGAATATAATTTTGCAAATCAATTCGATGTTCATTCATTGTTTTTTCTTCTTTTTCTTTAAACCCATTCCACTCTCTTTCATACTCGTTTCCTTTTTTCTTTTCTTTAGAAGAACGTCGGTGACGTTACTTTCCGAGTCTAAAACACTTTTCTTTACTCTCTTAACTTTCTTTATGGCTATATTATTATTATTTTCTTCTATTGGCATCAAGTGCTTCTTTCTTTTTTTATTCAAAATAACGTTTTCATCGTTTATATTCGATAACTTGGTTCTCTTTTTGGGAATATCATCGGTTATTACTACATCGTCTTCTCTTTTATTCTTTTTTACGATCGATTTCTTCTTCTTCTTTTTCTCTCGAACGTTTGACTCTTGTACTTCTTCTATGCCTCTCTTTTTTTTACACTTCTGCTCTATAAATTTCTTTGGAGAAGCATCGATCGACCTTACTTCCCAATCACCCTCCTTTTCGATAATAACTTCTTGACGAAGCTTAAATCTATTTTTTCTCAGTACCTCTTCTTCTTTCTCTTCCTCTTCCTCTTCCTCTTCCTCTTCCTTTTCCTCTTCCTCTTCTTCCTCATCCAGTTTAACTTTATTCTTATTGTATAGGAAATTTTTATACGGCATTGCGAGAGACAGACAAGTAATTCTGGCACCGCAATTAACATTTTTCAGCATATGCAATTTATGTTTACTATATCTCCAAAGCTTAATTTCGCCGGAACTAGAAGCGGTAACTAATAAATCGTCCATAAAAGCCATACATTTAACTCGAGAATCGTGCGCTAAAGCTTTCAGAGTTTGTACAGACTTCTCAAGATCGTAAAACTTTATCTGACCATTTTCCAGACCAACCGCGATCAAATCATCCCTTAAAAATTCCACGCAAATTATCTTTGCGTCAAACTTGATTTCGCTATCGATTCCTGCCAACTCGACCGAGTATACGTCTATCCTTTGATTAACGGCAAGTAAATACTTCTCCCCGTTTGGACTCCACTTGAGAATATTAACATTTTTAGCATCCAACTTTAACCTTGGTACTAAATTTGTCGCGTACGCTTGTCTTCCCTTAACCAAGTTCCATGTTCTAAGTATACCATCGGCTCCTGTAGAGAGTGCTATTTTTCCTGTCGGATGAATAGCTAAAGTGTTTACACCTAAACCTTTATGAGCTTTCTGCCAATGTTTTTCCATTTGCCAATTACCGCATCTAATGGCAGCTATAGTTCCATCGTTGCTACATGTAAAAAGATGAGATGCTTCTGGGGTAAACGCTATGCAATTAACGGTATCTATATAAAAAGAAAAGTCATGAATATTTACATAATAAATATAAGCATTTCTACATACCGTTATGATGCATTAATCTACCAGATTCTATTCTGTATCGCATATCGTATAAATAAATAGAATCATCTGCTCCACCAGAAGCTAAGTAATATTTATTGTTTGCGACAGAGCGCACACTACTCGTATGATTATGAGTTGCAAATGTTCTTTCCATTTTGTATTCCTGGAAATTCATTGATTAGTTAGTCGATAAAATCATACCAGATATATTAATTATTAAAAGATTAAAAGATATACTTGTAACAAATAAAAATATAACCTATATAACAATGCGAAAAAAGTTTCCACTTACATTAACGATATTATCTACTTTGTAACCGAGCAAATATTGCTCGTACGTTCCCACCACTATTTCAAAAGGGTTCATCATCTTCAAATTTAAGTAGATTTCAATACACAACTATTTACCTATTATTTTTATTATTCGAATAAATATTCTTTACACTCCAACCGATTCCAACCAACGTGCTCCGACGTCAATGGACGTCAAACCTGGTTTTCACTGCTACTGTTTCGTGAAAAATACTATATATGATATTTGACATGTGTAAATACATAGTTTTTTTTATTAAACAATTGTAGCCTCAATGTAATTAAATAATAAATTAACAAAATCAATTATTATATCATCTTTTATAAAGGGCAATTCTTATATGTGATAAATCCATTTATCGGTAAATTATAACAAAAATTTCTTTCTTTTTGTTAACTTTAGGTTAATCAAAAGAGGAGCAAAATGTATTTAATAATACATCAGAAACTGCTGAATCGCTGTACGAGACAGATACACACGAATGCATCTCGAATTTTATTCAATCAATATTATAATGCTGCTCAAAAGAAAAGATTGCGTTCCTCGCGTTTATACTGGAGTGGATGTGGTGTACTATTACTTGGATTGACTTATGCAGCAGTACCTTTATATAGAGTATTTTGTCAGGTATAATAAAATTTATTTTTAAATAATACCAGTCTTATATTACAAGACATTTCTATGATTTTATATGATGTACCGTAATCATTTATTCGATAGTCCTATAGCTATGGTGGAACAGTATCTGTTAATCACGATAGTGCTAAAGTGAGCGCAATGAAACCTATTAAAGATAAAGTATTAACTATAAAATTTAATGCTGATACCGCAGCAGCCATGCAATGGAACTTCAAACCTCAACAAAATGTAATAAAAGTTCTTCCTGGAGAAACTGCTTTGGCATTTTATACTGCAAAAAATCCATTGGATAAACCAGTTATCGGTGTTTCAACTTATAATGTGGTACCATACGAAGCAGGACAATATTTTAATAAGATTCAGTGTTTTTGCTTTGAGGAGCAGCAACTCAATCCACACGAAGAAGTAAGTTTAATAAAACTGGTTAAGAATAATTGTATCAACCTTTTTCTTTCAAGTACAACAAATTATAATAATATTTGTTATTAAGGTTGACATGCCAGTGTTCTTCTATATTGATCCAGAATTTGTTGAAGATCCTAGAATGGAACACATAGATGAAATTATACTTTCCTATACATTCTTTGAAGCCAAAGAAGGAATTAAAATTCCTATACCGAACTTTATGAAAAAGTAGTAAATGTTATAAAAAAATATGTTAATTTTTAAGAAATATGTAGAAATATATCGATAAGTGGATCTTTAATACTTTTTTCTTTATTTTTCGATAAATCTAATTTAAGATATCGTTTCGCTTAATACGTTTAATAGTGTAAAATAATTACTTGTACATAAGCATTAAAATTTGAATAGAACATTTATCGGATAAGCTCGTCTAAAACCAGAAACCTTCTCTCGATCGATGTACATCGCGTCGATTTTTAATGCTAGGTCGTGTTCTAATGTTGTTCGCGTTCTTAATAATTTCTGATGCTGTTTCTCCAATTCTTTTAATGCTCTGTGCATTCTTTCTACTTGATGGTTTATTTCCCCAATTTCCTTCTGCAGGCTATATTTACATAGAAAACAACCTACACTGTTATTAATCATTCAAATGTATTTGAATTTGTTACATTATGAAAACAAATGTACAGAAACAAACCTCGTGTGAGCATAATCACGGCAAAGTTCTATATCTGGACGATGCATTCTAACTTCTAATCTAGTATGTGCTACTTTTAGTATATATTGTTTATCTGCAATAGCTTTACGTGTTAATTCCAAATTTTTTTCAACATCAAAAATTTCCTGTTGTATCTAAAACGAATAGTAAATTGTCTTGATACTTAAAAATATTAAACGTAATAGATTCTACCTTTTGTAAATGCTGTTGAAGTTTATTTTTAGCTTCAAGTAACTCTGAACACCTATGTGACAAAGCATTGTTTGTATTGCTCCAGGCATTCCACATTTCTTGTGCAATTTTATTCATAACAAGTTCTGCATTTGCCCTTAATTGACAAGATTTATTTCTTTCTATCTGGGATTTTTCAACTATTTGATTTGCAGCATCCATCCATGTATTTTGTTCTGACCCGCTAATACAATAAACAAGTTTCATCCTTCCATATAATTGTTTCTTTTATTTAACACCTATGTAAACTATAGAAGATTTATACCATAGATCGAATTTTTCAATTCCTGAACAATATTCCAATCCATGACTATAGTTATTCAATTGATGACACAATGTATCTATTTCTAATGCATTTTTTTTGTTCTTTAAATCTAATTCTAATTGACATTGACATGCTCTACAATCTCGTAGCTGCAAATAAAATTTATATTTGATAATATTAAAATTTAACGGTTTGCTTTAATTTTACCTGATTTTTGCATTTCTCTATGCAACTTTCCAACATTTTTCTATCTTCTTCTAAGATCTCTATTTCTTTAAATAAGCACTTTTCTGTGTCGTCGTGCACAAGTTCGGTATCTATATGAAAAGACATAACAATACCGTTAGTTTATTAGAGTGATAATCATATGTATATAAATAAATTACTTTAAAATACATAGTTTTAAAATGGTGATTACCTTTCCTAGCTTCTCTATAATAAAGGCATTCCTCTGCAATGCGCAACGGACCCTCTATATCTTGAACAGCCTTTTCTAAAATAGAACGACAATCTTGGAGTCTTTCAATTTCTTGAAATAATCTTTCTAATTCTGATGCTATTTCATTTCTCCAAAAATTGACATCATTTATTCTTTCGCCAAGTCTTCTACCAGTATCGTACTGTCCATGTTGCACTTTCTCATCTGCATCTCTGTTACAGTAATTGTTTAATTACCTTCAAATTATAATAATTAGGTAATTTCACTAGTAATATGTAATGCTTACCTAATAATTCGTAAGGCATCATTTCTTACTCTTTCAGAAAATTGTCTACATGAATCCGCTTCGTTATAATATTTCACCTGTTTTTGAAACCAATCATTAGGTGTATAACGTGTATAAAGGGCATTTTTCCAAATATGTCCAGAACCATGTTGATACCCGGTTACCAAGTTTGGCAATTTTAACGAATTTATAGTATTTGCAGTATCCAACATACAATGCTGTGATGTTGATCTTCTGATCCTGCAACATTAATCAATTATGTATATAGCAATTGCTTTATTACACGACGAGCAAGTTAAAGCTGAAATTAACTTACAAAGGTGTAACTTTAGTACTTTCGTATCCTATCTTAGGACGCCAAGGCATTAAATTGTTTGTACCGGTACAATTATCAATTCGACGTAAGATAGACGGTTCGATGCATGATATTGATACATTATCTGTACTCCATGATTGTAATTGCTACAAATTTTACATAAATGAATAGTAATGATTTATTAAAAGAAAGAAAGATATATTTGATTCTTTATTAAGTTTATTTCTCTATAAAACGTCACAATATATCAATTATCAATTAAGATCAGTTATAATTCAACATGGCAGATGTACCTAATGATGCGCCTGAACGTAAGTACACGTGCAGTTAAATGTGTTATTTTATCAAGTATGAAATAAAGCATTTATAATATTATATTACAAAAATTATGTATAGTTATAAATTTAAAGATGCAGAAAAGTGTTTGTAATTAATTGACATGTTTGATGCTTGCTCTTCAAACATTAGGTTGGTTACGTCTTTAGTTTCTATATATCATATTAAAAAAGTATATATATATATATACATATACATAAATATAATGCATCTAAAAGATAAGCTGTACAGTCCTGTTTTAAAAGGGTGAAAAAAAAGAAGAATAAAAAAAATAATAACATTGTATTTTAGATTGTCCTGGTACTACAAGCAAAGATGCAGGAAAAGCATCTATGTGTGCTGGTTGTCCAAATCAAACAATATGTGCATCTGATGCCTTAAAACAATCAGATCCTGGTATAGCTCTTGTAAAAGAAAGACTTTTAACAGTGAAAAACAAAATATTAATATTGTCTGGTAAAGGAGGAGTTGGCAAAAGCACTATTACATCTCTGCTATCCAGATGTTTAGCAGCAAACAATCCTGACATAAATGTATGTATCTACTTTTGCATAAAAGATTTCATAATTTGTATTAAAAACAGCTTACCCTTTTTCCATTGCCAAGAACATCCATATTGTTTTCTATGTACATATCAACAAAGTATCTCCTATTAACCAGTTATAGTTCACAATATAGCTTTTGAAAAGGAAGTATCTATGTATATGCTTACCAACCTATATGATTTGTGTCACTCTGTACCAGTTTCTTATTGATTCTTTTAATCCTTCGTCATTTTACAATGATAATCTCAAATAACAAAAATACCTTCTAGCGTGTAAAACTTTATATTTTGTTAATTTGCATAAATTGAAATTAATTGATTTAATAGGTTGCAGTACTGGATATTGATATTTGTGGACCATCCCAACCAAGAGTGTTAGGTGCAATAGGAGAACAGGTTCATCAAAGTGGATCAGGATGGTCTCCAGTAGTAAGCTTTTTGCATAAGTATTAGGTAATTTATATTACCGATATGATATCTAAGTAAACTTTATTCATTCTTTTAGTACATCGAGGATAATTTGTCCCTAATGTCTATTGGGTTTTTACTTGCTAGTCCAGAAGATGCTGTAATATGGAGAGGACCCAAAAAAAATGGTACCTTAGTATACATAACACACACATACACACACACATAAATTATTACACTTTTTATTATTTTTAGGAATGATTAGACAATTTCTGTCAGAGGTTGACTGGGGCACATTGGATTACCTCATTTTAGATACACCTCCTGGAACATCAGATGAACATTTATCAGCAACATCTTATCTCAAAGATGCTGGTATTACAGGAGCAATAGTAGTAACGACCCCGCAACAAGTTGCTCTATTGGATGTAAGAAAAGAAATTGATTTTTGCAGAAAGGTGAATGTGCCAATTTTAGGAGTTATTGAAAATATGAGTATTTTTATTTGCCCTAAATGTAAAGTAAGTATAAAAAAATGACATTAAATTAATTAAATCAAGTTATTGGTTGTCATTTACATAAATATATTTTTAAATAGGATTCTGTTGAGATATTTCCTGCATCGACAGGCGGAGGCCATGCAATGGCAAAAGAGTTAAATGTGGAATTTTTAGGTTCTCTTCCCTTAGATCCACTTTTAGCTAGATGTTGTGACGAGGGCAAAAATTTCTTAATAGAAGTTCCAGATTCTCCAACTGTATTCACATTGCAAGAAATTGTTCAAAGTAAGTTTTTCTTTTACAAATTTTGTACATTTGTATGTCGCCGCATTAAACAGTGTAATTTTTTATTTCAGAAATTGTAAGAAAATGCGAAAAAATGAAGGAAAAATGTAACGTTAATACAACGTAGAAATAATGCAACTTTTGTATCATAAATAATGTACATTAGAATTGTGTATAAAATGTTTAAAAATTATTTTTCTTTAGAAAGTATTAATGTATATTTTATAAGTTTAATAAACAATACTTTGCTTTACTTCTGCATTACGTTTCCACTAAACTCAACCTCTTTACACCCTGCTTTTTCCAGGAATTGACGTCAGTTTTTTATATTCTCAATGTATACAATGTGTGTAATTTTAGAATTCGATCAGAAATTCAACCCCTGTGCCATCTATTTAAAAACGCTGGAAACTACTAATACCAACGGTGCTCTGTAGTACATGCAGACTTAACCTCACATGGGGGTGTCTGCGACCCTTAAAATCACAACTCTTTGCATAGCATGGAACGTATGAAGAATAAACAGACGTGTAGCAACAGATTTTCTGATTTATGTTTAAAATATTCTCGTAAAACAAATACAACTTAACGAAGCTATTATACAGGAAAATTTGAATATCTATTCAAAAATTTAAATATATACGTGTGATTTTAACAAATAAAAAGTCATCAATAATGATTGTATAGAATAAGATGAGGTTATGCTGAGCTGTCAGAATAAATTCTATTTAGTCAGCATTGTGAATTAATACTTCAGGCTTTTAATCAAAGCATATAATGGAACTTGGTGATTTAATATTAATTCCAAACCTTGACAATGTTGCATTGATAGATAAAAGTGATGGAAATAATAAAAGCATAGATGGAACATTATGTATTAGTAGCCACCATCTTCTTTGGTCTTCACGACAAGACAATGGTCAAGAGCTTTGGGTAAAGTTAATGAAGAAAAAATTATTTCAGTACTAAGTATTATGATTTGAGACAATACTTTACCTAAGCAAATAACATTATTTCAATATTTTTTAGTTGTTGTATCGAAACATTGATCTTATAGAGAAAAAATTGAATACTCAAAGCCCAGGTGGTAGCATTATATTAAAATGTAAAGATTTTCGTATCCTTCAATTGGATATTAATTCAGTGGATGATCTAATGAATGTTGCACTCTCCATAGAAAAATTAACATCCCAAGGTATAATATATAATGTTACTTTACACGTGAAACACATTGATATACTTCTTTCATTAATTCCTACTTTTTTTTTTTTTTACTACAGAGCAAACCTTGCAGTATCCCTTTTTTAATAGACCACAGATAACTAATAATGCTATGATACAAGTAGAAGATGGATGGACTGCATTTACTCCTGTATCAGAATGGTCTAGATTATTGACTGCCCATGGGGACGAATGGCGCATCAGTTACTTAAATAAAGATTACAAAGTTTGCAATTCTTATCCATCTGCTGTTATAGTACCGCGACATATAGAGGATAAAATTATAATATCTTCTGCTAATTTTAGAGATGGAGGAAGATTTCCTGTTTTATGTTACAGACACGAAGGAGGGGTATGAAATAATATTGTATAAAATAATAAACCAACAGATCACACATATATGTATGTATATAGTTGATATCTAATAAAAGAGTTGATAAATGTTCCAGAGCATTTTATTAAGAAGCAGTCAACCGATGTGTGGTACTAGTGGTAAAAGATGTAAAGAAGATGAAAGATTATTAAATGCAGTGTTAGGTCCAGGTAGACGTGGGTAAATAATCTTAAGAATTATCTTAACTATTTTTTATAAATTTCAAATTTAATCAGTATTACTAATGCAAAACATTTTAAATAGTTATATAATAGATACAAGATCTGTTAGCCAAGCTCAAAGTTCTAGAGCTAAAGGTGGTGGTGCAGAAATTGATGCGGCTTATCCACAATGGCGAAAAGTACACAAAGCAATTCCGCGACCACACGATTTAGCAGATAGTTTTTTCAAATTGATAGAGACCTGTAATGATGTAACATGTTCTACCTCTCAATGGATCTCGAGACTCGATAATGGTGGATGGTTATTTGCCGTACAGAGCGCCTTAAATGCCGCTTGTGTAACTGCCCAATGTCTTCATCAAGAAGTTGCAGCTGTATTAGTTCACGGTATGTAAACTGTAAAACGTGTCGACAATTATATAGTACGTTAGTGTACAAGATTAAAAAATAATATTTATTATATTTCGGACAGGAAGCGCTGGTAGAGATTCTACTTTGGTGGTAACTAGTTTAGCACAAGCGATATTAAATCCTGATTGTAGAACAGTACGTGGTCTACAGGCTTTGATCGAACGTGAATGGATACAAGCAGGCCATCAATTTTTCAGTCGTACCCGTCATGGACCATACCATTCATCGAATTCACAAAATTCAACTCACGCTCCGACTTTTCTTCTCTTTCTAGATTGCCTTTACCAACTTAATTATCAATTTCAGTTTAGTTTTGAATATACAGTAGAGTTATTAATCGAACTGTATAATCATGCATACTGTTCTAATTACGGAACATTTTTAGGTATACACAATATAATAATGTCTTTACTTCTTAAATGAAAATGTAATTTCTTTTCAGTAAATGAAATATATGTAAACATTGATTTTAGGGGATTCAGAGGCAGAAAGAGTAAATCTTCGATTATCTGAACAAACGTGTAGTTTATGGTCGTATTTGAATCAACCAGAAGTGTTAGAAAAATGGTTAAATCCTTTATATGAACCAAATCCAGGAGTTATTTGGCCGAGTGTTGCACCTGTCAGTATTCAGTTATGGAAAGAACTTTATCTTGCACATACAAGTATTGCTCCATGGAAAGGTTTATTATCGTGTATAAAACAAATCAAACAAAATTATACGGCAGTACGAAAAGTTGCGAATCAATTACAACTTCAAATCAAACGAGCGATAGAAGAAATGCGTTCAGATCCTGATATATGTTACGAAGAAGAAAATCAAGACGAACATACTTGCTTAGCACAATTAAGCTTAGATTCCCAAAGCACTTGATTATTTTATATGATCAGTTTGCTTTTAATTACAATATAAAAATGAGATATAACAAAAAAATTCACGTTTATGAAAATTAATGACGATCTTGAAAGCTCCTATTTATATTGTATCATTGTTAAGTTTATTATGCTAATTTTTGTAAGAATATAATGATGTAAATACGAATATTAATAATACATATATATATATATGCATATACATTATTTATAATGACGTTAGTGAAGCAACCTATAATTTATATGATAAATAATAAAAAAAAGAACGGGGTAACTTTTATCTATGTTTATATAGGTATTTACATATCTTTTAACGTATAAAACAATTAACTCTTTCATTTATATGTAATACTATGAAAAAATTTAATAAAACAAAAAAATGAAATTAATTTTAGTAACATACAATTTTTTATTTCTACTTTTAACAAATATATCCTAATGTATTATCAAAAATATAAGTTCAAACTTGAAATAATAAAATGGTAACCATATTATTAAATGAATTACAAAATTATTCGTGTAATTTTTTATTGTTATTGAAGGAAAACAAGAATAAAGGAGAGGTTAAGGGCTGAATTATTAGTATCTATGAAAAAGGAAGTTTGGAGGGGAAACAAGGCAGGTGTTCGTACACAAAGAAAGTGAAAAGACTCCTATAGTCAACAGCAGTCAACAGGCTTGAAACTCGAAATTCTTTTATATGTTTCTTAACCTTGTAAAAAATTTGTATGTACGAAAATAACTTTAAAATAAGAAAAATACTAATAAAAAGTATCAAACCATTTTAACATAAAACAACATGACATTAAAGTTTGATTTGCGCATTGATTTATGTAGTACATACGTATGTATGTACTTATATACATATGTACATGCAATGGTACAAAAAAGACATCTATTTGTATTATGATCATAGGTTTTGTAATTTTTTCTTTAGTTCCTCTTATTTTTATTTACCTTGTTAATTCTAAAACAGCACTTACGATATTTCTTGGTGAAATTTTTAACACCTATATTTCTTTAAACCCCACAAACAGGTTCAGCCTTGAAGATTGTCTCTGAAGCTCGATTTCCTTGGATGAGTATGGATCTAGTCACGAATAAAATTAAAAAACGTGGACTGAATTCAAACCCATCCAGGGCCACCGAACAAGTCCGCTTTTAATCCTTTGATTAGTGATGTTATATCTAACAAAATATAAATTATGGCAAGAAAAGTTTTCCAACGAAAGTTCGATGGAACAAGAAATGCACGAACTTAACTAACGATGGAATCACAAGACAGAATGTGATGGAATGATACGTTTGAAAATGGAATTGCAGAAGTTGCGAGTAGGGGAAGCGGAATAAGAGGACCGGATTGGTGAAACTCCCTCCTCTTGCTATAAGAATAAGGCCCTTAAGAGGGGAAGATATCTTTGATACATTAAAGAATTTAAAATTTTAAAAGAATAGTTTTTTACTTCCATAATACTTGCTACTACTATAAAATTTCAGTTCCTTGTGAATACACGAGTATGTTACATGTGGTGTATGTACATACATACAAATGTATAAAATCGAGAAACTAATAAGGAATTGCATCTTTTGTCACCTAATTTCTATCTATATATATACGTATATTTTTACAAACAATAAAGATTTAAACATATATATACATTTCTTAAAAAGTAACATATTTTGACACAATTAATCCGAAGAAGAAAAAATAAAATTATATGAAAAGTATTATTTACAAAATGTTTTCAATTATATGTGTATTTTGTGCTTATAACATCGCATTCGCTTGTAACTAAATAAAGGTTACCGTATACCTTTTTAATTAAAATGATTTATGAATTGTAACATCATTGTAAAAGAAAATGTTACAACATTACATTGAACCACATTGAAAGAACTGTTTTGTTGATCCGTCAGAAATCATCAAAAAAAGAAAGAAGAGCATCATGTTTGCCACTATTAAGTTACTAAAATACCTATGATATATGTAATAAAAATCCCTAGTTTTAATTTGATAAGATGATTTTATATTTATCAATTTTTTAACGTATACGTATAGAATAATTGATAATTGATAGGGTTGATTTATTCATTAACGTTTTGTTAATGTTTATCCATTTCTTTTCGCCATATTTGTTCAGCTAAGCACTATACAATATATAAATCCTGTTTTTGAAATCTGAACGAAATGTTCCTACAAAATGAAATATAGTAAATAGAACATTTATTTATCCAATAACTATTTACCTGCACTGTTCAGTGCTTACACTGGGCGCTACAAACTTCTATAGCCTATAGTCTATAGCAATAGAAAAGGTGCTGTTGTAGTTGTAACATGTTTTTTTTCAAGGAACATCAATGAAACAGAAGTATTTTAAAAATGCCATATGTGCATATTTAAATAAATTGGTAATGATTTTACAGTGTTGTATTTCTATAAAGGTATGCATACATTTAGTACTATATTTGTAGGCAATACTGATTACTGTCAATTTTAAAAGTAAGAAATTTTATTGTTTCTTGTAATATAAAGTGCTTTCTTGTTTCTTAATATTTTAATTAGCACAGAGTACTATTTGTTTAGTTACTGTTGTTACTATTGCATTTATAATGCAGTTGCTATAAAATCAAGTAACTTTTTGAATTTGCTAAAAGACGATAGATTTTCATCCACTGTGAAATATCATGAAAAATTTATTTTAGAAATATAGTCACATTTTATAAGTAGTGTTATTTAATTTGTACGAAGCTAAAACAATGGAAGGTAACTATAATATGATATCCTAAATACAAGATACATTTGAAAAATTATTAGATTCATAAATACTTTCAATATGTATAGATTGTTGGAATACATCTTGTTGAAAAAACAAATATTTTTTCAGAGGCATAAACATGAACAAAACATTAAGTTCAATAGATAGTGGAGGTGATAAACATCTGTCAGAAACAACAGTACAAAGCATAGTGCAAAATTTGACTACCATGCAAAATATGCAGAATGCACAAAGTGTTGTTCATAGTAACATACAGAGTATTCAATCAACTCAGACCATAGTAGGTTCAGTTGGAACATCTACCAATCTTGTAGGCAAATCAATGTCAATGGATACAAATCCAAAGTTGCCTTTAATGAAACCTGTAGTTCCTTCTGGTACTACGTCAACCTCTGAAACTAATAAAATAACCACAACGGTAAAAAATATTGTTTATTGTTATTTAAAAATTTGTAATGCTTGTATTGCTATTATTAATTAGAAAAGATTGTATAGTGAATGAACTGATTTTTTATAGATTTGTTCTGTGGGATCTACAGTAAGAATAATATCTCCAGGTATGTTGAGTACAGTGGAACGTCAAAATCAACCACAGGCTCAGCAATTGTTACAACAGACGCAGCAAGTAACAGGCATACCAGCAACCTATCATGTACCTAGAGGACCGGCAGCAGTTGCTAATATTTCAGCTCCTAGGTCAACTGTAGCTACTCCTATTGTTAGAGCAAATACAGGACAAACAGTACCTACCACAAGAGCAGGGTAAATATGTTTATTCAGTAACGAAAAATGACAATAAAAATCCATGCATTTTTCACATTTTCTAGAATAAGTACAACTATTTCAAGTTCTCAGTGGCAACCTAAGACATCAGTTGTATATGCACAACCACAAAGACATCCAGCACCTCCAGTTAGTCGAGTTTCAAGACCACCGTCTACCGTGTATACGAGTCAGCAGCCTCGTCTAATTACACCAGCAGGACAAGGAAGGTCTGTTCAAGCCACAATGGTCTCTGGAGTTCCTGGTACTCCGTCCAGATTAATAGCGCCTGTTCTTCAGGCAAACAATAGTATTACACGATTGCCAGTATCACAAAGTAGACCAACTACACCTCAAGTGGCAAACATATCACAGACTGCACAACCTGGTAGATCTTCAACTCAAACTATTCAAGTAAATTGGCATTACTTGTTTTTTAATTAATCGATGAAATAATTGAGTTTTATTTGTACGATTATTAGAACTATTGCGTATTTAATTTGCAGCCAAATCAATCAAACAGACCTAGTACCGGTATTGTGAATCGTATAGCTGTATCCGCACCTGTAGTTGGTACTGCAAATAGAATATCTGGTACAGCTTCGGTAACTGTTCAACCAACAGTGGGAAGGCAATTATCAATTAACACTGTGGCTACTCCATCGAGCAGTACTGTTAGTCGAATTGTCATCCCATCTCAGCAAGTTGGTATAAATAAAAATACTTTGTTATATCAACACATAGCAAATGCTTTCATAGTATTTTCGATTAATTGGATTAAATAAAATTCCTTGTACACGTTAGGTTCAACAACAGCAGCAGCAACAGCAACAGCAACAGCAGCAGCAGCAGCAGCAGCAGCAGCAGCAGCAACAACAGCAACAACAACAACAGCAGCAATCGCAACAACCACCACCGCAACAACCACAACCGCAACAACCACAATCACAATCGCAAACAGCTCCACGTGTTGTTCAAACAGTAACTTCTTTATCAAGTCTCAGTACAGTGTCGCGTGTAATTGCTACAACAACAAGTACATCAAATACCACAAGAGTGTCACAGCCGACATCAACCACGGTTGCTAGACTTACTGGGATGTCTTTACATCCTTTACCTTTAGCACCTGCAAGAGTTACGTCAGCACCTGTTAAAACAGTGCAGGCACAAAGTATTGGACAAACTGTCCAAATTAAATCTTCCCAACAATCTGGATTTCGAGTTTCTTCGGCTAGTAATACAAATAATAATTCAAATACAGCACCCGCTCAGTCAGTTCAAGGACAATATTTGCATTCTCCCCATACTGCTACTTATTATTCCTTTGAACCAACAGGTAATATTTAATTATATCTTACGTTCTTAGTTTTAAAAGTAATCTTAACTGAAAATTGTATCGAATAGGAACATATACTCAATATCGACAAACTCCAGTAAGATTACTCGTTGAACCCGGATACGATGAACCACATACTAAAACAAACGCATCTCCAAGACCAAGTATACTTAGAAAAAGGGATCATGATAATTCACCTATTAAAGGTAGACGAAATCGAATTATTTATCGATAAAATATCACAATATAATACGATAAGAAAGAGCCTTTTTAAATCCTTACTTATTATCAGGTGCAGCAAAAAATTTAGTTCCTGTACTTGCATCTTTACCGCCTGTCACCACATCCAGTCCACCTTGTTCACCAAGAGGAGATCAAGATGGTGGAGGTTGTCAAAGTTCGGGATCCACTACGGTTTCAGCAACATCATCGCCAGGACTCGATGAAGAACCAGAACAATCTAGAATTACTATAAATCCAACAGTTGAGATGTCTCCAAGGAAAAAACCTCGAAAACAACAACTTACCGGTGTAGAATTAACGGAATCAAGATGTACAGAAGAAGAAATGCAATTCATCACAGAAGAGAGAATGAAGAAGGAACTTAAAGAAGAACCGAAAGAAAAATTGTTGGAAAAGAGGCAAGCTTCAAACACGCAGTGTGATGTAATCAAGTCTCCTATACAACAGTCAACCGTTCCAATGCGAGCACGGCCTACACCTAGCTTATTAGGTTTGTAAAAAAAGATATGAAGCGTTATAAGTATACGTATGTATAGAAAAAGACATAAAGATATAATACTTTTTTCACTTTACAGGACCTTCCTGGAAAAATAGATGGGGAAGTAGACTTCATCATTATAGAAGACCAAGTGAGGTTCGACCTCGCGAAGAAAGACGTCCCACGGTTGCAGAAATAGCCCAACAAAAACATGTATTACAGAAATTAAATGGTTGGAAGGTATATCATCTTACCGCGCAGATGGAAGACATTGCTGATCTTGAAAAACAAGTACGTTTTGTAGATTGTTATGAGACAATACCGAATGATAATTGTAACCGTAATTCATACAGAGGGTCTTAATATATTTTTATAGGTACATGAAAAATTGAAAACAACACTAAACATGCTTGAATCGCAACAAAATGTTAGAAGTAGACAGGATGACGGACTTGAACGTGTAAACGAATTGATTAAAGGAAATATGCAGCGCAGTAGTTTAATTAGCGAAGGAATGAATGAAGCACGCACGCAACTTATTGCTATATTTCAGCATAAAGGACCTATTACAGACATTTTACAACGGTGCGGTAATAAACGAGCTCAAAAGAAACGAGATAAATGAGCTAGCGTTTGCATCGAATTGCAATGAATATGTTTATAAGGAACCCTTGCATAAGCGAGGTTTAAAAGGGAGTTATTTTTATCTGTGTCACAGAATCTATATTATAGGAGTAAAATAAATGATTTTATAAGACTATGACATGACTGTCACTAACTTGTTTATAATTCTATTACAAACAATGAATTTACAACTTTTTATTTTAATACAACGCGTATTCTTCCTCTATTTCTTCAAGTTTCTTTTATCTTTTTTTTGTACTGAGGTATGTATGTATCAGTTACATAAGTACATAAATACGTTTATTTTCGAGACAAATGATAAAATTTAACGTGTGTATTAAAATTTGTATTACAAGGCGTGAGATATACTATTAAATCTATTTTGTATGTATACTTAACACATGTACATAAATGTATGTTACTATGGCAATAACGTATGTTTGACATTTTTACTTAGCAACGATGATAATGTAGGCATTTTATTTATATATTTGATTCTGTCTGGTACTTACATATATTCAGTATCAAGTATTTTAATACAGTAATCTGTTTGCGTAAAATAATAAAGATAGTGTAACAGCATGTGGTGGGGATACAGTCCTGCATTAGATATTCAGTTTGAACTTAATAAAAGTGAAATTAATTATCTAGGTAAATGTATTGAGGTATTAATTATAGGTGCTAGCGATGCCAGACATATTATGAAGACATTAGCATCATCTTATTTGTATCGCGACCGCATTGTTACATACAATGTAATTGAATCAACATTGGAACAAGTAGCTAGATCCATTTTTTTATTAAGCACTTGTTTAGATAGAAATTTAGGTATTTATGTACATATATAAAATTCACACTGTAATTACTACAAAGAAAGAATACTTCTTTTAATTTTACTTTTACTTTTGTTCAATGAAAATGAATAACATTGAAGGATTACAAGAAGCAACACGATATTATTTGGAAATATTTGGTAATACTCTTGTAAGACCTGCGAGTGCTAAGTACTTGGTGAAGCATTCTAATCAATTGGCAGATATTCCAACAAATTCAATTGACTGTCCTTGGTTAAGTTTAGAAAAATTTAAGCATAAGGACAAAGATCAGCTGGAAACAATTTTTAAGTAAGTTTAATTTTTAAGAACCTTGAGCATTACTTTGGTTTCTTTATAATTTTGTAAATCTACTATTTTTTTTTTTATTTAATAAGATTTTGGGAGCGCGCAACACGCGAGAATGTTCCTATTGTAAAATATTGGGATGAAAGAGTTAGAAGATTTTTGAAAACAAGGTATGATTACAGAGAAGGTGTTTTTGATTGGGATTATCATATGATTTTAAAGTCTAGAGGTATTTCAAATTTAACTATACAAGAATATAGGTATGTTTATCAATTATAAAATATTTTTATCATTTCTGTCATAAAAATATTTCTTTCTTTTAACGTTAGATTTTGGAGAAATAATGGAATTGCATTTACTTGGTTGGAAGGTGAACCCGTTAGAAGCAATCCAACATTATTAAGTAACATAGTACAACATGGACCTGGATTTATACATTATACTTATTTAGGAGATATTGTAAACGGTCCTTTTTTTGCTTGGTTGTTACAGGAAACAAAGCACAGTCATATGTAAGATAGTCATATGACTAAACTTATGCATTTATGTTTTCATTTTTGCTTCTTTTTCTTTTATTTTTGCTATCGCTTTACCCATAATAATAGTAATAATAATAATAATGATGATACTAAAAATTACAATGTAGTAAATATAGAGCAACTGATATAGCTGAACGAGAAATTATGCGTTGTATACATGAAATCAAAACACAAGAACCATTTTGCGAAGATCTTGTTGCATCGCATAGAGATTCTTCTATACTAAATGGTACATTAGTAACTGAAATGCCAAGTAACGATATGGAACAAGAATTATGGGAAAGAAGAAGAAATAAATATAAGAAAAACAATCTATCTTGGATAGATATTAAAAATCATAAGGTAATATGTAATATCAAATTTAATCAATGCAACAGGCATCGATATTTTTTGAATCTGTATTTTATTTTTAGGTGATTTTTCACCCTCTAAAGTCTTTGGAAGCTTTCAAACATAAAGTAGAATATATTAATAAATTTGACTTTATATGGGTAGCTCATAATATGACAGAACAATTGCCTAATCTTATACCATTGATAAAAAAAGGAGGAATTATGTTGATGGAATTGAAAAAGCATCTAGTCGAATTACGAGAAGAAAATTTACAAACTTTTGTAAAAGAATTGAAAAATACAGCTCAAAAAAATGGACTGTATGAAATTAGTGATATAAATGCTAAGGAACATTGTATTGCCAGATTTTGTAAAAATTAAATATATTTATAAATAAATACCAATGCAAGTTAAGTTTCAAAAATGTAATAAATTCTTGAAATTTCATGTGTGTATACATATTGTATATGTAATAACTAATATAATTAGATTTAGTTGGACATAAAATATCATTACACCCAACATTCATTCATTCATTTAAATATATGTAAATATATAATACAATATAAATACTATAATGTTGTCCAATTCGATTCCGTGATAAATTTATATAAACTTAATTTAACTGTAAAATTATTGCAATAACAGGTGACTTTTCAAACAGATTATTTACGTTTGAAGTAATTAATAAAACAAAAATCACTAAATACTGTTAGACATAGTGAAAAAATTAAACTCATCGTGGTTATGAGAATCACCCAAAATCGCGGGAAACGCGTCCTGTTTCTCCTTAGAGGTCCGTAAGATTCAGTTACAATTTCTGAATATTAATAGAGAAAATTGTTTATACAAAATTAAATTTATTCTTGTAGAAGTTTACATAAATTATGTGTTGATTTCTATACATTGAATAACGGTATGCATTGTTTCTCTAAGAAATAAAGTAACCCTTGAAAATCGGCCATCGCGGCTATTTTCAGCGATAATGGAAATTGTTTTCAATGCGTGAGCCTTTTATACAAAAATATTGAAATTTATATTGCGTTAACTGCTGAAGAAGTGTATAAAGTTTTATAATATTGAATTACTGTCTTCCTTGATAAACGATGATGGTAAATTAGTTGACAAACTATGAGCACTATCAACAGAGTGGATAACGAGGTGGGCATAATTGTTGAATCAAGATTCGATGAATTCGACAGAAGTTTGGACATCACGAGCAACGATTTTGAAAATGATAAGAAGGACTTGAGTGTTAATTCTAATAAAACTTTGCCTGGTAGAAGTCGTTACGGCAGAACAATAAAACCCAAGTCTCCTAAGAATGAGGTTGCCAGTTCTCCAAAGGCATGTTGTGCCTCCTCTTAAGATCAATTACAGTTTTTCTGATTAGAGATCAATATTATTCTTAACAAACTATGGTACTATATGTAGTAATCTTTAATGTTTTCACACATATTATTCTTTTATATGATGCATATTGCAATAATTTTTTTATAACTATCAATAAAGTATCTCAACGGTTAATAGAAGCATTCGATTATGTAATGTAACATTATTAATATTTATTTTTTACAGAATTCTAAGCTGCAAAAGACTCAAAAATACCAGAACTTGTCTGACAGCAGTAATGAAAGTACAGATGAAAATAACGTGACCAACGATATGGATGATACAAGCGATTCTTCTACTAATTTAAGTACAATGGAGGAAAATACTCCAAAATTGGTCAGTTCATCTGTGCAGTGCAATTGGGTATTAGGTCAGTTAGCATGGGCCAGAGTTGGAAATTTTCCTTTTTGGCCTTGCGTAATTACGCTTGATCCAGTTTCAATGATATATAATAGGTTGAAAGGTACACTTTTTTTTTTTTTTTCATGTAAGAACTGTTAATAATAATAATTACTGTTTAAAAGGAATAAATATAAAATATCTGTTATTTGTTATTTCTTTAGCTACTGCCAGATCACAGGTACTAATGGTACATGTTCAATATTTTGGTGATAAAGGGCGTCACAGTTGGGTTTCCTCAAATTCTATGATTCCGTTTACAAATCTAGCGGACTTTAAAAAATTATCGGAATCAATAACTGCAGAAGTTAAAAAAAGGGATGCAAAATATGCTGCTGCTTTCATTGTAAAGCCTGGGATAAAATCAAAATGGGAGAGCGCAGTTGAAGAAGCTATGGAAGTTCACTCTATGAGTAATCAAGACAGAGCCAACATTTTTAAACCAAAAGAGAACGTCACAAAAAATAGGTCACCAAAAGCATTAGATGAAAAAGATAAAATTAACAAAAGGAAACACTCGAGTGACTCGAGCGGACCTGATATTAAACGCTCTAAAGAGGACAATGTAGGTGTGCGAAGAAAAATAATCATGTAGAATACTATTAATACGATAAATGTTGAATTTAATTATTTTTCAGACGTACGATTTAGATAAATCACAATATAAAACAGATGGAACAAAATCAAAAGTACTGAAATACATGGAGAATGGTAAAAGTAATTCGAGACTTAATTCCGATACTCCTCCATTGTCTCCTTTAAGTCAAAGAGATTCGAACGATGAGATTTCTATTATGCAAAAGGTTGAATTTAAAACCGAAGAAGTAGATGGTGTTTTTGAAGTTTACTACGAACGAAACAGGGATATGTTAGAAGATGAATATCCGGATGCGTCGGAGCACGACATTAAAAGGTATTTACGGAAAACTTGGGATACTATGAATTCTTCTTTTCGCAAAAAATACCGATCATATGTAACGTCAGATGCTACCGATACTCACATAAAAGAAAATTCATCAGATCACGAAGAAGATTTATTAATAGACATAGATGTAAATATCAAGGATAATAAGAAATCAAGAATTAAAGCTGAAAAGGAAGAGATATGTGTTACGGAAACGAAAAGGAGTAGACCTTATAATCTTTTTAAAGGAATGAAACAAGAAAAAGTTTGTCAAATTTGTGAGAAAACTGGAAAGTTAACTAGATGCAAAGGTCCTTGTTATTCGTATTTTCACCTTTCTTGTGTAAAACCAGGCGAGTCCAGTCCAGAACATTCCATCGATGAAAACACAATGGACGATAAAATTCTTAACGATATAAAAGAGATCAAAGGAGATAATATCGACGAGGACGAGACTAGTGGTGGTACTGAGATCAAGTCGAACATTTTATCATTATATTTACACATTTGGTTAATTGTATATTGTTTTTGTTGATTTTTTAGGCAAAACAGAAGAACAAGAGGACGAGTTATTTAAATGTATCGATTGTTTGTCAGGTGTAGCTCCTGCTTGTTTTATATGTAACGAAAGGGAAGGGGACAGAATAAGATGCTCTGTATTAGCCTGTGGAAAGCATTATCATTCGTCTTGTTTAAAATCATGGCCACAAGTAATGATCAATAATTTTGTCTGCCTTGAAATTGTATTGTATCGTGAGGGAAATGTGTAATTACTTTTTTCTTTTTTCTTTTTTCTTTTTATTAGTCTCATTGGCAGGGTGGTCGTTTAACTTGTCCGTATCATGTATGCCACACATGCAGTTCAGACAATCCTCAAGACAGTCATCCAAGAGCTTCGAATGAAAAGTCGGCCCGATGCGTTCGTTGCCCTTCATCTTATCATACATCCACGTCTTGTTTGCCTGCTGGTTCAGTGATTTTAACCGGTAGTCAAATTGTTTGCCCGAAGCATTATAAACCATCGCAACCTCCAGTAAATGCAGCTTGGTGTTTTTTATGTACCAGAGGAGGAAGTCTTATCTGTTGCGATACATGCCCAACGTCTTTTCATCTCGAATGTCTAGGTAACCATTTTCCCTGTAAATATACTAGTAATGTTACAGATATATATATATATATATATATATATATATAATATACACGAATCACTGTAGGAATTGATGCACCCGATGGCGCATTTATTTGTGAAGATTGTGAAACGGGCAGATTGCCTTTGTACGGGGAAGTAGTATGGGTTAAACTTGGAAATTATCGCTGGTGGCCATCCCGTATTTGTTATCCTCATGAAATTCCTGAAAACATAGAAGCACTTCCTCACAGTCCTGGTAAATTTTGTGTAATGTTTTTGGGATCAAATAATTATTATTGGATTCATAGGCAAGTGAATTATTCTATTTTTTTTAGAAGAAAAAAATTTTAAAAGGCAAGAAAACAAATATTTATTCTAATAATCGTGTACCTATTTTTAGAGGTCGTGCTTTCCTTTATCAAGACGGTGATGCAAATATAAAACCGTCGATAGGTAAAAAAAATAATAGAGACGATACTTATCGGAAAGCACTAGAAGAAGCCAATCAAGTTCATCAGCGCTTAAAAATTGAAAGAGCTGCTGCCAAAGATCATGGACCACGAGGGCTAAAACCTCCGCCTTACGTTAAGTTAAAAGTAGAGTTTTTCCTCTTTTATTATTTAAATTTTAATACTTGTAATTTATAATAATGATTATTAATCGATTCATAGGTAAACAAACCCGTTGGTAATGTAAAACCGGCCGAAGTTGAAAGCATCGTCGCGTGTGATTGCGATGCAGAATGGGATAATCCATGCGCACCGGGAACAGATTGTCTCAATCGGATATTGTTAGTTGAATGTAGCCCTGGTATTTGTCCAGCCGGTCCTAAATGTAACAATCAGGCATTTGTACGAAGACAGTATCCAGCTATGGAACCATTTCATACCGTAGGACGGGGTTGGGGTCTTAGAAGTTTAGAACCTATTAAAACTGGACAGTTTGTTATCGAATATGTAGGTGAAGTTATAGACGAAGCTGAATACAAGCGAAGATTACATAGGAAAAAAGAATTAAAGAATGAGAATTTTTATTTTTTAACCATAGATAATAATAGAATGATCGATGCTGAACCAAAGGGGAATTTAAGCCGATTTATGAGTGAGTATTTCATGTGTTTTTTTTTGTTTATATATATTTAAATGACTATTTATGAAATTTAATAGATCACTCGTGTTCACCAAACTGCGAGACACAAAAATGGACAGTAAATGGGGACACGCGTATAGGTCTGTTTGCATTATGCGATATTGAACCTGGTGAAGAATTAACTTTCAATTATAATTTAGCTTGTGACGGAGAAACTCGAAAACCATGTTTGTGTGGTGCACCAAATTGTAGCGGATTTATAGGTTTAAAAGTTCAGAAACCGCAGGTAACTACACCATCGATTCAACAAAAGAAATTTGAGAAAATCGACAAAATAAAACGTCAGAAGTGGTGAGTACGATATGTAATTATTAAATTTAATAAAATCGATTCGTTCCTTATATCCTATTTACTGTATACTATATCTTGGAGTAAATATGTATAGTAGCTCAGATAATTCATTGATTTAAAGAATACACTTGGGTACTACAGGTATGTATATACCATAATGTGGATTGTCTGGTAATTAGGTCGAGGAAACAAGTACTGTGTTGGTGTTGTGGACAAGAAATTGAGAAAAAGGAAGATTCAGTAGTTTGTGATCAGAAAACATGCAATAAAAGATATCATAAAGCGTGCATTGATATTGACGACACAGATTCAAGGTTTAGTTGTCCTTGGCATCATTGTACAGAGTGTGGTCGTAGAACATCTGCCCATTGTTCGTTTTGCAGTGTTGCTTTCTGCCAAGGTAAATAATGTTGTCTTCAAAAATTTCCAAACTGTCTCTTATCATAAAATTAATACTTTTTTTATGGTTATTGATAGTACATTTGGATGGACATCTATTCGAATATGGTGAAAAAGGTGGTTTCGTTTGTGAACTACATGAAAACATGGACATTCAAAGATCAGCTGTCGAAGATGAAAAAGATTATTCGGACAATGATATTGAAACAGATAAAGAATATTCTTCTACAGATTCCAATAGTCCACTGATAATAACAGAAAAGTCAATGCCACGTGAACCATCGCCAAGAGTTTCCATAGTAGAGGTAAGACAAAACTTTATACCAACAAAGGTATCGTTGTCATTCTGTTCGATGTCCCCTAAACTTCCACTTGAACTTATTTCAAGTTATAAGTATTGATAATCTTTTTTTATTTTATTTTATTTTATTTATTTTATTTTATCCTCGCAATAGTAAGTAGAGCAAGTAAACCGAGAATGAAAACAAATTGCATTGGTGGTGGTAAAAGCATGAAAAGAAACTTTTACGTAGACACATTTACGTGAAAATTGTAGTATGTATTTTAGTCTTTTTACTTGCTTTTTTTACATTTTTGTATTTAAACAACAAAGATACGTATCTTTTTTATGTTAAAATCGTATTTTAAAATTGTTTAAATTTCAGTTAGATATAATGTCACATTTATACAAAACACACACAAGTATGCGAATATGTTACGCATATATTATTATTCTGACATACAACCTAGCTTGATCCGTTCTGTACTTTGTTTTTTTTTTTTTCCAAATTTTACTTGACGTTGTATCGCATCTATTTTTATTTATCTGTCGATATAGTAAATTATTTGATTGATGAAAAAAAAAAGAGAAGTGATCGATGATAATTAACTTTTCTTTTCTTTTCTTTTTTTTTTTTTTTTTTTTAAATTGTTTTTCATTGTTCCCAGCATCCTCTCCCTGACATTGGCAATAGTGAGAAGTAGTAACAAACAAACATGTTCTGTTTAAGTTTATGTGTTCAAGTGAGTGTATATTTTTGATATTATCTCTTTGGACTTCTGACTCATAGTATATTAATAGTAAAAAATAGTTTAATCATTGTTATTTAATTGCACGATTTTAATTACCGATATTGGTAAGTTCATTTCTTTTGGATACAATGGATTTTCAAATCCTGTAATTACAGCTCGTCTTATTTTGGCTTTAAACCTTAAGTATAGTTTTGCGTTCGCGTAGAGCATCGTGTTTCCCAGCTATCGATTGAACGTTTTGTTAAAATGTAGCTGAAGGATCATTCATTTTTTGTTATGTATTGTCGAAATAGCATTCTAAGCTTTAATATGTATTATATAGGTTCATCCAAGCAGCGAAGAAAGCGAAGAATCTCAAAAAGAGGATGAAGAAGGAACAATGCAGTATGCCGATTTTAAACTGTGCGAATACAGTTCAAAAAGTATGAAGAGAAAAACATTACACCGATTATCTCTGAGGTTGAAAAAAGAAGATCAGGTAGAAGAATTAAATAATCTTACATCTAGTCAGCTGGAGGCCATAATCGGTGGCAGTCTATTTGAATGAACAATTTATCTTCATTGATTAAGCTTGAAATAAAAAACATACTTTAATGTGCATAGCTTTGAATTTTCACACAATTTCACATAATAAATAATAAATTGTTTAATGATAAATGAAAAATGGTGATGAACACCGGATAATAATAATATTTGCAACGATATACATTATTTGCAAATTGTTCATTCCATGTCAAAGGGATCAGTTGAATAACGAATTTTAATAAATTTCAACTATAGCGCCAAGAGTATACAACTTGTTTTTAATATAAGAAAACTATATTGTGTATCATCCCTATCTTATGTATGTACAATGGGATTTGTATATATTGTTTTTCCAATTCAATTGTCTATTTTCTATGAATACTAACATGTATTTAAGGATCAGAATTAGATGGCTCATCTTTCATATTTTTAAGTATTTAACATTAACTAATAATAATTTTCAGTATTGCATATAAAGTTTACGGAATAATTATATTGGGAAATATATGTATAGTTTTTTTTCTTTTTTCTTTATGTGTACAGATGAATTATTTTCAAAGCGAAACGAGTATGATTTTATAGCGGATACATTCGATGACCTGACGCCAAACAACTTTTAGAAATGAGGAAACACATGTCACCGTTATTTATCTAATCGGATTGACATGGAATGTTTTTGTTTGCCAATAAATAAAATAATTCTGAGTCAAAGTATGTGCTTGTTATATGTACATACACCGCGTACAAGTTATTTATTTTGTTTTTATATGAAAATATTTAAGTTAAAGTTACAAGAATTTAGTGCCTTGGCAAAATTGATTTTAACGCTTACACGAATCAACTTTTAAATATTTACTAATATTTGCTTTGTATAATTTATCTTTATGTCATTTAAATCATTTGTTTTGCTTTGAAAGTTTTATTCATAGAGACAAACAATTTGATTAGAAAATGAAATAATTATATTTTTGAATCATAGTAAATGTTATTGTTATTGGTTCAATGAGAGACCATACCTGTTCTTACTTCCAACTCGATGGTCGTATACACGGTGGACAAGAATATATGAATAGAGGAAGCAAGTGATAACGTCAAAGGTCGAAGAGTATATTGAATATAAGACCACTGGATATGCTGCTCGGTGCCACAATACGCTTGTGTAGACGATGCATGCATACTCTCCTTGAACAAATAATACACTGCCATATAAATTTTTAAAAGTTTTTGAAAAATATTATATTCGAGAATATTTAATATTAATACTTACTTTTAAGAGTATTTACTGTTAAGATATCAATTAAAAAATATCTTTATCAAATATTTTACAAGGATATGGTAAAATTATTTTACATACTGATTGAATTTTATACATTAATTTGTTTAAAAGAAATCGGTATAGATATACAGTAGAAAAATTGTTTCCTTGAAGCTTGCATATATGTAAACATTATAGATGTATAATGAAGAAAACGATGAATTATTCATTAGCGAAAATCCGCGAGAAAGATTGAATACAACTTTAGATTTTTTAATTAAACATTTAGAATTCAATAACTGTAAGTATAATAGATAAAAAAAGATAAGTTAAAACGCACAAGTGATTATTATTATTATTATTATGTTATTATTCAAATATAACAATTTACGTTTTTCTTTTTCCACTAATAATGAGAAGCTATTTTGTTACACAAGGCAATATAATCTCAACATTTTTTCGTATTTGTAAGTCGCAAGTTGCAATTTTTAAATACTTTCATTATACTAGCCTTTATCTTACATTTTAACTCGTTACAAATAAATTGATTTTTATTTATAAAGAGTTGTTATCATCGTACTTACATGTACGATATGACAATTTATGATATATTTCATTAGTCAGCATTCAGAGTATCGTTTACCATATTTATATAGAAATACATATATGGTAATACATTACGTCTTGTAGTACACGATTCGAAAAGCTATTATGCCTGTGATTCTTTACCGTAATTTTGATAAAGTTTTGGACTTTCCTGTATCGAAGAAGTACTAGGACTTCTTAAAGTTACTAAATTACGATCCGAATTTGAGGCTGTGGATATGGTTTCTTCCAATGAAATTTGCTTCTTTCTTAATACAGGTGCAACAAAATTTTGACCAGCCGACAAGTCTCTTTTCAGGGCTTGGCTCTACAACAATTTACTTTTAATTATTTAAACGATATATAAATATAAATATATTTGAAAGAAGAAAAAATGTACCTTAGACTTCGATGCGGGTAAAGTAGCACCAGTGACAAGACCTAAAATACTTGCAGCAAGACCACTAAGTTGTACCGCAGCTAAAGGTGATAATCCTCTTCTTACTAAACCTAAAGCTAATAGTGCAGCTTGTGCCAAAATTGGAGCGGCTCCAGTAGCACTTGCTGCTGCACCTGCTAACTGGCCACCGCCGATACTTGGTCCGTAGGCGAAGCATAAATTGTGCCTGTCCACCTACGTGAAATAAAATGTATCTTTATAATATGGTAAACATACCGTATTATCGTGTTGGCAATATTTATTTTAACGTTAAAACCTACAAGATGTTTCACTACAAGATACAACAGTCCAAAAGGTGTGATTAACGGACAAGCTAAACTGTAAACGGTTGTCATAGTAAAAACTAATAGTAACCAAGCATAATGAGCACCCAAAGGAAATTCCCATAATACTGCCTTTCTGACATGTATTCTTTCCGCTCTACTTCGAGCTATGCATAATCTGAAGGTATATAACGCTAGTTCAGGAAATCTGACTAATTCCAATCCACTTCCAAATAAGGCTGCCGTAATTACGTAGTTTACAAATAAAGCACCCTACAAAAACATAATTTTGTATTTTGTATTTTTATGCACTTTCAAGTTTCAAATGAGAATTGGTGAGTATTTGTTTTACCGCACCTGATCCGGTAAGAAGACACAATCCCATCTTCCAGTGTCATTTGCCGCATTTACGGTCCACTCTAAAAATGCTTGAGCACTAGTTAGACCCAAGCTTGGTAATATGAGAACCATCAATAATAAAAGAAGTAATGTTTTTGTCATTACTGCCCGATTTAGACTACTTCTAGTCCAATGTCTAACTAACGATTCGCTTCTTGCTACTAATACAGGCATTAAAGCAGCCACGCTAACTAGTAATACAGTTGGAAGGAAGGCTGAAACTATCGGACTAAGATTCATAATTTCTCCAGTGATCGGTAATTTATTCAAAGCCGACACTATCACCTAAAATCAAATATCATAATCATAACAGATCCTTCGAGATCCTTGCGATCTGATAGGAACTTACAGCTGGTGTAGTAAGAAAAAATAATACAATGCCCAGTGCAAAGTTAATCAAAACAGCATTGAAATACCAACATGGTCTTGGTATACTTAAATTTTCCCAAAAGATATCAGATGGTGTCGGTGCATAATCTACGACCCACTTTATACTAGGCAATAAACACAACTGTTTACGCATAGCTACAGCTGCACCGGGTGTACCTTAATATTTATTACTATCGTTATTATTGTTATTGTAGTTATTCTTATTATAATTCTTGATAATTGATTATAATTATAATTATAATACATAAAACAATTGCAATAAAACAGCGACTGACCTAAAGTTACAAAAGCTACTCCGAGAGGTCTATTTAACGCTGCTTTCTTTTCTTCTTCGACTAATGCTGATAATCGCATTTCTTCGTTCATATAAAATTCTTGAGCATCGATTTGCTGTGAAAAAAAAAAATATATATTCTTTGATAGATATATTATTAATATTTTTTAAGAGAATGACATACATTTTTACAACAACAACCGATTACTTGACCACAGGGATATGGATACATCTTTAATGGTTCTCTTTTTTTTGCATAGTTCTCACAATATAAACGCGCTTGTTCAGCGCAATCTCTTTCTATATCCAGTGCTGAAAGCTGTCTAATATCATAAGCTAATGTAACATCTTCCACTGTTAAAGTAGGAAATGCTTCTCTGTAAATAATCATATAGTATAAGTAAAATAATTATACAATAACTATGTAAAATTTACATACTCGAAGTATTCGGTAAGAGCCTCTACATTACACTGATGCTTTGGTATTTCTGTAATTAATAATGTTCTAGCTGCTAATTCACCGCAGTGTTTTGAATCGTGTACCTATAATCACCCTCATTATCGTTATTACAGCTAATGATTAACAAAACTTGATCATCTTATCTCGTGTAACTAATGATACATACCTTTTTTAAGAAATGCCTCATAACATAACTACCGACCGGCAAGTACGATAAGATTAATATTGTATGCATCCAAATCCAGGGAGACATTGGATCTAAGTTTGACAATGTAGTATGACCAAATGTTGCCTTATCACCTTGCATATTTCCATGAAAATTAATTGGCAATGCTATACACAGTGATAAAATAACCATTAAGCATGTTAACATAATTAAATGACGTTGAAAAGATATATACAGCAAACCATCCGGTCCAGCTCGTTTTAACAATTCCTCATCGCTAGAATTACAATTAAAAAATAATTACTTCTAATTCCAATTAAACATCTTCTATGAAAGTTTTATTAACAATACTAATCCAAATTTCTACTCACGTTACTTTAAATGCAGTAACGATCCATGATAAAAAGCCTCTGTCCACTTGTGAAAGTTGTGAATTAACAGAAGTTTCAACACATATCGCGTCTGTATCTCTATTTTCATTGGCTCCATAGAATAATTCCATCCATCTTTCATCTGTTTTGTTCAACAATGCAAGACGTCCATAATTCCATGCCTTCTTGCGTAATAAACCAAATAAAATAACAAGGAACTGCCAAACATATTATAATGTTAGATAAATATATTATTATATTTCATACGCGCAATGAATTGTCTTGTATTTAAAAAATAATATATAATTTTTACCAAAAATCCAAAAAAATTTAGCATCAAATTTTCAGGAATACCCGCATAAATATCAGTTAGTAATGTTGTATTATGCCTTGGTATTGGAATACACTTTTCTGGGGTTGGAGTTTCACGTAGATTTGAACTGTAATTTAAATAATTTTTTATTTAGTAGGTAATTTTTCATGGAGTAAGAATACGTTCCTAAAGGAATGTTTTATATAAATACATACAATATGAATTTACTGAATATATACATAGTATATGAAATCATATTGTACGATAAAAGTTAAGAAATTATAAATTATTTCCTGCAATTATAAATCGCACCAATATACATATATGTTATGTATACATATATATATATATATATATATACGCACACACACATAGACACAAGTAAAAGTTTCAAAACCTGTATTCATGGTATTACAAAGTGACAAACAAAGTTGCTATTAAAAATTAAAAATGCATTAGCGTCCAAACAAAGGAATAACAGTAACAAATGGATGGAAGTAAAGGCCCATATTTTATTGCTTACCGAAAGTATACGTAGCCCATATTCGTTAAGATGTTTATATTAATGTATGGTTAGATAAGTACAAAGGCACATGTCAACAAATCCGTGTCAATTTGACACATTGTATGGATCCAAGTACGTGAATGCCGTTAGAGTCAACGCAACCTAACCTTATCATAAATGATTAAGATAACAGGCAATATGATTTCGAATACTTTGACCAAACCTTATGGACATGACATGTAACAATAATGTATATATTTTTTTTATTGTGAGATTATTTAAATTTTGATAGATTTAATAAATATCTTAAAAAATTTAAATAAAATAAGTAATTAAATGAATATTACATCCTCGGAAAAGTGTCCCCACCACTGGGTATGACACCTCGAATCAGCAGACATTATGCCCAATTCAGAGGAGAAATTTTTGTATTCGAAAAAGAACAAAATTTTCTCAAATAAAATCTTGAATCCTACAATACGCCACCCTCGCAGGAAACGCACCCCTTTTCTGAGATTTCAGGGAAACAATTAGATAAATAGATAAAATCTTGAAAAATAAATAAACTACAAACAAATCCTTCAATTTACAATTGCAAATGTTGAAAACATTCATGAAAGAAACTGAAAATTACCAGTTATAGTCACTGTTCACTGTAACTGGCATTCAATCATTTTTTATTAAGAATATTAATGAAGCGCCTACATATGTATAAATATGTATAATTATCTTCATTAAGGTTAGAACTTTAAATTGATATACCATAAATGCTACAAGTACCAAAGGACTTTGGTATCCGATTCAATATTCGACGTATAAGAGTTAATACTTAAAATAGAAAAAACTTATCATCGTCGATACTGATTATATGGTTGTAATTCACCTGACGTGATACAATCTAAAACCCAGGTTTCTTTTATACCTTCTGTACCAATAACAACTTTTGCTATATCTAGATTTTCAGTAATACAACCACCTGCAGCTTTTATGAGATCTTTCAACACGCTATAAGGAGGTGTTGTATTCTTTTCAATGTATATATATCCACAAGCAGTAAACAATTCTGGAACATAAGATGATCCAAACAACTGCCTATCTTTGCGATTCTCCTGGAAATTACAAAATATTAATTAATATGCTGATATACGTGATTAATAAGTAATTCTAGAAAATATGTTAACAATTAATAAATAGTGTATTTTTACCAGCACCGCCTTTGAAAAGTGCGCCATTTCATATTCTTCTGGACTTAACCACGCATTGTTTTCTAAAGATTTTAAAACCCATTCAAGGCCGACAAGCCAGCAGCCTCGTATAATTCCATGCAATAAGTTTATTGTACGGACACCCGTGGTTACAACATGTGTTGTACGTTTCGTAACATTTGATTCAAGTTTTGCAAGACCAAGAGTTTTAACAACGCTTTTAACTATACCTTTATCTCTAGAAAAAAGTAATTTACAAATAAACCAACGTATACGCAAAACGAACTGTATCATAGTACAGCACCGAGCATAATAGGCTTCTCTAGTCCCTCACCCTCGATAATGACGATATACAGTATACATAAGTTATACATATGTATATTCCTGGTTCTTCAATAATGCCTTTTTTCTTAAGGAAGCCTACCTTACTCGGTTCTATACACAATGTATTTTATTGAACAGATATAATTTATGAGAAAGTATCAAATAAAAATTCTTCTTACTCATTAGATAAACCAGTTGTAACAATATTTATTCTACGTCCTTTTTTTCTTGTAAATTGTGTAGTAGATGGTCTTTTCAAGGATTGAAAATCATTTGACGAGTTTCCATTCGAACCATGCACATCTACTCGCGTTTTATTCAAATTTTCTCTATTTTCCTCCAAGTTCCTTAAAATGTCTTCATTAACGATTTTCTTAATAACAATCTTTTTACTGACAACTTTCTTTGTTTTTTTTTCTTCTCTTTCATTGCGTTGAACGTTACTAGTATTCATTTTATTACATTTATTCTTTCTTTTAACTTGTTTTTTAAATATTAAGCACCTAGGAGGTGAATATTGTTTTTCCATAGGAGAAAATGATACTTGCGAACATTCATGAAGAGGCATCAGCTTTTTTTTAGATCTTTTTTTATCAATTTTCTTAATATTTATATCTTCTTTCGATTTATTTTCATTAACTACTTCTTCTATAGGTACAGATGTTTGTGATTTCATATTAGATCTCTCACAACACGAATGGTTCAAAATAATTGTTTGCTCTTGATTTTGACCACACACATTTATAGATACTCCCGGCGTGTCTTGTTCCCTAAAACAACATAAACAAGTTCGTTCAAATTTTATTAGAAAATCTGATTAATTCAAAAAATTATTATATATACATACTTACGGGAAACGTGATTTAGCTTCAACATGTATATCAGTAGAGTATTTTAATTCACTTCCATTAAACTGATTGTTGCTTTGGAGTGAACATGCTATAGCATTTTGTTTTAATTGTGATTTTAACATAACAGAACGGTACATAGGATATGGGGTGGCTTCTATGTAGCTTTGCTCATTGCTATAAATTTGATCAACAACTAGTCTATTCCAATTACTAACAGTTATGCTATTAATTTTCTTCTTTTCTTTATGCTTCTCATTGTTCAATTCCGATGTTATATTTCTACAATCGTTTTCTTGAGACGTACTTAAAGTATTTAACGATGTATTCATTTGTAACGAAGTACAGACGGTATTTATACTTTCCTGAGCTTCTTCTACACCTGCTACACGTATACCTTCTTTATATCTACTTTTAAAATTCTTACATGTTTTTCTCTCGTGTTTCTGTGTGCATTTATCCATGCTTTTATTTACCATGTCAATGGAAGTGTTTACATTTAAAGAAGTTTGGAGTGTATTTGCACTATCTGTTTCTATACTTGGGTTGTTCCATTGCATATCGGTGTTTTGTTCGATATCTTTATTAACTGTAGTAGCTTTTATGAACTTGTTGGATGTTTCGTATAATAATTTTTCATCATTTGGATTTATTTGCAACAATGTTTGTTCTAGAGAACCTGAAGCACACTTGTCTGATGCGCTGTTTCGTAAGCAACATTTAGACGCATCTTTTGCTAAACATTTTACAGACGACTGTGGTTTATCGTATAATATAAATCCTCCGCAAACATCTGTTATTTCCATAGATGTCGTACTATTTCCTGCAGGCATGTTTGAAACCAAAGATAAACTATTTCTAGCTTGAAAGTGTATTTCATCGTCTGTAACAGATATTTTATTATTTCCATCTATCATTGTAGAGCATGCAATTGGTGTTGCCATAGATGTATCTTCGCGTACCAAAGTATTTGAAGCTGAAAGAGATTGATTTTGAGAACTAATAAAACTTTTATCATTCGATGGTTCCTTCGCAAGAAATAAAAGTCTCTTTTTTAATCTATTTTGTTTTCTTTGGTTTTTCATACTTTTGGGTCTATATTTATCCTTTGGTGTACTATTAATACTTTGATGCAAGTTGGTTCCTGTGTTCTTTGATTCAACTTCATTAACATTTTTCTCAGTTATACAAGTAACATTGTTATTTAGAGCGGTACTTGATCGATCGTCTTTAGCATTTAAAACTGTACAAGTCTTAAGGGATAGTTGGTTTTGTTTATCAAACATTTGATTAGTTTTGGTTAATATAGCATATTTTAATTTTTCACAATGTCTATTCAAAATTGCATCATTGTGACTTATTTTTTCTAAACTTACATTTGCAGTTTTTGAAGGAATATCATAAGATATAGGTCTATGATTGACAGATGTTTGCTTGGCATTGGAGCATCCAGGTTTATTATTTCCTAACCACGTACCATCATGATACTCGATATCTGTTTGTTTGAGCGATTCATTACCAGAATCTGTCAAGTTTGAACCACAACTTAAATTTACTTTTAGTGAACTACGTCGATGCTTTACGCTCTCATCAAAATTTACTTTAATCTTCTTGTCTTTATTTACATTCATCGTTAATTCAATATAATTATATAATGCATATATATAATATATACGTACATAAACTTAACACATGTCTGGTCACAATTTATAAAATAAATGATTAACGAAAATATTTGGTAAAGGCGACGTTGAGAATTACTCCTGAATGAACATTTTTTTCTTTATCGACTTCGACGCCGGCCGCCATAAACATGAGAACACTAGCGCCATCTATTTAAAAACGGCTGAAACTACTCGCTAACTTACCGACCAATCATTTGGTTATCAGAAAATCAATCGATAAGTCGGTAAGGTCGGTAAGTTGTCGAGTAGTTTCAGCCGTTTTGAAATAGATGGCGCTGGAGGGGAATTTAAGAAATAACTTGTGGTTTTTTCCTAAAATATGTACATACAAATACAAGTTTTTCGAAATTGAGATTCCTTTTTATGGATGACTTGATTTTGCAATTAATTCATGATTAACGTGTGACGTTATTAAAAGCTTGATAACGAAGCCCTTATTTGGGATCGATGATATTTCAAAGCAGTAGAGCAGATGACGCCCGTGCTACTGTCATATAGAAACTGAAACAATCTGAATCTGACAGCGTTGAATTTGACAGCAATCAGGTGTTTTTATTATTATTTTACTTAATCGTAAAGTTGTGAGATGGAAACTGATGATCAGGATACCAATGACGACTATTATTTGGAATTATCATGTGATCCAATTAAGTTTGAGTCGATTAGTTCTCTAACAAATGTATTCTTTGACGATTCTAAACAACAGGTTAAGTTTACGGATAGCCCTCTTTTGTTCGATTTATATGTATATAGAGTTAAATTATTCATTTAAAATGTATTTATTTTTAGGTATTTGCAGTTCGATCAGGAGGTGTAACAGGTGTTTCAGTTAAGGGACCAAATCTAAACATAAATTTTCGAATGGAAGATAAGGGTGCAGTGATATCTATAAAATTTTCTCCCGATATGAATATACTGGCCATACAACGTTCGAATTCTTCAGTTGAATTTGTTAATTATTCTCCTGTTGTTGGGCTTGATAATATAGAATATTCGCAACCGTGTAAAGGAAAAAATGCCAGTATATTGGGATTTGTTTGGACGCATGGAAATGAAATATTACTCGTTACCGATTATGGAGTAGAATTGTTTCAAGTAAGGGTTCGACTAAATAATATTTATGTTTTTGCAGCTGGCAAGAAATGTGAATTATTCTGAATTATTTTAGGTAAATCCGGAAAAACGAACTGTCAGAGTTTTGAAATGTTTAAGTTTAGGGGTAAATTGGTTTGTATTTTGTCCACAAAGTTATTTAGTTTTACTATCATCTGGTACGGCAGGGAATCAAATGCAAGCATTGCACGTAACACCTGGAAATCTTCATAAACTAACAAAATTTGAAAGTATGATGTGAAAAATTGAATAGTTAACAATTGTCAAGATTTGTAGAGATACGTATATCGGTTAACTAGGAAATTGTTTCAGTGGAAACTGGTTCAACAAAACCAGGTAAACTGGCCGTTTCCGAAAGAGACGTAGCTTTGGCAGTTTTGTACGGTACACCCTGTATTATTCTGCTACGACATCAACCAGGGGCTAATCGTTCAACGGGATCTGCTTCCGTATATGTATATACCGTTCATAAGTATGCTTTTTAATATTCTGAATTTGATGAAAAGTTTGACAAGTATATGCTACATGTATATCGTTCTGTACCTTTCCATATTTTATAAATAGAATGACAACAATCAGAAGAAGTCATATTTTAAAGCTTGACGTCAGCGGCAGATTTGCCATTAACGTTGTAGATAATCTTATAATTGTTCACCATCAAGCATCAAAGGTGAGTAATGTTGGATATAAAATAAAAGAAGAGAAAAGGTATGATTGAGGTATGAGGGTATAATTATTCCGAACAATTTTCCAGACATCGATGATTTTTGATATCATGTTACCGGGTGTGAGCGATGGTACTGTAATGCATCACACTAGCGTCGCAGCCGCAAAACCGATGAAACCGTATAGTTTAAAAGTACCAGGAGCAACGTTATCGAACGAAACTTATCAACCTTGTCAATTATGTATCCTTGCAGAAAAGTTGAATTTACAGGATATTATAATTAATATTTTTCCTTAACGAACGAAAAATGTATAGATTCGCCAAATTGGGTTGTTTTTCAGCCAAACATAATCATCGATGCAAAATTGGGTTGCCTGTGGTAGGTAATAAATTTTCTCCTGTGGTAGTTTATACGTATGTACGTCTAAAAATATAATATAATATAATTATTAAGTTTTACTAATGACAGGTTCGTCGAATTGAAGTTGGAAGCTTTGGTAAAACTTATCACGGATAAAGTATTGTTAGTTGAATTTTTAATGCAACGAACGAACGGAAAGCATATCTTAATACAAGTGTTAAAAAATTTCATGATACTGTTACCTATTAGTTTAATGGATATGCCAACGATATTCGACAAGTTGAATTGTGTATATAGGAATCATTTAGAAAGCGAAATACAAAATCAGGTGAGTATAGATGAATAGAAGAAAGTTAATCAATTTATTTGTTTAATAAGAAAAAAGCTGTTTAGATGGGAACACCTTTGCAAAATAATATTAAAAATCTGTGTACGATAACAGAAGATTACAAATATAAGCTGTCGCTTGATCAAAGTGACATGTACAGTTACATATTATCGAAATTTTCGGAAAATACAATCGAACCGAAAATGATTGTATGGGTTCTATTGGAATATATTAGGTATATTTCTGATTGTCTAGTTTCTAGAAAAGTTTCTAGAAACGTGTTTATTTTAGTGTGCGCGTTTATTTTAGATCTCTAGCTGAACACGAAATACCCGTGCAACATTATTTACACGAATTAATTATTACGACGTTAGTAGAACGTAAAGCATATTATCAGCTTCACCAATTATTACAATATCACGTAGTGGTGGATTCAAAACCTTTGGCATGTCTGTTACTTTCTCTGGAAAATCTATATCCAGCTGCGCATCAGCTTGCTTTGGATATGCTTAAACGAGTTGGAAATGCTCACGAGGAAATAATCGAAGTTCTTCTCTCGAAGGGTTATATTTTAGCAGCGTTGCGGTAAAATCATGATGATAATTATGAAATTATTATGAAAATTATAAATATAAATATAAATATAAAAGAAGAAAAAGATTGCGAAGCACTGTTTCTTCTGTATTTTAGGTACGTCCGGTCAGTCGGAATGGTAGATCAAATGTCTGCTAGGAAATTCTTAGAAGCGGCAAAAGCAACCGAAGATGCGACGTTATTTCATTCGGTTTATAAATTTTTCGAGCAACGTAACTTACGACTGCACAATACTACAGCTTTTACAAAAGGAGAACACTGTCAGCCTTACGTTCAACATTTCAAATATTTATTCCAAGGGACAGATAACGGTTGTAATTCGGATACAAACTCGAACGTGACAACGATCTCGTCATGAAATTCTCATCTTGTTGATGCTTATATTTTTTTCATAATAAAAATAATGTGGAATAATTAATATGGAATAGATTTGAAAAATATATGATACAAGCAGAAGATTTATAATTGGTGATGAAATTTATTTGACACATTATAATTGTCAAATGCGTGGAGGAAAAGTGTTTGATACGTATTTATTATACGTTCAGAATGAATACATGGTTGATCCATGTATTGCCGACGTGGTCCTAAATTAACGAATTTTGCAAGAAACAAAGAAGATTTTGAAGAGAATAATAATAATAATCTATATTAACGCAGGTACATGAACAGATTTTTCCTTACTTAAGCTATTCGATGGTACGAACATGTTACAGATTGCAGATTACAGATAGAAACGGACGGACCGGACCGGACCGGACCGGACAGGATATACATACACTGTTTAATTAGAAGAGTTCATATACATGTATATGAATGTTTTGATTTGTATCGAATTTCAATTACATAGATACCTATACGTATACAGATCTAGTTTGTTAAATAACGAAAATAGTTTCGTACGTGTTTGAAAGTGAAACGAATAAAAAATTCTTGATAAAGAATTATTGGAGAAAAAAGTAGAAAAGAGAGTAAAGAAGGGAACGAAGGCGAATTCAGATTGGTCCATTTATGTTTAAAGAAAGAAGATGTAAAAGAAGAGGATCGAATATTAATGGTATTTTTGTAAATACATTATTAAAGCTGAAACTGTTGGTCCTTCCTTTATCGTTAAGAGACGAAGCTATAAAATTAGGTGTATCATTACGGCGAAACGTTCGCAAAGTTTTCAACAAGCGATTTCAGATTGAACTTTGCGGACGTTTCAATTACTATTATTCCTTTTTCGCTTTGGGTCCAAATCTTTATTCTTCACGGAGAAGAAGGATTGGCTTGTTAATCGATATACTCTGAATACGTATAAGGACGCGGTTCGAAAGGTTTTTACCTTTTTTTAGATAATATATAGGATAGGTGTGATAGAGAGATAAAAGAAGTAAATTAGGAAATGTTGCAATCGTCCGTGTGAGCATCTCTGATCTGCTGTTTAGTTTTTCGCGATGCGCGTCGGATCAAGCTACGACTGCGCGGTTTGCATTTTGCTTCCTCATTGACGACCACGGGGACGTTGGAAGTTTGCGCTGCGTTCATTTGCTGAGAACTGCCCCCAGATCCGGCGCTTCCGGTTCTGCCGCGTGGACTGCCAGACCTAGCGATATTCGATTAAAAACAGGAACACGAGGATCGTGCGATCGAAAATGGAGAAAAATAGATTGTTTAATTCACTTAGGAAAAGTTAATACGCCTGGATGAAAATGAAAAAGTGAAGGAATACCTGCGCGATCCATACGCCGAAGATCTTCGTCGGAGACCGGATTCGTCCGATTCACCGGTATGATTCTTCGGTACGATTTTCGACAGAGTGATGAAACATCGAAAAATGTCTTTGATATTGTAATCGTCTTTGGCAGAACATTCCATCACTTTGGCACGAAGCTTGGGTAACTCGCAAAACAACCATTCGCTGACATCCTCGATCGGTACTTCTCTTCGCGTCGAGGCAAGGTCCACCTTGTTTCCGGCAACGACTATTGGCACTTCCTGTCGAGAAATGTTGATAAAGCTAAATTTCCTTTGTTTTTCTCTTTCGCGCTACCTGAAAGTCCGGTCGTTGTTCCCTGACTTCTTCGAAACATCGTTTCACGCAGTCGAAGCTTGGTAACGAGGTTGTTGCGTAAACGAGAAGAAACGCGTGAGCCGTGGCAATGCTCAACCTTCTCATAGCTGGAAACTGCAAGTCCCCTGCGAAATCAAACAGACATAGAGACATAGAGAGTAGGTAGATAGAACGAATTTGCTTACCGGCAGTGTCCAACAGATCGACTTTTAACGTCAGCGTGCCGAGGACGCATTCCCTCGAATAGAGATCCTCGACGGTGGGTCTGTATCTCTCGCTGAATCCTTGACCAAGTAGACGACGTATAATTGCGCTCTTGCCCACGCCAGCACCGCCCAATACCACCAGCCTGATCCTTTCGTGATCGGCCATCTCAAAGATGAAAAATTCGAGAGCAAAAACGAAAGAATCGTTGGTTCAAGGAGGCATTTGATTCGAACCTCGCGCGATCCGAGCGCGTTTCCGTTTGCTGAAAAAGAGGACAAACGTGTGGTGTGCAATCACGAAAACGCGAAAAAACTAAGCTCGGCTCGTTATAAATTAATTACCGTATTTATTTTTACTGTCTACAGTCTTGTAGCTATTTCTACCCTAACGTTTTGAAAGCACCGTTAGTCTTACTTTGTTCGTTCATCGAGAAGAAATCGCGCAGAGTCCAAGGTATCGATCGAATCAACTTGGAAGAGAAATCCGTGCTCTTTGAAAGACTCCATTGGGACCGTTATCCGTTATCCGTTATCCGTTATCCGTTATCCGGTACGGTACGGTACGACTCATCGGTTAACCCTTTTGTTGCAAGAACCGTATCAACCTTCCTATTTGCCAGTCGCGGTTCTCGAGAAACAAGCAACTTTCTACGATACCAGATTCATCTCGTAACTAATTCCATTCTACTGGAATCTCACCGATAAACCGACGCGACGCGAATAACTTTGATCGAGCCGAAACCAAATTCCTCCCCTTTCACCAGCTCGAATGCTGAAATAATATTTCTAAAATCCGTTGTCAACTTGTTGTTACTTTTTGCCTAACTTAACACGATATGTAGCGCGATGCACGATGAGCGACCAGAGAAAGAGGTGTGGGTGTTAGGGTGCTAGGGTGCTAGGGTGCTAGGGTGAGGTGAAGGCCGGGTATGGGATGCTTCGTGTATCGAAACTGATCTACCGTGAAACGATCAAAGCCACTGGTCAGAGGGCTGTTACTAGCTCATCTATTTCGAACTATTTTCCCTTTCGTCTTCCTCTCTTCGCCAATCTAGTCAGCCGACCGACCACCCTTCTCTACTTCAACGCGTTTCTTCCCTTTCGCGCGTTTTCCTAAAAGATCCTAAAGCTCGTTTACCGGAAAAAAACACTCGCATCTCGACCTTTCCTATCGATCGGTGCCAGTAAAAACTCTACGTTTTTCCTGCGCTCCATCCAATTATTTCTATATTATTTATTTCTCTTCGATCTTCTTTTCCTCTTTATATGTCCGATCGCTCTCCTCTAAAATTTCGCCGCGTTTATACGACCTCCGATGTCAGTTGCAACCAACTCTAGTAATTATTCTAGCAATCAACCCTTTTCATTGTTCGTTGCTCGTTCTTTTTTTTTTTTTTTTTTTCCGATATTAATTTGTACGCAAAGTAATCGGAAATTTTATCGGACCGTCGCGTCGCGTCGTTAATGTCAAAGGTCGATTCTCAACACCTCTATTATAATTGGAACGTGTTTTTCAATTGTGTTTCGAACAAGATTATTCGCGTGTTCTGTAACGGTAACGGGAAATAGAGAAAATACTTGATTAAAAGTCACGGAATACCTAGCGACAAACTTGAGATAAATTCGAAATAAAGAAAAGAAAAAGCAGGATTGGAAAACCACGGTAAAAGTTAAAAGCTACCGGCCAAACAAATTTATTGTCTTGTAGCGATTCAATCGTAAAAATAATAACGATTCTTACCAACCTCATCGATATCTCTACATTTAGACGCGCTTCTCTTTCCTTCTTTTTACCAATACTTTAGTATACGCTCTAGAAATTTCAACTGAAAAACTAATTACGAGAAGCGATAAACACACAACCCCTAACTATGCGTTTCTAATAAACGTTTCAAAGAATAGGAAGAATATGATTTCATCATTGCAATATATCCACTCTAAATGGGTTTAATTTAATTTCTTCTTTTAACAGAACAATAATTAAGAAACATGGAATCTTTATTTTAAACTTACACTCGTTCAAAGAATCGATTCGATTCGATTTCTGCGATCGTATCTTAAGTCGTCGAAAGATACAGTAGGTATCGCTGTAATCGTTCGCCTCGATTAATCGAATTGTTTGAACGTATTGTTCAAGTGAAATTTTTCGTAAAAGAAACGTAAAAAGCTTTCAGTTGCTATACCATTGGTCGAAACAAACATCCACATAACCTTAAAAATCTCAGCATTCTAGCGAAACAATGGCTAATCGTGTGTTTTATTGAAAATATGATAAACAGGAAAAACAGGAACAAAAAAAAATAAAGTCGAGTTGATAAGAATTGTTACGATATTAAAAAAGGTGTCTGGACATACGTGTACGTGTAATAATGCGAACATGTTTGTCAAACAATTAAACAAATGAAAATCCAAGTTTCAAAATAATACCTTTGTTCGTCGATAGACGAAAAAAAATATTTCACGAACGAACCTAACGAGATCATCTGCTCTCCTCGTACATACATGTACGTTCACGTTTTATTTTAATTCACGTTTTAATAATAAAAAGAAAAATAAACGTTGACTGCGTTACAACGATCAAAACTGAGAGTATTATTTATAAATTACTAATAAATACGATGGAAAAATGACACTTACCAAACACGAATAATAACGCGAATGTTGGTCGATAATGCGTTAAAAAAGGCGTTTGAACGGCGTGCAACAGCAAACAGAGAAATAAATTTGCATAAACACCTTCCCCACCCGCTGTTCAAGCGGCACTGAACCAGGCTCCTTCAGCCTGTGTTGTGACTCGCGTTAACCGCCGAGTACTACGAAAATCAACTTTAAGGAGCGTGCGCAGCGTTATCTACTTTGTAATAACACGGTCGATTCTCCTACCTGTGGAGTAGGACTCGGTAAACCGTTTTTCCTTTCCTTTTCCTTTTCTTTTTCTTTTTCTTTTTCTTTTTCTTTTTCTACCCTTCGCTTACTTCCATTCTTCCATTATACGCAGAAAAAGTCAACATCAGTCATCGTTAAAATTCGATAAAATACAGCGACCTACTCTTGATGCGTTCTGCCGTAAAAAGTTTTGCAGAATTAATTCAACGTTCTCTTGTCTCACGCCATCTATAAAATAATTGAGTTTCATTATCTATCTGGTTCGATAATTGAAAAACAAAAACAACTTATTTACTTTAAGGTCGAGCTTTCATTTTCATTTTTCTGTTTCTTTTCTTTTTTATCGTCATTCGTCCGACAGCATACATTGCCAGTAATTTCCACTATATTAGCGTTTCTCTTTCCAACTCGACACGGTAATACTTGAATTCCGTAGACATAATTAAAAAGGATCGTAAACGACAAGTCCTGAAAAGTGATTAGAAAATATCAGATACTCAAAAGAGTTTGTACACGTTTCAAATATTATACACTATCATGATAAAATAACGAGAAAAACAGTTGTCAAAATGTTTAAATCTATTGTTTATTACATAAATATATCACCACATAATGTTACGGGAAGATCGTTTTACGTAACAAGTAAAAAGAAAACGAAAGAGATCAAACGAAAAAGCGTGACGAGAAGCAAGAAGAGAGAAGAAATGGAAAAAAAGGAATAGGAATACATAACGTTGAAAAAATAATGTAACTACATCGTTGTCAGTGAAAAATTTCATGGTGTAGGCAGAAAAGCGACACAGACACCGTCGGAAAAGATATTTAAAAAAAGAAAGAGGAAAAAGAAAGAGTAACAAAAGAAAAGTGAGCGGCGATCAGTCATTACAAAGTTCTCCTCTTCAAGTTGTAAAAACTTTTCCAGTTTACTATCATCATCATCATCATGATCGTAATCAACATTAACAACACTAGCATTATCATTACTGTTCCCCTACCATCATTGTTATCGTCGCAATCATCATAAATGTTGATCGTTGTCTACGCATAACATAGTAAAAATATATCTCTTTGATTGCTATAAAATGTTTTTATAATTAATATTAACTTTAATTAGTTTCTTATATATCACTATCAGAACAATCATTCTTTCCCTCGTGTTAACATGCACCATTTCTCTTCTTTGTTACATCCTTTCAGATGTATATTTCATTTTCTTTTCTTTTCTTTTCTTTTCAGGAACTCTAGGGGCGAGAAAATAGCATAATTCTATTTCTTCCTTATACGCTTTCGTTAACACAGATTTCGTGTTCTTCAAAGCTAACAGCAGCTAGAAAAAAAATAATACGTATCAGTAATCGATCCGAAATATCATTTTTTTTTTTTAAATTCATCTTTTATTTTCTCGCGGAGCTCCCATACGACGTAGAAAAGAAGTTATTAATTTCGCTAGCTTTTATGGCAAGTATGGAATGTTCGTTGCGCGAATTCCTCTACTCCACCTAAAAAGGAAAGGAAATACGTAAAAAGAAGAAAAAGAAGAAAAAGAAGAAGAAGAAGAGGAGGAAGAAAAAGAAGAAAAAGAGAGACACGCGATATCGCAGTTTCATAAATGACTATTCTCATTGTAACAATTTCTCGATCTCGATAATAACGCATCGATGATCAATGATAATTTATACACGCGTACCTACCTACATGTATATTTAAACGAGTTGCATCGAGGTTACTCGTCATTTTGGTAAATCAAGTGTTTTCAAACAATTTGAAAGTAATCGAAAATATTGTTATTTAATAATTAAAATAAGACTATTCGTTGGTAGTATGAACTCGTTGTTGTTCGATTAAAATTACTGAAATATTTAGCAAAATAAGGATAAAAAGAGTTTTGTAGTCAGGTAACTCGTCTATAGAGAAAAATGGCTTGCAAGAGAAACGAGTAGAAAAGTTTGACTACATACCAATGATTACATTACCGCTCCTAACAATAATCGTACGAAATGACACGTTATCAGTAGTGTAACAACGATCGCTCGATTATCGCGCATAATCAATACCAGTTTGTTGCTTTTCTTATCATAGAATAGGAAACACAGAAACTGGAAAGTTTATTGTGCTAAAATATTATAGAACAACGACAACGACGATGGCGATGGCGACAACGACAACGACGCAACAACGGATTGGAATAGAATATTTGTAAGAAATCGTAGTATCGTTTCGAACGATATTGTATCCTTGCTTGAAAAATAATAAATTTCGAAAAAAGCGTTCGATAAGATAAATGGCAAGACACGTGCCGATTACGATACGTCCACTTTATTACGGTGGTTCGTTCGTCGATTGGTAAGTTTATTTTTGGATTTGATATCACCAGGGAAATTTTCGTAAACTGCCTTTCTTCGTGTTTTCTTTACCACGAGTCCACCACGTACGTGTAGTAACAATAGCCAGTATTAATATCTGATGGGTTGCCAAACACCGGTGGTTTCGTCCCGACGATAATAATGAGGTCTGTTATCACGGAAGACGGTGACGGCCGGAAATTGATTGTCCTGTATATATTTCAGCGTCGCCCGTACCTAAAGCAAACACAACACACTGTTATAAATATAAATGTAAATGTAAATTTCAATGCAATATCTACACAAGTACCTGTGATACAAAATGCGGAAGTTCCACTTCTGGTGAAGTCGAAAGATGTTGTAGAATAAATTGATCGGATTGAGCTAGCCAGAGATCAACCCCCCTCAGAGGATCGTAGTTGAATGGTCCGATTCTAAGCAAGCCAAGCGTGCAATCATAAACGTCCAGAACCTGTGCGCAACGATACAATATCTGAATTACGTCCACGCATGCTGGTCGATTTTCTTTATTATTATTGTATTCGAGTTACACACCTGTTGACCACCGGTCAACTGTCTGGCGCATCTTAGCGCCTGCTCGGGACCTTTGTCGGGGAAGGTTGCAGGAAAGATCTCGCCAGTTTTGACGTTCAAACCGATGCCGTATATTACCGGCCAATGAATACCTCCTCTGACGGTGGTGTTCAACTCGCCCACGCAACAAAGAGTCAAATCAATCTCAACCGGCTGTTTGTGAAATGCGGCTAAAATAAAAATCGTCGTTTACTACCTTATACGTACGATACGTACAAGATTCTGAAAGCCCTTATTTTTCTTTTTTTCTTCTTTTCTTTTTCTGATAGAACACAAAAAAGAGGAAAGCTTACAAAGAATGTTGCAAAAGAGCTCTTCGGAATAATTCCTTGGATCGGAATAACCACCGACGAGTTGCAACTCGAGGCGACCCTCTGGAAATCCTAGCGCGAGCTCGGTTACCCTTTGAACCATCGCCGCTGCTGCATCTTCTGTGCCAGCTCCATCCAGGTGCGCCAACGCCGCGGCACCCGAACCTACGAATCAGCACGTGTCATATACAATACCATATATATATATGTATGTGAAAACGTTCGTCGTCGTCAAGTAAGCACGCTTAATTACCATCTAACCTAACCAGTAACGAGAATTACGGCTTACCGGAATGCCTCACAACAACGATTATGCAGGTAGTCATATCGTCCGAACCGATAATGCTCACGTTTTCTGAAAGTAGAGAAACACAAAAGGAAAATAAAAGGTAATTAATTTAAAATTAATTTAAAACTTACTATCGTGTGGCAAGGTTGCGGCCATTTCTCGTTGCTGGACGTACAGCAGACCCATAGGACCCACCAATTTTGCTGGCATCGAGTGTAATTGCGCTGCAGTTTCGCGATATACCGGATGGGCTGCGTACAAGGACCTACTGTCCGTTGGAATGTCCTCCTGCAGGACTCCGTTCACCACCAACACCATCCTGTACCAACACAGCAGATATTATGTACTTCTATTATAATGACAAGGATCGTTCGAAAATGAACGTTAAAAACGGAACCCTCGCGATAAAGCATTCCTCTACTTATCTGAATGCACAATCTGCAAGACGTTATACGGCAAAGCCAGTTATAGGATCGGGAGATCGAAAGATCGAAGATCGACGACGACGACGACGACGACGGAGGGCATTGTTGGCACTCTCGGACTCTGCCGCTAGCGTTAATCGCGTTAACAATAAAAGCTCTCGGGACAACCGTGCCAGTCAGCCAAGTCGTTCTCCTCTCTTGGTGCTAACTTACTCTAAAGGTTAAGGTCGTTCGCCTTCGACGACATTCTGCGTTTAACCCTGCGTTTGTTTAACGAGATTACCAACAAATCGAGAAAAGAAATTAGATCGAGCTATAACGGTACGGAGTTTCATTCAATCGTCGTCACGAGCGCTCGACTCATTAACGAACCACGGTAATTATGGCCTCTATTATCGGTTAAAATGCCGATTGGCCGATTGGCCGATTGGAAGAATCCGCGCTCCAGTAGTGGGATGGGTTACATTCCAGTAGGGGCCAATCGAAACGGTTCTTACCAACAACGATCAGATATTGAAACGACGCGTCGCGTCGTGGCCTATAGATAAGTTATTCTCGCGGCGATCGTCGTCGTTGTTATTGGTAGCAACACAAAGTGTGTAGAAAATAACTTGTTTGTTTCGTTTCGATCATTCTTTCGAGACAGGAGGCGGTTTAAAATCAATTTTTTTTTTTCTTTTTCTAAAAGTCTAGTTTGTTTATTAAACTGTTCGTTATCGTTCACAACAGATTACATACACGAGCGTGTTGCCGATACTAAATTCTTGTTTTAATTTTAAATTATCATTTTTGCTGTCTCTACGACAATCGACAGTCTACGTCGCGTTGAATGTTTCGACCTTTGGTCGAGCGCAAAGTTTTGAAATTGAAAATGCGGCTGTAGAAAAATGAAAGGGAGAATAAAAACGTGGAGAAGAAATATGTAACGATTAGACGATAAACATCGGAATAGGGAAGTCGTGCTCGGTTGCGTAAACTACATATTTGAAACTTTAATGACCTTTATCTCGATCGACCCATCGCGCATCGGTACGTACGTACGTACGTACATATGTTTACTATGCCGTACATCCCACCAACTTCTTCTTATCGTGGAGGAAAATCATTTTTTCTTTCGACAAGACGCGTTTCGACACGAACCATAGAAGAAGATCGACTCTATCGAGCGAATAACGGAGCAAGGGTTCGACGAGTTTGCCAACAATTCCCATGACGCGTGGAAAATTAGGAGTATGCCGACGGCAAGATTACATATACGGTACGCTTGCCACGATACAACCATTGTTATCAATGAAAATTACACTCTTGAAAATCCATTGTACCAGATTGTTGGTCGCGGCGCGGCGCGGCGCGGGGCGGTGTCGTTTTCGACATTCTTTCCTTCGGAAAGGAATTGAAATTCCTTAACAATTGCAGGCCGAGACAAAAACGCAAACTCGCGCAACTTTGTACCAATATAATAACCAAGTGATCGAGATAGCGATCGAAAAGGTACAAGTTTAGCTATATAGAATTATCGAGGAAAAAGGAGAAGGAAGAGGTTAAATAAAAAGAAATAAGGAAAGAGGGTCGGGGGGTCTTCTATAACAGAGAGAAACATGGTGGTTGTTCGTGACCATAATCGGTGCGGCGCAGCGCGGTGGAGGCTAGTTGGTTGGCTGTGCGGATCGAGCCACACGGAAATCCACTTGAAAAGTAGCCATTACCTTAATTATTGGTCTCTCTAAGGGAGTTTGTGTGCACGCTGCCCGGAACGTGGAACATCGTGTTCGTCGATTCGCTTGCCCGTTACCATCCTCCAAGAATTTCTTCGCGCGACATATTTCCCAGGGCATTTATTCTTTCTCTTATCGTTAGAAAAACTAGATCGAATCTCGACGAGTCGGTGATTCTGCGAACCAGGTACATAATTGCAAGAGCAACAGTTACTTACAGGGACCAACAACCTCTATCGATCGAAACGCCTTTCTCATCCCACATCTTTCCTCTGTTCGAGGGTGGAATTTAGGAATGGCATACCAGAATCCTCGTATCCACTTTTTCTCTATCCTTCCTCTATCTACGCTGCTATACGATACGGTGTATACCATACCAAGTGCACGCAGGTATAACATGTACAATGTGTATGGTAAATGAACGCGCGTAATTACACAGTGACGGCTAGCTAGGACGCGGTACGGCGGCGGCGTAGTCACTTATTTATTTAAGCGTGCAAAAGGGCCGTAACCATTAACGGGTGCCTTTCCTCGAATCAGCCTGTTCTTTGTGCTCGGTATTCCTAATGGCCGGTGATTCCAGCGTATCGAAAACCGAAGAGCGTAGAGGAGCTCTCTCTCTAACAAAATGAACCCGATTTCAATCAATCTTATACTTGAAATTGTACGAAATTATAAGAAAGTATAGAAATTAACGCATAGGTAAACGGCAAAGAACTGAATGATCGCATTTCGCTATTCACTTCTGATTAAACGAGCTGTGTACGCACGTTTAACGATTAATTAGATGGCCAATTACCGTTATCGCGATCGTGATATCTTGGGCGAATCTCGTTGGATAATCATAATCATAATCATAATTATAATCGGTCCTCGAAGACCGAGATGCAAAGATACGGACGCGAGCCGTGCTTGATAGCTCCAGATTACGCGCGCACCATCAACCTCAGTTTTCTAAGATTTATGCTTCACATTTTACGTTTTCGCTTTCGAACAATAACGTTCGATTATTATTATCGGGTTAGGCGCAATCTAACCCGAAACGACGGCGATTTTAACCGTGGTATACGCTTAAATGAAAAAGAATACTTTGGCGAAACAAGATCAGAATAAAAGAAAAAAAAGGGAAAGAAAGGAAAGGAAAGTGTCGTTGGTCTAGCAAAATACGATTACGCGCGTACGTTTCAGGCTGGCAAAAGGGGAGACGAGAAACACGAGCGAGACCAGTGGAAAATTTCACGCCGTCGGTTCGATTGCACTTGTCACGAGCGAAATGATAAATTATTATTACCAGCGGAGAATTGTTTACACGGAATAAGGAGGAAGCAAAAGGAGAAAACGAGAAAACGAGAAAACGAGAAAACGAGAAATCGAGAAACGGAATCGAATCGTTTCGATAGAGAAACGGAGAAAGAGGTCGACGTCATTCGCCAAGATAACTTTTATCTATGCTACTAAAATGCCGGCTGACCAAATCTCGATCGAGTAATCAATTCAATTTCTGCTAAACGTCCGAGAATGACGATATAAAATAGAAATCGATTCGTACTCGAAATAATAGGATGCGATCATGATTCTCTCTGAACGATGATTACCGAAAATACTTGGCCGAAAATAAGGGCGAGGGCGGAGAGGAAGCTTTCCCGATGCTCTTCGATTCTCGTTGAACGCGTAATCCTCTAGATAGTAAGGATTTATCGACGAAAAGGTTATCAACGAAAAGCGAGCGAAGAACGTTCCAACTCTAGTATCAATCTGACCGTTTTTTTTATTTTTTATCTATACAAAGCACGGAGAGACGCATGAATAATTACTTACGATCCAAAACGATTCTCTATCCGCTCGGCTTTTTCCTTCAGAATCACAACTACATACATATATGTTTAGTTTCGAGGAAGAACGATCTTGGGACAAGATTTCAGAGAGACATGAACCGAAAAGGTGAAAAACTGAAGTAAAACTGGTAAAAAGGGGTAGAGATTCGATTAGATTCGAATCGATACGAATGTTTGCAGCGAAAGAAAACCAGCGTTGCTCTATTATCCTATGTTGATCATCCTTCTGTCCTCGGTGAGCAAAGCTATTTCTCTCGTCGAAGCGGGAGACGATAACGCGAATAATAAGCGTACTCGGATAACGGGTGTCAAAACAAAGCGACTCACCTTACGTTTCTTTCAGAATTTCTCTTCAAGCCAATCGACACGTCCCCGCCGCCATTTTCAAACGATACTCGTCGCCTTCAGCTCCCTGCCTGCTTCGATCGGTCCTTTCTTCTTTTTGCTTTTCAATTTTCCATCTATGATTTTCTGTAACACAAAAAAGGCGCCGCGCCGTGGCACAAGTTTAGTACGAAAAGGAAGGAAAACAGGACGAAAGTTGAAGGAAGATGTATCTCTTTAAAGTAAGTACTACGAGATGCTTGAGTTTCGTTTTCTTTCGCTTCATTTCGATTCGATTCGATTCGATTCGATTCGATTCGTCTATCGCTTTAAGAAGATACGAATGACTCGTAGTCACAGGTAACGGTACTATACATACATATAAAACGGGCACCGCACCGTTCCGTTTTATCTAATTAAACGCGTTAATCGCGTCGCGCGATACCGAATTATCGAGATGTAAAATTGGCCGATCTTTCCGTTCGCCTCGCTCTAAATTTGGTTCGATGAAAATCGCGAGCACCTTCTTCATTCTTCTTCGTTTTTTAAACGATGCAAAGCTTTAGTAAAAACAAATATAGGTAGTAGCTCTCGTGTAAAATATACGTAAAACCGGTAGGTTAAATTTGCATACAGTGGCCCCAGCGAGCCTGCAACCGACCAACTCGCTACATATTTATGCTCTACGACTTCCTTCGATTGTTTATAAACGTATTCGACGCAGTCAGTCCGACGCGACTTGATTCTGCGATTTTTCCACACTTTCGGCCATAAAGAGAAGAAGAGTTTAGGGCAGCCCGGATAGAGAGGAAAATAGAGAGAAAAAGAAACAACATCGGCGAAAAGTGGAAACGATAACGAGAGTAATCGTGAAGGGTCGTTGAAAAGGTGCGTACTCGTACGCAAGAAAGGTACATATACGGACACTGTACAGAGTACACGTACACACGACGAGCTAGTCCGCATTCCATGAGTGGAACAACCGGTACACGGTACACGGTACACGGTACACGGTACACGGTACACGGTACACGATACAGTGGCTCTCAATTCGCGACTCTTAAAGATGTATTCGAACGAGATGGAATGGTTATGCAACGAAAGACGAGTCAGTCAGTGGCCCGCTGGATTCGCGGAAGATGAGCTGCCTGTCCTTCCGGGTCCCTTTTCCTTCTCTTCGTTTCGTTTCGTTTCGTTTCGTTTCGTTTCGTTTCGTTTCGTTTCCTCCATACTTACACTGCGATCGAAATCGAAAGTTGATGAAAAGTAAAAAACCAGGTACACGCGTTTCTCATTTTTCTCTCACTTTTCTTTTCTACCTAACTCTCAACTCTTCTATCGCTTTACAACGAGCCAATTTTCGTAATTAAATTAAGATTCGTGCGCGGAGAGCAACAAACTTTCTTCAACTTTGTTGAAAAGTGAAGAGAAAAAGGTTTGGAAGAACCGAAGGAGATAAATAACGATGCCTTTGGCCCGATTCTCTAAACCTTTCTATGGAGAAATTATTACGAAAACAGTTGGCGCAACTAAATTTCTGCTATCTTGCTTTCGACTAAACTCAAAGCCGGAGTTTCTGATTTACGAAAGCCCCGAGGGAGAGTCCAGTTATCTAAACATAGATATAATACATACATATGTATATAAGCGCATCCTTGCTGCTGCAAGAAATATCTCCTTAGCTAGCTAAACGCGGTATCACGCGCTATATATTATACATCTTATCGTTAGCAAACCATTACGATTCGGTTTCGTTGCAACTTTCCAATCAAATCGTCCATAAAATTGAAACGTTACGGAAAACGATCGCGTATCGTTGCTTGGCAAGTAGCTGTCGCAGGTGAGCTAGCGGCAGAGCAAAAGGTTAACACCCTCTACTAGCCTTAAGAGTTCCAACTGCCGAGAGAAGTTAAGTCCCGCTCCTTCGATACCAAACACAATGAACATACATACATCCACGGCATTAACGAAGAACCCAAAATGTTGCAGATCGAATCCGTTTTTCATAATTCCATATTACGGTTCGCCCAACTACCTTTCGATTAAACTTCTCAACCACGCGAGACTGTATGTAGACTGTACAGTTACGGGGATCCACGGATACACAGCTATTTATATCTTTACCCTCGAAATTATCTGGCTCGATTTCCAACATTCTTACCAGGAATTTCGAGAAAGAACCGATTAAAATTAGTAAACCGTCCAAGTAAGTCTAAAGCGAATCGCGCCGTTTGAGGAAAACGATAAAAGTTTGCTTGCAAGAGGAGAAGTAGTCGGCAGAAAGAGCAGATGAAAAGGCGTATACATAAATAGATCTAGGGAAATGGTGAAAGCAAGATACTCGAAGAAAGGAGGGCGGTGAATAAGAACCAGTGGAACCAGTGGAATCAGTGGAATCAGTGGAATCAGTGGAATCAGTGGAATCAGTGGAAGAGAAAGGAAATGAAAGGGGTAAAGATGGGTAAAGAAAAAGAAAAGTCAAGGGGAAGAAAGAAAAGAGAAAGGAAAAGGAAGGAGGAATCGATGCGGTACTAGAGGCGCACGTGTATGCGACTATCCTAAATACACGTACACATCTAAATAAGTACACGTGGTGCAACAAAACCCGCGATATCGTACCGTGCACATACGGTAGACAAGATACAAGCGAGCCTCCAGGCGCGGTCAGATTAATGAAACTCATGCCAACAGTGGTTCTCCTCCTCATCTCCGCATCTTTTACATCGTTTTATTTCATTTTCATTATATGCGAATAAGATTAGTAAATAACAAAGGCAACCAAAAGTGAAAGCATAGCGATTTTCCCTGAAATTTTTCCCTGAAAGGTTAGCCAGAACACCTGCTAAAGTAAAGATTTATTACAAACTCTCTTCTCGCGTATTACATACGATAGTTGACCAATCAAGTTCGACCATTGACCCATTTGACGAGTCAATTCGATTCTACGTTTAATCATTCGAAAGAAAGAGAAGGAGAAATTACTCTTATAGCGCGCTCGATCAATGGCTTGAAAAGTCAGTGACAAGGTTAAACGATTGCTATCTCCCAACCTCTTTCCTTCCGGTTTCGTAATAATCAACCAACAGAAAATACTACGACAACTTATCGGAACGCCAACTTTGAAAATGGCCGAGTATTCGAAAATGAAACGACTAAAATCTATCCTTTCTTATAACACATACTGCCCAAACTAAAATTAGACAATGAAAATTAGGAAAATTACGATTAGATAAAACACGATGCATATTTAAACAACCTCGTTACACTTAGAACGTGAGAGAACGTCAGAGGAGAGAAGAGACGCGCGATGTCATGCCACGCCACGCCACGCCACGCCACGCCACGCGACACGAAAGAGAGCCGTGATTTCCTTCACCCTGGTCGGATCCAACACAAGTTATCGTTTGTAAATTGTGCAACTTGTAATACGACGCAATTTTACTATTTTTTTACGCACGTGTCTCTACACTGCTTTATTCCTTCACGTCACTCGACTATCCTTAGTTGTTCATACGAAATTCAACTAAATTTGAATTTTAAACCGTTCTATGAAGAATCGAGTAAATAACGACAACGCTATTGAAATACGAATGAAATCATGAAACGATCATGTTGATCGTATACGTAACCAAATCTGACAGTTAGATGATGCACGAGTATTCGTAAAAATCATCTAACAGATTGCAAGCATTTCCACACTCGCGCTTATTATTTAGAATTATTTAAAATGCATAAGAACGGACGATGGATTTTTTTCATAACTCTATTAAAACTTACCTCTGTTGACGTGCGTGTACTGTCCAAGTACAAATCGTTTGAATTTTCTCTGGGATCGACGGATGCGGCGCTCGATGCTGATCCTGAACACCGGATGAGGAGGTGGTTGTCGTTGAATCGTAGTTACGCAACACGCAACTGGTGGCACACACGCGACGTAGACGACCAACTACGAAACGTCAGTAGTCACCGTCGTGATCCTCGTTCGTGTAACAAAATAAAACAACAACAACAACAACAACAGCAACAGCAACAGCAACAGCACACGACGCGTTATCGAGCACACACGATGCGACGCAACGCGATGGTAACTGTGGTGCCTCCGCGAACGAACTCGTCAAACTCGAGCAGACTGAATGTATCTATATTGTACGATGAAAAAAGAAGCGTCGGAGAAGACGCGATCTTGCTAGGCGCGTCACTCGCGAACCACCGCTTTCACAGTTGAGAGAGAGTAGGGCGCCCCGACTGACAATCGAGCAAAAATTCAGCAAGATCGGATACGTCGCAGTCGTAACAAGCACGTTCTCTCTCTCTTGCCACACTCGCGAACCACGTCCATATCGTTCGCACTGCAACTCGCGTCTGTGCTCGACCTCGTCCTCTACGCGAACCTAACTTCGTTTCTTTCCGTCCTTCTTCGCCGCTCGTGCACGCTCGTGGCAACAATGGCGCCGCTTCGACTACTGGTATGTATACATACGCTTCTTTAAATTTATTTACCACTTTAAATACATAACACAACGAAATTGCTATTATGGTGTTTACCAGTAAAAAATAAAATCGACCAAAAGATATCGCTAAATTTTCTCGTGGTAAAAAAGCATCGATAATTTGCTTCTTTTACTTGGTTCACTTGGTTCACTTGGTTCACTTGGTTCACTTATTTATTATGTCCGAATGACACTGTGAATATCACACTGTATTACGGATAATGCTAACGAAAGTGTATAAGTTTGCGACACGTATGACAGAAAGATCTGCGATTCTTGCGTATGCTAATTTCAATCTCGTTTACAGATTTCTACCTTTTCGCAAGAGTTGGCCGTATGGTGTAGCACCAGTAAGTACTTACTTTGGTCACAATAAGTAAAACCCCGGGCATACGACGACGGGCATCAGCATTCTTCGTTCCTCTCTGTTTTTTTCCTTATTTTTCCTAAAAGCTAAAATTCAACAAGTATTTACATAGTGTACAGAATGCTTCGTCCACGTTGTTTTTTTTAAATGCGTATTCCACCTAATCGATATTTTGGAAAGCATGAAGCATCGAGCATTGAGCATTGAGCATTGAAATCTCTAACACTGTGCAACAAGCGATTCAATGATTTTTTCTAAGTAACGATTGAAAATTAAAAAACAAAAAAACATAATCGAGCAGTAATATCGTACAAGTATCGTCGATAATGATTCGTATGGGTAGTTAGTGTTAAAATTTCTTGATCGTCCGCATTAGAAACATAAGTGTATTTAGGGTGTGGCTAAAACCGCTCGAAAACGGAATCTACATTATCGACTAATGTCACTCTTATTGTCTTGGACTAATATGTCAGGTATCATCGATCAGGTGATATTATTAGAAAAACTACTAGCCTTTATGGGAGATCGTGTCTCCTGTAAAATTCTAATTTGTATCGCGACCGCGGTAAGAAACCTGAGAAAGAAGTCGAAAGAAAAAAGATGCGTTGAGATTTGGCGCTGCACAAGTGCGCGCGCCATCTACCAGAAAGATGCGATACAATATTTTATTAGAATCGTTTCGCCCCTCTACTCGATTCATCAATTTCATCGGTAGAGTTGAACGTGGTTCGAAGATGGCGATAGGAGGGTAGAACGAGCAGACGCTTCGCAAGGAAGTCTCTTTCTTGCCGTGATAGCCAAAGCTTGGGCTCCCGTTGTGTCAGGTGAGTCGAAATTGAGGTGTCGCGAGAAAAGAAGGGAAACCTTTCGACTCGTTCGACGGTTCTATATAAAGTCGAAATGGCGGGAAATTGTCAGCGGTCTAGCGACGATATCTCGGAATACGAACGAACCTGTGTCGAGACTGGGAAGTTCAATGCGCACACCGTGTGTTTGTCGCGTCGCAAATCGCGACGAAACGAGACCAGAAAAACGGTCTGTGCACGCATGGATACATATATGTAGAATGTATGTATGTATGTATGTATGTATGTATGTATGCGGTATACTGGTGTAAAGTTGGAATGTACAAACGACTAACGACTATCGACGAACGAAAATATTCATGAACACAGAAACGGATGGACGGATATGCCCTAACGCTACAGCCGAATAGGTAATACACAGCCTTCGAGTACCGCATCGTCTTCCGTTCCCAGTCTAACCCAGTCTAACCCAGTCTAACCCAGTCTAACCCAGTCAACCGACCTATCATTTTTAATGTAATCGGTCTTTGGTATCACGATGACGACGGTGACAATAAAATTGTCGAATTTCTAGAAAAAAATTACGTGTAGCATTACTCGTGTATTTTATATTTTAGTGGGACGGTCGTCACAACAAGCGTCGTCTCCTCTTTGCTTTGGTCGTCTAAAAAAGCCCCCGTTTCGTCTTCGAATTTGTATGTACTTATAAATTGATGTTATTCAAATGTCTGAATATCCGGTTAAAATAAAAATCAGCAAAGAAATACCAGCGGTATTTCTGCTTTTCTTTCAGATGGTGGTGGGTTCTTCGCTGTTGGCTAAGCAACACAGCGAGTTCGAGGGAAATACCAAAGATTACTCTAATCGTATCGGAAACCAATTGCATCGATGCGCTACGTAGGTATGTTTCTAACAAAGAAAACGACGATGAAATCAAAGCTCCTTCGTAAACTTTAAACGGTCTAGTCACCGAAGGAAAACCTTTGAAGAGGAAATTATTACATAAGAATATTATAACGATAAGAATCCTGCTAAAGATGCTGAAGGGCCGCGTTTTCATTAATCGATAATCGATACTTGATCACGTTGAAAAATTTGCCAAAGAGAACGGTTTACCAAAAACAAAAGGAAAAGGAAAAGGAAAAGGAAAAGGAAAAGGAAAAGGAAAAGCAAACATAAGCGACAGATCGAGCATCGAACGAGAGACGTTTGATGGTTTTTCTTGGATTATTCGTCGGACGAATAGAAATAGGTAGACGAGAGACAGCGAAAGAGAAAGAAGAATGATCGGGGTGATACGGGAGAAAGGTGAGAGGTCGCGGGCCAGCGGATCGGCAGAGAAGGGTTGGAAAAACGAAAGAGGCAAAGGGGAAAGGGTTTGAAAGAGGCGGAGGGGGATAGAATCCAAGCGATATCGACCGCGAATTGCGCTTGCGCGGAAAAAGGCGCGCAATCGCTGTCAAGGAAGCGGCGGTATCGTCGCGGGTTATACAGAGAGACAGTCAGTCGATCGTCGCAACGAGCAACGTCGACGAGTGACCCTGCCCTTTAATCGATTCCTTTTTATCGACGCAGCTTTGTCCCGTTGTCTCGCGACCGATCGACCGACCTGATCCGTCATTCTTCACCTCCGCCTCCTCCTCCAATATCAGCCCTTATTGGAAGAAAACTCGTCGCCTGTTCGTCAACATATTCCGTAAAATAGTTCTGTCGGTCTTATCGTTTCATCCTTTCTGTCCGGAATTCTTCTGAACTCGCGGTGATTCCAATGCGCGCATCAACCAAATCCGTATTTTCCAAACAACGGATGGTGCGAAAGGTGAAGTCGCGCTAGAATCGTAAGTAAGAGCCTTGCTGTCGAAAACGAATTCTTTTTTATCCTTGCGTCTCCGCCGTTAGAAAGTTGACAGCAGTCTCGAAAAATAAGGGTAGAAAATATCTAGTTTCGTGGTGTTGTTTGCTTTGTACGCGTTTCCGTCAACCGTTATCGCGATACGTTCGCTCGAAACTGCAAATAGCATATTGGCTGCACCGAACAGGCAGAAACAGAAAGAAACGGAAAGGGAAATACTTTGGAGGGAGGGAAGGAAAAGCGATAAGAGTCCGATAACCGAGCGTATTCACTTTAACAACGTACCACGCGTAGGTAGATTTCTTGTACCCGCCACCGTTTCCTTCGTCCACCGACTCGACACATCCTTTGCCTTTGCGAATACGACCACGAGAAGGATGAAAAACGGAAATTTTCTTAAAATCCTCGTGTCCTCGTGTCATCTACGATACTCTTGGAGGAAGAAGCTGGACGATGATAGCGATTAACGACCGTTTGTTAAGAATAAACGAGTCGCTCGCATCGAAGTCTCCAGACACGAACTTGACGAACTTGACGAACGTTTCCTTTGGATAAATAAAAGAAGACTAAGGAATCAGATGGCCAGCCTCGATATGCAACAACAGACCGTTTTAAGCGAAATTGTTGAAAACGAAAGAGCGCAAGAGGAAATTGAGTTGACTGAACTACTGCCGGTGAAACAGTGTGAAATCAGCGAAGAAAATGTAATTTTTGCGCAAGCTAACTTTAGCGTGAACGCGGAAGTGGACGCAAGCACGAGCGATGCTTTAAAAGTACTTGCAAGTTTCGGTATCGCCGACGAATGCAAGAAGGAACAGTTTTCTAGAAGAATTCTACAACGAGCAGGGAAACAGGCTCGCGGACATGGTCGAGGAGAAAAGCAACGGAAGCAGATCGACGAGTACGTTGGTAAGAGTAGCGACGACAACGAGATCGATCTTACCGCTAGCCACATGAAACTAGTTAATCAAACGTTCGAAGATGACGGGGCGAAAAGGAAAAGAAAACGGGTGGGTAGGAAGGAGGAAGAGTCGATAAACGTTTACCTCAGCCACGGGAAAAGAAATTTCTTGATGGAATACAACGAAGAAGAACCAACTTATCTGGATCTTGACAAAAATAATCATGCGAACGATGAAATTTACGTGTTTCGTCGCGAACCTCTGGATTCGGAACAGAGAAGAAACAGAAACAGAAATTCGATTAAAGCAAATGAGGTTTACGAAAATAATTACCATCCATCGACAACCACCGATGGCGCGTTGTTTGATCGCATGGCGATATCTTGCCGAAAGAGAAACGTTGAGAAACGAATCGAAGAGAAGGTAGGAAATCGGTCGAACCCTATCGTCGAAGAAAATTATCTCGACGAGGGGGAAAACAACAACATGGTGCGATCGAATCGATTAAAAATTGAAAACGAAATGAACGAAATTAACGAAGAGGAGAAGGATGGCGACGATGACGAGGTCGATACAGATATTTCCAAGGAAGAGAGTCGGCAGAAAAAGTATTGTTGCGTCGTCTGCGAAGCTCGGTTCAAAGGTAGCGGTGGACTTCGTAATCATTACAAAATCGTGCACGGAGCTGGACCGGTGTTCAAGTGCGACGAGTGCGGTAAAGAATTTCCGTTGAAGGAAAGATTAAAGCTACACGTGAGAACGCATACCGGCTTCAAGCCGTACAAATGTTGCGAATGCGACAAGAGCTTCGCCAGGGGAGGACAGCTGGTGCAGCATCGGCGCACTCACAGTCAGGTAAAACCGTATCGTTGCGGCCTCTGTTCCGGCACGTTCACCTGCGCGGCCAATCTTGCGTTGCACGTAAAACGTCACAATGGCCAAAAAGATCACAAGTGCGAAATTTGCGGTCGTGCGTTCGTTCGACGAGACGCTCTGAAGAAACATCTCGAGTGCCTTCACAGAGACGTGAAATCGTTTCTTTGCGTGATTTGCAACAAAACTTTCAAGGGTCATTTACCTCAGCACATGAGGACGCACGCGCGCGATCGACCCCATGGATGCGCGACTTGTGGCCAAAGATTCGCTCAAAAGTCTCAGCTGACGGTACACCAAAGGACTCATTCCGGACAGAGGCCGTTCAGGTGTTTGGTCTGTTGGCAGGCGTTCGCGCATTCGACCGCGCTCAAGTTGCACACTAGAAGGCACACCGGCGAACGACCGTTCAAATGCGCCGAGTGCAACGCCGGCTTTACACAGTTACCCCATTGGAAGAAACACATGAAATGTATTCACGGCCGAAACGAGCCGTACGCCTGCAACAAGTGTAAAAGTTTCTTTCGAATCAAAAACGATTTGGAATGTCACGAAAAAACTTGTCATCCCGAGTTTGCGATCATCTCTCACGATCTTCACGACCATCCTGACCATCCTGACCATTCGAACCCTCGAGGCTCGTCGACCAATCCATCGGTGGCGGCGGCGGCGGCGGCGGCGGCGGCGGATGCTTTCACACCACCACCCCCGCCGCCACCGCTACCACCGCCCTTTTCCAACGAGCTCGTCGACAAGCATTCTTCACCGCCTTCAAAGTATCGCTTGATGACCGTCGAGCGGATGAGACTGTTGCTCGCGGTTTTGCTCAAGAGGATCAGTAAACAGGAGAGACTGGACGAGCTAGGTTTCGGCAAAAGACTGATCGATCAAGTCCTTCACGATTCTCTCATATCCGCCGGTAAAGATCCGGTAGCGAGCCACGGTCTCTCCGAACTCGAGACTCTGACGAAAAATCTCGAGATATTTCTAAAATGGACCGTACCGAAAGAACACTGGGAACATTTTCGTCGGTTAAACAAAACTCCCGAAGATATCTTGGAAACGCTTACCGCTACCTAAATCAATCTAAATCAAACTAAATCAAACTAAACGACACCAAAGATTATCGAAACGACCACGAACTTCTTTTCTTAAAATCAACGGAAAAATATAGAAATTCGTAGTCGATCCGATCCGATCCGATCCGATCCGATCGTGCGAATAGTAGAATATAAAGGGATAAAGCGATAAAGGGACAAGGAAAACAAGAGAGAGCGAGAGACTATTTTATTAATTGTTCGTTGTAACGTACCGTAGATAACGAAAACGTTAGTAACGATTTATCAAAAACGTGACGCGCACACATCGTTTACGTTTACGTTTACGTTTACGTTTACGTTTACGTTTCGTTTAAAGTTAATACGTGCTAGTCCAAAGTGCAAACGCTATATTTATGATAACGTTTTAAGCTGATTATTCGTTACCTTGCACTCTTCGATTCTCTAACAAATCTATCTATTTAATAAGAAAAAAATCGACTGATTTACTACTTAGCTTTCCAAAGAAAAGTTCGCGATAATGTCGTGTTTCATCTTGTTGTTGCCATTTTTTTATTTCTTATTTTTTATTTTATTTCCATTTAACTATGGAAAATAGCTAATGAATTTTCCGTGTGATAAGTTAATTTAATTAACGCGTCGAGTGCCATACCGTTCGCATCAAATAATTACGAATGCTGTAAAACATGCTATGCGAAGCGGTTCATTTTTTTTTCTTCTGTAATATACTCGTATTAAAAAGACGAGAATCGCGTTTCGCTAGTAATCGTAAATTACTAGGATCTAATTACGTATGTCGGCTTACCCGCGAAAGAGGCTTACATGCGTGTTCCTTTAAACTTTAAACGTATCTAAAAATATTCTTCTAGCAAAGAACGCGTTAACAGCGTTTTGCAATTTTTTTTTTTTTTTCTTCTTCTTCTTCACGGTGCCATTAATCGTTATTCAACTTTTTCTTGCCATTTTCTAAACATCAACGAACATATTATTATAATTGTAATGTGTTCTTATTTCGTGCGAGTCGTAGCTATGTACATATTATTACGGTTAAAAGTATTCAGTTTGTAACAAACAAATGTCTGTTTTTCCACCAAAGAAAGAAAGCAAACAGCAGTGGGGAAAAAGAAATATAAAGGGAGAAGGAACGTTAAGACGGTTCTTGCCAGATTTCTTAGCATTTACAATTTAAATACCACTTTGGATCTCCTTAGGTGATCTGTACATACATATGTATATGTATATGTCCTAAATCGAAGAGGCTAAAATGATATGCTACATTTATACATAATTTCTTTTCTTTTCTTTTCTTTTCTTTCTTGCAATACACTTCTCTTTCATAACGCGTAAAAAAGAAAACACCGCCTTTTCGCGATCAGAGATAATTGAAACTCGGAAAGAACGGAGACTTTAATGCCTATGGGTGTGTTCTATCATACTTCTTACCAGCGTAATTCTCATTAACGCGCGTTATTCGATTTCACCGAATGTTCGCTTATTCGCGTATTCTCCACGCGTTTTTACTTCTTTACGCGCCTACTTTTAAAACGCGACATTCTTTAGGTAGGTATAAGTAAATGTGACCAGACAATAATGATGAAGATTGCAAAATATATATACACTTGGATAGATATCGCGTACGCGCAAAATCACACACATAGTATATAAATATTAGCGAATGAACAAAAATATACGTATATATTAGATATACATGTTATATTATCGTACGACAAATACAAATAGAGACAAGATAGTGATAAATATACGTTTGTATGTTCCCTATCGCATTAGCATTATAATAATGCCATTTGAATTTCTTTGAAAAAGGTTTGAACGTTCTATGAAACGTGTAGCAAGGTGCTATTCTTTTCGTCGTCATTGTTCGTTTTGCCGGGCAAACCCTGTCCGAATCGAGGTTTCAAGAATAAGAACGATGAGAAGCCGTTTATTCATTTTCCAGATGAATGAATGTTCGTTTGTTCGTTTGTTCGTTTGAGAACGCATAATATCGTTGAAATAAATTCACCTTGCTCTGCGCGTCCAAGTTTAATAGCAAATCGCGAAATTGTACGTCACGAAATTTATTCGAAAGATCGAAATCTACTTTTCCGCCCGGTATAGAAATGCAAATAAACCTTGTCGAAAGCATTGAATATAGATCGAGGTCAAAGGAGAACTCGACGAATACGGTACAATTCGAGCGGAGATTTCAATGTTTCGACCTTTAATTTCACTCGATTTAAGTTAGACGACGGTGCCAAAGCAACAATTTTTTATTCACCTTGACACACGATGGCTTGTGTGGTCAATTGTTATATGTTTCTTCTCGCGATTTCGAACAAACGTTATTTCACATTTATATTTTGCACTCTCCTTTGTAGTTTTCTGTTGAGCGCATTATCGAAAATATTTAAAGTTATATTTATCGTTTTTTGTTATACGCGTGCACGTAAGGACGTGCACGCGTGCCTGTTATCCGCATTCTATTATATTATATTATATTATATTATATTATATTATATTATATTACATTATATATAATACATATTGTACTGTACAGTTGAAACGGTCATTCAAATAAAATGTTTTCTCTTCCTTTCTATTCAAAGTATTTATTTCGGTATATAGAAATATATATATGTATATATGTATATATAATGAAATATCGTGTCGCCAAAAGCAGAAAAACACGATTTACCATGTAATAATATCACAAGTTACTTACGTTCCACAGAATCAGGATGTACGTGTACGTTTTATGATATAATCACAAATACAGCATGCATTGTCAGTCGTTGCGTATGTAATTATTTAATCTAGAATCAACTTATTTCCAAGACAATTTAAAATTCTTTCGCAAATCCGTTTCTAAATCGTTGACATTCAAACGCTAGAAAAATTTACTTGATCAGCATAGATCATTCTTATGAAACAAAAAAGAAATTGAAAACTTACATTTTCTTTCGTATCGTACTCGAATGGTATTTTACGATCGTTTATCAAAACTTGCGTAACCTTTTTTGTTATTCCCCATATTTCGATTCTGTCGAGCATCATTTTCTCTTGAAACCAACTCTTTTTCGCTTTAAAACTCGACAAAGTATTGTTCTTGATGTTGAACAACAACCACAGAAATTGCCCCTTTTCAAACGAATCTAGAAGCGTTTTAAATAAAAATAGCAAAAAATACTCCAACACGTGACAGTACTGTGTTACAGTACTAGCTACGTATACGTATGTCTAATACCTAAGCTGTCACCATCGTCCCAATACAATTCTCCTTTTGCTTCTTTAACGTGATCCAACGTGATCAACAATTCCAACTTGTTTTTTCTACTGTATGTCGTGGTATTGGCTGCTTTCTGTACCGGTAAAATTGATCCACCGCGAATCATCAACGGTATAACGTCCAGCGGTGCGTTCAACGTGTAATATTTACCCATACAAAACGAGGCTTTCTTCGTATAAAAATCATACCATAGACCACGGGGCAAATAACCTCTTACTTTTACCTTGTTCTTTCGATAAAACGAGAAACGAGAAAACCTGTTTACTTCAATTTATATGTATAATACACATAATACAATCACTGAATTTACTTACTTCTTCTAAAACTGGTACGATCATCAAATAACTTCCCCATAAAAATTGCGTATCGATACCGTAAGTAGCTGAATCGTGGGGAAATCTAAAAAAAGAAAAATTAATCTTTCTGCTGCTTCAACAACTGTGTGCGTGTGTCCACCCTTACTCGAAAAACAGTGGCCGCGCTACGGTCTCTCCAAACTTATGTGCCCGAAAAAATAAGGTGTACAGGTAGGGTAAAAGCCAATAACGTATCGTAAGTGCACGTTTCGATGATTTCACTACCAAATCGCCCATTGCAACAGGATCTTGTTCCTACAAGGCAAGTAGATAGGAAAAAGAATAACGATAATGATTGATAATGATAATGATAATGATAATGATAATCAATACGAACGATCGTATCGTCGGAATTGTGATTACGTGAAAACGGATAAAAAGCACCGAGTTGCATCCAACGATTGCACAACGCAGCTGTCGTATTTCCATTGAATCCACAAATGTCTGCGCCAACCATCGGTATTTGATAAAAATTTAACGACAGAATTGCAGGAATACTCATTTTTAGATCATGCCTAACGATCAAATTATAACGATTAATCCGTTCATCATTTATTCTACATATATGTATATTTACTCACCACGACGAATAAACATCTCCTGTCCAGTGACCGGCATAATGTCCGTGTCCCAACCATGTTGACCGGGATATTATAAACGGTCTTTTTCCTCGGATTTTACTCAGTGCGCTGCACACACACACACACATATATTTCGTTTGAACTTGGATTCGAATTTTTATCTCTTACTATTACTAATCGATTTGCTACTTACTAATTAGTTGTTATCGCTTGACTCGTTCCATAGGTATTGTGAAAATCGTAATGACTTCCCAAGTAATGTTTCGCGTTCATGCACAAAGTTCTCGTCGCAAGTATACCACCGACAACATTAGGCACGTATTTCGGATAATCCAAATTATTTTGCAAACATCCATCTTTACGACCATTGTAAAAATTAGACGGTTCGTTCATATCCTGGTAAAGACCAATTCATATGTATATTGAATGTATATTTATTGAAAATTCGATAAAAGAAAAAATAAATACAAGTATCGATACGTACGATCCAGGCACCGTCGTACGCAAATTTGTTATGCATGTCTCTCATCATTCGAAGATAGTAACCTTGTGTTTTAGGATTCGTAAAGTCAGGCCAAACAGTTGAAACTAAATTCCAAACTTTTCCTACAAACGGCCGATTAGTTGCATTGTCCTTGACGAATATACCTTCTTTTAGACCTTCTTCGTACGGTAAATAGCTCCCGTTCATTTCAGAACCAGATATTCCAGCATCAATCAAAGGGATGTAATGCATTCCTCTCTAAAACGTATACACATCTTACGTGAATAAATTCCTTAATAACTACTAAAAAAGAATATTAGAGAAATCATACCGAATGAAGTTCATTCACAAATTCTGGCAAATTTTTAAATTTATCCAAATTATACGTAAAATCATTATTTTTATCCATATAATCTAGATCGTTCCACTGCGTATCCTACAAAGAATATAATCTAATCGAACCGATTTCTATTTAAATAGAAATAGAAATAGAAATAGAAATAGAAATAGAAATAGAAATAAAATACATTACAAATGGAATTTCCGCTGCTATGGTTCTCCTCCACACTTCTTTCGTCTTTTCTAAACTCTTATATCCGTATCTGTTTAACAAGTTTCAACATATTTCAAATGGAAATAAACAAACGTCTACTATGTAACGTATTACGTAACATGTTTAATAATAATAAATAATACCTGCACAAGTGAAAACCAAGGGACCAATAAGGAGGTAAAAACGGTTTGCCGACTATTTCGGAATATTGTTTTATAACATCTGCTGGACTTGGTCCTAGGAAAAAGTATATATCAAAGATACCGCCGATGCTTCGAAATGTTATACCAGGCGTTGGTTGCAATATCACATCTGAAATAAGTCAATGCTCTTATGCGTATCCATTACTTATCACGTATCAATGAAAACAACTCGGTAAATCATTACCCATAGCGTTACTGTTCAGAAAGAGAACTCCATGAGATTTACCAGAATTTTCAATCATCAAATAAAATGGCTGAGATCCGTACAGATTTGCCTAAATTCAAAAAGAATGGATTTATAGAAATCAAAATCAAGTAAAAAGTAAACAAACCTACGAAACGACACGACGTACATTCTCCATCGGTTCTTGATCCTTATTAAATAAAGTAAAAGACTGCCAATTAGTGTTTAGCTTTAAATTGCTTCGATGCTCACCGATACCATAAATATTATGAGTTGGCAACAGAGCGCTTATTTGTAGAAATTGATCGGCAAATATAAAACCTCCGACATTAAAAGAATCGAATCTGAAAATATAAACATATAACGGTATAGTTAATACCGTTAATTTCGTTAATCTAATTTCCAACTACTTAGATCAATCAACATTTAAACATATTTAAACACATTACTTACATGGTTGTACCATCTAACGTTCTATATATTTTGAAACCAGGTTTCACATCATCAATATCTACTTTGTATTTTGCATTTACATTTTTCTCACTGAAAGGTTTAGGATTCGATCTATGAGGCCATGGTGGTTCGTACCGTTTTTTTAGAGGATCGTACATTTTTATGCGGAAAATTGAATCATCCACGGAACTAACTTCTACCTTAATAATCGGTAGATCAGTTTTGTAAAAAGAATCCTTTGTCTGTTTTAGAAATCCAGTAAACTCATTTCCTTCCTTGCTAAAATTTTCATATTTATATATGGTCCAATTTTTTGAGTAATAACAATATGGTACATTCAGAGGAATTCGTTTTCCTCTGGAAATTTCTTTATTAACTGGATTCCAGCAACAACCTCTACTTGCGCAGGATAATTCTGATGCTCCTTCTTCGGGATGACAATCAAAGCGTAATGCTACAGGAATGTTGTTGCACTGTTCAGAATGAATACAAATTATTATAAATATAACCTCTTCTAACGACATTAAATTTCTCAATTGCACATTTAAAACTTACTTCCATACTTTCACCACTTTCAAATCCTGTATCAACAAACGTTACGTTAATCTTATATTTTTCCTTAACGGTTGATACAATAAACGTATCCGATAGTTTCTTTTCATCTATGTCATCAACAATTATATTTATTTCATATTGTTCAATAATAGTATATTTTCTCTGTCTTACAAGTAATAGCAAGATACACAATACAATAATGATCATGATCATGATCAATCTTAAAAAATCATATGGTATTATATATTTCAAGTATTTGTTTAAGGCCACATTTTGTGCCATAAAATCTTTTTTTCTCCTATTCTCCCGCATTTTCTTTTTAATATTATCTTTATCAGTATAATAATCTTTCTCTCCTTATTGGTAAATATTGTACCAGATCGATTTCTTTTCTTTTTTTTACTACAAACAAAGTATTAATAAAATGTTATCAAAATAATAAACATAAACGTTCATTTTATATAATTTTCATAACTATCGAGTAGTATATATTTACAAATAAATTTTATTTTACAATTTATAACATAACCTTAATGCAAAGTTACAAATACATCGAGATTACATATATACATAGATATATAAATATATATATATAGATATAAAATGAAAACTAATTATTTATACGCATTTTATATACGCATAATGTTATATTTAACAATAGTTTTATAGCACAAACTTACCATTGTGTATATATAACTATATAGAAACCTAGCGACTCAACTTGTCGTTACATTTTATTTTTAGAACGATGATTTATATTTATACGTATCAGCTTCTTTTTTTCCTCAAAATTCTTTCATACATACAAAATATTTTCATTTACAATTGCTAAATAACACAATGTTTTCATTGTTTAACGACAATTAATACCTCTGTAAATATCAATTGTTTCTAATACTTAATTACATATATATACAAATATGTATTTATTTATGTATGTACATATTTTATTCAAACATAAAATCTTTGATCAATGTTATTTGTTAACCAAAATCCTAAACATAAGAGAAAAAGTTATTTCATCGGTGTTGAATCTTGTATCGTATAAGCATAAGGTGATGCGGGCACCCAAAATTTCTGTTCTACGATTTTCACTCGCGAAAGACGTGAAAAAGGTAAAACAGACCACAAATTTAGTTCCTCGTTTTTTCTGTAGGGCGCAGTTCCTTCGTTTTCTCCGTTCGACGACGATACAATGTATCGTGGAGAATGGAACGTTCGTGCCTGGAGAATGGAACGTTCGTGCCTGGAGAATGGAAGCAGCGATGAACAAAATATTAAATATTAAATTGTGTATCAGGTATCAAAAATACAAAAAACAGAAGACAAAGTTGAAGAGAAGACCGGAGTCGTGACTTCTGACATCATTTCCACATTGCCTTCAGAAATGCGTAAGCTGAAAATTTATATTCTATTTTGTTGATACAGATACGAATTAAAATAACATATTTCTCATTTATTCTGCTTTTATGCTGATAATTTATTAAATACCATTAATATTTTATGTATTTTTCTATCTTTTTCCTTATATTTCGGTGCTTTAAAGTGAAAAAAGTAATCTTGACCATATTTCAATATGGCGTTGATAATTTTCCGTTCTTTTAATGTTAAAGTTTCAAAGCAATTCGAACTTTCTACCAATGCCTGTGATTGGTCATTTCATTATGGCGTCCTCCTATTTAGACCAATCAGATTCATCGTTAAAGGGTACGTTGCGCGGAGTGTGGTGGAGTGCAACAGTCCTCTTCGAAGCTTCGTACGGTTGGCACGTGTCTGCAACAGGTAAGATTAAATTATCTTCAAATATTAAATTAAGTTGTCTTTCGGGTGTCGAAAATACAAAAAAGAGAAAGAATAGCCGAAGAGAAGTCTAGCTCTCTGTTTTTTGACATGAATTCGAGGTTATCTTTAAAAATACGTGAGTTGACATTTGTTGCTCTTGCTGTGAATTGACAATGAAATTGGAAGAACAGAATCTGAATTATTTTCACTTTATATCAATAATTTTTCGAATATTATTACATTTTTTCATGTTTTTAGTACATTTTTCCCGTAATTTATTGTTATATATCGTGATAACTGATTTTCTCGTTTTTTACTATTACGCCGATATAGATACGAATTAAAATAACATTTCCTTCATTTATTCTGCTTTTATATCAATAATTTCTTAAATCCCGTCAATATCTTTATATTTTTTCTACTTTGTTTCTTATATTTTGGTGTTTAAAGTTGAGAAAAGTAATCTTGATTTTATGTCAATATGGCGTCGATAATTTTTAACAAACCTTTCCCTTACGATTAGTATTAAAGTTTCGAAGCACTTTGAAACTTCTATCGATGGCTGTGATTGGCCGTCCCATGTTGGCGTCCTCTCATTTCGACCAATCAGACACGTCGTTGGGTGAGCGAGTGCCTTGATTTTTGACGCAGTACAGCATTCCTCTTCGAAGCTTCGTTCGTCTTGCACGTGTCTGCAACAGGTAAGATTAAATTATCTTCAAATATTAAATTAAGTTGTCTTTCGGGTGTTGAAAATACAAAAACGAGAAAGAATAGCCGAAGGGAAGTCTAGCTCTCTGTTTTTTGACATGAATTCGAGGTTATCTTTAAAAATACGTGAGTTGACATTTGTTGCTCTTGCTGTGAAGTCACAATGGAATTGGAATAACAGAATCTGTATTATTTTCCCCTTTATATCAATAATTTGTCGAATATTATTGCATTTTTTCATGTTTTTGGTACATTTTTCCCGTAATTTATTGTTGTATATCGTGATAACTGATTTTCTCGTTTTTTTACTATTACGCCGATATAGATACGAATTAAAATAACATTTCCTTCATTTATTCTGCTTTTATATCAATAATTTCTTAAATCCCGTCAATATCTTTATATTTTTTCTACTTTGTTTCATATATTTTGGTGTTTAAAGTTGTGAAAAGTAATCTTGATTTTATGTCAATATGGCGTCGATAATTTTTAACAAACCTTTCCCTTACGATTAGTATTAAAGTTTCGATGCACTTTGAAACTTCTATCGATGGCTGTGATTGGCCGTCCCATGTTGGCGTCCTCTCATTTCGACCAATCAGACACGTCGTTGTGTGAGCGAGTGCGTCGATTTTTGACGCAGTACAGCATTCCTCTTCGAAGCTTCGTTCGTCTTGCACGTGTCTGCAACAGGTAAGATTAAATTATCTTCAAATATTAAATTAAGTTGTCTTTCGGGTGCTGAAAATACAAAAACGAGAAAGAATAGCCGAAGAGAAGTCTAGCTCTCTATTTTTTGACATGAATTCGAGGTTATCTTTAAAAATACGTGAGTTGACATTTGTTGCTCTTGCTGTGAATTCACAATGGAATTGAAACAGCAGAATCTGAATTATTTTCCCCTTTATATCAGTAATTTCTTGAACATTATTCAATATTTTTCGTATTGTTTCATACAATTTGCTGTTTTTAATTTAATAATGTTTTTTCTTCAGCATCGTAATATTATTTCTGTTTAGATCTGTTCGTGTAGTTCGTTAGGTATCGGCCGGTAGCAAAATATACCGAACATTGCCGAGCTTTGCCGAAGTGCCGACCGGTCTACGATGGGAAGGAAGGTCTGGCCATTGCTCTCTCGAGCGTCGAACTGACAGGACGTGTTGAGAGCATCCTTCCGCATAAATAATAGGTACACATTGTATCCATTAAAATATTTTGTATCAATTATAGTTGGATCGTTTATTAATAATAACTTTATTATTGTTGATTAAATTTTATTTACATAAATTCGTATTTCTTTATTATTACAGATTTTTGATAGATTTGGAAAGGACGCCACGACTCCTGATATGGGTTTGAAATAGAATTTCGTAAGAATTTATTGTTTTAATTTATTCTCATCAATTATTAACGTTTATTATTACTTTTTTTTCATTGAGTCGTTGTTGTTAATTGTAAGCATTTTTTGATAATTAATTGATACCAAGGTACCAAGAAAGAAAAGATTAGAGATATTTTTTTTCTTTAATCAATTCATAGAAAAAGAATAATTAATTTTTCATTTTATAAAATAAGTTTCGTCTAATATTTTAATACATTTGTTTTAAATTTTTATTGTGCTTACAATTTTAACAACAGAAATCCACTACTTAAATAAAATTGTCTATTATATTTATTTAACTATGATTTTCTATCTATGTATATAATATTCATTGAAATAATTATCAACAATTATATTATTTATAATATACATTATTAGAATATAATCTAGGATCAATATTCAACTTGAATAATATTCGTGTTGGTTGAAAATATTTCACGAACACTCATATTTTCATTTACATGTAATAACAGTATTTCATTAACGAACGTTCAATAAGAAGAATGTTGGTTTTGTTTTGTTTTGTATATTTCCACCCATCCCCAACCTCCTCAGCAATCTTTTTTTCCAGGAATTGTTGTGGCCGCGCGCAAGGCGGTCGGTAGAGTCAGTGTTTGTACGCACGTAATTCCAATGTTTTGATTTTGTCAAGGGTGAACTGGCCCTGAATAGAGTTGCGTTTGTACAATTAGGAATCACGCGAAAGTAGAGTCAGTGTTTGCTGCGGATTATAAAATATTTTCTAGAGCATCGCGGCTCTGATTGTTCTTTTTCCATCGCGGAAGTACTTAGAGTCTACAATTGTTCGCCGGAAATTATTTACGGTCGCGTTAGCTAGTACTTTATATCTTTATTTTTATTTTTAATTTTTTTTTTTTTTAATTGCTCGATTTATCCGGTAGTAGAGTCAATGCATCACTGAAGAGGAGTCTTGGGTGTTGCTCCATAAGGAAAGAGTGTAAGTATCTTATTAGTTTAATTAATTTTAATTGAAATAGAATAATTTACAATTTCAACGTTTAATAATTGAGAGTTCTTTTTAATTGCTGTAAAATCCAAATTCATATATAATTTTATTAGAATAAAAATTGATAATTTGCAAAATTAACCGTAATTCTTTTTTGTTTTGTTACAGATGAATTTTTTGTTTTTGCCGAGTTCCTGGATATCCTGGTGATGGCTTTCTTCACGACTTCCGTCTTGGTACGTCAATTAATTGCTTTTTATTAAAATAGAATAATTTACAATTTCAATACTTGATAATTGAGATTTCTTTTTAATTGCTAATATTTTCTAAAATCCAACTTTATATATAATTTCATTACAATAAGAATTGATTATTTTCAAAATTAACCGTAATTGTTCTTTTTTTTGTTACAGATGGACATCCTTGATGGGTTTCTTCACGACTTCTCCTACAAGGCAGCCTCCTACTTGGTGTTTGACTGTCGGAAGAAGAGTATATCTGCGAACGGTGAGTCGCATGTTTTATGGTTCCTCTGGTACCCAATCATGTCGTAGGACGAATGGTCCGAATCGACACGGGTTACCAGTTGTATACGTGCTTGGCGAGCATAGTGAACATGAGTATGATTATACTGATGTGTAGTAACATTTTTATTGTGTTTTATTTCATTTAATTCAGGCTAGGTCTTCTTGCACTTTGCGTTTAAATATTATTTCTATTCCACATATTCCAATCGATATTTATGAAATATTTGAATGCTTTTAAATATTCATGATACAATTTTCTAATAAAACGTGGAATATGAAATATTTTCAAATAAAGTAAATACAGAAACAATTTTATTTAGTTTTTCTTTAACGGAGAAGTCAGATACCATCTGATTTAGTTATCATAAAGATTGAAATCGATATAATATTGGTTTTATAATATGTATACTAGATATACATATTAATTATGCTTTCACATTGATTTAATTACATTTTGTATATTGTAAATTCAAATATAATATAATTTGAGAATTTTTTCCGAGTAGTAAAGTTCAATTCCTTCTATAGCGAAGTTTAACTTATTTACACGTTGATGAAAAATTGAACAATTTATGTGCAAGAAGACAATTCGTGACGGGTAGATTTCCAAGCCAGAGTGATCTATTTCAACACATTTTGCGTATACTTGACTAATTTACTCTGAGGAGGGAGTCGCCCGAGGATGTTTTATTAATTTTCACAACAAATTCTTGTTTCATTGCAAAGAATTCTTAATTAAAGACATTAAATTCTTTTTTATTAAAATTATTTTGCATTTCTTAAATTAGTGTTGCGAAAAATTTCCAGCGCGAGAGTAAATATGACGATGCACTGACTAGTATTCGGTGGGAATCCTTTTGGTTTTTAAACTCAATCCTTTTTATTATTTAATTAATGAAATTAGTTAGAAGGATTCCGCGGCATAAGACCGTGAACACCATCTCTGGGAGATATACCCATGCATTACTAGGCCTTTGCAGGCGCAGCTTTAGAATACGGAACATATGAAAATATGTTACCATATTCTAAACTGCAGTCCTTTTGTCTATACTATGGGCGTCCGTCAATCTGACACCGTTGGATGCAACGTGTTGGACGGGCGGGTAGCGCTCTTAGCGAAGGGGTGCACTCTGTCCTGGCGTTACGACGTCCAGGCGGGGTGGGTGGTATGTAGCGTCTGGCGTAAGTCTAGGGGGCGTGAGACCCCTCGTTGCCAGCTGATATTAGCAGTGCACCATGTTTGCGTCATAGTTGCTCTATTATGCTTTTCTGTATTTCTTCTTAAAGCTTTATATAATATTTACAAAGTCGAGTCACTTTTATTAAAATAGTGAAATATTAGCCCGTTAGATGTTTGTGTACTAATCATGTTTCTAGATCAGGATTTTCAGATTTAACCCCTTCCGTGTTTATTGTCAAAGCCCATTCACGTGCCCAGGTGCTACTTGGATGGGTAGAGACAATGGGCACGATGACCTAGTTTATAAGAATAATGATTAATAAGCGGCTGGCATTGTGTTAGTATATCGTGCACGACGTAATCTCCACATATGGTGTGTGTGTGTGTTTTAGGCTGTGGGATTGCGTCGGTTTAATAACCTTTTCATTTACTTTTAATTTGAAATAATATTTTATTCAACAAGATGTACGATGAACGTATAAACGAAATACCATTACTATTACCATGATTATTACCATTACTATGGAATATTCTATATCAAAGTAGTTAATTAAATTTTATAATTATCATTATACGCAATGATTGCTATCCATGCCAGACGATTTCAGTGAAAAATGGTACGTACCGTAGAGTGTGATGTGAGATGAAACTCGGGTGACGGAGGCGTCCCGGGACGTTCTCCCTAGTTTAGGCTCTTGCGCCCGGGTGGAGTGTATGGGGGTCGTGGAATGAATTTTTGTGAGAATGTGATTTTGCCTCTTTTAAATATAGCGTTAGGTAGGTAGGTAGTATACCTTCTGGTGTGTGTGATAAATTGTAAGTAGGTAGGGCCGGGACAGGTTGTCACAGTCTCTTGGTCGGGTAGGCGCGATTTCGCGTGATCAACCTGTACCTGGAATATATTTGAAGAATTGACGATACCATCGATGCGATCGGAGTATGTCGTTCGCCTTCGATTCTATCTGTACAATTTTTCAAATTTTTGCCACAAGTTCTGCTCGAGCACGGCACGTGTGCACGAACAACGACTTGTATGTATAAAGTCCTTTTTCGTCCACGTGTCAATTAGAGTTTCGCGATTTTTCTTTTTTGTTGATTGTTTTTCTTTTCTGTTTTGCGAATTTGCAAGTCTCGAGCTTTAGAATATAAGTTTCAGGTGGGTGGACCGCCCGAAGAAAGAAAAGGCTATATGCCGAAGCGCCCCGACAAACTGTCTTTCAAGAGGGGAACTATTAATGATTTTGCATCCTTTTGCAAAAAAGGATGGGAAATCATTATCGTTACTACTTTGTCACTGTGCTCGCCTGTAGTTGTAGTTTTGTAATTTCAGGAGAAGAGGGGGCCCGTGACCCCCATGATTTTGGGCAAATCGCGTTTTCAATTTAGTGTTGCGAATATTGACCACGGTTCAATTTTGTGTTGCGAACTTTAAATATCGCGTTTCTTTCTTGCATTGCTTTAAAATAGAATTTAACTTTTCAATGTTGATTGCTTTAACATTTTTCAGAGTTTTGTTTTTTAATGTTGATTACTTTAGTGTTGCGAGTAAAAAATTCACGGTTTGAGAATCCCTATTTTTTGCATTTTAATTGCATGTCTATTAAAGATAGCGTTGCGAATGATATTAGCGCGATTGTTTCCCAGTGTTGCGACTTATAAATACGCGATTTCTTTCCATTAGTTTATAGAGTTCCCTGTTAATTAGTGTTGCGATAATGAATATTCGCGGTTTGCATTAGAGTTGCGATATACGATGAAATGCCCAAAAACGATCCAGTGGACTTGCCATGGTCCATAAGGCAGCTATGGACCAGCTGTCGTGATACAGCCTTGGATTGGCTGTACCCCTTTTTTAGATTAGTGTTGCGTCTTAGAAAATTCGGTAGATTTGAGTAGTGTTGCGTTACACTTCGCGTTTTCTCTTTTTTTCTTTTTTTCAGCTTAGCGTTGCGTATAATGGAGCAACCTTCACGCGTACGCTTTTCTACATATTATACATATAATTAATGAAATTAGTGTTGCGAGTAAAAAATTCACGGTTTGAGAATCCCCCTTTTCTGCATTTTAATTGCATGTCTGTTAAAGATAGCGTTGCGAATGACATTAGCGCGATTGTTTCCCAGTGTTGCGACTTATAAATACGCGATTGCTTTGCATTAGTTTATAGAGTTCCCTGCTAATTAGTGTTGCGGTAATGAATATTCGCGTTTTGCATTAGAAATGCCCAAAAACGATCCAGTGGAGTTTGCCACGGTCCATAAGGCAGCTATGGACCAGCTGCCGTGGTACAGCCTTGGATTGGCTGTACCCCTTTTTTAGATTAGTGTTGCGTCTTATAATATTCGGTAGATTTGAGTAGTGTTGCGTTACAGTTCGCGTTTTCTCTTTTTTTCTTTTTTTCAGCTTAGCGTTGCGCATAATGTAGCAACCTACACGCGTACGCTTTTGTACATATTATATGTATAATTAATGAAATTAGTGTTGTGACTGAATTCGCGATTGTTATTAAATTAGTGGAAGTAACTATGACTCACATTCGGTGGGAATCCATTGGATTCCGCGGCATAAGACCGTGAACACCATCTCTGGGAGATATACCCATGCATTACTAGGCCTTTACAGGCGCAGCTTTAGAATACGGAACATATGAAAATATGTTACCATATTCTAAACTGCAGTCCTTTTGTCTATACTATGGGCGTCCGTCAATCTGACACCGTTGGATGCAACGTGTTGGACGGGCGGGTAGCGCTCTTAGCGAAGGGGTGCACTCTGTCCTGGCGTTACGACGTCCAGGCGGGGTGGATGGTATGTAGCGTCTGGCGTAAGTCTAGGGGGCGTGAGACCCTTCGTTGCCAGCCAATGTTTTGTCATAGTTCAGAATGTTTGCAATTTTCAAATTAGTGTTGCGTGTGATTTCGGTTTCTTTTATAGGGTTTGCTTAGGGATTGCTCTTATGGGCAGTCAAACTTTTCTTTTCAGGTTCCCCTATACCCTCCCTCCCACTGCCCCCCGCCCCCATTCTTTTTTCTTCCCTTCTCTTAATTTTGAAAATTTTGAGCGTTCGGTTATTGGAAATACTGTTAACTAATATATGAATTTAATGTTTTCAGGATATTATTAGATACGATAAAGTTTTAAATAGAACTTTATTCAAAGTTTTATTTAAAATGGAAATTCATTTTATTTTTTGATGATTGGTGATGATTTATTTCAAGGAATATTTCTTCATTCGATTTTTATTTTACTTTATATGTATAAACAAAAGTAGTGGATAATTGTTGATCGAGTTGTTCAGTTTTAATTTTTCATCGCGATGTTTCGTTTCAAGCTTACGGAGAAGCTAATTAAATTACTTTTATAAATTTTCAAATTCTTTTCCTGAAAAGCAAAGTCGTTTTGCGATTTTCTTTTCAGTTTTTTCATTTACAATAAATTTGCATTTGAAAGGTGTATTTAATAATATAATGCAATAAAGTCAAGTAGAGTCATGGTTGTATGTACCTACATATATTGGAGTAAAAGATAGTTGTTTCAATTAAAATATCGTGTACTGTTTGTTAATAAATGAACGAATATTAAATACTATAAAATGAAAAACAATTATCCTTTTAATTCAAATCACTTATTGACTGACGATATATTTTTCTAAATCTTTTTTTTCTTTATTTTGGTACTGAAATTGAATTGATGTTCCTTCTTTTCATTGGAAATAAGTCATTAATAATGACTCTGATTTTTGTGAAATTTTGTGTGTACTAATGTATCTTCTTTCTAGCTATGTACTGAACTTTTTGTCTTAACATGGATTCAATTAATAAGTTTCTGTTGCAGAGAAATATCTCAGGACGTATTTTGGTAATTAATCCTTTTTAGTTTGTTTCAAGAAGTATTCTGGTATTAAGGTAATACGAGCCTTAGTATGTTTGAAAATTGCATCTAATCCTTTTTGTATTAAGGTAATTTCTGCCTTATTATTTTTGAAAATTTGTGTCTAAATATTTGTGTAGTTTCTTTCAGGAAGTATTCTGGTGAGGATGACAAAATCAACAAATTCAACACATATTTATTTATGTACAACCCTTTTTAATTTTTATATAAGCACGTTGTAAGTTTATGGTTTTGTAGAATGATTATTATATCTTAATGACTTTATGATCATTAAGTATAATCGTCAAACACTGCAGTGTTTAATTAGGAAGCGTTAGATTTAAGCGAATTTTTAATATAATTACGAGCGCTCGTTTAGGTAGCCATTCTTAGTAATATAAGTATGTAGGACAATTACAGATCTGTAATCAAAATGAAAATTAAAAAATGTTGCGATAGAAATAAAAAGCAAAAATCTACGTAAATATATGTATAGATAAGTAGTTAGGTAGGTAGTGAATAAAAATAATGCTCCTTTTGTTGTTCGTTTGCAGAACAGTCAAAAACGTTTTGCAAATGTGCATCAAGAGGATGATGTTTTATTGAATAAAAGTAAAAATTTGCATAAATGGAGGGTGGATGGGACGAGGTAGGGCGGGTCTCCATCCGCAGCAACCTCCCCGTGGTGAGGCCTGGGCAATCGTTATTATTTCATGACTAATTAATAACTGTATCATTATTTCTATGGTACATTTATTAATTATGCAGCAAATAATACGAGCGAATTGGCTGCGAAAATGCTTTTTTTTCTATTTAATCGCTGTTATATTCTTTTCAGGAACTTTGTCTTTAAGATTCTGAAGTGTTTCCCACATTGCAAATACAATTTTACGGAAAGAAAATTAATAATAATGAATGCATGTAAGTAGATATCGTAACATACATATTGCCGTTAGTTGGATGCAATAACTGAGGTGAGGTGGCGCTTAAATCAGTTTCGGTTCAAAGATGGGCTGTTTTACCGATGCGAAATTCCAATTATGATACCTATGTATACGATGAGTATAGAAATGTTGATATTGTGTTGCAGAACTAAAGGTTTTTTGACAAGCTTAAAATAAATACTCAAGTAATTACGTATGATTGTGCATTAAAAATGTTAAGGGAATTGAAAAATATTATTAAACTTGAAAGAGTAGGTTTTACTTGTGTCAGAGAATACAGTGGAAAGGTTAATGTTCATTGTGTTTCACCAAGTTGTCCGCAAAATATTCTAATAAGTAAAGTAACAATAAAGTAATGAAAAATAAATTGCAGGTGTACAAAAGTAATTATCCAAGGAGAATATTTTCTGGAATACAACCGACTGGAAATGTGCATTTAGGAAATTATTTTGGTGCCATACAAAAGTGGGTACAACTCCAAAATAACGGAGAAGATGTTCTATGGAGCATTGTAGATTTACATTCTATTACTTTACAATATGTAAGATAATGATAAAATATGAAACGTTATATTTTACAAAGAAATTTATAATCCGTATGTATAAAAGAAGACTCGCGTGCGTACGCACGTGTATGTACATACATACGTAGGAAATAGATACTTGGTGTATTATTTTACAAGTATAAAAATGTTGAATTTTAATTTACCGCCGCATTATGATATTGTACGACGATAATATACCAAGAAAATACTAATAAGAATTTATTTATAATAAATCTTTAGGACCCTAAGAAATTATACGATAACGTGTTGGAAATGTGTGCAACATTATTGGCATGTGGTATAAACCCAGAAAAGAGTATACTCTTTCAGCAATCTACCGTTGCTATGCACACCCAGTTATGTTGGATTTTGGGATGCGTAACAACTTTGCCAAGATTAGGACATTTACCTCAATTCAAAGAAAAAAGTAAAATGCTAAAAAATGTTCCATTAGGTTTGTATATTTATCCTGTTCTGCAAGCAGCAGATATATTACTATATAGGTAGGTTTTTATTCACGTTTTTATAAAACAATATATGCATGTAAATAATGCGCTTTTCGTTGGAAACGTACATGGTTTCGTAGTAACCTAAAACAGAAAGTAGTTTAACAAGACAGTATTGATAATAAAAATAACGTTAAATATGTAAATTGCAGAGCGACTCACGTTCCCGTCGGGAAAGATCAACTTCAACACATTCAGTTAGCGCAAGATTTAGCCGCTATATTTAACAAAAAGTTTGGAGATGATATTTTTCCTATCCCGCATTCTTTGGTCAACGGTAAAACCTTTTAATCTCAAATTCTGGTAAATCTTATCGTTAGATCGAGGGAAGAAAAATATCTGATACATCCATGTATGTATATTTCCAGAGAATGCAAGTGAACGAATAAAGTCTTTACGAGATCCTTTGAAAAAAATGTCAAAATCGAGTACAGATCCAAAGAGTAAAATAGATATATTAGATGAGCCTGATGTACTATTAGAAAAAATGAAAAAAGCAGTAACTGATTGTACATCAGAGATAACTTATGAACCTGAGAAACGAGCCGGTGTTGCAAATTTGCTCGTCATTCATTCGTTGCTTACTGGAAAAACACCAGAGCAAATATGCTTAGAAGTTGAGGGATTAGACACTGGAAAGTATGTGAGATTAAAAAAGAAAAAAAAAAAGAAAAGAGAAATTATTTTATCTTATGAACATATTTTCGTTTCTATAACTCAGGTATAAATTGATGCTGGCTGATTTACTTATACAAGAATTAACTCCAATTCGTGAAGAATTTTCAAGACTGATTAAAGAGCGATCATATTTGCAAGAAATTTTGAAAAATGGTTCGATCAAAGCAACCGAAATTGCTAGCGATTGCTGGAATCAAGTTCGAAAATGTGTTGGCTTTGAAAATGATATTTTATTTATAAACGAGAAGGAAATGGAAAACCTAATACGGAAAATATAATAGTATATTTGAAATAAAATTTACTTTTAATTTGAATTTATTTATCGAACAATTAAATTCATCTATAATGTTGTACTGGAATTTCGAAATTATTTTACTAACGATACTACCTCATATCGATGACCAATTTACCCCTTAGATGACCATGGGCTACTCTATCATAGGCTAATGGTAACTCGTGGAATCGATATACTTTTTTAACCACGGGCATTATCTAAATAAACGTGTAAAAGAAATGTTCTGTATTAGCTAGACACGGTCAGAGGAAGAAGAATCGAAATGAACTTTGAGCATAGTTATAGAAGCACACCTTTCCATTTTCAACAAACTCTTCAAGTACTTTAATTCCTGTTTGAGAAGGTGTAAAAAATGCCCATTTTACAGAAGCTTTGCTTTCACTAATCGGAATATTGTATTTCACTAATTCGCTGATATTTTTCATTGTTCCAGTAATCAGCCCATGTTGATCAATATTTCTTAATAACGGGGAATTTAAAGTTATGTAAGAACAATGGGGATAACCTTTCGATCGTATATGATTTGCTCCTTGATTGGCACAGTCTAAAATTATGTAGTAGCTAGAATTGAAAGGACAAGTTATTTTACATCTATGTTTTGTCTTGTATACGTTAACGACATTCAAATTACATACGGTCCTTCTGTAATTATTCTTGAATCTGCATCTTCTAATTTATAATCTATTACTACGTCGGCACCTAATTTTTCTACCAAATTTACAGCATCGCTGCTACAAGTAGTAACAACCTAAGAAATCAGTTTTTATAATGTTTCACAATTTATATAGATCCTGTCAGTGTTGTTAATGATTTTACATGCATGCCCCAAGCCTTTGAAAGTTGTATAGCCAAAGTTCCAACTCCTCCGGATCCTCCTAATATTAAGATTTTATTATTCCTTCTCATGGCTGAGACAGATCTGTAACATAATCCACCGGTAATCCATAACGCGGACCATGCTGTGAGCCCAGCGTATAGTATACTGGCTGCCTCTATGTAGGATAAATTTTTAGGGCATAAATTAACCTGCGAACAAAGAGCCTTCAAACTGATTCTTCAAAGTTATCCAAAAATGAATGTTTTTTATCAAGAAATAATATTTACCATAGCACTATCGACAAGTACATAGTTAGCATGACAACCTTGCTGTTCCACCGGTACTACACCCCATACTTGATCTCCCAACTTTAATCTCTCCCCTATTCCATGTCCTTTCGATACTATTATACCAGAAAAATCTCTGCCTAAAGTCAATGGAAGTTCTAATTCATCGTATGGAGCACCGGCGAAATTTCTTGCTTTTCGCATCAAGTTCAAAACCGTTGCACCATATCCTCCTAATAAGATGACAAATGGACTGAATGTTTAATAAAAATTGATGAAGAGAATGATGAGAAACGAGATATCGTATACTTGTCATAGCGATGTCTATAGGATTAACACTAGATGCTTCAACTTTTACAAGAATATCTGTTGGTCTAGCAATCACCGGAATTCTGACATTTGAAAGTTTTAATTCTTCCAAGCCATCGTACGAGTGTATCTGCCAAGCTTGCATTTTCTCTTGGACATTTTCTTTAGGTTTCATTGAGAAATTGCTAAGGAAACACGGTCGTGCGTTTCCATACGTCAATTTTAAATGAAATGCAAATCTTTTTAACATTTTAGATCGTGATTACAATCTATATATATATATATATATATATAATACATACATCCATACATATATATATTTACATCAATTTACATAAATGAAGAAGCATGAAAAAGCAGGTTATATCAGAGAAATAATTGAAATGAATTAATTTATTCGTTTGATCGAAGGAAATATGAAAATGAATTTTTAAGCAATCAAATTGAAACGAACACTCGTCGTATTTATACAAAGTCCTGCTGATCCTATTAAATTTGATAAATTTACTTTTAACGTTTCTTCATGACCAAGTTGTTTGGAATAAATGCCTACTTTACTACTCACTACTCGGTACCAACAACAATATATGCATATGTCATATGTAATAGAGTTTACTATCTGAAGGATATATAAAATATGTATATAATTTTAATTTCTTTGGTTCATCTTAATAAGTAAGGTTCTATCGAAGAAATTATTTATATCATATAGTCCAATAAGTAAATGTTGCTCGATTGAAGTAATAGCGCCTTTATTAGAGAGTCGTTACAGTTTTCTTCGGATAGATGGAGCTTGGTGAAGCAGAAATCATTACATATATATATACACACGTGTATTTTACGCAACTTTTAAATGTTTCACTTTTTAAGCGATCAGTAGAAAAATGAATAAAAATGGTAATACAGTAAAGGGCAATTTAAATTTTTCAATATATTAATATTTTAATACTGATTTATGGGTAGCTGTTTCAAACATATTAACAAAATTGAGAAACCGAAAATTGAGAATGTTAGACGTAAATAACTTTTAAAATCGGATTAACGTTAAGTAATTTGTAATTAATCTCGGAAATAATTATTCACGAGAATATGTTTATCGTTACATATGACAATTTAGAATAGAGAAGAGGGAATTCAGAATGAAAGTTTAGATAAAATAATTTGTTTGAATCGTATCTGATGGCATACGAAAGAAGATGAAGCAGATAGTTTGAATTAGGTATGCATAAAGCTGATTATTTGATCGTAACAAGTTGGAATAATTGCTGATAGAGGGTATGGATAATCGAGAAATTATGTTTGTTACAGATGATATACATAGGAGAATAGAGCGGGGGTGGTTCTTTCAGTTTTAGGAGTAACTACAAGAATGCGCATGGCAGATATCGATCGGTAATCACTATGGTTACGCCTCGGTATAGAAGCACGACAGCGACTACGACAGCGACGACGACGACGACGACGACGACGACGGCGACGACGACGACGACGACGACGACGACGACAACGACGACGACGACGACGACAACGACAACGACGACGACGACGACGGCGACGGCGACGACGACGACGACGACGACGGCGACGACGACGACGACGACGACGACGACGGCGACGGCGACAACGACGGTGACAGCGCTCACCCTGCTGCCGTATTTGTTTTACGGTGAGTTTAACGAAAGATGGACCGGTCGAGAGCGAGTGTAATCGAGCAAGTATAAAGAGAGGAGAGCAGTGACAGAAGGGAAGATTTGAATTTGCAAAGTGAAGAAAATTGCAAAGTGAAATGAGAAAAAGAAGTTTGTGTAAATAGAAAATTTTGATAGAACGAAGCTGTTTCTCGTGCGACAAGCCAATTAAGTAGGCAAAGGGATAAATTCGAGAGAAATTCGAGAGAAATTGATCGAGGATAGAAGAGAGAGAGAGAATCAAGTAAGAATCAAGTAAGGAAAGATGGAAGAAAATTGTAACGAAGAAGGGTAAAAGGTAACGAAAGAGGAGAAAAGTGAAAAGAGTAAAAGAAGAAGAGAGGCATATATATTTGTAAATGTTTGTAAGTGTATGAGTGTGCGAATATGAGAGAAAGAGAAGGAGAAGGAGAAGGAGAAGGAGAAGGAGAAGGAGAAGGAGAAGGAGAAGGAGAAGAGGGGTAGAGCAAAGGGGTTGGTCGAGGGTGGCGGAGGGTGCCGAAGGTAGGCGAAGGGTAGGGGAATGGAAAACGCATGCAGAGCTGTTCAGAGTAACGTGGAGCGCATCGCGGGCGCAGCAAGAGAGGATATTGACATTTTCGGTCGAGGGGCGCGCATTCGTAGAAGAAGGGGTGGTGGGTAACGGGGCAGTCGCCTCTTTTACCCGATCCTGCAGTATCCATGGCTACGTCGTCCGCGAGGATTTCGCGCGAAATACCGGGAATTTTCTCCTCGTAATCGTTTCATCTTCTTTTATTTTCTATACCGTTAGTGAGAAGTGTCGAGTGGCCGAATATTATTGAACGGGACGCGCCATTAGAAAGATTGACCGGCGTATCGTTGCCGAATTACTTGCTTTCGAAAAGGGTGGATACCGTGATCTCACCCCTCTACTACGATCACGGCAGCCCATCCCTTCTTTGATCCTGTCCCTAACCCCTCCCTCCCTATCTACTTGCTCGTTTATCTTTTCATCTCTTACCTTCTCGCCTACCTCTTCTTCTCTCTTATCCTTCCTCTCTATCTCCGTCTTTGTTCCGTCTCTCCCTTTTCCATTCTACTTCCGCTCTCTTCTACCGTCTTTTATTCAAATACAACATACGATATACAACATACTACGTACAACATGGTTTAAAGTTGAAACCTATCCAGGCAATATTATATTCTTCACTGTGCTGAAAACATTACCCCAATGGTGGTGAGTCTCGTTTCACGATAAAGACATTGAAATTTGCAAAACTGTATGTTGCGAAACGAACGAAAAAATGTGTTGTACCAGTGTGGGATAAATTAGGTGTGACACCAATGGGGCAGAGAGAGAGAGAGAGATATATATATATATAGGAGGGGGAGGGTGAGTAGAAAAAGGAAAAACGAATGGGTTGGATACGAGACAAGTAGAGGGTTAATAAAAAGGAAAAAAATGGTGGGAGGTATATCGTAGAAATCGTTTCGAAAAGGATAAGAGATGAATATTCGAGCAAAATAGAAACATGCAGGATGAGATATCTGATCGTCAGCAAGAGTAATGCGTAACGGTGAAGGAAATCTGTCTCGTTAGGATTTCTTTTGTTCAAAGATTGGATAGCGAGGGGCGTTGATTAAGCATCGAGCATCGAGCATCGAGCATCGAACATTGAAGAACGAATAACGAACGGGTGGTGCATCCAGCTTGGCGCAGTGTTTATTCGAGCGCCAGGCTCAGGTGCCTTCGACCAGGACTAGGCGGTGTCGCTCCTTTTCTCCTTTTGCTAAAGTTAATCGTGCACTCTCATTTCACGGGTTTATTTAATCGTCGTTGATTATATAAAGATTCTCTCCAATAATATCAAAAATATAGCAGCCTTTTTTAAGAAAGTTTTACCTATTTGTTACCTACTTGGTACGGTGTACTTGGATTTAAAGAGACGCGGATCATTTAGACTTTAGGCTGTGAATAATGAGTAACGACATCACCACTCAAAATCAATATAGTGTTTAGTAAGCTGTTTTTACTCAACTTTCCACATTTTTACCTTTATTTTTATTTCCAAATGCTTTCTAATATGATTTTCTTAAGTTGATATCGCTCGAAGCTCTATTTGATAAAATGTAATAATTCGGATCGTGTTTACGATAACGCGGTGAGTTTTACTGTGAAAAAGCGATGAAATAAGTACCTACCTACCATATGTTTTGTTTACGAGAAGATGAAACGACGCGACGCGACGACGCGACGCAACGCAACGCAACGCAACGCAACGCAACGCAACGCAATGCAACGTAATGCAACGCGGCGCGACGCGACCGCGTCGCGTCGAGAGAATGAAATATTGTTTTATACATTATCTTATTTTATATGATAACTATATGTATTTATGTATAGGTGAAAAGTCGGTATATCGGTTCAGTAACCCTAGATTCTAGATGCAGCGACGACGCCACCCCTATTATTATCGGTTTTCGCTTCATTGATCTCGCTACAATTATTAGATGTATTTCTTTGCAATTATCCGAATAATGTGTTCCGATATTCCATTTTCTGTTGCTGTCCGCGCAAGATAACAAATGTACCTATAACATAAGAAAACAGGAAACAGCTTGTAATTGTTTAACGTTTCTTTCCCTTCTTCGTTACCGTGTGTTGTATTCTTTGAGAAGAAATTTCTTGTAGACTTGTAGACTATGTAATAACACGTAATCGTTTTATTTTCAGCGATCATGTCAGGGACAAGCTGATGACCTTCCGAACGGCTGCAATGATGTGACAATAAAGATACTTTCTCCTGCATCCTCTCTTATATCACCGGGGTATTATCCCTGTTACATAGTGCTTCCCAGAATAGAAGGAGAGCAGAAAATTGGTGGAGTGATAGGTTAGATCGGTGACTGATAGAAACGGTGCCAAAAGTCGACAGACGAGCCAATCAAAGTGAATTTACAACATCTAGAATCTAGATGTTTGGATAAAGATCGATGAGCATCGTGATAATTACGGGAAACGAAGAAAAGAGGGAAAAGGGAGGAAAATAAGAGGAGTTAGGAAGGAGAAACTGAAGTAGAAACGCGCACAACCGATACAACGTAGAGGAAAAATAATTGACGCGAGCAAGGCGATCGGTGGAAAGAAAGGTGAAAGTGTTTGATTAAACAGGAGAAAGAGAAGGGTGGCAGGAAAAAAAGAGGTGAAGGAGGGGGAGGGGGTGGAGGAGGGGGAGGGGGAGGAGGAAGAGGAGGAGGAAGAAGAAGAAGAGGAAGAGGAAGAGGAAGAAGAAGTGAAACGCGATACAAGATCGTAAGGACAATAGAATGGGTAATAAGTTATCTTGCAGTTGTGCTCCTCTTATCAAAAAAGCGTATCGTTACGAAGATTCTCCATGGCAAGCTGGGGCTAAGGGCGTAATGGGCGGCAGCGGAGGTCGCAGGGGTGACACTGGCCACTTGCTCAGGTGCGGAAGCTTAAGAGAAAGGAAGAGGTGCGCATACCATACCATACCATTCAATCGTTCAACCATTCCACCATTCCATTCGGCTCCATTCTCACTCTCTATTTTTTCCTAAACATTTTCGTTGAACGCATTATTATCGCACGCAGAGTTTCTCAGGTAGAACGTAAATCCTCTCATCGCTGTTAGAAAATATTATAATTAATCTTACAATGCTTGTTTTCCAAATATTTATTCTAAAAATTTCTCTTTCTTTATCTCCGATTTCTCTGATACATAATATTTCTTATTTCTTATTTCTTATTTCTTATTTCTTATTTCTTAATTGATATCTCGCGTATTCTATCTTATTACATCTTACTTAGGATACGTACTATTACGCGGTTACATTCATTCATGTCCTTACTTCCATATGTAGATTGGTGTTCGCAAATGAAATTGTTCTACCCGAGTTTCTTGCTCTCTTGCTTCCTCGCTTTTTTTAAATCCGTTCTCTTCTTTCATCCATTTGTTAATTTCCGTTCGCATTTTCTCTTTTTTTTTTTTTTTTTTTTTTTCTATCGTTATTCCTCTTCTCAACAATTAGTTTTTGTTTTCTTGTTAGTCTTTTACTTCTTCTTCTTCTGCTTTCTTCACCTTTTATTTTTCTTTTTTGTCTCTTTCGAATATACAGAGACACGCACACGTAATCGTATTTACATCCCCAAATATGCGTTTAATCGAATCACTTTCTCTTCCTTTCTCTCTATTCTGACTTTGATTTCTCTGATACAAGTGTATCCTACTTTTTTATCTATTCCTGATTTTCTTTCGTACGTCTGTTGTATCGTTCGTCGTTTAAATTTATAAGTTTAGATTTCATAACGCTGTCTTGCTGAAATAGTCAATGACTATTAGCATATTAATTTTTATGTAACTTGCACAAAGTAAATAGGAAAAGTTGTTGAAAGTACTTATGTGTGCGATCCTGAGGTCTCCATTTGGCTATACAACAAAAGCACAGGAAACACGTTTCTCTCTCTCTCTCTCTCTCTCTCTTGCGTATCGATCAAAATATGACGAGTACTTCAAGTTGCAATTTTTCCTCTTTTTTGCCAAATTATCTTTTTTTTTTCTCTCTTCTTCTTCTTCTTCTTGTTATCGAGAAAAACAGACGTGAGAAAAGTGTAGAAATTTTTCTCTTGTAACACGGTGTGTAAATGGGTATCGTTTCTACCGAGCAACAGCGATTAGTCCTTTTTATCCCTTTAATCACCTGTAATTGTCAAGCTGTTTTAGTCGCGGAACAAAGAAATATGGTGTTTGAAGAAAAATCATGAACGTTGAAAATGTTGCAAACGATTTTTATTATACGCGTCGCGACGCAACGTTCTTATCGAGAGTCGAACAGAACATATTATCGACGAACGTTACAACGGCAGTGTTTCAAACATTTTCTCTCTTTTTGTTTGTTTTGTTTGTTTGTTTGTTTGTTTGTTTGTTTGTTTGTTGGTTTTGTTGATTTTTCTTCTAGTATTGTTAACCTGTTCGATGTTTCGACGTAAGAAACATTGTTGGTATCGACACGGACGATTCAGCAAGAAAAGTTTTGTAGGCTGTGGGCGGAAGTGTTCCATGTGAGTGCGAGCGGTGCAGGAACCGTCAAGTGGCAGCAGGTCTCTGAAGATTTAGTTCCTGTAAATATCACCTGCATCCAAGATTCGCCGGAATGCATTTTCCATATTACCGCGTACAACAGTCAGGTGGACAAAATTTTAGACGTGCGATTGGTTCAACCAGGTGAGATGATCCCATTATCCCCATTTGTCCATTCGTTTTATCTTGTATTTTTCTCTTGTTTAAGGAACACGTATCGGCCAAGCATCCGAGTGTTTTGTTTACTGGAAAGACACAATGACTAACGATACCTGGGGGTTGAATTTCACTTCTCCGATAGATGCCAAACAATTCAGAGAGTGTTGCGTAAGTTTACAACAGAAATTCTTTTTTCATTCTTACCGTTCTGTTTTAGTTAAAAAATATTTCCGAAACTTTGTGATAACCGCCTTTCTTTTTATTTTTTATTTTTTATTTTTTATTTTTTATTTTTTTTGGACTATTTTGCCGTTATCGAATTCTTCGAAAGGATCGTTTATTGTCGAACAAGTGTAAGCACAAAAACTGTAAGCTTGTGTGCGAGCACGAGACTAGAATTTGTGTAATTTATAGTTATTAGTTAATTTTTCGTACAGTCACCGTCGTTCAAGATTTCAAGGAAAGCGTCCTCTTCTTACTCGTTGAAGCTCGAACCACCAAACAAACAGAAGATTAAAACACGGAGGAAGCCTCTATCGACGCCAGCCTCACCGAGCAGATCCAGGGAGCCTCAGTGTACTTGTATGACCCCGGAACAATTTGCCAGACTGCGAAATCAAGAAGCTCGATACCGAAGTTTCATCGGTACGATCAATTTATTTCTGCGTAAATCATATCCTACGTCGTATATGGTAGTTATCTCGTCGCCAGACTATTTGGCTGGCGTTAAGTTTAAGCCTATTTATTAAATAGGATGCAATTTCACTCGGTTACAATTAAGATTGATCTATATTGTTGTGTGTGTGTGTGTGTGTGCGCGCGCGCGTGCTTGTGCGTGGGTGTGTATACAGGTACTTCGACTCTTCCAAGAACTATGGCGCGATCCACAGAGATGGAGATGACCCCGGCTCGCGAGAAGATCACCGCGGCAACGTCGAGCGCCTCTCTTTACGACAATGTGAATAATGCAAATGCGACACCAGGGAAAACGGGAAAGGTTAACGAAACGACGAAACAACAAAAAGACAAGCAAAACGAAACGTGTCAGACTACGGGAAAAACGGCAAATGTTGGCATCGAAACGGTCACCGTTGGATCACAGGTACCTACTATTGCACGTTATTATTATTATTATTATTATTTATCGACAGTGTCGTTTGAAAAGTGTTGTTTGCACGATTACGTTGCAGATCGATAGTCCGGAGGAGAAAGGCGTGTCGTCGATGTCGTCGATCTCGCCGAAAAAGTCTCAGAAACAAAGCCAAGATACGTCGACTCAACAAAATGGTAGCGAAATGTTGAAATCAGAAGGTACCCAAGCCGGTGGTACGTTACAAAACAAGTCGTTACGGAAGGAGCAATTACATCATACGAAATCAGCCGATTATACAGATCTGGAGATGCAAAATGGTAACATTTTCAATATAGTGAACAATAATCAGAGTGCAAAGAAATCGAAAAGCAAAAGCACGGACGACATGAGGATCGAGAACGCGCAAAACGGTGGAATCAGTTTAGATTCAAACACTTTAAAAAGAATGCTGAAACCTATGTCGAGCATCGACAGTCCCGTTACATCGCCCGAGATGACCAGAAAGAGGCATAGTCACCACAGTTATCATTATCATCCGAGCAATAACAATCAGAAGTACATGATGCAAGAGACTGATAACGAAAACTACGCGCATCCGTATCGAGCTCCGCCGTATACCAACAAATTCCAGGTTTCTAGGAGCGTGCACGACATGGGACGTCAAAATGCTGGTATATATATATATATATATATTCAAATGAATGTCTTTAACACCGAAAAATGAACATAATGCTAGATATTACGGTTATTATAGCTATTAGAGATTCTATATTTCTTTTTCTTTTTCTTTTTCTTTCTTCTCCTTTTCCTTTTATTCCGATGGATACGTTAAGAATAATAATTTATCAGAGTTTACGAGATCAAAAATGTTAATTTAATATAAAATAATGATTTGTAGATTATAATACGCTCGCGTACTAACTTGTTTAAACGAGACACGCGAGAAAGTAGAATAATTGAATGGTTACGGTAACAAATGAAACGTGTATGGACATACGTAAGCATCCCTGTTTCAAATACGACCCTGTTCCAAGTCGAACGCGTTTTCGCAAACAGTTTTATTTTCTTCAGTAAAATTCGTGCGCGTTAAAAAATTAAAAATTAAAGAAAAAACAGAAGAGGAGGAAGATGATGATGATGATGATGATGATGATGATGATGATGATGGTGATGATGATGGTGATGGTGATGATGATGATGATGATGATGATGATGATGAAGAAGAAGAAGAAGAAGAAAAAGAAGAAGGAGGAGGAGGAGGAGGAGAGGAAAGGTATTAAACTCTATAATTAGAGCGATAGGGTGCGTAGTTGATTAACAGGGGTGCATGGCGCATGTCAACACATTGTTGAACCATTCCGAAGACGTAATAAAGTAACGATTCTATTCGATCTGAACAGCTGAACAGCTAAACAGCTGAACGTGTTGTTTGATGCTACGTTTTCGCTAGCCGCATGAAGCACCACCTGTTACTATGTCGTAGGCGGCAGGGGCAGGACCTATTTAGATTCGGAACGTAATCGGTGCACGGGTGACATGTCGCCGCCGTCGGATAATGTGATTTTCGATAATCAGTGTTACGCCACTACGCCAAGTTCGTCGAATGGTAATTCGGACATGGAACAACCGACTCACTGCAATTCGCGTCGTTGTAACGCTGGCCAGACATATCAACAACAAGGCATGCAATCGGTTTCAACGCCTGGCAGTCCTACCAGTAGACTTCTTCTTGAATACGAGATGCATCTAAGAAACACGTTGGCTCAGGGTATGGACGCCGAGAGTTACAGTTTGCGTACCTTTGAAGCATTACTCACGCAAAGTATGGAAAATCTGGGTAAGTTTAAGCTTCGCTTACCCCATTTACTTTTATTTTTTATTTCTTATTTCTTGGTCGTTTACAAATAAACAAGAGTAATCGTACGTAACGTCGATGTTGCAGAATTCGCAGAGAATATACCGTTAAACGTTCAACGCACACCTCATGTTTCGCGAAGGCGTAAGTCTGATTCAAGTTTTTCAACCATTTCCAAGAGTATATCGTTTCACCGATCTTTATGCTTTCTTTCCAGGCTCTGTTTCCAATAAATCGTCCACTTTACCGTTGTCCTATCGCTATTGCAACGAAAGGCAAAACAGTAAAGACAGTAGAGATGGTTATTACAGCGATCGGAACGAAATAATACGAGAAAGAAGGGAGAGAGATAGAGACAGGGACAGGGACAGGGATAGGGATAGGGATAGAGACAGAGACAGAGACAGAGACAGAGACCGGGACAGAGATAGAGACAGAGAAAGAGAAAGAGACATCGATCGAGATCGTGGATATCTCAGTGATTATAATTCCAGGTATGTACCTGTTTAACAATTTTTATGCTTTTAATGAAAATTTCTAACCGTAGTAGCTATACCGTGTAATCTGTACAATATATTTTATCGTGTTTTACTTGAAAAGTACAAAGTTATTTGTCGCGGAAGAAATGTGTGGTAGAGGAAAAAGAGAAGAAAAGATAGATACTCGTAAGTAAGATAGTAATGCGAGTACGTACTGGGCTTTTAAGATGCGCAAGCTGTATCGGAGAATCGGCACGCGCCCAGTGGTTTCGACATTCCGATGGATGGCAGTCGGGTAGTTCGACTCTCGGTTCTGGTGCTTCCAGTTCAATGAATCCCAGTTACTCTGGACATAAACGTGAATCTCCGTGGGATTCTTTGCCATCGTTGAGACACGAAGGCAGCCTAAACGATAGCGGATACAAATCCAACCGAACCGATTCTCTGGAACAAAGGTACGGATTTCCGTAGATGAGCTATCCACGTTAAGGAACTCGTAAACGATAAATAGGTGACTATCTTTAGATTTCGATTTCGATTTCGATTTCGATTTCGATTTCGATCTACAGATTGTGTCGGATCAGATGGAAAAAAGTGATGGAAAAAAAAAGTTGTTTGCTATTTTGCACTTAACAAGTTGCAATTCTCCACATACCTATAGCGTAATATTTCTTTCTTAACGTGTGTCTTTCAGGGGCACTTTCGATAGACAAGACAGCGTGAGATCGGATTACATGTCCGATAGAGATGGTGGTAGATACGGAATCGTTCAACAAGCTTCTCTGGAGAGTACAGACTCGAGACTATGCTACTTGACGTCTTCGGAGGTGAGTCGTGTCTAAACAGCTGTTGACCTTATCGACCAATTCAGTCTAGTATGTGTATCTACACGTACTACGTACTATGTATTGTACTTGGACTCGTACAATATACATATGTATGCAATTAAGATTCCACCCTCGAATTTCCCGGGTATAAGTACTTGTACCGAATATTGATACTCATCAGTCATCTTTTCAACTCTGTCTACGCGATTTTTGCAAAAACACTCTAATACCACTAGTACCACTAGTACCACTAGGGGTATTTTTTCCCCCTTTTTTCCGGCTTCCTGGCGATTTCAACGTGTTTTCTGCATCTTTGAAAACGTATAAATATACATAGCAAGAGAATATCGATAAATCGTGCGCACAAGTAACATTAGGATGTAAAAAGCCGCGCCACCGATAGAGTTTTCATCGTCAACAGGTGCATGCGCCAACTGCATTCACCCTATTCAGTGTTATCGATGCGCCGATGTATAGGTATAATAATATTCAGTCGAAGAACATTAACGGATATTTTTCCTTCGTTTCATATAATATGTAGAATAAAAATAAGGTTTTTCTTTGATTCGAGTGTAAGCGAATTTACGCTGGAACCGTTTCAAACGAAAGGGTTAACTCGAATGCGTCGAATACGTTGTTGACACGGTAGCGGAATTGGTTGCGCTCGATTGGGGATCGCGTCGCGTCGCGTCGCGACACCCTTCCAACACCCTTTTTGTAGGTGGCCGCTTTCGAAATGTTGCTTTTCCTTTTGCTGGGTAAAAGTTTGAGCAACGGCGCGGTGGCATGCATCGGCATCAACCCCATTTATCTCCCTCCATGCGATTCAACCCCACCAGCAGCAGTATGCTTCCACCACCAGTGTTCTGGTATCGTCACCCGTTTTCCCATTCCAACCTCGATTCCAGCCTCTTGCCATCCCCCCGCGGCAACCTTTCCTTTCCCTACTACTACCACTACCGGCTGCTGCTATCCCGACCCCCTTTCGCTCTCCACAAGGACCGTGGTATTGATTCCCCTCGCGGTAGCAGCTCCGCTTCCCTGTTCTCCAGCAGCGCACCAGTCTGGAGCAACGACGCACCTCCGTGGTTGCGATCTACTTAGAAATTTACACCGTTTGTTCGCGGAAAGTCAACAACACACACACAGCTCGACGATACTCGCGAGCTTGGACGAATAATTATTTTTTTTTTTCAGAAATCGGATTCGATTTCTCTAATCGCGTAGGTGCTCGTACGTTGCTCGTTATCCGTTACTTGTGGCTACGTTACGTTCGTCGTTAACCCACGTATCGGGAACGGATCGTGAACGGATCGTGAACGGATCGTACAACGATCGGACCTATCAAGACCTACCGTCTTCAGATGATTCGCGTTTCGCGATGGACGGGGAAAAATGTGGTCACGGGACGACAAAGATACGCGGAAAGTTTCTTTCTCCTGCATATTAAACTAATTCTAATCTCGGTTTAGAATTTTATCGAGATCCTACATCTGGATCGATGCTCGTGTGCTAATCTCGGAGGGATGAGAAGAATCGGCTGTTAAACTTGTCGAAGACGCGCGGGTTCGCGTCAACATGATTTCCACGTTGCACAACAACTCTACCTACCAGCAAATCAACCAGGAAATCGTTTAATTAATTTTAAACATTTATACGTATTATCGTATACGGCTGATTTCGTACCTGATGAAGCGTATCTACTAAATAGTATCATTCCTTCGCTCTATATTTCGCTTAGCAACGTTAAACGAGTGGGGCAACGAAAGAGCTGAAAATAATATGAAACGGAGTTTCTAAGAAACGGAGAAACATGTCTAGTCCGTGCAAATTCTTATCAAAGTACAAAAGTAAAGGAATACTATAAGAGACGTAGGAAAACGTAAAGGAGAAAAATGATTTTCAACTTGAGAGAAGAATAAACCTGAAGAAATTACGAGAGATGCCAGTGGTGTGCGTAACGAGAAAGAAACGACAAGTATAAATATTCGAATGCGAATCCACGTAGACGTACACGTAGACGTACACGTATACGACGTATACATATAAGAAAATAAAGACGTAAGAAAATTGGAGAAAACGCGATATCGAGAAAAGTAACATATTTTTATACGGAGAGTTCGTTTGTACATGCGCGTATCGCAGAAATATTCTATATATTTACTTTTAACGCGCGAAATATAGGCTATACACTACTGTGTATAAAAGCTTCGCTCCTTAAGGAGAGACTGAAGAGGGACTGGTACATGGGATTTTTAAAGAAATTTTACGAATCGTTCGAAAGATTCGAAAGATTCGAAAGATTAGCGGCATACATCTGAATCGCGTTAAATAGTTGATTACAAGAAAGAAATTATTTCTAATTATTTCTAATTGATGCGAAAGAACCGTTCGGAGGAAGGTGATTTTAGGCGATCGAAATAGTGCAAAAAGGATTTGCCTTAAGTAGAGATTAAACACGTAGAAATAATTGGAAACGGTATTTGTCCAGCGATGCTGTTTTCTCCTACGTAGCACAGTAATGAGAATGATAGTTGATAAGATACCACCTGAGTGGTCAAAGAGATCCGTTTCTTCTCTTTTTCCTCCACCTCCACCTCCACCTCCACCTCCACCTCCACCACCTCCTCCTCCTTCTTCTTATTCTCCTTTTCTCTTTTTCTCGTTTCTTCTATACGGTTATCAAACGGTAAAATCAAAAACAAAAACAAAAACAACAACAACAACAACAACAATAGCAAGAAGAATCGATGAGAGCGATCGTTGGCTGATTCTCATGGCTGTAAAAGCTGTCGAAGCAGTGATTTAGCATCGATGGAAAAAAACTATGCTGAGAGCTGGCCGGCTTTGTTTCTTCTATTTCGTGTGTACGTTCATGATCGGTCTTTTTCGTCTGCTTACGAAAGAATTGGAACCATTGGCTGTTACCTTTGTCAAACAGATCGCTCGAATTTACGAGCATCGCGACAAACAGCTTTAAATAGTTGGAGAGATTCAGGAGGAAATGAGCGAGAACGCACACCTGTTACGAGGATCATTCGGTTGAAATCCTTTTTATCGTATTTGAAATTGTCCACTCTTGGATCGTCGAAAGACAATAATAATAATAGTAATAATAATAATTAATAATAATTAATAATAATAATAATAAAAGAAGCCGATCAAGTTGAAAACTTGATTGTAAATTGTATATTATTCGAGGCGTTTGCCACTTTGCTTCGAGATATTCCTCTTTCTAGAGTCTAAAATTTCGACTCTTTTCGTTTGGCTCGACGACGTAACTCGACGAATAATGGTAGAACCAAGATGGTCGACCAAGTGCACCGATAGTAGCTTGAGTTTGTTGAATTTGAGCAGCAGTTGTACAGACTTGAAAACGTTGCGCAGAAAACGTTGTAAAAAGTATTTTTGTCTTTGCAAAAGGCATACGATCAGTGCGATATGTATCAATGAGACGAGAAAATTGTATTGGTTCAATTGCAAGAACGTTCGGGAAAAAGTGAACTTTGGCCTCGGCGACGGTTATTATTTCAAGTTGCTGAGGATCGTTGACAGTGCTTTGAACGCCTGGGCCCAGCGTTACATCGACGGGCTGGACGTTGCTCGTAGGGAGATCATGTTCAAGATCAATGGTACCGCCAAGAAGAACATGAAGCTCCTAAAGGAGGCTTGCTATTGTCATTACCACCCGCACATCACAGCGGATGCTTGCAACGCCGACTTTCTAAAAAAAGTTGTAAGTTTTTGGGCTGGTGAAAGTCTTAGAGGAATACGCGACAAGCTCCGCGGTATGACGAGTTACACTACTAAAAAGGTAGAGACACGAGTCTCGCGTAAACAGTCTTTTTCCATCGATCTTCTTGTTTGTACCACCAATTTGTTCCTCCGTTATCGTTACCGTTATCGTTACCGTTATCGTTACCGTTATCGTTACCCTTACCCTCACCCTTATCCTCCATATATTTGTACATTTACAAGATTTTTACAATTACAAGATTAATTTTTTACGCTCGTTAATTATATCCTCCCTCCATCCTTTCCTTCCCTCTACTGCATTTAACCATCAGCAACCCCCTCTTACAGGCTCGTTCTTTCTCTCTTGTATGCATATAACGTTGTCCCCGTTGTGCTCTCACTTTTTCCTCGCGTCTCGATAGGTTCCGACACACACACGCGTCATCCTTTCGTTGCATCCGCGTTTACTTTAGCTTGCTCCCTTTGAAAATCAGTGTTGCATTTACGTCCTCTGTACATATCGAAAATGTTCGGTCCCGTCGATTATGGTTCTATGGTAAGACGAAAGCTTATCGATTATGGAAAAGAAAAAGATATTAAATAATGAAATGTTACAGATGTCGGACGACGACAGAATGTCGCTAACTACCGCTGTCAGTGACGATGACGACGGTGAGAGTGTGATAAACTCACCCTACCGGGGAAAGCAGACTGGCACGGCTGCAGCTTCGTTTAATTGCACAGGGGCAGTTCGAAAGGCTGGGTGAGACAAGACGAGACGAGACGAGACAATTTGTCGTCTTTATATTACATTACATATTACGATTAGATAGGGAAGTTTAACCAGCCGCGTTATCCTAGATTTCTGAGCGTGAAGAAATGGCTACTGAGGAAGAAGCAGCAGATCGAATTAGCCAGGAAAAGAGGCTGGAAAGGTTATTGGGTTTGTTTAAAGGGGACTACGCTTCTCTTCTATCCGTGCGACTCGCAAGAAAGCAGAGCCATGGAAGCGGCGCCAAAGCATTTGATTATAGTGGACGGCGCGATAATGCAACCGATCCCGGAACATCCGAAAAGAGATTACATATTTTGCTTGAGTACAGCGTTCGGCGATGCATACTTGTTTCAAGTAAGTTGAATCAATCTTGCGAGTAGTATAGATAGAAGACGAGTACGAGTTCGAGTTGTCGGATTTTAGGCACCGTGTCAGGTGGAACTGGAAAATTGGGTGAATAGCATACACTCGGCGTGCGCTGCTGCGTTCGCGCGTCACCGTGGTAAAACTGGAACTCTTCATTTGCTGCAAGAAGAGATATTTCGGCTGGAAAAGGCAATCGAATCGGTGAATAGAAGAGTACACTTAATTTATTTCCTATTCTTATTTTCTTATTTTCTTATTTTCTTATTTTCATCCTTCTCTAGGATCACAAGCTAAAGCACATGGCGGATCTTCAGCAGTCCGTTGTGTCCGATGTGGAGACGAAGCAACAAATTACCAATCAGATTGTGAAATGGGAAGAAAATTTAGAGCGATTACACTGCGAGCAATTTCGACTGAGATGCTACATGGCTAGTCTTCAAAGCGGCGAATTACCTAATCCGAAAGTAAGTACCTTTCTAAAGTTAAAGGGTACGAAATTGACGCGCGAAAATTATTTTTGCGCTAAACGTACCTGATTAATTAGAGATACGATAAACGTTATAACGAAGGCTGGTACACATATCGATCAATGTAAGCCGCAAATAGACTGTTGCCACGAGCTTCGACGAGCTTCGACGAGCTTTAACGAGAGAGCCAGTTTTCGCTAGATTAACAAAGGACGTCGATAATTACGTCGCGATATGATAAATAATTGCACCTTCATTCGAACGATATTACCTTTTCTTCGCAGAGTTTATTAACGCACGTATCTCGTGCCACCAAGCAAACGCTGAACAAACTAGGAGTCTTTACGGTTTCCTCCTTCCACGCTTTCATATGCGCTCGCAGTCCCTCGTTACTGAATAATTTACTGGCCGGACGTGGAGCTACCAAAAGAAGACCCCCGTTGCTATCGAGATCGAATAGTGGATCCAGCAGAAGATCCCTTCAAATTTCCTCCAGAGACGATGAGAAGACTGTAAAAGTATGCGTACCGGAAAATCAGGTAACATCGTCCTCGTTACCATCATTTATCAGAACGCATGCAGCAATCTTTCAGTTTTTCGCTTTACAGTTGGTCTCTGTATTTTTGCGGGACGCTATGACGGTTGAGGAATTCCTTGCAAGCGCTTGCAATCGAAAAAATCTCAACCCGATGGAACATTTTGTTCGCGTGAAAAAACGACGAGACATGGAAGATCACAACTATTTCGTACCTCATAGAACCGACTTGATTGACACCTACGTGAGTGAAATAATGCTGAAATAATGAAATCGCGTTATATCCAAGTGTAACCTTTCATCGTTCGATTTCGACTGATGTTGTTTCAGTTGCATACGCACGAAATCGTTGAAGTTTGCGCAAAAATCTTGTACCAAGTAGAATTACAAAGGAACACCCTCGAGCAAATGTGGGGCTTTTCCGTTGAAGCAGAACTTATCGAAAATTCTGATCGGCAAGATGAATTATGTTGTTACGTTAGCAGAGTCGAAGATAAAAGTGTCGCGATGCAAAACGGTAAGCTTTTGCTTTTTCTTTTTCATTTCTCTTACTTAGTTGTTTTATCGATTTTATGATACGTCGAGGCCAAGATATCGTTCTCTCCTTTACCCTTGTTTCGTCTAATTTAAGAACAAAGGTGAGATCCACGAGGAAACACAAGGACGGTTTTTTTTTATCTACGTCCTAGAGAATCAGCCATTGAATGGCATTGAAAAACATTGATTTTCTGTATTTTACTCTCTACTGGCCGAACAAACGAGTTATGCTACCTACTTATCGTTAAATGTGACCGTACACCTAATCAATTTGAATGAAATATTGTTGTTTCATTGAATATTTCAGGAATTATTAAAGGCGATGAAATCATGGTGATCAACGGTGCTATAGTGAGCGATTTAGACATGATGTATTTGGAAAGCGTGCTGCAAGAAGAGTTTGGTCTTTGCATGATGATGCGATCGTCTCGAACCGAACCACCGGATCTCACCGGCATAATGAGGGTTACCGATGACATAATCGAAAGCTTGGTTTGTCCACCTCCACCTTCCGATCCACCCGTTATAAGCGAGGAAATGATTTCCGGTTTAATCGTTCCGGCTCCTGGATGGAGTAAGTTGACTACTCGTATAGACAAAATCTTTTGATAAACCACTATGTTTCGATTTGTATGCAGGTAAGGAAAGCATCGTGCAAGAGTGTACGTCGACGGCTCATTTGGAAAATGGTAAACAAACGTCTCGCACAAATTCGTTTGAAATTGAAAATTTATTGAAAACCGCGGAACAAGTGACAGGGATCTGTCGATCGCCCGGTGAGACTAGAAAATCTAGTCCTACGGGAAGCGTTGTTAGTTCCCATTCCCAAGCGTTAACGCCAAGTCGCCAATTAAGCGATGCTGAAAAACTGAAGAAAGTGATTTTAGAATTGGTCGAGACCGAACGCACTTACGTAAAGGTGGGTATTTAAAAACTCGTCGAGCAATTTGACCGAACGAGTATCGTCTTGCTATATCCGCTAATACTTACAGAATTTAAACAACTTACTGGAGAATTATCTAGAGCCGCTTAAACGAGAAACTTTTCTATCGAACGCTGAGATAAACGCACTATTTGGAAATATTCAAGAGATCATTACGTTTCAACGACAATTTCTGCAAAATCTCGATCACGCGATCGAAATGGAAGCTGATTTTCATAACTTTGACCATCCGAGTCAATTTAAGGTAGATGATTCTTTTTCAATATTTCGTCACGCTTAACGTTTACGCCGTATTCTTGTTAAAGGGTGTCCTGTTTTCCATTGGAAGTGCCTTTTTGTACTACGTAAATCACTTCAAGTTGTACAGCTCGTTTTGCGCGAGTCACTCTAAAGCGCAAAAAGTTTTACATCCAAGTGAGTGTAAAATATCTCGTACTCTCGGTTTTCGTTTCGAGCTTTCGAGCTTTCGAGCTTTCGTCTTTTTCTTTTTCTTTTACCCTGATTCCTCCGATTCATTCCCTGCTTCATTTCGCTGCTTTGTCTTGCCTCTGTTATTGCAGACGAAGGAAATCAAGCTTTACAAGAGTTCCTGCAAGCTAGAAATCCAAGGCAACAACACTCGTCGACGTTGGAGTCGTACTTGATAAAACCTATTCAAAGGATAGTCAAGTATCCTTTGCTTTTGCAACAGCTACGAAATCTGACCGACGAGCGAAGCGAGGAACATCAACACTTGATCGGTAATGTACATTAGATTTGAAACGATCTGGACTTATTAATAATATCATTCTATTATAGAGGCTTTCAAGGGTATGGAAAAAGTGGCAGAACACATAAACGAGATGCAAAGAATTCACGAGGAATACGGAGCTATTTTCGATCACTTATTCAGACAACATCAAAAATCTTGTAAACAGGTGAGTAAACCTTTTTTTCATTCTCATTTTTATTTCATTCATTACCTAACATACTTGAATTGACTACTGTCGTGTATTTCGACAGCCGATCGATTTAAGTCCAGGAGATTTGTTATATTACGGAGGCGTCGACTGGCTGAATATTTCCGATTTTCTCGGTAAAATCAAGAAAGGCTTGGAATTGCACGCAATGTGTTTTGTTTTCAAATCGGCGGTAGTGTTTCTGTGCAAGGAGAGACTAAGGCAAAAGAAGAAGCTTATGGTAAGTTTCATACGTTCTTTCGTCTTGGTGTTGTCTAAATTAGTGGTATACTCATTTATGCATTTAACGTACGATATACATCGATTAGGGAGTTTCGACCAAAGCAAATTCCAGCGAAGTCGAAATAATTCGCTACCAAGTGCTGATTCCCGTGACAGAAGTACAAGTTAGAGCTAGTTCAGCCAAAGATATGGAATCACATTTTTTGTGGGAGTTGATTCATTTACGAAGTCAATTACAAAGGAGATCAGAGAAAGTGTACGTGCTTTCCAACAGGTAATACTTTTTCTTCTTCTTCTTCTTTTCCTTTTCCCTTTTCCCTTTTCCCTTTTCCTTTACCTTTTGTTCTGTAACCGATAATCGTCCGTTCACTGTAACAATCTGTAACAGTTCGATTTAAACACACACGTTATCTCTTGCCTTTTAATAATTAAAATGCATTTGTTCGACGAGTTTGCCTACGTTAAGTCGATGCCACATCGCTTGTCAGGTACATTATAAAGACACTAATCATTTAATAGGAGCACATGAAAACATTTCAACACTTGACACCTAACACGAAGCTTCGAAAGACAGGGGTTTGTTCGAAATCAAACTATTTGAATGTAAACGCATCTTATCAGAAATTCTTTGTTAAATGACAAAGTGAAAATTGTACATATTTGTAATTCTTTTGCCTGTTTTTTTTTTCTTTTTTTCTATTTTCTTTTTCTTTTTTTCCTTCTTCTTTTGCCTCCAGCACTACAGAATTTCGAAACGCATTTTTGAGAACGATTCGTCAAATTATTCGAGAATCGGTACGAAACATGAGCATACCATCGACCAGACAAAATTTAAGCCAACCACCAATGACTATTTCACCGCGAATGTCAACCGGCCACGTGGAGAAATTTGAAATACAGACAACGAGTCAAGGACAGAATAATGGTGGTGGGAACGGTGCTGGCACGGGTACCGGAAGTTTATCGAAGAAAACGGTAAAACCGCAATTACTAGCGACTTCGCATAACGTGAAACGAAAATATAGTCAATCGAAACAGACGATGGAGCCGGAAAGTTCCGAAGATAAGGATGTGGAGGAATCGAACACGGTGAATCAGCAGCAAACCGTGTTTCGTTCCAGGAGCAAAACCATAAGCGACACATCCGGTAAGACGTTGCCTGAAACTTAGCTGAAACTTACCTGAATCGTAACTTGTTTATTGTCCGAAACATAGGAGAAGTAAAAGTTGAAATGGATTCAGGAACAAAGTCCGAAGGCGAAGAAGACTCGCAAGCTTTTTTAGGTGAGAAGAAGGCGAACTTGGGTCGCACTCCGAATCATTTGACTTTGAGCACCACTTCAACAATTTCAGCAGGAAGTACCGGTAGTCAAGCCAGATTGATCCAATCTTCCCATCAACCGGAAAATTATCAACCAATTACCGTGAAAGAACTTGGTAAGAAGAAATGTCCTTCTTCTTTTATCTTTCCGCGTTCCGTTCTATTCAGGCTACTTTTTTCGAATAGGTCTGCTTTAACATTTCACGCTTTACCTTTATACACTTGTGGATTATCTACCGTTGGCAACTCGAATTTCAAATAGTTGTAGCTTTTCAGATGATTTCACTATTCAAACTAATAATCAATCAATCTACATATCTGCATACGTATCATAAAGAATAGAAAAAGTAGGAAAAGATATATGATTATTCTATTCTGTTGTGTCGAAGGTTCGCCAATTTGGAAACCACGGGAACTACCTTCCTTAGGAGAGTCAACAACATTGCCGCGTAAGGGTAAGTCGGCCAGCGAGTTTGGAGACATAACGTCGTCCCATAGCGCCTCCCGAAAGTCTCTGATAGAAATCAATAATTGTGCTCAACAATCTAACTGTAATAACCATGTTTAAGTTAAATAGATGTTAATCGAGTTAAGTTTAAAAATGGTGAAATAAACCAAGCAACTATTCGATTACCGTGTAAAAGACCAGCGCGCTTGCCGCCCACGCGGAACGTTTTAACGCTGTGTTTCCATCCTTGTACTACTCTCGTTCTCACTCGTTTCGTCTTCCAAAAGCTACGATAACAAACGTGGCACCCATTATCATCCTCATCATTCTCATCATTCTCATCATTCTCATCATCATTCTCATCATCATTGATCAACATGATCGTCGTCGTCGTCATCATCATCATCATCATCATCATCATCATCATCATCATTACTACAATTATCATCCCTGCTTTGTATGTACAACGGGCGATTCAATTGTTTAACAGGAGAGAAATTCGAAGAAGAAAAAGAACTTTGCTTTTAATGGGAAACAGTTTCGACGAAGAGAAAGAGAGAGAACGTTTCTATCATTGCTACTGAATGATATTGAACAAAGGAGAGAATCGAAAGAATGATATTTTCCTTGTGTCTGAAAATACATATATAGGTACTGTACGAAACGAATAGACAGGCAGCGCGGCGGTACAACGTGGCTGTAGCACCGTAATATTAACGATCGCCAAGTCGGGGTCTGCTCGTTCAACTATTGTAGTAACTATCTATAACAAGAAATAACGATTCGTTTGTAACTGTAAGAGTATGGAACATCGATGAAACATTTCCGACGCGACGGACCGTCATTCTACTTTTTATGCCTACCAGTTACTCTTATTATTATTATTATTATTATTATTATTATTATTATTATGATTATTATGATTATTATTATTATTATTATTATTACCATCAGTATTGTTGTTGTTGTTGTTGATGTTGTTACTGTTGTTGTTGTTATTGTTATTCCTAATATCTACTATTACGTAATATTCGTACTAGATTCATTCGAATTGTATGGAATCACGTTGCTTAAAAATTCATCAAAAAGTTAACTCTTTTCCTTCTTTTTTTTTTTTTTTTCTCTCAATTTTTCTAATTCAACGTTACTTTTTCTTGGCCTTTTCTTCTTTTTTCTGCGTGGACGGCAATGCGATGATAAAACCTAATAAACTCTGTACATAATGTAACATTGATATTATCAGTAATGTCATTATTGTCGCCGTCGTCGTTATTACCATCATCGTCACGATCGTTCAATATCATCGGCAGTCTTCTACCGTCAGTATTCACAGTCCCTGATATATCTATTATATCATTGCTCTGATTGTCAAACTATTGTTATTTCCTATTATTTTCATTATCGTCTTTATTGTTACCATCGTGGTTAATTATTCCCGTGATTGTCCGCTGGTGTTGTTATTATCGTTATTATCGTTATTACTATCGTCATCATTCTTGTCATCTTCTTTCTGACATCTTTGTCATTTACGTAATTGTTATTACCAAGACCATCTCGTTGTCGTTATACTCCATCTCGTTATATTCCAATTAAAATATCGTTATTATTATCAGCGAGAAATCAACAGAAGGCATACATATAACGTGTCGAAAAATGGAACGACGACGCGACGTTACGATTAAACTTAGCGATAATATAAGAGTCTAATTAAATAATTAAATAATTAAATAATTAAATAATTAAATAATTAAATAATTATATAATTAAATAAGATAGTTTATTTAAAAAAAAAAAAAAAAAAAAAGTTATATGCGTGCGTACATGCATGAATAGTTACGATGTTGACGAATCGTTCTATACCATAATATGTAGACGCGTGGATGTGTGCGTATCTCTGTATACGTGGTAACAGAGAGTAATAGAGATGCATAGATACGATCTTCCACATGTTCGCTGCGTTAATCGCCTTTCGGACCCGAATATTCTCGTCGTTATAGGAAATTTTATTTTTAACGTTGTTCAAAATGCAACTAGTGATCAGAATGTTCGAGCCCTAAAGCGCGGCGGAATCGATTGTATCCATCGTACATGTAGCGACAACGATGATGACAATGACAATGACAATGACGATGACGATAATGATAACGATGAGAAGCGAAAAAAGTAAGAGGAGAAGGCGGAGGACGAAGCGAAGAAAAATGAAGAGGAAAGAAGAAAATGCAACCGTTTCGTATCGTGACGTTAGAGAAAATGGGAGCGGTGAGACGAGTGTTCGTGTGGAATATCGTTTTGATTGCGAGTATCTAATACAGCGGGAATTAAGCGGGATATCTTCTCGATTCGAATATCGCATTGTTAACGATCACTAATATAAGTAAATACAATATTGACCGATCAATACCTGTAAATTAGAAAACAGAAAGTATATCTATATCGATGATACCTATATCTATGTATACATATATGTGTATATATTCGTCTATTTATACATATGTATAGACGAATATCTGCAGCAAGTAACGAAATAACGTGTACCATGTATGTATATGCGCGCGTGCGTGCTTCTTTCTTTCTTTTTTTCTTTTTTACCGTTATAGATATTTCCCTACAGCCCCTTACAATTCTATTACCTGCAATACACATAGATGAATCAATCAAGTACTTAGTTAAGTAAGTACGGCCACGATAATTCGTTAGGGAAGAAGAAGAAGAAGAAGAAGAAGAAGATTTGACGAGTCGTGATGAGAGAATTAATCAATTTCTTTCGATTAGTTAACGACATTGGTGTATCATCGATACACCTTGATCGACGGAAATGGTGAATAGGTGAAATAGCTAATCACCCGAAAGAAAGAAAGTTTACCTATCCCTATACCTATTTATCAAAATCATGATCAATCAGTTGTGCGCAAAGTTGCTCAGTTTTCTTACCACGTTTCCTGGATATTTGTACACGCGTGCGACTTATACAAGTAGGCAAATATACACGTATGTCAAAGATGATATTCGCGCCTCGTTCGAAATAAGTAGAGGAAAAGTTAGAAATGTACGAGTTGAACGATTTTCATGATATCGATACATATTATACTTGTGCCCAGATTGGATAATTTTGAAAAACCTATCTATCACCCGTATATTTATTAGTTGAAATACGTTTTATCGTTCCAATCTTGGAAATATCCGACAATATCGCAATTGCTCTGTGCAGAATTTTATCAAGGATTTTTTATTGTTACAACAAGTTAAATGGACGGAGGGGAGGGGAGGGGAGGGGAGGGGAGGGGAAAGGAAAAGATTTAGAAGAATTTCGAGACGAAAGAAACACGTTGAGGGTAAAAGTAAGAAATCGGTGATTACAATAAAATAGGGAAATGATAAAACGGATACGTGTCGATACGTTGAATCGTGAAATTTAATCGACCTATATGTATATGTACATGTAGATAGACGCAGACGCGCGCATATACGGCAAATATGTATGTAGTAAAATATCGATTAACGTATAAAAGCGAAAAAAGAAATAACGAGGTATACCCACTTACTGGTTACTATAGATGTCGCACGTGAGGATTTAACAACTTACGAAGGACCTTTTGTTGCTCGAATTATTGCATTGTCTACTACGTATCCATATACACGTACACATACAAGTAAGATACGCGCATCAACATACTTATTAACATAGCGCTAGAAACATAAATATGTGTATGAATGCGCGCGCTCGTGTGTAGAAAAGTTTTATCGTATAAATTTTGTCGAGGCATGCGTTCTCCGAGCAACAGTCGATTATAATCATTATAATATCTTATCATTTCTTTGCAGTAGCAAGCTTCTCCTTTTTCGACGGTTGCGAAATCGTTTCCTACGAATTTCTTACAATTTCTTCCTTTTCCCTACCTCTTTTAATATTCATTTCATTAATCCAAATGTACTGACAATCAAGGAAAAATTAACACTGATATCTTTCCTCTTTTAATTAACTAACAGAGAGGGTATATTATATGTATGTTGTTGGAAAAGTTTGAAAAGTTTGAAAAGGAAGGGACGACGACTCTAGCTCGGAGACGTATCCCAATAGTTGGCCTAGTGACGAGTTTCATATTTTTCGCCCCGGTCGCAGTGAATCGTCGAATGTTTATCTCATGTCTATTATATTATAATTATTGACACTCTCCAGAAATTTTATTGATATAAACTTTATCGCTACCGTTGAACATAATATACTTAAATTATGACAGTGACAACTTCGGTAACAATTTACGGGCACTGAATATACCGAAAAAGGGATGAATCGAAGGAAAAAAAGTAAAAAAAAAAACGAAAAAAATGAATGGGAGAGTAAAAGAGACAGAGAGAATGCGTGCGCGCGCGAGAATGAAAGAATGAGACGAAAGAAAAGGAAAGAAAAGGAAAGGAAAGGAAAGGAAAGAAAAGAAAAGAAATTGAAAAAATAAACCCTTTGCGTGTCCGTGAACACCGTGGAAAAATTTTAGATGGTTGATAGAATTCTATGATATAAGCGGGAATAGTATATAAATTCGAAGAAAGATGGGACAGAGTCTGCGAGGGTGGTGGGTTACGTTAAAACGAAACAAAGTTATAAAATAAAATAACGATGTAGTATGTAACGAGTATTTCCGTGTTATTTTTTCCTTTCGTTGACATCGCGTGTAACAGATTGCGCGCTACAACTGTTGTCCGCAACCTAACCAACGTGCTCTCCTTTATTTCTTTCGTCCATTCTTTAATTAATAATAATAATTACTTGTGTCAAACGCATTGCGATGAAATTTCTGCTTTTAGTGTTATTGTTCTTCGGTTTTGCGGAAATGTTTAAGAGTAATCGGTTTGTACAATCATTAAAATGATTCATTAAAATATGATTATCTAATACGAAGTAATATCCCATCTTATCCTGCTATGTATGGTATACTCTTTTGATAAACCGATCGATCGAGCGAGACGGATTGTTTATCGGTCGCGGATACGCGGAGATAAACCCGTACGAAGGTAAAACTTGAAATGCGATAAAGAGATGAGAAAGAGAAGGAGAAAAAATATCGTATCATTCTAATTGAGCTCTAGTTAGAGATACCGATAAGACGCAGGTGTGCATAGCTCCTGCGTGGTCCACCGATCGAATCGATCATTATCAAACGGACTACATACTATGTGAAATCATGCCACGTGCAATTTTTTTTTTTTTTTTTTCTTTCTTTCTTTTCGGTTCTATTACAGATTATTGGATAACACGATAAGAAATACCATCGGCCAATTTCTTTTCCAGTCATCTTGTTTTAATCGTCCGACCTATCAAGAGATCCATCAACGAGTAATTTTTGATTAGTGAGAAACGTATGAAATGTAAATCAGTGTAATTTCTTTCTTCCTCGCGTTACTTAGGTACATAGAATATCGTATCCTTGTATACGTAGAGGTGGGTAAAAAGTGAACGAGGAAAAAGAAATTTGTGAAAATGAAGCAAAGTATCTTGTTGCTAACGCTGTGTTGCGCGTTTACGTTAACATCTTGTCAGAAGAAAGAGAATAATAAAAATAAGTGCGTATGGTACGGAGTCTGTAGTCTGTCGGAGAATAATATGCCTCGTAATTGCGCGTACAATGGTGCACCACAACCTGTAAATAACACGATCGTAGCAGACCGTCTACGACAGAAATGTCCGCATTATTTCAAAGACACCACCGGTAAGCTTCCTCTTCATTTTCATTTTCATTTTCATTTTCATTTTCCTTGCGTTCTTCCTTCGTTTTTCATTTTTCTTTCCTCTTATAAAACGTTTCAGACTCGAGTGGACCAACGTTATGTTGCGACCAGAAAAATATCGAAACATTGGTCTCGCAACTGGACTTGGCCGAAAGTGTCTTTGGCAGATGCCCAACGTGTCTAAGAAATTTTTACAAGTTGATATGCGACATAAGCTGTAGTCCTGAACAGAGTCGATTTCTGAAAGTCTCAAAGACCGAGGTAAATTCGGAAGGGAAGGAATACGTGACAGAAATTCAGGTAAGATAAATTTCCTTTTCCAAAGTAAAAAAGTCAAATAAAATAGAAGAAAAAAATCCTGTTTTAGATTTATCTTTCGGAAGAGTACATGAACGGCACTTACGAGTCTTGTAAGTATATCGTTAATCCAATATCCGGAAGTTTAGCCATGGATTTGGCTTGTGGTGTGCATGGTGCTAGTCGATGTACGCCAAAATTGTAAGTTTTTTATTCTTTTATTCTTTTATTCTTTTATTCTTTTATTCTATATAATTGTAAGTAGTAAATTTTTTCATGAAACTTTGATAAAACCTTGTTGCAGATGGTACGAGTATCAAGGTGATCCTGACGCGAACAATTTAATAAGTTTTCGAATGATTTTCCTAACCGATCAGCCTTCTTCGAACGATACGGTAGAAAGGTGGAACGAACCGGTCAAGAGGTGCAACGAATCCTACGATGTAAGTCTTCTTCTTTATCTATAACGCATGTAAGTATGTACTTACATAGATTAGGAATTAATTGCGTAACAACGTATCGACAGGGTTGGTTGGCGTGCAGCTGCGTCGATTGTCCTAAGGCCTGTCCTATTACGAAATTACCAGAAATCAATTCTGATTTCCTTATTTTTCATCACAACGGCTACGGTATTCTGGCAGGAATTGCCCTCGTTTTATTCCTCGTATCTCTGACAATAGCCTATGGAATATTCCGCTCCAGTAAGCCATTGATTTCTTTCATTTTTCTGAAAACACACATTTTCTCATCTTTTAAAACGATCGTAAATTGTCGATTATTTGCAGACGTGCAGAAGGAGGTAGAAAATAATAAAAGTCACAAAGGAGGATGGTATTTTCTTCCTTGGAAAAAATTTCACCAAGTATTTCATTCATTTTTTGCTATTTGGGGTAAAGGTACGGCTTCGAATTAATTCGATTAATCCGATTAATCCAAAATAATGACGGATTTTTCATACTTTAAACATAGGTTTCGCAAAATATCCGGGCATCGTACTGGTCATCTTTTCTTACGTCTTATTGGGATTAAGCTATGGAATTCAATACCTCTCTATAACTAGCGATCCGATTGAAATTTGGGCAGCACCAACTAGCAGAGCTAGAATCGAAAAAGATTATTACGATTCTCATTTTCAACCTTTTTACAGAGCCGAACAGATTTACATGAAATCCGTAGGACTGGAGAAGGTAAAATCGAGCGTAAAAACGAAATGAGACAGAAATAAATAGAGACTTTAATTACATATTATTCTGTTGTTCAGGTGACGCACAACACGTCGAGCGGTCTCCTCGAATTCGGTCCAATTTTCAACAAGGAGTTTTTATTGGCGGTCTACGATCTTCAGAACAAGATATTGCAAGTGAGTGGTAAAAATAATTAACTTATTCAAGCGGATTTATCTCGAACGTTGTTATTCGCAGCTTGGACAAGAGGATGGAGAAGGTTTGGAGCGTATTTGTTACGCTCCGGTTCAAAACGATTTTACCGGACCCGTTACGTTGGATCTTTGCACCGTACAAAGCGTATGGGGTTATTTTCAAAACCGTCTAGATATTTTTAACCAAACGATCGTATCCGACCCGTACGAAATTAATTATTTAGATCAATTATACAAGTGCGCTCAGTAAGTTAAGTATTTTGTATCGCATACATATATGTATGTACATATATCTGATAGGAATCTTTTTTTCTTTAAGAAATCCGTTCGACCCGAATTGTTTAGCGCCGTACAAAGGGCCTGTTTTGCCTGCGTTAGCTTACGGTGGATTTCTGCGAGAAGATGAATTTAACTATAATTCGAAAGATTACATCAAAGCAAGTGGTCTGATATTATCCTTTTTGGTGAAAAATTCGTTAAACGATTCGGTGCTCGAGTCGATTTACAAATGGGAACAGCGGTAAGTTGAAATATTAACTTAAACTTTCAAATAATTAATAGACTTTTATTTTCTTTAGATTTCTCGATTTTATGAAGGAATGGAACATTAAAGAACGTCCAAAATTCATGGATGTAGCGTATACTACAGAAAAATCAATTCAAGATGAATTGGAACGATCTTCGAAAGCAGAAGCGTTAACGGTAGTTTTCAGCTATCTCTTGATGTTCCTTTACGTTGCGTTTGCACTGAGCAAAATAAAATGTTCGCTGAAAGAATATTTCGTAAGTTTGCTGGTAACGCTCTTTTATCGCTTTTCTTCAACTTTTTCTCACTTATTCTTGAATGTTTGGAATTTTAGGCCAACGGTAAAATGATGATTAGCATCGGTGGAGTTTTAATAGTAATAGCCTCGGTAGCTTCTTCTCTCGGTCTATTTGGCTATATCGGTGTACCCACCACGCTACTTACCATCGAGGTAAGCGAGAACGCTATATTTTTTTTCTTCTCTATAAATTTATCAAATTTTCTAAAATTACCTCCTATAATGCTTAGGTAATCCCGTTCTTGGTATTGGCCGTGGGAGTGGATAATATTTTTATTTTGGTTCAAACGCACGAAAGAAATCCGAAACACCCCGACGAATCGATACCGGATCATATCGGAAGAATTATGGCAATAGTTGGTCCATCGATGTTACTTACCAGTACTTCCGAGTGTCTTTGTTTCTTGATCGGTTAGCCTAATCTAACTTGCCAGAATATTTATCGTTCACAATTTACAATTTACAATTTACAATTTACAATTTACAATTTACAATTTACAGGAACGTTATCTTCGATGCCGGCGGTAAATACTTTTGCGCTTTATGCATCTTTGTCGATTTTCATCAATTTTATTCTACAAATAACAGCTTTCGTTAGTCTGTTATCACTGGACGAACAAAGATACGAGGTAAGAAAGTTGTCCTCTATCGTGTTCTAAAGCGAAATCGTTTCATTTTTATTCAATTACAATTCTTCCCACCTTTCAGAACAATTTGTTGGATATATTTTGCTGTATAAAAACGAAAAGAAGAGATTCCGCGGCGGAGGAGGAGGAGGAGGAGGAGGAGGAAGACTTTGGTTTAATACACGCGATATTTAAACGATTTTATACACCGTATCTGATGAAAACACCAATCAGAATACTTGTATTGATCGTATTCGTGGTTGGTCTTGTGATGCATGCGGTACTATTGCCAAATATTGGCATCGGTTTAGACCAAAAGCTATCGATGCCCGAAGATTCTTACGTTTTAAAATATTTTCAGGTAATTTCTACCCTTACTTACAATAGTAGTTTTCTCCTTTCGATTAAGAGAAATTTAATCATTCTAGTTTATGGAAGATTTATTGTCAATGGGTCCGCCAGTGTACTTTGTGCTGACCCCTGGCCTCAATTTTAGTCGTAAGGAGGTTCAAAATGTAATTTGCGGAGGTCAAGGATGCAATACCGATTCCCTTTATACACAGATCTATTCGGCAGCCAGACAACCTGCTACGTTCGTATACTATTATAGTATTTTATTAAGCTAATTAGCTAATTTGAGAATTTATTTACAGATCGTATTTGTCGAAATCCGCTTCGTCTTGGATAGACGATTATATAGACTGGTCTGGGATTAATGGTTGCTGCAAGTACTTTAAAAATAATCAATCCTTTTGTCCACATACGGAAGGTAAGAATGTTACTTTACTTTACTTTACTTACTTGTGAACAAAAGTAAATTACTTTTCTTTCTTCCAGTTACTTGCGAGACATGCGACATCGACCTCGATGCTTTCCGACCAAACGATTACAGTTTTCGAAAATATCTATCGTATTTTTTGCAAGACATTCCCGATCAAGGTTGCGCAAAAGGTGGACGAGCCGCGTATCCGGACGTAAGTAACTACATAATCCTAACGATAAGTATTTATGTAGTTATTTTTAACGGCATCATCCTTTTTCGCCATTTACAGGCATTAAATTACTACGTTGACAAATATGGACTAACGGATGTTGGGGACAGTTACTTTATGGGATATCATACTCCGTTGAAAAAGTCCTCGGATTGGTACGAATCATTAAAGTATTCTAGAATGATTGCAGCAAATATTACAAAGATGATAAACGAAGAAAATTTCACCGATAACCAGATAACCGTCTTTCCATACAGGTTCGTTACTTCTTATTATTTCTATCTATCTATCTATCTATCTATCTTGAGCTAAAAATGAAATTCATTTATTTTCAGTGTATTTTACGTATATTACGAGCAGTATCTTACCATTTGGGTAGAAGCGCTTACGTCCTTGGGTTTGTCTCTCTGCCTTATTTTCCTGGCGACTCTAGTTCTTACAGGATTCTCCTTATTTTCGGCGGTAATGGTGCTATTCACCGTATTCATGATCATCGTAAACATAGGTGGTCTCATGTATTGGTGGAACATTGAATTGAACGCGGTATCTCTTGTTAATTTGGTAATGGTATGTACGTTATTTCTTTCTTTCCTTAAACTTCCTTGTTATTAATTAAAGGCTTTTTTCTCTTCAGGCTGCCGGTATATCTGTCGAGTTTTGTAGTCACATGATACATTTCTACTTGAAATCTACAGCATTTACAAGAATCGATCGTGCGTCCGAAACTTTGAACAAAATGGGAAGTTCGGTGAGTCCAATCTAGCCTGAAATAAATTTCGTTATAATAAATATAATTCATTTCAGTAAAATTCATTTTCTTCCTTTATAGGTTTTCTCTGGTATCACTTTAACGAAAATTATAGGAATCGTGGTATTGGCATTCTCCAAAACTCAAATCTTTCAAGTATTCTACTTCAGAATGTATTTGGGTATAGTAATTTTTGGCGCTGCGCATGGCCTAATATTTTTGCCTGTATTGTTAAGTTTCATAGGTAAGATGAAGAAGAATTTCAATTTAAAAGCATCGTATACATTCTCTACATTCTTCTCTACCCCAATATTTCTTGTTTTTTAAATGTTTCATAAATAACAATAAAATTACAGGTCCCTCGAAAACGTGACGATACTTGTTCAAATCCGAATGAAGAAAGAAAAAGGATAGGATAGGATTTTATTCTGACCATAACCATGCAATTATTACGATGGTTGAAATGTTAAAAGACGTTTTACGTTAAACATCGAGCGGATTATAATTTAAGCATTTTATGCGTGATGCGTTCAAGTAAAATAGTATTATTATTATTATTATTATTATTATCGTTGTTCTTGCCGTCGTCATTATTATCATACGTATGTACATACATATGTATGATATTTAAATACACATATATATTTATTGAAATCAAATAAGGTTTATATTCGCAACTAATTGTGCTTGATTGTGGATGCAGCTACAAAATGATGTCCATAACTGCGAAAAGACCAGTTTTTCTGCGTTCTTTTCTGCGCATTGTCGCTCTGATTGGTGATACTTCCAGCGGAAGTGGAAAGCGATTGGCGGATCGCTTTCCCCCACCACCATCTTCCAACCTGCGCGCTTAGTTATGGACTCTCGTGACATCAAGTATATTTCGATATACGATTCACCATTTTCTTCACCGTGGACAGACACCAATTTCAATATTTTATCATTTTTTCACGATTTCGATAAAATAAGGACCAGAGCGGTATTAATTTAGGGCCTTCTGAATACATCCCTGAAATTTCTTTCTGAAACTCTAGGGATTTCTAGGGATTTTTCTAGGGACTGTCAGTAATAGAGGAAACGCGTTCTTTGCGAACGTCTATGCTAGGGAAAGAAAACAAGAAAGATGGCGTCTGCTTTAGAAAACCTGGAGACCCAGTTGGAGCTTTTCATAGAAAACGTAAGACAAATACGTATTATAGTAAGTGATTTTCAACCTCAAGGACAAAACGTATTGAACCAAAAGATGTGAGTATTATAAATGTATTTTATCTGCTCTTTTTTTCTATTTTTCACACTCGTGTTAAAAATATTTCATTAACCTAAAGATGGAGGAGTTTATTTGGCTTTATACATAATGATGTGCTATGATATAAAAGATCTACTCATTCATAAGTAGAAAGGGTTATGTGCTTTGGTACCATTACAACAATATAGATTTGTTTTTGTTTTTGTTTTTGTGTTTTTTCAGCCAAGGTTTAGTTAATGGTTTACAAGAAATAGATAAATTAAAGTCTCAAGTTCAAGATGTTCATGTACCTTTGGAGGTTTTCGAGTAAGTATATAAGAATCGAATGTTTCAAGATCCATAACGTATCTGTGTAGTGTAGTAGAAACGAAATTATAAATGATCGCGTGCGATTTCAGCTACATCGATCAAGGCAGAAATCCACAGTTGTACACAAAGGATTGCATAGAAAAAGCATTAACTAAAAACGAGCAAGTGAAAGGAAAGATCGATGCTTACAGAAAATTTAAAGCAAATATGCTCGTAGAATTAACTAGAGTTTTCCCGCACGAATTGGCAAAGTACAGAGCGATACGAGGCGACGAGTGAATACACGTACGATATATCGTACCGTTAATTTTAATATTCTTCTGTAATCGTTTGTATAAGAAATATTTATTAAAATAAAAAAAGTTTGTATGAAAAGATGGAATGTACCTACGTATATAAGTATGTAAGTATTATTCCTTTTCGCTTTCGTAGAAAAAAGAGTATTGGTTGAGAGTTTGTAAAAAATAGTAAATCCGATATAATACCCCACTCCTTGATTCCCCTTCTTCGCGATGCTAGCGAAATAAAATGATTGAAACGAAGACGCGTGTAGTCATTCGAGAGTGAAACATAGCTATCGACAAAGCTAAGAAAGGTGGTAACGAACGGGTGATATACAATATCTAAAGTATGATCGGTTTATTAATCGTCGTTTCTATCGTTGGAATTGGCAGCAGCGTCAATGTCGAAGATAAGTATCGGTAAGATGCGTATTAATCCGAATATCATAATATCATAATCATTATTTCACTGTCGCGTTTTACGCGTGATAGTAGATAGCAACGGTAGAATGTTGATATATGTATATTGTAAAGAAAGTAGGAAAACGCTAGCTGAGCTGAGTGATTCGATACTGTCATAATTTTATTGCCGCCTTTACTTTACTTTACTTTACTTTACTTTACTTTACTTTACTTTACTTTACTGTCTTACAATTCACGTAGCACCAGTGAAAGTATGATAATTCTATGTATGGATAGAGAAGTAAAAAATGTAAAAAAGAAATTAATTTTTCCGACAGTTCACCGTGGCATTACAAATGCGAGGGTGGTCTTTGCAAAAAGGAATTAATTAGAAGCGAAATTACATTGGCTGTCCCATTGGAAATATGCGAATTATTTTGCGATGCATCCAGTTCGTTGTGGCCAAAAGCAACCGGTCACTTGTCTCTCAGCAAAAAGATGGTTCACCTTGATCCCGAGAAAATCGAATTAATCGATACGCCGAGTGGTACACAAGTTGAATATCTTCTTGAAAGAAATATGGATTTATTACGAGAGAATGCAAAGAATTTGAACGGGAAATTAATAGAAAGTGGTGATGGTGGTGCAGGTATGCTTGTACGATTTACGGGACTCGTTAAAACTGACCGCATCAAATTGACCTTGCACACGGATGAAAGTTACAGTTTAACTGTGACACAAGTAAACGAAACGGTGAGTCGTTAAATATTTTTGCCTGAGAGTTTAATACTTTTGTCTTATTTCTCGATACAATTTAGTTACTGGAAACAAGAGTGACCGCGAGATCGTATTTCGGTGCACGACACGCGCTGGAAACGTTGAGTCAGATGATCGTTTTCGACGATTTTCGGAATCAGATTCAAATTCCAAATGAAATCTCGATTACCGATGGACCCGTATATCCGTACCGTGGACTATTACTGGATACCAGCCGGAATTTCGTCGACAAGTCAAAGATATTAAAAACGATCGATGGAATGGCCATGTCAAAGTTAAATACTTTACACTGGCACATAATCGATTCTCAGAGTTTTCCGTATGTCAGCAGAACGTGGCCAAAATTTTCAACGTTCGGTCGTTACGCTCGAGACAAGATCTACGATGAAAAAGACATTAAGGAGATTCGGGATTACGGGCTGGTTCGTGGTGTCAGAGTATTGCCGGAATTTGACGCACCAGCCCACGTAGGAGAAGGATGGCAATGGGTATAAAATATTTATTTCTTTATCATTCTTTCTTTCTCTTTTACTAACCACCTTCCAAAAAGGCCTCTCCCTCGAAATTCTAAATACATACATATGTATAGAAAGTTTACAGGTGGAAAACGATGCGATCGTTTGCTTCAAAGCGGAACCATGGAGAAATTATTGCGTCGAGCCACCCTGCGGTCAACTTAATCCAACCAGTGATAAAGTATACCAACTTCTCGAAGGAATATACAGAGATATGTTTGAAGATTTTCAACCAGATCTATTTCATATGGGAGGAGACGAGGTGAACCTAAATTGTTGGAACTCTTCGGTCGTTATTCAAAATTGGATGAAAACGGTTCAAGGTTGGAATCTGTCGGAAACCAGTTTCTACATGCTTTGGGAATATTTTCAAGAACAGGCATTGGAAAGAGTAAAGCTGGCTAACGGAGGCAAAGAAATACCCGTTATTTTATGGACCAGCGGTCTAACCAACGAAAAGAATATCAATCGTTTGGATCCGGATAAATACATAATACAAATTTGGACGACCGCGAAAGATCCTACGGTCGGTAGATTAATAAGAAATAATTTTCGAGTGATCTTTTCGAATTACGACGCCCTTTATTTAGATTGCGGGTAAATATAAAGTTGAAGAGGGAGGACGGTTTTTTGTTATTCTTTATTATTAATTTCTTTCAGTTTCTCAGCGTGGATCGGTGATGGTAATAATTGGTGTGCACCTTATAAAGGCTGGCAAAAGGTTTACGAAAATTCTCCTTTGAAGATAATTAGGTCGCAAGGTCTCGAGATGAAAAGGAATTTGGTGTTAGGTGAAAGACAAGTTTCTTTGTAAATTCGCATACGAATAATCTGTAGATATACGTATGTGTGAAATATGTGTATTGTAGGAGGCGAAGCGACTCTTTGGACGGAACAAGCTGATAGCATGTCCGTTGATTCGAAGCTATGGCCTAGATCCGCGGCGCTTGCCGAGAGACTATGGGCCGAGCCGAACTCTAGTTGGATTTATGCAGAGCACAGAATGCTCAGGCACAGACAACGACTGGTAAAAAGAGGTATCCTCGCCGACGCATTGGAACCTGAATGGTGTTTACAAAATCAAGGCCATTGTTACGCTTAATTCTATACTCGCATATACTCGTATATACTCGTATCAATTATAATGCATTAGTTTGGTCCGTTCGATCGAAATTTTTAATAATTTTCTTCTTTCCCATCAAACGGAGTTTTGACAAAGTAAGTGGTCAAAGTCCCCTTTCCTTTCACGTAAGTAGCTCCACGACAGGTCAATTCGTAACCAGCAGCGATCAAAATTTTCCCCGTGTCCTCGGTAACTTGAAGCTTTCCCATTTCTCCGCAGCTGTCCATTCTCGATGCCACGTTTACGGTGTTGCCCCAAATGTCGTATTGAGGCTTTTGCGCTCCAATCACACCCGCTATCACGGGACCGTGATTTAAACCTTGCCGAAAGATATGTTCTTTCTATAAAAGAGCGCGGAAAAAGAAAGAGAATTTCCTGTAAACTCACCTATTCTCAATTTGAATCTTTGAAAGGATTCTTTGTTGATTTGATCTAGAATGGTCATCAGTGCGAGAGCAAATTCAACAAGAATGATTATATTATGATCTTGTTGTTTGCACGGGTCCTAAAAGTTGAGGTTGAATTTGAAGATGTTGGAAAAAAAGAGATGTGCTTTTACATATTATACCTTTCGATCGGTGTCTTCTTTTCCAGGACTGAGACCGGAAGCAAGCATATAAGTGCTACCGATTGTCTTGATTTTTTCGATCCCGGAAAATTTTGGTTTCAGCAGTAGCTTGTCAAAGTCGCATATAATCTCGTTCAAAAGTCTCAAACACTCCAATCCTTGTTTGTTTATGTCCGTTTCGTCGTAAAACTCTTTGTAATTTGGGATAGACGCGAACATTACAGCGATACTGTTGTATCTTTCGTGATAAAGATCCTGCTCGATAAAGAAGCAATATCTAACGATAAGTTACAAGTTGCAAGCGAAACTTTGACGTTACCTGAGTAGCTGCTCCACCGTTCGTTAAGAAATGTTCTGCCACGTGAGCTGGCAATATATTCTCGAGAAGGATCTTGTTAATACCTCTCATCGTTTCTACCTCGTCTTGTTCTATCTTTAGTTTGCTTTGCCAGAGAAAATCGATTCTCGAGGTGTATTCAACTTGCCTATCCAGCACGTGAAGCACAAGGGAGACAAGTGCGAGCAAATATCCGATTTGAAGGAGATAATGAATATTATAATAAGGTCTGCGAACCAGAAACGGTCGTATTTTTCGGAAATAAATAAAAATTATGTAAAAATGAGTATGGAATTAGAGTGAGTGTGACTTACTCGATCTGTTCGAGCTCGAGCGTATAATAGACCCGTACGGCTGATGTTTGCGAGATCGCAACTACCACCGTGATTACCGAGACAAACATCGCGCACAATTTCAAGAGAAAGTCGACGCGTAAATGCGTCCATCCTACGACCAAGCACATTACCGCAGAATTTACGTACATCTAAAAAGAACGAGATCAGAGGAAATTGACAAATGTTTTCTTGTTATTACCAATAATAAGAAAGAAGAAGTACCGGTGCGATTTCGTGCCCATTCATTCGATCGACATTGATTAGACTAAAAACGGAAGAAACAGTTGCCACAAACACCGTAACCAAGTACACAGTCGATCCGATACCTCTGCCCGAAGCTAATCGTCGACGACGACGACGACGACGACGACGAGCACAGTCGGTTTTGCTCGGCCAAGAAAATATGGAGCACGCGAGGAAAGACACGATACCAGTGGTAAAACAGCTGTAAACCATGATACTTCTGTAATAGTAACGGAATTAGCTTAAGAAAAAAATCGAAACCTGATCTCTTCTTTATATTACATAGAGTAACTTACCTCGGTAAATGAATAATTTGAATAGCAAAGATCATAAGGTAGATTGTACTCGAGGCAAGAAGATACCAAGGATACTGTTCGTCGATTTCTTCTCGGTATAAAAGTTCTTTGTTTCGGTCGTTGAACCGATAAGTAAGGGACGACATGCCCTCGTTACCACCGCGCCACCACCGTCTGAATTCATTAGCACAGCTGTTATGCAGACAGACTGCAAGGCTAACAAGCCAATACTTACTTTATATCGGTGAAACAGCCGAAATTATTATTTGCCAAAAGATTAGACTCGATCATAGCGACGCTCTGAAAGAAAGAAATTTCAATTTCAATTTCAATTTCAATTTCATTGCGCGAATAAAGAATAGAGAGGGGTGAATAAAATAAAAGAATTGTCACGACAGCTTACCGTTAAACCAATATTTTTTGCAAGCGTAGCTTCCGCGATATTGGCAAAAGGCTTATCCGCGCCCCAACATTCAACGTACTTGGTCATTTTACTACTCGGCCTCGATCTATTTACAAGTAAAGAAACTTAGTTAAACAACAAAGGCATGCTTGGAAAGCAATTGTTTCAACGATCTCAGAGAGAGAGAGAGAGAGAGAAACGGAAAGAAAAATGACTGGTGGAGAATAGCCCGATGATATTTCCTGCTAGCTACCTGTCAATCGAATCGGCACACTTCGAATCGAGTTAAGAGATGGTAAATATCGAATAGCCGTTGTGGTCTGTGTTAATAGAGCAGAGTAACGATTAAATTGAATGATCAGCCGTGTTCACCTTGACGGTACCGAGGAACCAGGGCCGCCACGTGCACGTTGATCGTTATCATCCTTGCAATTTTCTCCGCTGCTTTTCTAAAAAAATACGAGAAAAGTAATTTCAACAGATATCGAAGAATCAAGAGAATGATAAATCGAAGGCTCACCTCTGGTGGAACTATCAAGAAAGTTTCGACGTTGTGTCGAGCAAGGTAACTCTCTCTAGATCCTCCGTCACCGGGTTCCACTTCGAAACGATTTCCCAGTTGAAGCAAAGTGGCTTTGGTAATGTGTACCCTCCTTAAAATGGAAATGAAGTGAAATGAAATGAAATGAAATGAAATGAAATAAATCAACGTACCCGGGTACTCCTCCGCTTTCCATGTGATTTGCTAGCGTAACATCGTCGCTCCATACATCAAACTGCCATTTCCGTAGACCGAGTACACCGCAGAGAACATTTCCGGTATGGATGCCAATTCTCATGTCCACGTTGAATCCGGTCGCTTCGCGAACAAATCTAACGCGTAACATCAAACAAACTTCTCGCGTCCTTTCTTTTCCCTTTATTATTTCTTACCTTACCTAATCGCTTCGATCATTTGCAATCCCATGTTTACGCAATTGTACGCGTGATTCGGGCGAGATATCGGTAATCCGGAAACGCAATAATAACAGTCACCCAGAATCTTGATTCTCATACATTGATTATCCTAAAAGGGAAGAAACCATTACACTTATTGTTTTCTTTCTTTTGCGCGCGTCTCTCCTCTTACCTACATACATACATACATACATACCTGAGCAATTTGATCGAACCTTCCGAATAATTCATTCAACGTTTTCACTAGATCAGAAGCCGACAGTTGCTCCGAGAGCGGTGTAAAATTCACAATGTCCGCGTAGAGTATACTGAAATACGCGTAGAAACAGAGAGAAATATCGTTATCTCTTCTTTCGAGTAGAACTTTGCTTCTTTCTTACCTAACATTATTGTGTCGCTGAACATACATTTCGTGAAATCTCGTCTGTTTATGTTTGCTAGCTTCTTGACAGGCGTCTGCCATTTTCAGCATAATACTTCTCTTCACCTATCTCGATCGAAATACAATATGTATATTGAAACGTTATTCTTGTAAATTATAAAGGAGCAAGAAACTCACCTCGGCGGCGATATACGCTGGAATAACGCTCAACAATAATTGTTCCTGTTGTTCCCTTTCGCATTCTAACTTGATTCTGGATTCGATGACAGTTTTCGTTCCGGAGAAGGTGCGACTGTGCGCCTTGGCGGTTAATACGCTGTAGTACGATCCTGCGAGAATCGCAGCTAAGAGGAAAACGAGCTCGCTGCACGTCTATGCAAATGTATAACGTCTATAGTATATTCTTCAAGTAGGGAAAAGGAAAGAAGAAAAAAAATGAACGTACCTGAGCTATGCGATGGTAGCTAGAATAGTCGAGAAAGGAAAAGTTTCTAGCCAAGTGAACAACGATCAGAAGGATGGCAAGAATCGTGGGCGTTTGTCGAGCATCTCTCGGTAATACAGCGATAATCGTGAGAAGAAGCAGAAACAAAGGTACCGAGCCACGAATTATTAAAATTCCAATACCTAAGACGATCGAAGAAACGAGACCTAGGAGAGACCTAGTTCTAGCCGACGTTGAAGTCGATGGCAATTGTGTTAGAAACAGCGAACCCAACGACCAGATCAGCATTACCGTTAAATTTGTTCCAGGAATGATCGCTTTACTCGGATCCTGTAAAAGCAAGTTTTATTTCTCTTCTCTTCTCTTCTCCTTCATACCGATGCACGTCGATTCAACTTACTTCCCGATTGCTGAGGCAAACGACTCCTAGGGCGATAGTCAAAGCAATCACCGCGACGAGCAATGTACCGGCATACAGGGATATTGTCAACTTGCCCTCGTATTTATCTCGTAATTCTTCCAATTCTTTCACTCCAGCCTCGTTTACCACCCTTGACCATCCTTCGGATTTCTCTAAAACATTTACAATTGCTTAGAATTGCTTAGAATTGCTTAGAATTGCAAGTAACGGTGCTTCTATCTTGGAAACTATCTTGGCCGACTGCCATGTCAGTGAGGAAAACTATTTTCGATCGATTTACGTGTTCGCGCGTCAACAAATATTGCAAACATTTACCTAAATGATCTTACGACAATAATCTTTCATTATTTTCTCTTTGAAACGGTTCGTGACTGGTTGCATCACGCGTCGGTCTAAAGTTAATTGTGGTCAATCAGCCACGGGCCACGGACCGCGGACCGCGGACCGCGGACCGTGGGTCAAGTTCGTTCGCGCAAAATACCTAAATTCGTAAACATTTATAACTATCATCATGTATCTATCATGTTAAATGGTTGCAATATCGTTACCCAAGTTCCATTCGTTATTTTCGTCTTGCATCACGCTTCAGCGGATCCACAGGTAAAAACGTCTTCTCCGTTCTTAATTTTATTTCTATACGCTGTTAGATTATTTCATTTCTTCCGTTTGTCCGCTTTCCAAATGGACGTATACGTTATCATCGTAATCGTTTACTCGTATCCACGATTTAATTGCAACGTGCGCAACTTGAATAGAGGCAAAAGGATCAAGCGCTCCAACAACTGCTCTCACGAACGTTAAGCTTGCAACTGACGATGGTGGTGGTGGTGGTGGTGGTGGTCGAATTACGAGCCAATTCCTATCATTCGTTCAGACTAACTCTATTGCGACTGACTGCAATATACGTATACGACGTACGCACTTTTCTTCCAAAAATAAACACGATTACTAGTGTTACACTTATCCAACATTTTCACACACGATGCAGGAATACAAATGGTAATAAAGGCGTTACATTTTCTAAAATATATTTTATTAATCGATATACAGCTAAAGAATGATGTATTTACGTGTACCATATGCGTGTTGATTCTACGTGATATCATACACGCGTTATAAAAATTCCATTTCGCGTTCGATACCCACGAATTTTAATTGTTCCGTTGGTCCATATCTATCGAAAAGAAAATCACGTATATTTAACAAACTGTTAGTCGATAAGCAAAAACAGAGTTCTTTACCTGTAGTCAAAAAATAATTCTTCACCAGGTTGAATAGCTCTCTTGGCGAAAATACCTATTCTATGATCACCGTTTACCATCATCACTTTTGCGTAACAATTAGGGTTTATGGAATGATTAGCGAATCTTATTTTATTTCCTTTTCGCGTAGCATCCACAACAAAGTCTGTTTTCAACAAAGTGGAAAAAAAATTGAAGCATCGCAGGTATACTTGTTATATTCTACATAGATTGATAGAGATCTTACCATTGTTCAGATTAAAAAGAAAACTGCACATGTATTTATCGTAAACTTTCCCTCTTCTGTCAGCCTCGTCTTGACTTATAATTTCACCGCAATATTCCGAGATAAACTCGTTTTTCGCCGCGGACTCTTTAAGGAATATTCCCCAGCCCGCCACGTCGGACGGTGCCATTAAAAGATGTTTGTCTGAAAAACCAAAGCAATATTAATATTAAATAGGAATATAAAATGAAGCAATTATTAAGAAAAAAAATACATACGAAGACCACGTTGAACGCTAACGTTTCTGCAAGATATCTTAGTAATGTGAAACTGATCTGCACCGCAAGTCTGACAAAGGTCTGGATCGCATTCCCTTACGGCCAAGTAACAGGGACACTGTTTCGTATTGCACTGAGCTTTGCATCTACATCCTGGGAAACGATTCTGGCATTCGCTGCTGCACTGGCAAAACTTTTCGCAAAAATTCTGAGCTTGTATACAAGGACACGAGTTATCGCATTGTCTCCCTGGATGGTCGCACGGCGCAAAGTTATGTACGTGATTAGCACCTTGAAACGTTAAACAGACAAGATTAATGGATTTTCATCGATTTTCATCGATTTTCATCGATTTTCACTTATTTCACAGCTTTTCTCCTATATTACCAGAATCCTTTTTCAGCTGTATCTTTCTACAATGCATCGACCAAAGCCGATGTTTCTTCTTTTTCTTTCGTGGCGGAGTAAAGTCCTTTAAATTTTCAATCGTTGGAATATCCGAAGCTTCTTTCTGCGCAAACTGATACACTTGCTGGCAAGTTTTCGTCAACATTATCTGCGCCAAAGCGCACGGATTGCCAGGAAACGCCTTGTGAAGAGCTCGAAACAAACTTTGCTCCGAACCGGTCCAGGAAAATTCGTTTTCAGTTTTCACTCGTTTATCGAAACCCAACAGCGTGAACGGGGCTTGATTATCCGGCTGTACTTGATCCTCCATCGACTCTTCCGACTTTCTCTCCTTGTTCACGTTTTGTTTAAAATCTAATTCCAAACATTTTCAATGCAATCAATATCTCATATCGATCCTCGAATCGAATTCAAATCAATTTTACCTTGACAGCCAGCCCCTTGTAAATACTTGTTGCTGTCGTTGCTATCTTCGCTGCTCGCTTCGTTACCAGAATCTACGCTCGCTTGCTTCCGCACTTTTCTAGGTCCTCCTCGTTTCTCCTCGTTCTCCTCCTCCTTTATGTCAGCCGCCTGGGCTGCCAGTTTCTCCTTCATTCCTTCCTATACACCAAAATTATCTATCTTTCTTTATCGCTTCATCTATCGAATATAAATTTTCGAGTTTACCAAGTGCATGTAACATTCGGTTCCGCACGGTTCGGAGAACGGTTTCAGATCAGGTCCTTTTCGTTTCTGCAAATTTGGTCCCGGATGACACACTTGAAGCCCTACAATTAACCCCATACAGATTCGGAATATTTCGATAATTTTATCGATGAGATATCAAATCAAATCAAATGATAATCTAATGGAAGAAAAGGTAACGAAAAAAAGAGAAAGATAAATTCGTCTCTGAATACAATGATCGATCGCGTTTGTATGCAGTGTGATTGTTTACCTGGCGGCGACGCTCCCCTGGCTGCTACAATAAATCAGTAATTATAAATGACTGTAATCAAGAAATGCTCAATTTTAAGCAGGAATACGATATAAATACATATATCAGCAATATGTATCTCGATTTAGATTTTCCAAACTTTTCAAAAGTAAAAGCAATACGAGAGCATGAAATCGTGTCGAAGAAAGGAAAATTTATGCGCGTTACCGTTCCCATACTCACGATGAAGAAAACAGTCGTATTTGAAACATCTTCGGCAAAAAAGAGTGTGGAACGAGTGCATCGTCTGTTCTCTGGGTACGCTTTTCGCGTTCACCCCATCGATGTTTGGCGTACATTCTGGCGGTAACACGTTCGGATCTGATCTCTCCGTTAGTTCGATGTACTTTTCTTTTAATTCTTCCGGTCTACCTTTGCCAGGAAACATGCTGGATATCGCCTGGAATATCGTTTTTTATTCGATCTCTTAAACAACATGAAAATGAAACAAGATTGAAACGATTGCCCGCTCCGCTCCGCTCCTTACATTGAATATATGCATAGATGGAAAGGGTGTACTAATTTTATCGGATTTAGCTTCTTCCGAGGATTTCTCGGTTTTCCATTCCCCCTTGCCGTTGCTATCCTTCTTACACGTATCTTTATCCTTATCCTTATCCTTATCCTTACCGTCTTCTTTTTCTTTACCTTTCTTCGTATGCTCTCTATCCTTGTCTTCTCTTTCGTACTGCACCAAAGCGTTCACCAGATCCACAAAAATTGAATCGTCCATAAAACCAGATTCTCTATCTCCGTGAACCTAATAAGATTATTTTCTATATAGCTTGCCGATATATAAACGGTCTATTTTCATTTCATACTTTTCCATCGTAATTTTTTATCAACTCCTCTATGAACGTGCCATCTTGATCTAAAATTTCATCCCCCATGTACGGTATGTTATGTAGCACAGTTTCATCTTCGACCATAAAATTTTGTTGTATCGGCGCCCAAGTATACATGGTCGGTATAGGAGTAACAGCGTTAATAATTTTAACAGGACAGCTTTGAACATCTCCGTCGGAACTGGCAACTTCAGCTTTTTTCATGCAAGACACGTGGGCTGGGATATCCTGCATCGCGAGCCACATCGCTTTTCCGTCCGCCCATCGTTTTTGTTCAATCATCAGAAGCTCTAATTTTCAGATCAACAATATAAATTCGAATATAAAAATCGTAAACTTACATATATACATACATTAGATGACGCGCGCACCTACGTATAAACTACAAACTCCTAACTCTTTTATTTATTTTTTTTTTTTTTTTTTTTTTCTTAAACATTTCTATTCTTCTTTCTCCTCTCCTCTTTTATTCAACAAAGAAAACAAGTAGCATATATATATATAGAATTTTACTCCGCCGACTTAATGATTAATCCTTTTATCGATCAAATGGTTGGTTTAACATTTCGTTAAATTACGAAGAAAAAGAAAGATGTATTAGTATGTATATATATATATATACACATTATATTATACTAACCAGACATAACCTTACGATTTTGATTCCAAGCAATCTTCACCTCGTCTGCTCGCTTGTAACGTTTCATTTGGCGTAAACGCATATATTCGGACTTGACGCGTTTCCTCCATTCCGCAGATATTTTTGCTTTCGACATTATAACGCGAAATTAATTCATTGTTAAAAAGAAACAACCTTTATTACAAACGAGAAATGCTCCAATGCTTATGAATTTCATGCAAATTTTAACTCCAGCCTCCAGCGAGGAAAATCCAGGCGGCGCTGATGTCGCTTCTCTACATGCAAATAGTTACCAGAGTCCATAACTCCGAAAAGACCAGTTTTCGTTCTTCGCGCATCTCTAGTGCGCATCTTCGCCCTGATTGGCGATACTCCCAAACGAATTGGAAAGCGATTGATCTTCCAACCTGCGCGTCGCAGTTATGGACTCTGGTGAACTGTGGTATATACTTATATAAATATTTCCTCCAAGTTTCCTTGAAAACCACAATCGAAAATTTACCTTAACGATAAGATGGCTCTAAAACATGTAGTCATAGGCAAGTTTGTTGTTCTATTTTTCATTCACGATATTTCACGATCGTTAGAAATTAATTTCCAAAATATTAGGTTTTGTCACACATGAGGTTATATAATTGCCTCAGGTGGGGGTACCGGCTTTATTGGAAGGCAGATAATTAATTCGTTAACAGGCAAAGGTGTTTCGCATACGTGTATATCTCGCATGCCTGGACCTAATCGAATATCATGGGTGAGAAAAATTACTTACTTTTATCTTTCTCTATCGAATACTTGACGATATCGAAATGTCATATAAAATTGATAGCACGATTTGGAATGTTACGGTTTACCTGAAAACACGACCGCCGTAATTAATGTTGCTGGTCAAAATGTACTTGATCCGAAACAACGATGGTCCGAAGGATTTAAACAGAATGTTATAAACAGCCGTGTAAAGACAACAAAGTTGTTGGCCGAAGCTATAATAAATACTAAAGCCGATGCTTTTCTAACAATTTCTGGAGTAGCTTATTATAAACCGAATAACATTGAATACACAGAAGAAAGCGAATGCGAAAAGTATGATTTCCTATCAGGTAACAATACTTTTATTTCTAATGAAATTTCTTGCACGCGTCTTATATAAATTACAGAAATAGAAAAGATTGTTATTCGTTCTGTCAGAGCTCTGTCACGATTGGGAAAGAGCTGCTCAGCTTCCAAAAGATAGCGCTACCAGACAGGTGATAATTAGATCCGGAGTTGTATTAGGAAAAGATGGTGGTATGATTAAACAAATATATTTGCCATTTTTTATCGGTTTGGGTGGTCCTATCGGTAATGGCAATCAGTACATGCCTTGGATACACGTAACCGATCTGGTAAATATGTTTTTCTTTTCTCTTGACAACAAAAATGTCCAAGGTATATTAAACGGTGTTGCTCCGGAGGTAATTGAAATTCAACCGAATTAGAAATTATTCTAAACAGATCTGTAATAAACCGATACAATTTCATTACTCTGTCAACAGATTATAACCAATAAAGAATTTACTAAGGTGTTTGCGTCAACGATGCGAAGACCTGCCGTTATTCCTATACCGCGCGTTGCATTAAATATCCTTTTCAATAAAGAACGTGCAAAAGTTGGTATTTAACGTATTTTTTATTCTCATTTTAAATCAAATGATTACACCAATTCCTTTTCAGATTATGTTGGAAGGACAAAAAGTTGTACCAAAACGCGTCAAAGAGTTAGGCTTTCGCTACCAATTTCCCGACATTCAGTCTGCTTGTGCTGAAATACTTGTTGGTAAAAGTATTGGACGACAGCAATGAAGAAACAGTTACAGTTACAGTTACAGTAAAATATATTTATATTTTTTTTATATAAAAAAATACTGATCTATGTATAATTTACTAATTTGCGCGAGTTACAATTCCCTTAACTTACCAATTAACATATTAGTGGTACATAGCGGTACAGTACTCTTGCTGCCGTGTATTTATTTTCTAGATAATAATAAAATAAAAGATTGAAATGAATTTTATCCAAATTTAATTTGAACTCAAAAAATAATTAATCCGTTTTTTTAGTTCTTGTAATTCGTTCCTCGTAAAACCTTGCATACTTAAACATTTGATTTTTCCATTTTTCTCAAGTATAAAAAGTCCTTTTTCTACGGTAACTCCAATGTATCTTATATCGCTAAGTTTCATTGAAACGCACGAATCGTATGCTGCAGTAAAATATAATTTATCTATCCAATTATATCTTTCGATAGTAGCTTTATTCTCATCTTTATCTAATAATAAATCCTGCCATTCTCCAAATCCATCCAAAATGAACATAATCAGCCCGAAAAGCAAAACAATCATGCGAACAAGATTACGCGTTAATTGCCAGGATATTTCAGCGAAAATAATTGTCGACACTAAAAACGATAAATTCATTACCATTCTACATACAAATACACGGTGATGAAGAAACTTTTAATTAAGTGATCAACGTAAATTGATCGTATGTTGATCGATTAGTCATATTAAAATACGACTCTATCTTACAGCCAAGTAATAACCATGCGATAAATCCTGGCTTCCGACAAACGTGAATTTTTCGTTGGTTAAAAATGATAATTTCTGGTTTTAAAATAGGCAAAATCATAATGCCAGGATAAAATTTCATACGTTTAACTTTGTAACAAAAATTTGAATTTGTTTTTCAATCGATTGTTTATCGATTCTCGATTGTCGATTGTCGATTGTCGATTGTCAATTGTCGGTTGCAAGTATACCAGTATGATATAGCAGAAAAATAATAACAAAATAACCCCCTGTGGCACGGGGGGAGTAGAATACGGCCACGGTATTCCCTGCCTGTCGTAAGAGGCGACTAAAAGGGAGATGTAAAGGAGCGAAAGAGTACTAAAAGTAATGCAGAAGCGTAAGAGAGTAAATATAAGTAAGTGAGATAAAAATTGGGCGGGAAAAGGATTGGCAAGAATGCCAACCTTGTACGCGCGTGGATGACAGCATTCCCCTCGCGTCAATTAATTTGACAAAAAGAGGGAAAAATTAAATTAAATTAATAATAAAGTAGACGAATACGCAAATGCGAACAAAGCACCTAGGGTGACAAAGAGAAAGAAATAATTAATTGGACAATTATCGTGACCCTGTAATGAATGGCGGGAATCAGTTACGTAAATTGAAACTAAAGATGAAAAAAAATTACATTTATTTACAGTGCGTACGATACGAGGCTTTAATAACATTTGTTGTTGTGATAAAATACTTATTTATGTTATGTATGTACATATATAGAGAATATTGTATAAAATGGCGTTTGCTACGAGAACAGCTGTTGTTTACTGACAAAAAAGAGAAAACCAGGAATGATATAAGTATATAATTTTGCACAAAGTGCAATTTGGTGGATGCAAATTAATAAAAATCAATTCAAGGCAGACAGTAAAATGAAAATACTTGAAATATGTATAGTAGTAATAAATCAATTGAAATGACAAAACGATTCGTATTGTGGCGGCAGTGGTAGCAAGCAGCAGTGCGATGATAGATGATAGTGGCAGTGGCGGAGGTGAGGTGATTGTGTGATGAGTGATAGTTGAAGAAAAGACAAGTCAAAGAGAAATTCTTTAGCGTGCCTAACATCGATGACAGTGACTTGAAATTGAACTGGTTTAATCCATTTGTCACAAGAGAAGGAAGAAAATTAAATGCGACCACTCTGAGTTGGAGAGAAGTAAGTGAATGTTGCGTTTAAAGGTAACAAGCAACACTTATTTCTCGAATGTTTAACATTTTTCTAACCATTGTGTTACGTAAAAGTAAGGATAAAGTGTCGAAAGAAGCAACAATGAAATCATATTCATAATTTCTCATTTAATATTTCGATGCGAACACAACATATATATATATATATATATATATATATAAAAATACATATAATACATGTCGGATATTCGATTTTCCAAATTTTCAAAGAATCAATGGATTTACTTGTATGACGTTACTCAGCGATTATTTAATCGTATTTTCGGAATACTGGACAGTTTGCTACGACTAAAAGATGACCAAATATCGTCCAGTATCGCAACCAGTCTCCAGTGAAAATCATCGTTTCTACCACTGCTTTCATGAGGTTAGAGTTAATCGACACAATTACATTTTTCTTAACATATCATTTTTCTGTCTATCGTTTACGAGAAATATTCGAAAACGAATATAGTTTAATTTCTAATCATTCTAAACAGAAATAAGTGTACTTATAAATTTTTAATATAATTTTGTTGTTTTTTAAATTTATAATTATGATAATTATGATTTGTGATACATAGTGGCAACATAGTTGTCACTATTATTATTGCCAGTAGATATTTGTTTTTCATTACAACAGAGCATAGAAATGTAAAATAATGTTGGAATGCTGTGTTATTTTTAGATGACGTACCATCGTTGTGTTATACTTTTTTAATATTGAAATCTTGTTCGATAGGAATCACCATGAATGCCAGAACTCAGTTGTTCGAGTTAAGTATGGAGGGAAGACAAGTAGACGAAGCGGTAGCAAGCATTTTCCACAGTGTTCTTTTTCATAGAAGCCTTGGTAAATTCAAGTACAAACAAGAAGGTAGTTATTCAGTAGGTACCGTCGGGTATCAAGATGTCGATTGTGACTTTATCGACTTCACTTACGTCTGTTGTTCGTCGGTGCATTTGGATCAAACTTTGAAACGTGAAATATCAGGTTTTTCTGAGGCTTTACGTTCCACCGATAGTCCAGGTTCTGGCCAAATATCGTTGGAATTCTTTCAGAAGAAGAAAAATCGTTGGCCGTTTCAACCAGAATGCATACCATGGGAAGTATGGACAGTACGTTTGGAACTGATCAAATTAACGACCGAACACGAACGACAAATATGCAGAGAAAAAGTCGGGGACTTGTTAACGGATAAAATTCTGTACATAACAGAAGTAATGAATCGACACGATTATCTTCCGAAAATGCCAAATCAAGCTGAATTGGATTTGATCTTTGATACGTCGTATCCCGACATACAACCTTATCTATTTAAATTATCTTTTACAACGTCTAGCCCGTCGAGTACGACGATGGGTAATACAATGAAGAAATTGATCAAAGAGACATTATCTATTTAGTTGTTTACTCTTTCTTGGGGACTTTTTAGTGCAATGCATCTATAATGCAAATTTCTTAATATAAATAACATTGGAAAGTTGTCTTTACTAACGAAAGACTCGTTGGTCGTTATCTATCGAATATGTTGCGCTTAGATGTACATTACATACATACATACATGACTCGATATCTGATTATTTTCTTTTACTTGTTGTTGTTCACCTGTTTGAATTAGCCAAGATTCAGTGTTGTACGTTTTATACATATGACGCGCAAATGGAGTTTCAAGCTTGCGTCGTACGGTAACGAAAAATGACAATGATTATGTGGAAATTACGTAGCTATGTGCGATGAAAACACTAGTGCCGACCAGTGTATATTCCAGGTGTCTGTGCTGACAATACTTGTCAGAAAATTCGATGCATTACGATTGTATAGACTTGAAATATTTGCAAAAATTTCTATAGTACAAAGGAAGCAATCGTGGTGTAGCAGTTACTTTTTTGTAAACATACTGTTTCAACTGTATCGTCCATTGCATTAGTTTTCTAGGTAATCGGTTATACATTAAATATTGAAATGAATTCTTTATTACGTTATTCACTATTTCGAATATTACTAGTAATCGCAAAATAGAAAGAAGTTTGTATAACCGTAGGGAAAAAAAGAAAGACGGTTATTTTTGGTTATTTGAAAATGTTTAATATATAGCTGGAACCTAGATTCATTACTGTAAATTGTAAATAAACGTGCAAGTGCTTGTATTCTCGTGTTTCTCGTTTACGCGTTTTCACACGTAAGTAAGTAAGTAAGTATACATATACATATTAAAAGGAAATCGTTGCTTCTTCAAAATTATAGGGGCCATGATATAAACGCGTTTTACGCACTGTAATTAAAGTAATGTATTTTGGGAAGCGTGTATGTATATTATAATCAGTTGAACGTGTTTAATTAAAATGTATACGGTGTATTTTCAAGATTGAACTCGGATTTGATTTACATGCTTTATCGATACATCATTGAAAAGAATATTGCGTATACGAAAGTATCTTGTCGCACGTAACGCAATGAACACGCAAAGAATATTCATCTTGGCAATAATAAACGTTACGATAAACGTTAAAATCGACAAGATGCATACATGTACAATAATATCCTGATTCAAACGATCACGTTATATACATATACTTGTACGAATATATTTAATTAACGAACGAACGAACGAACTTGGAACAATGAGAAAAGTTTTTTAAAGGCACTAAACTCTAAACAATTAGATAATAAATTATGAAATTTGATACGTTGCACGGAAATAATATTTCTTGATAAAAAGAAATAGAAGAGGCGAGTGAGTTAATATCGTCGGAAAAATGAGAAAAGTTGTTGAGAAAAAAAGAATGTAAATTTCCGCGTTGGTTCGTTCGTTCGTTCGTTAATGTTGCCCTTTGAAACGTTAAGAAATTTGTATTTTCTGCGTAGTTGTCTGATTGTTTTGCGTTCTTATTGGTTATTAAAAGATTGATTTACGTTACTGTAATTTTTGAAGAAAGCAGAGAGAACTAGGGAAAGTGTTAACTGTTTTATGCAAAATAGGAAGGTGATGTCGAGGTTTGTACCGTTCAAGTACATTCGTGTAAAAATAACGAAATAGGGTGAAGAAATAAGAAGGAGGGAAGGACCGCGTCTCGTGAGATGTACCTTAAAATTTGAAGGGACAGAGATTTCTGAATAAAGCGATTCTTTCATATTTTTACACGGCTGGCTGAGAATTTTCTAAACCTTAAACGTTATATCTAGTGGATGGTACAACTAGATTATAGCGAGTTGAAAATGAAAATGAAGAACGATAAGGTATCGAAGAATAGTAACAGAATGAATGCTTTGTGAAATAGAAGCACTGGTTTACGGAACCGCGATGCGATGGCGAACGCGTGCGCGAAAAAACGGCGGCTCCTGGGCTTAACTTAACCGACAGCGATTTTCCATTTTCAGTTGTCGATAGCGTTCGGTCGCGAACACAAGATCGAAGCAACTCGTCGTGTCGCGTGATTGTTCAACAAACAGTTGACACATAGAGAGAAAGAGAGAGAGAGAGAGAGAGAAGGGGTCGATAGAAGCCGGGGAGCCGCAAAGAAAAGTGTTGTACGAAGAAATAAAGGAAGAGGAAAAAGAGCCGAAATTGAAATATTCATAAAGCGTTGACGAAGCTGAAATCAGATTTAATCCATAAATTGATTTGTATCATCACGTTTATTTCTTTTTCTTATTTTCACCTATTTAATAGTTGGAATAAATATATTCGAAATTCGAAGAGAAAGGCAATAACATGGACTGTGGGAAGAGATCGAAGCGCGAGACGGTCAACAAGTGGCTGGAAAGCGAGTATCCGGCTTAAGGTTGCACGTGCTCGTTAAATTCTCGAGCTGCGTTTACTTGAAACTATTGTTTTTTGTGAAATTTGACAAGACGAGACGAGACGAGAGAGAGTTATCGTCGTTCAGTGGAAATGAAACGCGACTGAAAATAGAATAGCAAGCGGAGGTGTAAGTTGTATGTATAAGTTTGTCCGTTTCATTTTTGTTTTGTAGGAATATAATCGAGAAAGGATTTGTCCGATTTAAGGGAAAGAAGAAGAAAAAGTTAGAGAAAGAAAGGAAAGAAGATCGGACGAGTGACGATAACGAGGATCAGGCGATCACACGCGTGTATACCGAGCATCGTTCTATTTCGGGGAAATGTTTTTAACTCGGTAACCTCGAGAAACGCCAGATTTTACTATTTTTAAGAGCCAAGTATTTGAATTTGAATTTGAATGAACCGGAAGAGGAATCTTTCAGGATCTATTAATTGGCAGTAAGTAAGTAAGTAAGTAAGTATGAAAGGCAATGAACTATAGATATACATATAACATGATATGTAGAATGATTAAAGGTGCAAAAGTATCGTTTGCAAGACCTACCATTGTTCACTGAAAGGAAAGAATTAGGAGAGCGGAATGGATAATGCTAGCGGTACATCGAACGAGAGGACGATGCAAGTATTGGCAGGGGGTGGTAGCGGTGATGATGATGATGATAATAAGAACCATTGGAAGGATGTAACATCGAACGGCATCGTCCAATTAATATTTTACGCATTTTACGGAAACATATTTCTGCTGGGTGTATTTGGTAACGCGTTGGTGTGTTTCGTGGTCGCACGAAATCGTCAGATGCAGACGGTAACAAATTTGTTTATCACGAATTTGGCATTGAGCGACGTGCTGCTTTGCGTGTTGGCGGTCCCGTTTACGCCTTTGTACACTTTTCTCGGCGGTTGGATATTCGGCAGGACTCTTTGTCACTTGGTGCCGTACGCACAAGGCGTTAGCGTGTACGTGAGCACATTGACGTTGACCAGCATCGCGATCGATCGGTTCGTGGTGATCGTGTATCCGTTCCATCCTCGCACCAGACTCGAGGTTTGTCTGTCGGTGATCCTCGGTATCTGGATAATCGCTTTAACGGTTACTCTACCGTATGGATTGTACATGCATCTCGAGGAGCATCTCGAGGAAACTTATTGCGAGGAACACTGGCCGAACGAAAGATTTCGCAAACTATTTAGTTCTCTGACGACGATACTTCAGTTCGTCCTACCTTTCTTCGTGATCGTCTTTTGCTATACGTGCGTGTCGATCAAGCTGAACGATCGAGCCAGATCGAAACCCGGTAATAAAACCGGGAAGAGGGAACAGGCGGACAGAGAAAGGAAGAAACGAACGAACGGAATGTTAATCGCCATGGTCACCGTATTTGGTATCTCTTGGCTACCGCTGAACGTCGTCAACGTTATCGACGACTTTTATTCCCCGGCCAACGATTGGTCCTATTACAGGCTTTGCTTTTTCATGGCCCACTGCCTAGCCATGAGCAGCACCTGTTACAATCCTTTTCTTTACGCTTGGCTCAACGATAACTTTCGCAAAGAGTTTAAGCAAGTACGAATTATATTTATTTTTTTTTTTACCTTTCAACGTCTTTTTATACTTTTCTACATCTACTTACTTACGTTCGCGAATCCTGCGAACGAGATCGTAAAACATATGTAGTTTATACGCGTTTTCTGGTTAAATTTTATAGTCGAGCTCGTTGCAATTACTCGGAAAAGCTTGTTGGATCTTCTTGGATTATCATTCCCAATTCTTTTCAAGGTGCTTCCGTGTTTTTCGAAAAGAAAATCCCAGGGACACGGTGTAGCAGCGGCCGCCGAAGAAGAAGAATTGCAGCTTGATAAAGCGTGTAACGGAAATAACACGGTGCAAGAATCCTTGTTACCGAGTCAAACTCGAATCAGAATTTCAACTCCGGACAACTACGAATTGATCGTTCTCGAACCGACGACGACCACCAACGCCTCGAGAAATCTCGAGGACCATTGTAAGTGAGGATTTTTTATTATTCATCGTATCTATAACTAATGAAATTATCATTTCCACGCTTTCCTCTAGCTTTACCGTGTTTTTTTTGCTCGAGACGAAAGCATTCCAAGCCGAAAGGCAACGGTGCAGCAACGATCGAGGAAATTCGGTAATGTTTACGCCATACACGTTACGTGTATACCAACGACGACGATGAATCACGAGCAGACAGATATTTTATCGATCGGAATAACGCGAAAGAGTGTACCTTATCTATCCTATCAGTTAATGTCGTTGTCTTAGTCGTGGTCGTTGTTGGTGTTGGCGTTAGAGATTACCCCATTCCGTTTACTAATGCCAAAAAGCAAGCTTTGTTGGCCGCGCTACACCTTTCGCCGCGCCGATCGTCTCTTATTGTTAGCGATACGTATAACACGTACGTAAGTAAGTATGTTGTCTACTTTCTTACTTACGTATTTCCTTTCAGGAAATATCTATATATATATGTATATTTAGATAGGATATATTTGAACGGCCAACGCGCGTTTTATTTAGTTTCGCCTCGAGGAAGAGAACGCTTGTCTCTAAGAACGCACTCACAGAAATAATGTTATTTTTTATTGCAACTATCTAGAGAAGTGAAAAAAGAGAAAAACGATTGCTCCTTTTTCTCTATTCTAACGATGTATCTCTGTTTTTCTCATGTTACAGAAGCAGTTGTGTTTTTCATGGAACTTGATCGAACGTACTTACCATACATACATAATCGCAAACTGCAATCGAATGCAAAAGATAGATATGAAATTTTCAATGATAAAACAACTACTAACGATATTGGAAATTGTTACCAATCGACGTACATATCTTATGTATATACATATACATATACATATATTTACCTACCTATAGATGAATCGACGCCCGATAACGATCTTCCTTTCTTCGTATCGCCGCGACGCGATGCGATTACATTGAAAAATTTCTCGTCGTAAAGTCACCCTTTAGAAATTCGCTCGACTCTGTTTATCGAAAATTTCTCGATAAGGAAATACAGAAGGAGGGTTGACTGATTAAAGTTGATAAGAGGTTCGTTTGAATCGACCACTCTCGAGAACGCCCTCTCCCCTTTCGTTCGTCTCAGATTTCAATTCTGCAATAACTCCTCATTATCCATGGAAATCCGAGTACGTTTTGACGATGCTCGTCGTTGCTCGACGGACACGTACACTTACTTGGAAAAGTAGCTTGGTCGGCTGGCTAGTTTGCCAGAAAAACGAGATTAAAAAGAATACAAGGTACACTGTTATAGTGGAAGAAAATAAATTATTCATTCCGGAGGAATAAAATAAATGGGTCAATTGAAATGGTGCGTGTGTGAGAAACAAACAAACACCCTCGTTTTTGATTACATATACGAAATTGATGCATTTAAACAAAATCAACATGAAAATAATGAATATACTGACCGTCTCTCGTTTTTCTTACGCACCACCCTCCCTATTTTCCAACCGTTCTCCTCAAACTAACAATAATCGCCAACTATACAAACATTTATGTATTTTTATTAACATTTTTACACTTTTTAATAGTTACATCGTAATTCGCGATTCGAATTTATTTTATACAAAGGATACGTGTATGTAGTAGCATGATAGATAACTGAATGAATCCGACAAAAGGTGCACTTTCTTTCGAAAGTGCGAAATCTTTATTTTAATTTACCAAACTGTACCATCTTTCTTTTTCGCTTTCGCTTTCTCTTCCTTCCCATTCTCCCTTCTCGTCTATGCACCTTTTATCCTTCTATGTACTACGCGTTCACTTACTATCTTATACAGCATTTCATGTAACTTATTCGATATTTCATCTCGAATAAGGTATCTTACATTTCGGAACAGAATAATCCGGTTGTATTTCATTATGCGTATGCGCATGCGCATACCTTTAATACTAATTGTAAGATAATTATCGCGCCTGTTCGTTTCTTTAAAACTTAAATACATTAGGTTATCAACAAACCTATTCTTTAAATTGGAAATATACTAAATCGCGATATAATTTCCTTTCTCACTTTCATCAATTTTTCCTCTTATATTTTTATACGGTACTTATACTTTTATTCTATTCCCCGGTACACGTTAATGCCAGACGGAATATCTACGTAAATACATTAAATAGAACGATCAACCAGCTAACTATTGAAATCACAAATTATTATATTGCTATTGATAATGGTATTGGATATCGATGATGTAAGATAAATTAATTGTTTAACATCAGTTTACAAGTTACCTGTACTATTAATTTTCTTCAAAAAGTTCATGTTTTGTGCGCATACAACGGACACTCCCTTTGGCATTAACGTCGAATATTTCATTCTCATCTTCTTTCCTTTTTTTTTTTCTTTTTTTCACGTTACAATTATTTCAAATTTCCTCGATTTGCCTTCTCTGAATTTCATCTGAGCCATAATTTCAATCGAAGGGCATCTACACCGTTCAAGTAATACCGAAATAATCGCTTATCGCGCACGAAACCAAGATTTTCGTACAAACGTAATGCTGGTCGATTAGTAATTTCCGTTTCCAATACTACTTCGTCAGCATTGTCTTCCACCATCGCTTGGATCGCCCTTCTTACCAGATTCGAGCCAATCTTCCGTTTTCGATATTTCACATCGACCGCTAACATTGCAATGTATCCACGTTTTATCACCTTTCTGTGGATGTCCAGCTTGCAAACAATGGCACCAACACACTCGTCCCCGTGCATCGCCTTGACGAACAAAAAGCAAGAGTTTTCTGTAAATTCTAAACCTGCAAGACAAACGAATCCAACCAAAGCTGGTCAACATTTTCTTTTTCTTTTTCTTTTTATTTCTGTTTTTTTCCCTCATTTCTGCATCATCATTTCTAAAGTTGAAAATTTTGTTAATCGCCCTCTCTTTGTCACGCATGCGTAACATTCTGTTTTTAACTTTTCTCTACAGTATTAATGCTGCTTGAATATATTTCATACTTTTATATGTAAATATACATACCAGGAAGCATAATTTTGGCCAGTTATGGATAAAATATCTGTACGTGTAAATAGAGTAGGGTTCGCTTAGGTCCTTTTGTATTAATTTCATTATGTCAGGCATTTGTAATTCGCTTGTGTAACTAACATACTGGATGTTGTCATCCTTCTTTCCCAGAGGCAACGTATCAGTTTTACCTAAACATGCAGAGAATGAAGAGAAACCATAAAAATACACGTGTAAAAACATCATTTGCATAGACTTTATGAAAAACAAAATATTTTCTTTTCTTTCTCTTTCCTGTCTTGCTAGTACATTTACTACTCTATTGCCTATTACCTATTACCTATCGCCTATTGCATATCATTTATCGACGCTAATAGATATGAAATTAAAGTCATTTTTTAATAATGTTTCAATCCCAAACAAACAAATACTTTGTAATCACAGTAAGATGTCGCTGTAAAAGCAAAGCTTTTCATTTCCTCGTACCGTGTTGGTTTAACCGACTAGTTTCCATACTTTGAGATTCTGGAAGATTAGTGGTACTGGCAGTTCTTTCAGGTGAATTACAAACACCATTCACTCGAGATATTCCATTTGTATGCGTTGCTTCTCCATACGTTTCAGTTGTTTTCAAACAAAGCCGAGATTTAAAGTCTAGAGTAGTAATGTCTATCAAGGAGTTTTCACTTTTTTCTTTGATGCTACCTTGTTCAGCCTCGGATTCATTTCCATCTGTAATACTCTCCGTTTCAATGTTTTCCATTTCTTTTAACTCTCCAAATTTCCAAGAGCTCGAGTTTCACTTTATTAAAATATATTTATATATACATATATATATATATATATCTTTATATATATATATATATGTGTATATATATATAGCTTAGTTAACGAATTTCGGAGGTAATAGTTTTTACACTTTCTCTGTACAATCAGCTACCGTGGCATTAGAACTGTTACACGTTATATAGACTTTTCAATCGGATTTTCATAATTACGATAAACCATGTGATTTTTAACATTGATTTTATCTTAAAATACCAAAATTCCAAGTATACCTACGAACGACGGACACCATATTGAATTTTATCTAATCACTGTTAAAAATTAAACATAAACAATGATTTTATAAGAAAAAAACAACCATATCGTGAATCGTAACAGATTATTTCTATGGAAATATGACATTTTATTACTTAAGGAGCACACTCATGGTACATACATACACATATTTATCCTCTTGATCTCTGTTAATTGTTAACAGAGGGCAGTCGAGTTTTCACAAGACGAAAGCCTTTCTATCTTTAACACACCTAGCACCTAGGACCTAGCCACGATCACGATCACGATACGATGGGTGAGTTGTTTCATTTTACTACCAGTTTACTATCATATTCATCGTTTTCAATCCACATTTTCTAGTGAACAGTTGGCGATAACTAATCATCAGTGTATTCTAAAAGCATTATATTCTTTCAATTAAATATATATTATTTTGATAAGTTTTACTGGGTTAAGTGGAACAACAATCTATCTACAATTTTGATATCTCATTATTTTTTCATCAAATATTTATTATTCTTATTATTATTGTTAGTTTCTTCTTTTTTTTTTAAAACAGTAAGGAATTGGCGATATTTAATAAATAATTGAAATATTTTCTTCACTTTTTTCGCACAACTTTTAATGTTTTAACTTTAACTGTTTTAAATGGTATTAAATTAAAAAAAGAAAAGAAAAGAAACAATCAACAATTATTATATGTAGGTATTTCTCGCGATCATTGGCATAAAAGACGGGCTACCGGAGGCAAAAGAAAACCGCTTCGTAAAAAGAGGAAGTTTGAGTTAGGACGTCCGGCTGCAAATACGAAACTTGGGGCTCAACGTATTCATACGGTATTATCATTGTCGTCATTCTTCATCATTCTTTTAAAATAAAACATTCGGTATTATTGATGATAGTTCACTTTTGAGAAGCATTTATGAAAGTAATACTAATAAATTTATACATATATTAAAAAAGAAAAAAATTTATAATATTTTAATATTATTTGATCATGAGATGATGACTACCTTTACCTACTCTGAATGATGTCGTGTTGACAAATATTCCACAGCGTGCTGAGTATAATTAAGGATTGCCCGTATAATAGGTATGTAAAGTATCTAAAAAAATTAATCGAGTTTTTATGTTGTCCGTATAAATCAGGTACGTACAAGAGGTGGTAACAAAAAGTATCGAGCGCTTCGGTTGGATACAGGAAACTTTTCATGGGGATCGGAATGTAGTACTAGGAAGACACGTATTATAGATGTGGTTTATAACGCATCGAATAATGAATTAGTAAGAACTAAAACTCTGGTAAAAAATGCAATTGTTACCATTGATGCAACACCTTTTAGACAATGGTATGAGAGCCATTACGTTTTACCGCTAGGCCGTAAGCGAGGTGCTAAGCTGGTAAGAAACTAGCATTTTCTTTTCTTTCTTTTTTTTTTTTGTTTTTTTTTTTCTTTGTTCCAATAATTAATATTAATAGAAAATTATTAAATATTTTAATAAAGAGTTATACACGTATGTAGACCGAAGCCGAGGAAGAAGTTTTAAATAAAAAACGCTCGAAAAAAGTAGAAGCTAAATACAAAGCGAGACAACGATTTGCCAAAGTCGAATCTGCTTTGGAAGAACAGTTTGCCACCGGTCGTGTACTCGGTAAGCAGCATTTCTAAATATGATAACTTGTTTCATTTCTAAATATGCGTTTCTATCTTGGAAAAAGTACAATACGTACCGCTATAATCCCTTCTACTTATTCGTCGTAATGTTAATTTTAAACGTCGTTACCTTACATTTTCATATACTGCTTTTTTCCCGATTTATGTAATTAAACTTTAGAATGCATTATGGACATTTTATACGGTTCGTATAAAATAGCAGTGAAGCATAATGAATATTATTGTACGAATATTACTGAAAATAATTTGCAGAAAAACTAACTAAATTTGAATCAGTGACGAAACAGGAATAGGAATATTCAGACGAATTCTAATCGAATTTATAATTTTATTTATTAACTTTAAATTTCAGCTTGTATAGCAAGTAGACCTGGACAATGCGGTCGAGCGGATGGTTATATACTCGAAGGAAAAGAACTAGAATTTTATATGAGAAAAATTAAAAGTAAAAAAGCTAAATAAACATGTAATCAAAGTTGGCTAATAGTTTATTTTTTTTATTCCATGATAGTTTCTCAAGTTGAAAATTCATTCGTTGAAGCAGTGCTCGCATACCGCATACGCACACGTATGTTCTTTCTTGTTATTAACTATTTTTTATATATAGTATAATAATATATTGCGAAAGAAAATTCTCTGTTGTTCTCTATAACATTGATCGAACATACGTACCAAGAAGGATAATTTAAAGAAGAAATTTACTTTTATACGAGAGAAAAATGAAAAGCCGAAAGCTAAATAAACATGAATAATCTGTTTCAACGTATACCGTTCTAAATATTCTTTACACTTTGTATGTACACCACGTGTATACTTGGTACACATAAGTAAAAGGAAAATTCATCTTTAAATAAACATCAGTAAAGAAAAAGATATCGCATACTTACATCGGAACAACAGATCCAACAAAGAAATTTCGGTTGAAAATGAAACATAATCAATAAAAAACGCATTACGTAAGTATTTTGTATCTTGTACGTTTTTTAAAAACATACATTCAAAATTTACTCAATGTAATGTGTAAATTATTTTATATTTATGTACAATATTACTAATATGAAAGTTAAACAATTCTTAACATAATAATAATAATAATAATAATAATAATAATAATAATAGTAATGTTATATAGAATCCAATAGTCATTGCAGAAACATTCACGTTTTGTTTGTATGTACATTGTTCCATCCAAGTATAATATCCAGTGAAATGTATGTATGAACGCTAGACTTCTTCCGATAAAAGAAAAACAGTTTCCTTCCCGCAGCTTACTCGATGCGCTTATTTTTCCTTAGATGGGAGAAGAAGAGGATAAGTAGCATTATAAATATCGCATTATGTTTAATTGCTGTTCATGCAATTAACAACTACTTCTCTACAACCGAGAGAAGCCTGACAATTATAGTTGTCATACATTTTTCTTTCTTTTTCTATTGATCTTTCGCAGAATAATTGTTAACAGTTCTTCGTATTCACGTAAAGACTTGAGTTCGTTTGTTTCTTTTTTTCTATATACTTAAAAAAGAAAAGAAAAGAAAAGAAAAGAAAAGAAAAAGCAAATTTTCTACCTAAAGGGTGATACGCTATGATGATGAAGTTTCGATATCTTCTTTAGAGCAAGACAAAGATAGGGATCCTGATATCTCATTCAGTTTGTTATGTGATAACTCATATATCCTGCCAACAGAGCTGCTTACTTTGATATTATGATTCTGAAAAATATATAGGAAATTTTTGGAACATTATATTTTTTAGAAATTATACAAAAGATTTCTATTTACATGTTATAATTTCTCGTTACTCCTATGTGAATCCCGGATTTGTCGAAACGTAAAGAGCAGTATGAAGGGTCCAAAGGCATACTCACGATCAGTGTAAGTTAAAAGGTGATAAAATCAATCTTTGAATTTTACTCTGAACGAAGAAAAGAAAAAGTGCCACCAAGTCTTGCATAATATGCATGAATTATAATTGAAGCAAACGTTACTCTTTGAATAAATATATTTTTTATTCCTTTTGTTCTTGTTTTTCTTATTTCTGGCGTTTTACAAAGGAAAAGGAAAAGGAAAAAAAAGCATGTATAAACTACTACATATTTCGTTTTAACGCTGTATAACGAGAACGTTTACGTGTAAACGCAAGACGCGAAGAACCGTGCAACAATAATACTATAACGTGGTTATAATTAAAACTTGGAGAAACAAGTATTTATAATTTATTAAAGTTGTGGCTTCGATTTCAGGGACTTACACCGATGTGTGCTCTAGGCCCTCCAAACAATGTCTGACGTCGCATGCGGTGTATTTATCATAAGTCTGGGCATCACCTGCTGCTGCTGTTGTTGCTGTTGTTGTTGCTGCTGCTGCTGCTGCTGCTGCTGCTGCTGCTGCTGATGATGATGATGATTTGAATTTGCACTGGAACTGGTAACAATAGTAGTAAACGAAGGTTTTTGTGCGCATGTTCTCATATGCATTGGCCAATGCGATTGTTGACAAGGATAATCGCAATATGCTGTGTTCCAACAACAGTAAAATAACGCTTCTCGACCACACATTGCACACCATTGTTTACGTTTAATTTCTTCGATACATCGTAATTTTTCTTCTTCGGCTTCTCGACGAGTTTCTTCGATAGCGCGTAAGCGTTCAGCTTCTAAACCTGCTTTCATTTCTCTTAGTACTCTATCTGAAATGTATAAGAAACATCGTTGTCGTACGTACGTCGTATGTCTTATAAGTCTGGGTACAATATAAAACGATTATAGCATATTATGTATATAATGCGCAACGTACCGGTATTATGTTTTAATTCGGCTAATTGTTGTTGATGTTCCCATCTCATACGTTCGATTTGTAATCGTAAAAAATGAACAGTCGCTTGATGATTATCAGACGTAATGCTCTCGCAATTCTGAGTTTCTTGAGCTGCCTCTTTGTACGCTTCTTCCATTAACCGAGCCATTCTTCTGGCCAAGTCTTGAGCACCATGATATAAACGAGCACTGATAGGCCCTGCTTGTGGCGGTAACATCTGGTATTCGATACAATTTTCAGCCTGATGGCTAACAGGGATGCTGTGCATCACAGAATCAATCGAATTTGATGATGCGTTTACCTGTGCAGCGGATGTATGCGGAATAAGTTGCGGACAATTACGAGTCTTATTAGGAAACGACTTTCTAGCTTTGCTTTCCTTTTTTCCTGTTTGATGCGACATTTGCGTCAAACCTTTCGAAGGTTGATGACGAGTTGTCGAAACATCGCTGCTTTTCTCTTTTTCAATCGTTTGCGAGCTATTATCGGCAGGCCTTTTAACGATATTAGGCATCTCATTGTTCGCGACAAAAGGTAACATATCAGCAGATTGATCCGTAGAAGAAGCTGTTTTATTAACGTCATCGGTATCACCTTCTTCTGATTTGATGTTAGACGAGACCGAAGTGACTGATGATATCGAATTATTATTATTATTATTATTATTATTATTATTATTATTATTATTATTATTGTTGTTGTTGTAAGAATTTATTGAGACATCCTTGGACGACGTGAAATCGGAATCTTTAGCTTTGCTGTTTGGCTCTATCCTTACCACCGCTTCTTTCTCTTTTCCATCGATTTCGATTGATTTTAAAGCTTTCTCAGCATTTATTTTATCGACAATTCTCGTTTTTGGTTTATAAACTTTTATCACACTTTTGGTAGCTTTAAAATTATTTTTCGACGAATTTGGCAAGCTCTGACCAACGTTTCCTTTATTATTAACATTGGTTTTTAAAAAAGATTCTTGTTTGGCTGTTTGAACATCGTTATCGTTTGTCGAGCGCTTGTTTGGAGACGATGTTATCATTTGCTTCGATAGATTTTCTTCATTTTTTCTGTTATCCTTTGTTACCTTTTCAGAGTTATTACTTTGTTCTGGCGGCGTTATTGTTGTCGTATCAGATTCGTTTGAATTCTGTTTAATCGTGCTACTTTCATTTCCATCCTCGTTCGCATTAATTTTACTCGTAGTTGGTTTTACTTCTTCTCTCTTTGTCGTGTTTAAATTCGTCGCCAACGAATTCTTATCGATTTCTACATATTTTTTATTACTTTCCTTTGTCACCAAACGATCCATGCTCCTAGAAGCATTCGAATTGTTATCTGTACCCCCGACTTCGTTCAACTTATCAGATTCTTCTACTACTACTACCTTTTTACAGGCTGGTAAGTCGTCATCATCGATTTTCTTTTGTTCGGTAACTTGGTCAACATCACCGATTGAAATTCTATTCATTTCGATGTCAGAGGTGGTGGTGGTGGTGGTAGTATCTCCTTTCTCCGAATCGCTTTGCGCCTTACTCTTGACGTGTAATCGTTTTTTGAAAAATTGCTTTTTCTTAGGAATCAAAAATTGCGAAGATATATAGTTATTAGAACGAAGTGGATCATAGTTTGGTAACATTAATTTTATTTGCGATGGATCGTGTGGATTGTATTGTACTTTAGGAGGCGCAAATTTAAATTGACCAAACACAAGTTCCAGTTTTCGACAGTGACGAGTAATTTCTCTAACGCATTCTTCCATGTCCAATTTTCTTTTTCGTGGTAACGGCACGGGAGGGTCTTCCGAATATAAATATAAATCTCGAGGCGATACCCATGCACGATCATGTTCACCGAAGAAACGTACGTCTACGTAACCTTGAGAATTGATTCGAGGCATAGCTTTGGCTGGCCAGAATGGAAAACCTTTCAATTTCGCCCACACAAGCGGATGAGGACGACGGCAAGGTTCGATAAACCATGATGGCTGTGGTCTTGGTAAGTTCCTTCCGTGGGCGTAACAATCAGGACATGCTTCGATTTCCGATACTTCTTGACGTGCCAGTTTGATTATCTGTTTCGCTGCGTTCGTTAACTTGGACGTATCGGCGTACACACCGCCGCCTGTTTAAATAATTTCAACCAAACTGCTAATTATATCGAGGTTAGCCTATTTAATACAACGAAACTTGTAATATTAGATATACCATATTACGTACACGTGTTGAACACAATACAATTGTGTTGTATCCATTTGGCGTCGGCCATAAACGCATCCGTACTACCGTACAATTTAGCCCGAACATTTGACTCCAAAAGGCTCAAATCCATCGGTTTTACTACATAGTCTAGATAATTTGGGGCTTCGGACGCTTCAACTGGTTTCCAAAATGGTTCCGACTGTGAGAAAAATTAATTTCGCTTAAATCCAATAGCCAGGGTAAAATATAAAAAAGACGACGCGAATGTTAACGCGAACGAAGAGGTAATACACATACACCTGGATATTCTCTCATTCTTTCAACTACGTGTTTCAATAATAAACACAACTGATCAACCGATAACTGCGCCATAGCAGTAGAACGTGTTTCTGCATTTTCTGCTTTCAAAATAGCCGCACATTCGCCGCATATCCAATTTTGGATAATCGACTGTTGCATTCCTATACATCTGCGATGCCACGATCGAGGACAAGCACTGCAATGTGCTTCTACGGATTCTTTGTGGCATCGCCAACAAAACCGATCGTTTGTATTTTTTTTCTTTCGCTTACTTCTAGCATTATTTTCCTCTGATAATAACAAATCTGTTTCTTGGGCGCTAAAAAAATCAATCAATCATGGCATTAAAAGAAAAAGACAATCTTCAGCTTAAAAAAAAAAAGAAGCAAGTTTATGAGTAAATACTATCTACATATACTTACACGGTATTTCGTCTTTTTCGTTTAAGATTGTTTCCAGTTCTAATTATAGTTTCATTCGCATTAGTATTTTTACTAATCTTAGAATCATTTTCCGTTACATCCGAAGACATTACATCCGAACTTTCTCTACTCTGTACATACTCTATTTTATCTGTGTTCAGTTTAACTTGTTTCTTATCATTTTCCAGGATAATAACTTCATCCTCGTTTCTAACTTTCTTCTGATCACAGTTTGTTGCGTCCAATGTAGTAGTACCTTTAACGGCACTTTCCACGTCTATAATTAAAGTTTCGTTTTCCTTCTTGCTAACCACATCTGTATAAGCTCGTTGATCTTGCGTCTGCTGTGGTGGTAACTGTGAATGGTCCTTTTGCAATTCACGTATCATCGGACTTTGTAAATACTTGGAATTCGTAAAATTTTTCTCCTTCTCTGTCGACGTCATTTTCACTCATTGCACGTGTTTAGTTGAAAATATATATCTTTACTTAAACATAATGCAAAAGACAAGACAATTAGCAATTTTGATAGATGAAACGATATTTATTAATGATTCTGAAGAAAAATGTTGTTTACTATACTTATTTATTTACTGCGTTATAAACGGAAAATATCCATGTACTATAACTATACTATTCGGTATAACATTTAACATTACAGAAGTTTATGCAACAAATAAAAAAACAAGAAATAGGAAAGATCAGAATTAAAAAGAGGCACGTGGTAAGCAATTTTTCTTTTTTATTAATTATACGTTAAAAATAGCTTTTACATTTTTTTAAAACTACGTTACATAAAATTTAATCTTATTCAATTGGATATATAAAATAGAAGAATCTACGTTGAGTAAAGAAGGAAAAAGCTGTCGTTGCATTAATATTATATTAAATATGGATTAATAACAGTACGATGTAGAGAATGTAATAACAGAAAGCATAGAAAAGAGTTTAAAGGTATATCTACCAGTATAATGAACAGAGCCAAAATAATTACTCCCTATAGAATTCATACATAAAACCAGAAGATAAAAGGCAAAAATATTTCGACCGATTTTTGGTCGCTTTCTATCGCTTCTATAATTTATTCTACAGGTCAAGCAAACCACTTTAATACAAATCCTAAACAACATGGACAAACGAGATATAATATCACTTACCAACACGACATTGCATCAAAACCGTGAGCATTCCTTCCCCTTCCTACGTACCGATCTTCTTACCGCTTGTGTCTCCATCCTTCGGCAGTATTTTTAGTCAGCAAAAGCATGTGGTGCTTGAAATTCCCAAACTATTATAAACAATGTTTATTAATTTTTTTTCAACTTTTTATATTTGCAATCATAGTAAATTAATAATATAACAATCTACTACGTACCTATATGCGCGTATGATGCGCAATGTAAAGCTTTGTTGTACGCATGTGTGTCCGCGTTCGCGCGTGTGTCTATATATTCTTATGGATAATTTATCATAAACAAGTAAACGAAATACATATTGTAATTATATTGCGATTTATATATGCATATTTACTTGTTCATCTATTCATGTTTGAATGCAACAGTCATTCGATAAGAACGACAATTCATTTCCTTTTCTTTGTTAAAAAAGGTTATATATTTCACCAGTAATTGGTTTAAACGTTGCAAACAACTCAGTGCTGGGCAATCCGATGCGAATTTGTTCTATAACAATTTCGAAAAACAATTTGTTTAAATATTATTGTCAAAGCGATATATGTATGTATAAATAAGTACTATACATATATGTACATCAATCTGTAACATTTGTTAAAAACATTAAGTATTTTGTATTTGCCAAACGTATAAGTTTTGATAGAAGTATAAATGTACAATACTCGTTATTCATCTAGTATTAAATCTCACCATATTTTTTTACAAGTGCACTGAATAAACAACAAATAACAGTACGCAACATTATTCTGTAGTGTGTTAGGTTATACTAGGATAATTATATATATATATATATATACATATATATATATATACCGCAGTTCACCAGAGTCCATAACTGTGACGCGCAGGTTGGAAGATGGTGGGGGAACGCAGCGAGCTCTCTGCTAATCGCTTTCCACTTCGTTTGGAAGTATCGCCAATCAGAGCGAAGATGCGCACTGGAGAAGCGCGAAGAACGAAAACTGGTCTTTTCGCAGTTATGCACTTTGGTGAACTGTGGTATATATATCACGAGAGTCCATAACTGTGAAAAAACCAATTTTCGTTCTTTCGTGCGCACCTTCGCCCTGATTGGCGATACTCCCACTCTTATACGCTTGCGCACAGCGTCTCTGCGGCGTCCCCGTGCGGTGCATCTACGCGAAAATGCATCATTTCGAGTGTATAACGGGTAGCATGGTTTTTTACTCACGTGAAATCATTCTGTATTCTCCCTATTCAACCGTACTATCATTTTACCCCGTATATTAAACATGGTGTTAACGAAGTGGGAAGCGATTAGAGGAGTGGAAGTTTCGAGGCTCGCTAAGTTTTCCTACCATCTTCCAACCTGCGCGGATTAGTTATGGACTCTCGTGAAATGAAGTACTTAATATAAGTTTAGTCAGGTTACGAGGCGCGTAGCGTGCTTCCCCCTATACATTCTTCTACACACAAAGTAACTTTAAAACCACTCAGTTTTACATACGCATAACATTTGAACAGATGGATTTTTTTTTTATTCTATTCGTTGATTACTATTCGACTGTCGACAAACAAATTCTACAATATTTGATCCGTGAAAGTAAAGTTCAATCGTCTTTCCCGTAGCCTGAAGGCTTGTATTTAGAACTTCATCTGCCAGATGTCGCTCGTCTCCCACAACTTTCCAAACTTCCATTTAACTTGGACAAAAAAATTGCATCTCTCTCTCCCGATCTCTCTTAATCGTAGCACAGCTGATCCATTAATGTCACATGCGGTAATCAGCTATACATTGCTGGATATGAAATAACAACTGCGAGGAAACGGTATATGCACTTTGGAGTTGTTACTCGTATGCAGTTATAATAAAAATCAAACCGTTCCTTCTACTGTATTATGTACAGTACATACAATACATAGTGAAGTGTTTAAGAGAATAAATGTATGAATAAAATTGTTCGTTGATATTAGATGGGTTCGAGATACGAAAAATAGCGGATATCGACAAAGAAAAGTATAAACTATACGAACCATATCCGTTGGCTTCTCATCATCAGTCCCGATTATTGTTCAACTATAGCCAGCGGTTATGGTATATTTATCGAGTGTTTGGGGTATGGGAGAGACTAAATCGGAGTGTCAGAATACAAATAGTTCTTCCTCCTTTTTACAAGAAAATGACGAAGAAGTTGCATTGTTGCCACTTAAGAATCAGGTGAGGCAATATTTTGTTATTCGTCGACGACGCCATTGTTTCAACGAAACATCATCTTGAAATCGAAATCGAAATCGAAATTGAAATGTGTTGTTATCATTTGTTTCTTATTGTTTAACTGTACAGTTTAACTGTACGCGTAACGTTTATTCTCGATGTTAGAAATTGTGATTGTTGTTGTTGTTGTTGTTGTTGTTGTTATTGTTGTTTAATACTTGTTGTTAATTTCTTAGTATATGTATATTACAATAAAGTAACAATTATTGTTCTCGTCTTAAATAAAAAAAATTAGTTTGAGTCATGTCTATACTTCTGTTGAGTCGATTTACACACAGTGAAAGGTGAAGAAATTTATGAATAAATACATAGCCTTTGTTCACGATATAAGGCTTGATAATAGTGTAATAAATTAACTGAAATAAGAGAAAAGAAATTAGAAATTGAAAGGGTATTTGATTTTGGTAAAAATATAACAAGTAACCAATAGCGTTGTACCAACGAATAACTTGATACGTATGTTATACGAACATGTATTTTATAACATTTTGAGACTTTAACGCAGTATCTTTTGTAGGTTGGTGGACATACAAGATTACTTTTACTCAATCAAAATACTATTTGCAAGCCATTAAACTGCAAGGAACTTGATTTCTATCAAAACATTCCACAAGATATACAAATTTTTGTTCCAACATTTAAAGGTAAGGCATCTAAAATGTTTTGTATCCCTTTATCCTGCCTGTTGCAAAAAATATTTTAACCCTTGCTCCTTACGTCTACCTTTTTTACTTTCTCATTGCTGTAATTGTTCAAAATGATCACTTATCTATGTTTGTTAATAATAATAATAATAATAATAATAATAAGCCTAAGCGATTTAATTTTAAGAATCAACAATAAAATAACGTTAAAAAAAAATAAAAAATAAAAAATCTTTGCTAAGAATATCGTTTTAATAAAGCGTACTTTTCAAGAATATAGTACTAATATTTGTTTGTTCTTTGTTCTTGTAGGGGTACTTCAAGCTTCCAATAGCGGCGAGATCACATTGGATAAACGTTACAGTCCTAGCTTCAGAGAACAAGATAATAGACAGGGACACGGCTCGACTAAAAGGAAACGAGACGACGTGTTGAGGTAAATTCTCTTCTATATTGGAAATTTTGAACGACAAAATTTATACATATTTTACATTGATGTGTAAACATATCTCTATGTTTGAAGAGCATACGATATTTTATATCGCATTTTCTAGGATGAAAATTCATCGTGATAACACTTTAACAGGATTACTGAAACCAGACTCAAATTTGGACAATGCATCGAACAGACAATGTATGTACGTCGTTATATTTAAAAAAGCAGATATTATTACAACAATATAAAATGAAATGAAACGAAATGAGAATGATTTATAAATCCTCTTTATGTAATTAGATAGACCGTTTTATTTCAGTTCCTTTTCTTTTCCATATTCTTGTCCATTGTAATTTATTTAAAAACCAAACGAGTTTGTCATAGATTTGAAGGAAGAAAACGCGTTACCTTTCTGTCAAAATAGATTTCCTTCTGTTGGAAAATATAACATCTCAATACACTCATCCATGTATATTGGATCTAAAAATGGGAACCAGACAGCACGGAGACGATGCATCTGCCGAAAAACGAAGTAAACAAATTGCAAAGTGTGCTGCTAGCACATCAGCCTCTTTGGGTGTTAGACTGTGTGGAATGCAGGTTTGTTATCGCATAAAAACGTTTAACAAAGTACAGAAACGAAGCTTAATCTTTTTATTACTTTTAAAATGTAAAACTTTCCGTAACGATATCAAACGGAGTAGCAATGAAATATAAAAGAAGGATTATTCATATTTTTTATAGGTGTACCAAGCAGATAGCAATCATTATGTGAAAAAAGACAAGTATTGGGGCAGAGAATTGAACGAAGAAGGTTTCAAAGCAGCGTTGTATCGCTTTTTTCACAATGGTTTTTGCTTACGAACATTAGTTATCGAAAAAGTGGTGTCTCGGTTAGAACAATTACGACATGCCATCGAAAGGCAAAGCAGCTATCGATTTTACTCGTGGTAAGTACATTTGCCAAGTATGTAGAATGATTATTCAAGTATGTTGATGAAATATTTTTAATTTACATGTAAAAATATCTATGTACATGTAAGTGTACATATATGTGCGTAGAAGGTAGTAAAAAGGTGATTTAAAGGCAGTCTATGTGGTATATCCGAAGGTAAGAACACGATGATCGGAATGTTATTAATCGATTGAAACACGTATTGCAGTTCGTTATTAGTTGTTTACGAGGGTTGTCAAACGGACGACGACGACGACGACGACGACGACGACGACGACTCGTCGGGGCACGATCGATCTTCGACCACTTTACGGATGGAAGAAGAATCAAGCGATTCTAGTTTCATCGATCCTAATAGTCCTAATAGTTCGGAAGCTTGTTACGATGGTGACACAAGTAATAGTTCCACAGACTATAATGTTTCGATTCAAGAAGAAATCAGCCGAACGACTTTGCAAAAGGAACTTGACGGAACAACCGCTAGAGATGGCAAAAATATAACGAATTTTTATCCTACAAGGTTTGTCATCAAATTATTTTTCTTCTTTTATTGGCAAATGATGTTGGTTCACATTTATGGAAAAGAAAGATGGCTCGTTCCATTTCGACTCGGCGATCAGAGGTTTTTATTACTTGCACTACTTGTAAATTTCCAAAGGATCTATTTTTTCGATTGAAAGCAAAAATAAAAGAGTGCAAGATTATTTTTTCTTTCTTCAGACGCTCGAGTCGGTATGGAATGGCCGAAATTAAATTCCTAACGTTGCGATGTTCCGAAAGTAAAATTGATAAAAACAGTCGTTGAACATTAAACCTTTGTCTTTATTCGTCCGTTTATGTATTTATTTATTTCTCTACTGATTTATATTCATTAATCAACTGTTTTACTTATTTAGCTATCTATTTCTTTGTTTCTGTATTTACATATATTTATTTCGATGTATTGCAACAGTAGGAATCTAATAAAGAGGTAAACGTTACTACCTTTGGTAGTAACATAACATAACGTAATAATAATAATAATAATAATAACAACAACAACAACAACAACAACAACAGCAGCAACAATAACAGCAATAATAACAAGAATGAAATTGGAATCAATATACATTCAGGGTGTCTCATCTAAACTGTTACAGAGCTCTTATTGTTGATATGGAAAAAGGGGGTCTATGTTATGGCCGAAGTGAAAAATCTTTTGCATTATGTTTTTTAAATGGAACCATAGATATATGGTTTCATTTAAAAAACAAAACTTGACCATCATATCTGTTAAACTAATGATGATATCAACAATTTTTTGTATCATGAATAGTTACGGAATAAGAGGTTCGTAACAGTTTAGATGAGACACCCTGTTATACTTAACCCTCCGATATTTTGGAAAAAAAACCAAAGAAAATAAATCATGTTAAGCGTGTTAAGCGCAGAATCTTCTCATTCTTGTTTCTTTTTCTTCTTTGTGTATTAGATGACATACTCCATCAGACAATTGGAGGGTTATTTGTTACAATGATTCCTAAATATTATATATCTAGTTTACATCGAACACAGCTTTTGTTAAAAATCGGTT